CTCTTCACCTTCAGCGATGCGCAAGAGGTTGTATGCGCCTCGCATGTCGAGCTTGGTGAAGATCTTGGCCTTGCCGAGGTTGTCGAACGTCTCGGCAATCAGGGGCAAGGGACAACGGTTCGGCACGGTGATCTTGTTCAGGGCCCGGTAGTCGACGCAGAGACGGAGGGAGCCATCCTTCTTCTTGACGAACAGGACTGGGGCACCGGCAGGGGACTCGGAACGGCGGATGAAACCCTTGGACAAGTTCTCTTGGATGTAGGTGTGGAGGGCGTCCATCTCCGGCTTGGAGAGGTTGTAGACGGGCCCAAACGACGGAGACGCACCTTCGACCAACGGGATCGTGTGGTCGTAAGGGCGGTGCTGGGGGAGCTTGTCGGCCTCGGACTTGGAAAACACCTTGGCAAAGGACGAGTACTTGGAGGGGACAGAGGGCTCGGCCTTGGGCTTGGCTCCAGCGTCGACGGAGCAGAGGGACAGGACTCGGGCAGCATCCAAGAGGAACACTTCCAGGCCTTCCTTCTGGACGGCGTGCTGGAAGGGGATGCTGCCGATCAGGCTGACGCTGGGCAGGGACTGGGTCTTGGTCTTGGTCTTTGGGACGGCAGGAGGCAAGGCAGGACTGGGCTTGGGCACGGCAGGAGGCAAGGCAGGGAGGATCTCGGGCTCGGCTGGGGACTCGGCTGGGGACTTCTTGGACTCGGGCAGGGACACGGCAGGCTCGGCGGGGACCTCAGCAGGAGACTCGGCAGGCGGCTCGGCAGGGCTGGACCTAGAGGGCTGTGGCTCGGGAGAGAACGGGGAGGCCAAACTGTGGATAGAGGTGCAAGGCAAGAAAATAGAGTCATGGTGCCAGTCAAAGTAGGGTTTGTGTTTCTTGATCCAATCCATACCCAAGATGATCGGGTATGAAGCCAAGGGAATCAGCGCGAACGAGATTTGTTCATAGTGGCTGATGCCTGTGATCATAGAAACACAAACTCCAAGACTAGACTCCATCGAAGAACCATCGGCAAGAGTGATGACGAAAGAAGTTGCAAAGGTGGGGAGAGCGTGGGTTGCGGCGAATCCAGTGTCCATAAACGAAGTAACCGCGCCGGTATCGATCATGGCGGTTGCCCGTATGGACTCTGGACCGCACAGCAGAGTCACAGCGAGGGAGGGCTGACGTTGGATGTCAGGCTCGGGAGGCGAAGACGAAGAAGCAAGAGCGGTGGAAACGGTGGCAATGGTGACGGGGGCAAGATGGCAAAAGGCAGAAGAGTGATTTACCGTGGAGACATTTACAGGAGGAAGATTTATGACATGATTGACGCCTAGGAAAGCTCCTCCGACCTTTTCTAGGCAGAGAAGTTTTCCTGGTCGTCAAGTTTATTCACATCAACGACAGCCAAAGAAGCATCGATGGCAGCCAAGCGGGAGGATGCCTTATTGGGGCAGCGAAGGGCAATGTGCCCTTCCTGCTTGCAATAAAAGCAGCGGTTGGCAGCACGGAGGGCGGCCTTGTCCTCGGCGGTCAGCCTGCGAGCGGAGGCCTGGCTGAGGTCCATGGGCTGCGGAACGTTGAAGGCTTGAGCGGGGCGAGGAGGAGGAGCAGGAGCGAAGGGACGAGGAGCCGGACGGAAAGGGAGAGGAGCCGGACGAGCAGGAGCAGGAGCAGGAGCGGAGCGGTGGTTGGGACGGCGGGAGCGTTGGTCCTCCTGGCGGTTGTCGATGGCGATCGCCGCTTGCATGAGATCTTCGAGGTTGTCGAAGGAGCGGCGGGAGAGTTCGTCTTGAACCGAGGGCTTGAGTCCACTCTCGAAGTGGAACATGAGAGGGTCTTGGGACCAAGTGACGAGGTGGACGGCTTGGCGGCGGTACTCGGCGGCATAGGCGGCGGCGGAGGTGACTTGGTAAAGCCTGACCATCTCGCGAGCAGCGGCGATGGTGGGCTGGACCTGGCCAAAGGCAGCACGGAGCCACTCGGAGAAACCGGCAAAGTCACGGATGGCAGGGGGGGAGCACTCGGGGTCTCTCTCCAACTGATCGATGTACGGCTGCATGTAGTCTGCAGCAGTACCATCGAGATAGGATAAGGCGTAAAACACCTTATCCCTTTCAGTCTGGAAGAGGGGAGGGTTGGACACGAAGGCCAGTCTGCAATGCGAAAGGAAGGCATTGCAGCGGCTCGGGTCCTTACCAGAGAAGCGGTCGGGAGGACCTATCTGCCTGGTGGCAGAGTTGCGACCAGCAGGGTTGTCCTCGGGGTCTTGGGCAGGATCATCGACGTCGTCAGGAACGCCGAAGTAGGGGCGACCTGCACGACGGATCGGGGCGGGAGCGGGAGCAGGAGGAGGTAGCTGGGCCTGGTAGCTGCGGAGGGCCTCCTGGACACTGGCGGCGACAACTTGGCGGACATCCTCTTCACGGCGAGCCAGGACCTGGTCCATACGATCGGTGATGCGGTTGAGCGCATCATCCTGATCGTGGAGGAACTTGGAAAAGTCCTGGAGAGAACGGGCGTTCTCGGCGGACTGGATAATGACCGCACGGATGGCCTGGAGCTCGGGCTCGGAAAGGCCAGAAGGGGAAGCCATTGGTAAAAGAGATAGCGAAGGGAACGGGGGCAAAGGCAGGGCAAGTGGGGGGTTGTTGAAGGTCTTGCCAAGTGTCAAGACTGGACAACGGGGCAAGCAGGGAAGTGCGCAAGAGTCCTAATGCAAGACTCGAACGTAGGGAGAGGAGCGGGGACTGGACTGGGACACAGAGTGTCAAGTGTAAAGCCAAAGTTTTATTCTAGATCCAAGGCTTAGGATACTAAAAATACAAAGTGGCAAGACGAAGGCAAAAGACAGAGGCTGGTCGGAGGGCTATTTATGCGAGCGCCAGGGATCGACGCTGCAGAGCGAGGGGGCAGGAGCGAAGCAGCGGCGGGGAGGGCGATGCAGCGAGCGAAGCAGGTGGCGGCCGTGACTCGGGATCCGTGAGTCAGCGGGCGTCAGTGGCGGCGGCATGGCGGTGCCAAGGCGTCAGGCGGTGTCGAGGCGGCGTCGTGGGCGTAACCCATGACCAACAGCAAGGAAGCGGGAACGGAACACAGACAGCGCGCGTGCTGGCGGGAAGACAACAAGGCAGCACAGCGCGGGAAACAAACAAACAGAAGGAAGGGAAAGCACTAAGGCAGGCAAACAGAAAGGAAAGGGCAAGGGTAAAGGAAGGAAGAGGGCAAAGGCAGAGGGTGTTCATGACAGATACCAAGCAGGTGGTATCAGTAGAAGAGAGTTCGAACAAAGTGTAAGGAGTGAACAAGCGCAAGGACGAAGACCAAGTGCTTGGTATGAGCTTTATTAGCTTTTAGCCCCGAACACCAAAGAACAAGTTTTGTTCGAACTGGTGTTCAACATAGGCTCAGACATGCAGGGCTATTTATAGACCGGGAGAAGGTCGAGGGGCAAAAGTGGGCGAGAAGGGTGGAGCATCACAGAGAAGCGAGAAGGGGGTGCGAGAGTGGCTGGTGTGCAAGCGAGAGAGGCTTGGCACAGCCCGGGGACATGTGCCGAGCGGTGGGGGAGGCAGGAAACCAGTAGACGCGGGTGGCAACGGCGCGTGCTCATGCATGGGGGCAAACAAACACGTGGGGACTCATGATTGGTGCGGAGGGCGAGAGCATGCGGGACAATCTCATTGGTCCGTTGTGATGCTGGTCATCACAGGCAGAGCCGTGGAATCTTTCCGGATCGGGGACTTTTGGTTCCCTGGTATGGGCATGAGGTTGTTCGGCTCTGGGTTGCTGGAATTGTTGGAGTTGTTGCTGCTGCTGGAGCACTTGCATTTGTTGCTGGAGTTGAGCCTGGAGCTGCTGAATCGCTTGTTGTTGCTGTTGGCATTGAGCAGTGAGGGCCGCGATCTGTTCAATGGCAGGGTGGGCGACGTCGTCCATGGTCGAGTGAAGTATGATGTAAGAAACAGGGGCAGGAACAGGGCTGGGGTGAGGGCTGACTTGGTGGGGGACGACTGAGGAGGTTTACTGGAAGTACAAGAGGCAAGAGACTAGGTAGAGTGATGATGTATTGGAATACTTCACTGGCGGGTTTACAGGCGGGGTCAAGGTCGGGTATAAATGGGCCGGATGGTCTTTGCTGACAATTTTCTAGAAAAGAGGCTACACTACAAAGACGTTTCTATGGAGAAGGAATGGGACGCCCCTGCTTCTCTAGGCCGGGGCAGTGGATCTGGAATTCCAAAAGCGCAGCAACCTCTACTGCCAATCAGTCGCGAGTGGTAACCGTGTGTCTCTCTCTGCACCGGCGTGTCCTGGTTCATAACACCGTATTTCACACATCACTAATGGAACCGTATCACAGATCTCAGATCCCAAACAGAAGCATCGAGCCACCACCACCAATCGAAATCGAAAACGAGCTCGAATGGGAAGTGGAAGAAATTCTGGACTCCCAGCGTCAAGGGAGGGGCATCAAGTACTTAGTGGCATGGAAAGTGTACCACGTCTCGGATGCAACATGGGAGCCCGCATCCTTTTTGACACACTCACGCGAGGCCGTAGAAGACTTCCACAGGCTTCATCCAACCAAGCCAGCACCGCGATCTACAAGGCTATCGAGATGAGGAGGGAGTGATGTGACGACCCGGCGTGGTCGCCACATCGGGCGTGCGTTGGTTGGTTCCAAGCCACGTGCGATCGTCTCTTGCTGGGCCTCAGTATATAATGGCTGCCTCTCCGGCCCCCACGAGTGCCCAGCAAGAGAAGTCATCTGTACTCTCCCGTCCCGCAATATACTCCTGTCCAGCTCCCAGTTTCGTCTTTCGGTTCCGTCCCCGTTTGCCCTGCCTGTTCGCCCTGCCTGCTTGCCCTCGCCTCGGTCCACCCTCGCCCCGTCCGTTACAATGGCTCCAGAAAGGACTGATCCAGGGATCGGTGCTGAGCCCACTCATGTTCAGCGCCTTCATCGACGATCTGCCAGGGCCGAATGGTGACCAGAACAAGAGAAGCAGCATCCAACATGGCCAAGATGGGCCTGACCCTCGGGAACCTCACGGCCAAGACCTCAACGATTGCATACCGCACGTTCTTGCGGCCGATGATGGAATACGGCCTCGCCCTCGACGCCATCCCAAAGAACGAACAGAAGCGGCTCCACCGGACACAAACCTTCTGCCTGAACTTACTGTTCCGCACCGCTCGCACGACTTCACACGGAGCACTGCACCTCAATTGCGGATTACCCACGATGGCGACAAGAGCAAAGGTCCTCGGCATCCAATGCCGAGCACGATGGGAAGACGTCGCCACACACGACGACAAGATGATCGCCCTCATCACCCGCTTTATCCGATCCACGGCGATGAAGGACCAGCCATACCTTGGCAAGCCCTTCTACGAAAGCATCCAATGGAACCTGACCTGCACCCGCAAGGAGAAGAACGCCACGTTCTCGATGTCCATGGCCTTTGCCAAGGACGACGACTCGACCACGGATCGCACACAGATTCTGTCGGTCAAAACACTCATGCTGACCCACGATGCCCACACATCGTTCAAGCGAGGACAGCAGCTGACGGCTGCGTGCACACCAAGAACGAAGATGTCGGGAGTCTGGACCCAACTTGGACCAAGCATCCCACGCAGACTACACGTAGTAATGGTGTGGTGGAGACTGGGGGCATTCACCTGGCACCCACACGGCAAGTACCGCCTCTGTAAAAAGTGCAAATGCAACGGCGAAGGCCGAATCGAGCTGAGCAGATCCCACGCACAGACGTGTGTGGATGAGGAAGACACCTTGGACGCCCTGGTACAGGGCTATAAGGATATTTTCACTGGATGGACCGAGCCCGAGACCGAAGGTGTCGGGCCTATTGATAAATTGTTGGATATGCTGGGAGAGGTTGGCAAGCTGGAAAACGAAGAACCCATCGTGGGACAGGCCTTCAACGGTCTGTGGACTGATCTGGAACAGATATTCCATACCCTGATGTGGAGACTCGCTGGATGGCAAGCCAGGCCCGGCGACATTCCCGAGTGGGACTTTTAAAACACTCGATGTACTCCATGAAGAGCGAGATGCCGGGGACCACGGGGTCCTGATGGATAGTGTACTGCGGTTGAAACGAGTGCACAATGAGAGCGAGGGTTCCGTGGAGGCCCGTGAGCATGGTTGAAAGCGAGGGTTGATGAGAGGGATGGCGATGATTTTGGGCACTTGCGACCCAAGAAGTGCCTCCCTTTCCAAGGCGGTCCCTGACAAACACTGTCCCAATCTTGAACATGGGTGAACGGCGCCACCCCACTGCCACAAAGTGTTTCATGTGGCAATATTGGGAGGACTGAGCCACCCTGTCACCCCAGAGGCAGCTCGCTCTGTCCATCCCTTGGCTGCCTCGGTTTCTGTCTCTCACCATCCTCCAACCCCTTCCAGCCATGTTGACACCCACCAGCAACCAGCTCTATTCCTGCCCTGCTCACGGCACCGACCACGATCTGTTCCTCTCCTACCGTGCCCAGACTGATGCCAACACTGTCCAGGCTCTGAAGGAGGTGCTCACCTCGGTCGCCCTCCGTCGATATGGCAAACCCCTTTCTGTCTTCCACGATGTCGACTGCCTCAACAATCCCAGCGACCCTCATGCCAGCCCTATCAGCGCCCTCCCCACCAGCAAGGTCATCATCCTGCTCCTTAGCAAGGCCTCAATGGACTTGATGAAGAACAAGGCCAAGAATGGCCAGGAGGACAGCGTTATGCTTGAGATCAAGACCGCCCTCGACCTCAAGGATGCCAATCGCTCCCTCCCTGTCCTTCCCCTCGGAATCGCCACCAAGGAGACCAAAGACGGCGTCGATGTCTTCACTCCCTTCCTGCCCTATATGATGTCCCTCCCCGACGACCCTGCCTTTGCCCCCCTCAAGCAGATCCTCGGCAGAGTGAACCAGATCCAGTCCTTTGGCTTCCGCCCCGACCAGATGCACAAGCGAGCCTACCGCCTCCTCAACCTCGTCCATCCCATCCCACCCAACATGGATCTCATTACGGCCATTCATGACAAATACTTTTGTGATTCCAAGTTCCGAGTCGATCCCATTCGCCTCGACACTCTGCTCAAGCAACTCACCCTGACTGGCCGCGCCGTCATCTCCGGCATGGGTGGCATGGGCAAGTCCGTCCTGGCTGTCCAGATCCTCCATTTCATGATGGGCATTCTGAATGCGAGCAACAAGGACGACCTCCATGTCATCAAAGCCGAAACCATCGGCATCAAGCCGCAGTACCGCCAGGTATTCTGGATCAACTGCTCGACCGAGTCGACTGCCCTCGATGGCCTCATCGAGATGTTCCCTGGCATCGAACCCGAGGAGATCAAGGAGTACGCCTCAAAGTTCCTCGCCAACACTCACGGCTATCTCCTGGTACTCGACAATGTCGATGACATCAGCGTGGTCGACTCTGTGTTTGAGCACTCCAAGTCGGTCGGGTTCAGCGGCGATGTGGTGGTGACGACCCGGCTGGCCTCGCTGCCTCCTGGTGCATTAACCAGTGCTCTTGAGACCAAGGCACCGAGCTTTCAGCACGATCTGCTCCGGCTCGTCAACTGGGACGACAAAACCACGCTCGACTACATCATGTCGTCGTCGCCAATGATTGTCCAGCGACTTGTGTCGGACGAGGCCAGGAAATCCCTCGACAGCATCGTGGCCAAGATCAGTGGATATCCACTCGTCATCCAGACGTTCATGACATTCTACGAGAACAACGAGGTGCCGCTGTCCGAGGTCGATCGGCTGTTCTCCAAGGTCCTCGAGGAGCAGGATGGCGATGACGACACGCGATCGTCGCTCAAGGTGATTGTGGATCTGTCGCTGGACTCGCTGATGAAGCGAGGAGATGAGGGCATCGAGGCAGCCAGGCTGTTCGGTGCACTCAGTCTGGTGGCGCCGACCAACATCCAACTCGAGTTGATCAAGGAGATTGCAGAGCAGTTGGAGCTCAAGACCGAAGGTGAGTTGCGAGTGGATCAAAGTGCAATCAATGGTGTCAGTGTATGGAACTGATCATTCATCTGTCCACAGTGACCGATCTGATCAAGATGATGGTCCAGAGCGGTCTCCTCCGAAGTCGAACCGAGGGAAAGTACTCGACACACTCGCTCACCCAGCAAGTGGCTCGAGAGTATGTTCAAGCGCATGAGAAACTGGATGTCGAAGCAATCGAAGATGCAACGGGCGAGGTGTTGATTAAGTTGACAAACTCGATGGATCTTAAGGCACAGTCATTTGCGGAGCACCTCGAACAATACGCCGAGAAGACCGTTCCAGAGGTTTACACCAAGCAACTGCATTCCTCGATCGAGTTCCAGGTTGCCACATTGAACTTTCATAAGCCACTCTACAACAAAGCAATGGATACATACAAGAGGCTCTTGGAACGAATTACGGTGCTTTTTGGCACCCTCGACCATCCTCTCTTTGCCATTATTCTCAATAATATGGGTGAAGTGGCAAGATCGCAAGGGCACTTGGACGATGCACGCGCCTTCTTCCAAAAGTCACTCGATATCTATGTCAAGGTCCATGGCACCCGCGAGCATTCTAATATTGCCGGGACCCTCAACAACATGGGTTTATTGGCAAGATCCCAAGGACGCCTGGACCATGCACTCGCTTTCTTGCAAGAGTCCCTTGATATCAAAGTCAAGGTCTATGGCACCCGCGAACATCCCGATGTTGCCACGACCCTCAACAATATGGGTATGGTGGCAAGTGACCAAGGACGTCTCGACGATGCACTTGCTTTCTACCAAGAATCTCTTGATATCAAAGTCAACGCCTATGACACCCGCGAACATCCCGATGTTGCCTTGACCCTTGACAATATGGGTGGAGTGGTAAAATCCCAAGGACGTCTGGACGAAGCACTCACCTACTGCCAAGAATCCCTCGATATTATGATCAAAGTCTATGGCACCCGCGATCATCCCGATATTGCCCAGACCCTCAACAACATGGGTTTATTGGCATGTGACCAAGAACGTCTGGACGATGCACTCGCTTTCTTGCAAGAGTCCCTTGATATCAAAGTCAAGGTCTATGGTACTCGCGAAAATCCCGATGTTGCCTCGACCCTGAACAATATGGGCAATATGGCATGGAACCAAGGTCTCCTGGATGATGCACTTGCTTTCTACCAAGAAGCTCTTGATATCAAAGTCAAGGTCTATGGCACCCGCGAGCATCCCTCGGTTGCCACGACCCTGAACAATATGGGAATGGTGGTAAATGACCAAGGACGTCTCGACGATGCATTTTCTTTCTTCCAAGAGTCCCTTGATATTATGATCAAAGTCTATGGCACCCGCAACCATCCCGAAGTTGCTGGAACCCTTAAAAACTTGGGTATGACGGCAAAATCCCAAGGACGTCTAGACGAAGCACGTGCCTTCTTCCAAGAATCTCTTGATATTATGATCAAAGTCTATGGCACCCGCGAGCATCCCGATGTTGCCCAGACCCTCTACAACATCGCTTTCTTGGCATGTGACCAAGAACGTCTGGACGATGCACTTGCTTTCTTCCAAGAATCTCTTGATATCAAAGTCAAGGTCTATGGCACCCGCGATCATCCCGATGTTGCCCAGACCCTCAACAATATGGGTACGACGGCATCCAAACTAGGACGTCTGGATGAAGCACTTGTCTCCTTCCAAGCCGCATTGGAGATTTGCACCAAGAACATCCAGGACCCTGAGAACCCCTATATCAAAATGATCATGAACAACATTCATATCATCGAAAGGCAGCAAGGCGAGCAAACCGCGGTAGCCAGATAAAATAATGGCTGCTTATGTATCTCATGATTTGTACTATTATGATCGCATGCCTGTGCAATTGAGAAGCTTCCACTCTTATATTTGCGCATGCATCATAGCTGTAACAAAGATGAGAGGATTGATAGAACTATACAGCACACTGTACTTAGCAAATTGGCATAGTCAGCACCAAATCACACTCACCCTTGGAGATTCCAATCACCCATATGACCAACAGTGCGTTCCTAGGGATTTGGACAGGGCAAGCACTCGTAAACGGTCCAGTGCCATCGAGAATGGCAACGACGACAGTCACATGCTGCTTACAACACATTCCCACTTTAAGAAAGCTCGGTATCTCACTGGACCGATTCGGGGCGAGAAAGCAATAGGTGAGGATATCTAAATGAATCAGCCCACCCCATCGGCCATACGACGTGACGAGAGTGGAAGAGAACCTGAGTTGCATTCTGGAACTGCGTTTATGATCCTAAGGCTCGAGCTTTGGTGGCAGCCAAGTCCGCCTGCGCCTGACAAGCTAGGTCGTCTGTGCTGTGGACGCCGCAGGAATGATAAAATGGCAAGCCTGTATCCAGCAAGCTCTCCAAGCATTACAGCTTATCTCATTGGAAATGTGACACTCCATTTTTGACCTCTGGTCTATAATTCATCACCTAAAGCCAATGCCACTGAAGACGACTGTTCGCCACACCCTCCACTTTCGCACTCTTGCTCAAGGGCAGAGCCAGCCATCGTCGCTTCTTTCCCGCATAGATGTTTCCCCACAGCCTCGTGCGCAAATTCACAGACCGCATCAGATGGCCGCCATATCGCTCAAGCGTGTACTTCCATGCAACACACAGTTGCCCAAGGCTAATGGCAGTCACATGGAGGCCATGGACAAGAGCATCCTTGCTCAATAGCGTCTCAAAGTTTTATTAGGCCATCGGAGGCCGAGCAAGAAGTTGTCTCGATTCACAATCCTTGGTCCGAGAACCTTCAGATTGGCAGAGGGGGCGGCTCTATAGCCTTTGGGACAGTCCCATCAGTTCGTTGTCATACTGGTCGGTCAGCACACGATAATTCACTGAATGGTACAATAATACCGAAATTTTGTCGATATTCGCTGTTTTTTGGTATCCCATCACTCAAAGCTAGTGGTCTCTCAGCATCCATGCCCTCGCCACGACAGAGGGGCTTACGATCGACAACGTGAAGGAAAGGGTCGATTCAGAAAAGTAAATATCAATATTAGCTCAGGAGGAGATCAAATCACTTAGTTTTTTGATATCCTCTCCGATTGAAGGGTCGTTCGGATAGATTTGCCTGACTTTCTCGCACTCGACCAGAGCATCTTTGATCATCTGTATGTTTCCTGCCTTTGCTATTTCGATCAAGGACGCTGCTTTCCTCGTGTGCAGTCTGGCTCGAGCTTTCCTGGCTGTTTCGTCTTCATCACATTCTCCGAATTCGCTAATAAGATCACGGCCTTGCTGATCCAATATGCTCAATCCTCTCGTTGAATCTTCTAGGGCATCATGGGGTCGGCCCAGCTTCAGATAGCATGCCGCCCTACTTGAATATAAGCTGTAAATTGATTTGGTAAATCCTTCTGGAACAACCCCTTGGACATCTCTTCCCATCTGATCGATGGGTGTAATCCGCTCGGTTTTGGGCTTACACAGGATTTCTCGGCTGAGCCTCAATCGACTTTGTATATGCATTCAAGGCGGCCTCGAAGTTTTGGGCCCGGAAGAACGTATCGGCTCTTTCTTTCAAGAATTTCGCTGATAATTATGTAACACGTATTTAGACCCATAGCGTATCAAGCGCAACTTTCATTGCTCAAGTTGTTGCTGCTGCTAGTCTCAAAACATACGTTGGTCTTCAATCGCTCCAGTGGCGACGGCTCCTCCAGATTCAACTCTCAGCTGCTCCTGGTATGTTTTGATCCGAGCAAGCCATTTTGCTGGGCATTATGGCATCCGAATCATGAAGATATTAGCCGATTACTCAAGCGATAGTGCTGCCTAATGCTCGGGCCCTGGAATTGTGTACAGATCCATGATTATCGAGGCGTATCGCATCCGCAGCTCACCGTCCTCGCTTTCACGCGCGACTTTGGTTGGGATGGAGCCTCTCGACGTGAATTCCACCTCAATATCTCTATTGGCTCCTCTTGGGGGTGGCCTTGATCGTGCTGCATCGTGTCAATGGTAGCAGCGTGAGCAACATCGAAGGATCCTGTAAATGACTTGGCCTCTCGCCTCTCGCCCTTCGCCCCTCGCCATCGCACGCGTGGCAAACGTGACGGATTCATTCCTCACTTGCCGACCCTTCCTACCCCGGCGTCGGACGGCTCTCCCAGATATCATTTCTCCAGTTCTAAAGCGGAGTAATCAAAAATAATCGCAAATCTATAACCATACCTTGTGGATACTGGTTGCGAAGCTGCTGTCGCACACGCGCCCGAATCACATCCATGTCAACCAGGTTTGAGTCGGAATCTGAATCGGCGTCTGGTGCTTCTACCACATCCTCCTGGCTATCGAATATGGCTTTACTCTTGATAATGGTATCTGGAGCAGCATAGCCACCGAGCTGAACCCCGCTACATGGGTTTGCTGGATTTGACGGGTCATATCGCTGTGTTCTGAAGATTACACCATCCGTTTTTTCATCAACCTCATCAAGTAATGTTTCCGAAGGAAGAGTTTTTGAATCTCGTTCGGGCTCGAGAGAGTCGCCAGCTTCTTCGTCGTCGCTGTAATCTCCAGCTCGCAATTGCGGCTTGATCTGCAAGGTAGTATCTGACAGAGACGCCTTTGCAGTCGGCACGACAATTATTCAGGAACGACGATGTGTCAGTGGGATTCACGCCCCATTCAATCGATGGTTCACCACAGACTGGGCCTGGAAACTCATCGCCGTACCAGGGCCAATGCGCGCTCCTCTGCCTTGAGACGCTGGATTTGCTCCCTCCCCTCTCTTTCAGCTTCAATTTGTTTCTTGACCAGAAAATGGTCTCGTTCTTTCTGTTGGCGAGCGCGCTCGGCACGATGCTTGAGATTAAGAGGATCGGAATCAGCATCGTCCCCCAAGGTTTCCTCAGGCTTGATCCTTGCCATGATTCAATCCACTTACGTGCTCGCCGTGCAAACGAAGCTCTCTCTCGCCTTGCTCGCGGCGCTGCCGAAGCTCATCCCTTGACTTGCACACAAAAGCGCACGTTGTCCACAATTTTTCCTCAGCCTTGCCAAGAACAAAAGACTTAGTTTCGGCATCAGAAACGCTCAAGGAGACGTTTGGACTTATTAATGTGAAGGGATACCTTTTGGAGGACCAGTTTGACACAGTCGTTTCCCAGGCTCGCCGTGGACGCATCATGGATGATCCTGTCGAATAAATCGATTTCGAAAAAATATGGAGCGAAATTGACTCGAAGATAAAGAGAATTGCCTGAATGGTATGCGACCCGACGCGTCAAAACAATATTCTCATCAGATTACCCAGCCAGAGGCGGAAACCATCAATAACCGCAACGTTTGCTCGCTCGCTCGAATCCACTCTGCAAGTTTACATACAGTATACATCGGTCTTGCTCGCGACCAGACCCTTGACCTCAACGTCTATGTAGATATGTGTTGATGTTTGCGTCCACTCAAACTCTTTTAAAATCACAGGCATCGTTGATCAGGACTACAGTGGATTGAAGCCCAGTACTTTCCTGGCGCTTTAGATGATGCGCGAATCGGACGAGGGTGGGAGGTGCTGGGATGGCCGGCTTGAACCTCTTCAGAATGCGCGGGAAGAGGCGGAGGCAGGTGGCTAGCGTGATGCCCGCGCTACCATGCGCCGCAATAGCATTCGGAGCGTATGTTTCTCGCGACCGCATCTGCGATGGCCAGCCCGCGCTGAGCCGGCATGTCTTGGCCCGCCCTCGAGCACATTTGGACACGTTGGGCAGATCGAGTGAATGCTTTGGTCATGCGCAAGTCCTGGTTCTTGTATCGCAGTATAAACAGGCTGCCAGAGGCGATCCCAATCGTATCAACGAAGGCCAATCGAGCGCCCTGGTGAGCTCTCCGTGGCGCGGTCTCGAACTGCCGATTCTCTGGCCCAGTTGTGGCCGACACGGCTCCTTGGCCAGCCAATGGCGTAGTTGTGGGATGGCGATGGATCCCGTGACCCGCGGCAGAAAAAAATGTTGGCCGCTCGTTCTGCCGGCCTGGACTCGGCCTTCCTGCGAACCTGGCCTCTGCACGAGCACCAACACCCCTCCGGACAGAATGAGTGCGCCGACGGACATGATTGCCATTCGAGTGGCCCTTATGGTCCTCTTTTACACGACTGTCCACAACTGTATCTCGGCCCTGGTGCCCTGGATTGTCCCCCACGGCGTCCTCAAGGAGCTCTGCCGACGGGACCGCATCATGATCCCTGAAAAGTATGTGTCCAGCGCTGCTTCTGGCTCACGGGGCATCGATTGAGGAGGATACACATTTTCGTTGTACGCTCATTCGTTCGTGCCACATTGATTAGTTAGAAACCAAGCTCATTCGTTGCCTGCCTGCGTCTTGTGCCCAAATCCTAGGTTTTGCTCCACACTGCACGCCGTCATCACAGGGACGCTTGCGGCATACGTTATCTTTGTCCAGAGGGAGTTCCATCAGCAGGACCAGCTCTACCATTACCCAAAGCTTCTCGATTGGGCCTTGCCACACCTGGCCGGATACTCTGTCTACGATATGGGCACCATGTACCTTCAAGGAGGATGGGGTCCCGAAGTCTGGCTCCATCATGCCATGGTAGGCCTTTGAAGCTCTGCTGCGATGGCTCGCCAAGAAGCTGGATACTGGATGCATGGCTTTGCAGCTCGCCAAAGTACGCAGAGCCAATGCCTTGCCAACCAACCTGGCAGAGCTGGCTGCCTCGACCTTGTCACAACCGGCTGCTTCTCAACTGACAACCGTCTCTGTCTCGCCCCTCGAATCGCAGACAACATATACACCTGTCGCGATGATGCTCTACCGCACTGGTGCAATCGGCGTGGTCTATCTGATGCTTGTCGAGTTCACGGCGCCGTTCCAGAACGGTGTCTGGTTCTACCAAAAGATCGTCCGACCTGCCCTCCATCCACATATTCCCAGGACCAGCTGGCGAAGCCACCATGACCCCGTTTATTCGATGCTTCTCTTTTTGCGGGCCATAAGCTTTGTCGTTTTCCGTGCCTGGGTATCGCTTCATTTGTGGAGGACTCTACCTTTCCTGCGGTCGCATCTAACCAACCCCAAACGCTGGTTTGGAGTTGCAGACCAGCCTGAGCCCTTCCTGATGCCCGGCTATCTCTTGCAGTATTGGGCTCTGGTGATGTTGAGCGGGGTGTGGATGGTGCTTACGTTTGCGGCTTGGGTACGAGAGTACCGGAAGCCTATTGGCAAGCTCCACTAATCAACTTCCACGATGAAGATATCCCGGGGAATCGACACAGTCATCCCGGGGGGGGGGCGACGACAACCTTCGCGCCACAGCGATGATTCGGCGTGAAGTGGGGAGACCGGCCATTTCAGTACTGCTGTCTTGGATTCGGCGACATGATGAATGATCAAAAATATAGAGGAGTTCTTGTAGCACATCTGGATCATCAAAAAATAGCCAGGCACTGCCGGACTTGACTGCCCCAGGGAAGTCCTCTGAGAGTGGGCTGCCCGAGAGTTGAATGGGTTGCAACTGCGCGCCGGCCCAGGACCAAACGGAACCTGGGCTTGATCTGATCTCTTGCGGCTGGACTCCCACTCCCTGGTGCCGCCAATCCCCCCCCCAATGGAGTCGTCAATCAGGAAAAACAAGATTCTACTCCTTGGCACAGAAGCCTGTCGCCACACCAGCGTACTCCGGCATCTATTGGCCCATGGCAGCTCGCCCGAGCAACCAGCGGGGGATGTCATCCATGACGACCACGCCAAGGTCGTTCCTTGGCGCCTCGAAACGAAATACTACGTTGCTGATCTCCAGATCTGGGTCGATCAGATCGACAGCAAACAAACGTTGGAGGAGGTCCAACAGTTTTGTGAGGCTGTCGGGAGTGCAATCGATGCGATCATCTATGTCTTTGACAAAACCGACGAGGTAAATTGCCTGCTCCAAGGGAACGCATTGGAGTGGCAGACGGCAGCCCGGTCCCTGGGTGATGATTATTCTGTCGGCGATGCTGGGATATGCGGCTCGTGAATGCAGCATCTCTCTCGCATCCCCCCCCACTCGCCTGCATCGCTCTCCCATCGCTCCTGCTGACTGACTCGCCTCTTGCCTAACGTTTGGATCCTCGACTGTCACTCTGGTAATTATCAAATTCTCAAGGCCGAGCTAGGCCTTTCGATCATCGAAAACTGGGCACATTTTGTTCACGAATACGAGCCCAACATTGCCCTCTGTGTGGCTTTCAGTAGCCGGCGCACTTGCGATCTGGATGCACCCAGCAGCGAAACTGAAGACTGGTGCATCGCCAATGGATTCGAATATATCGACATGGATCTCTCCCCAGCAGAACCGGATGAATTTGGTGAGCTACAACGGCGTCGTGGAGGCTGACTGTTCGTATCCAAGTGCTATCGCCATCGGCAGCGCTGTCTGCTTTGCACGGTGGATGGGCGATGGAATCTGCGCCCCTCGGCCCTCCCAACCAACCACCCAGGTCGCCCAACCTCCCCCTTCCGGCTTGCTCGCTCTCAGGTTATGTCGAAAAAGTCGGACTCGATCGGATCGTCGAGGCACTCGAGTCAAATCTGTGGGATGGACACCGCCCCAAGGGCACCAGGCCAGCCAACCGTCCCGCTTCAGCGGTGCCCATCGACCCAACGGAGCTGGGAAATGACGATTTTGGCCCATTTGTGCAGCCCAATCATGAGGGTGAGTTTATTCGGCTTATCTCGCTATGTCAAGGCCATATTACAAGTGTCCCAAACCACGGAGGACATGGAAAGCGATCAAGGGCGCCATGTCCTCCATCGTGCTTGAATCGGCGCTGTGTTGGCGAGGGTGATGTCCCCATAGCAAGTGATCCTCACGGCCGCTCTTGCTATCTCTGCTTGGGCAGTTTTCGATGGACTGGAAGGTAGATGTGCATCTGAGCTTGGCCCGATGAATGCCGGAAGGCGTCCTCTGCCTCGTGAACGAGGTGGAGCCATTGAACGACTCGACAGCCAGTAGCACATTGTCTCCTGAGTATGCTGAGACAAATGTATCGGTTGGTCTTTAGAGATGCCGACCGACGAGGATATAAGCAAGGTCCACGAACTTTTGTTTGGAGGGGCCGACAACGATGACTCGTTCGAGAGAACCCTGCAGACACTCCGGAACTTTCGTGGCAAGTATTGGACGCTCCGTTGTGGGCAGCCCGACAAAGCACCAGGAATGGTCCCTCCCACACACAACTGCTTATCGCGCTGCCCTCTGTAGATCATAGCGAGACCCTTGACGATAAGGACCGGCGGGCGTTTGCAGCCAAAATTGCCCTCTCCTTTGGCGTGGAGCTCGATCGCAGCTAGATTGGGCGGATCAAAGGCAGTCGAGGACAGACCCATCGGCTCTCTTCGGTGGCTGCCCAATCCATATGCTGATCGCTCGAGGGTGATGCATTTTGCTCGGTCGAAGGAAAGGTGCGACATGCATGTTCCCACAATGGCCCTATTGCCAACGAATCGCCAGTGATCATGCAGCTTGTTGTGAATGAAACGGGACAGCGATCTGCAGTCATCAGTGGCTGGCAGCACGATTGTTCCCAATCTTGGTTGGCAGCCGCTTTACTTTCATGAGTTTTGGGAGCACCGTTTTGGGGGCATCGTTTTGGGGGCATCGTTTTGAACACACTCGGCCGATCTCCTGTGGCGGCGATCGACTGCACTCAGCCCCGAGCCTCCTTGGTTGGTCATAGCATCGTTGGATGAGTGTGCATTCGGGTCCGGAAATCAACAACAGCCCCGACTCAAACCAGGATGTTCCGTTTCGAAATGGGTACGCTGTATTCGGATACTGATGATGAAACATGGGAGACAGCGAGGGTCTCCAAAATAGAATGGCGGGGGAGGCTACAATTCAAAGGAAGGCCGCTGTGCAACGGCGCAATCTGATCAGGCGTCAAGGGGGGGGGATGGAAGAAGCCGAGGCAATTGAGTCAGGTACGAGCCAAAAACGCACAGGCCTCGAAAACGGGGGGGGGTGAGCGGATGCTAGCAAGCTCCACGCCTCTACAAAAGCTGGACAGAGCGACCGATGCCGCGAGACGAGCGGGAATCGGGAGCTTGCCATGCGTCGGGCATCGGGATGGCATTTAGATCTTCATGTCGGCACAGACGGACTTGCGCAGGTGGGCCTTGTACTCGGCAATTGTGCCTTCCCACAGATGCGCGTTTTGGTTCTCGCACACCCAGATCTGCTCAGCAACTTGTGAGATGAGACGGAAGTCGTGCGAGACCAGAACGACGCCACCCTCAAACTCATTGATGGCCTCAGCGAGCGAGTCGATGGTTTCGATGTCGAGGGCGTTGGTGGGCTCATCAAAGAGGATAATGTTGGGGGCGTTGATCGAGAGCTCACAGAAGACAATGCGCGACTTTTGGCCGTCGGACAGCTGGTCGATGGGACAGAGCTGGTTGTTGCCAGTCAGACCGTACTGGCCAATCTTTTGTCGCCAGTACTGAATATCCTGCGGGAGGTCGGGGAACTTGGCTCGCAGATAGTCCACCGCCGAGAGGGACCCATCCAGTTGCTCAGCCGAATGCTGGTTGTACCGGCCGAGTTTGAGCGAGGTATGGCGGTTGACGCTGCCCGTGGTGGGAGAGAGCTCACCGGCCATGAGCTTCAGCAGGGTGGATTTGCCGGCACCGTTGGGGCCAACGAGAGCAATGCGCGAGTCGGTGTCGACGCCAAACTCCAGGTTCTTGTAGATGGCATTCTTCTTCAGGTTGCCGTCGTAGGCAAAGCTCATATCGTCAAAGGACAGGACCGGAGGAGGGAGCTTGCCGGAGCAGTCAAACTGGAATCGGAACTCGCGGTTCTTTTGGACCTTCTCGACGAGGCCATCGGCCTCCATTTTGTCCAGAATCTTTTGACGCGACTTGGCTTGGCGAACCAGGTTGGCGTAGGTACCGCAGGAGGCAATGAACTTTTTGATGTGGGCGATTTCATCCTGTTGCTTCTCATAGGCCTTCATCTGGTTGACCTCGAGCTCATACTTGGTCTTGACGTAAATGTCAAAGTTGCCACTGTAATGATCAAACTGCCGCTTGGGGTTGAGCTCGATAATGTTGGTGCAGACCTGTGTGTGGATGGGGTGTGAAAACCTGGTCAGCAAATGACGGGCACCGAACGCGACATGAATACCACTGCTGCGAGCACAGCTGGAGCTCCAAATCCGAAGCAGTCAGAGCAGGCAGACCCAAGCGGCAGCGCTCGTTGTAAGGTGGCTACCTCATTCAAAAAGTCAGTCGAGTGCGAGATGATGAGAAGAATGCGGTTGTATGTCTTCAGATACTCCTCGAGCCACACGCATGCTCCCAGGTCACTGTGCAACAGACCAGTGGGGCAAAAACAGTAACGTTAGCACTCCGCGCAGCTCAGCTGGCTTTTCAATCGGACCAATATCGATCAGGCATTGGCTGTGCACGCTGCAGCGTCTGAGTCTCGGGCTGGCAGTCGAGACTTGTGTAGGGCTCTACACTTGAGCAAGCTCGGCGGCACCCATCATACGTACAGATGGTTGGTGGGCTGATCGAGGAGAAGAAGCGTGGGCTTGACGAAGAGAGCGCGAGCCAAAGCAACACGCATTCTCCAGCCGCCAGACAGATCCTTGGTTTTAAAGTCCATCTTCTCCTTAGTGAAGCCGAGACCGTAGAGAATGGAAGCAGCACGGCTTTCAAAGGTTGAGGCATCAAGGCCGTCAATGCGCTCGTAAATGTCATCGAGCAAGGGAGATTCGGGATCCTCCTCGAGGATGGTCTCCATCAGCTTCTCGAGACGCTGTTGTTGAAACGAGTGGCAGGGGAGCGCAGAGGATAAGAGAGCGATTAGAATGTGTCGACAGAAGGGGCTACCAAAAAGACATGCCACCGGAATCGACCCTCAGCAAGGATAAAGACGATATACAGGCGACCCTGGGTTGACTGTCGGGCTGCAGCCTGTGTCGACACAGCCCCTACAGCGAATTTCTGACTATGCCACCTGCAGGCACGGACGCACAGCTTACCGCGAGCTCCTTGTTGGCATCGTCGATGACGGCATTCAGGGCGGTCATCTCCGTGGGGGGATACTCAGAGTTGAGCAGGAAGATATCGATATGGTCCGGAATGGGCACCTCGCGAGCGTACAGAGCCTCGAGGAAGGTTGACTTGCCCGACCCGTTGGGGCCAATGAGACCATACCGACGGCCAAAATTGAGCTCAAGGGTGGTCTCCTGGATGAGAACCTGGGAGAAATACGTCAGAGAGAACTGCTCGATCTTGATATCTGCGAAAAGACGACGGGTAAGATTCATGAGCAGAAAGTCACTCCAAAGAGACTATGGATATGCAGGGAGTGGCCACTTGAGGCGACATCAAATGCAGCAGCGTGGGCGATCGGACGAGCGGAGGGCCAACAAGCGCATCGCCAGCGAACGGAGAGCCATGCCAGCGAAAAGACAGCAGCTAAACCGGCGGTCGTTCTGGGGGCGCACGCCGGGCGAGCAAGCGAGCAAGCGAGCACGAAGCCAACGGAAGATACGTACCTCTGCTGTCCTTCTGACTGGTCAGGACACCGGAGCAGGATCGGTTGTTCTCGATCTTGACCTTGCCAACGCCGGCGGCCAGACTGTCGACTGACGAGTTCTTTGAGCTCTTTGCAGCCTTGGCAGACTTGGCAGACTTCTTTTCCTTAGGAGGCATTCTTTCGGCTTGGGCAATCAATCGACTGGGGATGGGCAGGAAAATCTGGAGGAGAGGGAGCGACCAAATCCACAGCGAGGATGCAGAGTCCCAAGGAGGCAATCGCAACAGCCGGAAGGCAGACCAGATGGCGGCGGGAGGGAGGGAGAGGTGGGATTGGCGGCGAAGCCGGGGCTATAAACCACGCCCTTGGGCTGACAAACCAAGAAAAAAAAAAAAACGGACGAAAAAAAAGGACAGGGCGGTGCGACGGGCGTGTGACGGTGCGCGCCAACAGGGCGACAAGGACGGCCAGAGGGCTTGGCGGCCTGCTGGTGCTGGGCAAACAATGCACCGACCAGACATGCAGAGCGACCGGGGATGGATGCATCGTGGTGCCCCGCAATGGCATGCATGGTGGGCTCAAGAATATGCAGTGCCCCTGCCCGTGTGGATATCTCGATCATGGTTCCCGAGCCGCAACGGTAGACATTCTCTCGAGTGATGTGCATTCATGACCAACAACAAAACAATCGCCCAGACTTTCAAACCACCCACAACAGCAGCGACAACGACAACGACAGCGACGGCGATGGTGATGGTGATGTTTTGACCGCCTCCGCTACGAGGGAAGGCGCTTAAGATCGTCCCACCCAGGCGGCCCTTGGCCCTTTTCCTCTGCCGACGTCGCGCTGACTTCGCTCCAGCTGGAGGAAGAGTCGCTTTGCGACGGCTGTCGACCTGCACCAAAGAGCGATGATACCGCGCCTCCGAGACTCCAGATGCCGCTCCCAACGGCGCCGGCGATGCCACGGACCACGGCCATCGCCTGACCCGGTAGTTCGATGTGACCTTCAAAGGCCTCGAGCTTTCCCTGACCGCAGATATATCCGATATGGCTTTCGCGCTGGGACGTGCACACGACCTCGTAGACGTCCAGCCCAAAGATCGACATGCGTTGGCTGACGAGACGGGCATCGGATTCGCTCGGCCATCGGCCATCCTCGTCACGGGCTCGGCCTCGATGTTCGCTGATGCAACGGCGGATCGTCTCGGCCAGATCGGACAGGTCGGCCTGCACGCCGCTTCCGGCCTCTGCAAACAGCAGATGCGGGGGTCGCAGTCGAAAGCCATTGGATACGGCATCTTGGAAGAGAATCCGTTTGCTCTCGTAGCCGTCCACCAAAGCACGAGGAAACTTTGGAATCGACACGCTGCATACGTGTGTCGAAACATGGTTGCTGCCGCCGGGGGGTGCCGTCTCCTTCAATAGCACAATGCCTTTTGCCGAATCCACGGCCCGTCTGGATTTGATGACCAGGTGGCTGGTAACGGAGCCGTGGCCGTCGCAAGTGGAACAGTCCTTTCGTCCGATCCCTCCGCATTCCTGACACCGTGCCCGACCACTTCCGCGGCAATTTGAGCATGGCTCTGTTTTGGTGCTGTCTTTGGAGGATTCGGTTTGGGCACCAGTTCCTTTGCAGCTCAAACATGAGGTCCGCCCGGTGGTGCGGCAGCCGGCGCAGGGCTTGGATCCAGCTCCTGCGCAGGTGCCGCATATCGACGTAATCAACGTCTCGGGAATGTCCTTGCGATGCTCCCCTTTAAAGGCAAGAACATACGGTAGGGAGCTGCCGTTATTCACCAGCGACAAAAAGACAAAAGACAAACACAAAATACACCCAACACAGCAGTGCCTATCGTATACGTTATGGCTCGCCGCAGCCGACTGTCAAGATACGAACAATGACCCACCTGTGGTCCATCCAGCCGCAGCCTCATGACCAGTGCTGTCCCATAGGGCATTGGTGTCCTCGGTCTGCTGAAAATCACTGCCGTTGAAATTGACTCGCCCATTCCAAAGCGACTGGGTCATGATTCCAGGGGGTCGCTCGTTGTTGGAGGCTCGGATGCGGGGATCCCAATCCGTGTGCCGCTTGGAGTTGGGCTGAACCTTCTCCTCGAGATTTCGCTCCTCCACGAGCGATTCCACAACGACGTAGAGACACGAGTAGGGCAGTACTCGAGAGACTTCACTCTTTTGAACTGCTGAAGTATCGGTGAGGCCCCACCAGGAATCGCGGAGCTTGCGGGTCAGGACAAACTTGATCATCTCGTCGGTGAGAAGGTCAGGGACGGTTGTTATCACTGGCGGCACGACGAGCTGGCCCTGTCCATACTGGACAGTCTGGTTGTCCTGGAGAGGCACAGCCATCATTTCGGTGCGCCGATGCGTATTAGGTGTTGGTGGAGCGGTCGTGAGGGAGCTGCTTGCCAAGCTTTCCTGCAAATCCACCCGAAAAGTGGTTTCCGGATATGCGAACCGATCGTCGTATGCAGGGAGGTCGTCGGATCCTCCGACATTGTCTTCCGCTAAGGGTCTAATCATGGCGAGATCGAGACACACCCGGTGTTGATATTTAGCGTTCGTTTAGGACCGGCGCGGACGGATGGAGAGTCGATGTCAGGGTACCGACAGGGTCCAGAGGATACTGCAGGCGGGGACGAAGGCGGGAGGCAGGGCCGGCTCGGGGATTTGAAGGACGGAGGCGGCCTTGGCGCGGCGTGGCGCATCCGCCAAGACAGGACATGGTACGTCCCAATGGAACCCTCCTTGATGGACACCGCTCGCTGGTCACACCTCCGCCATGGTATTTGGATTTCCCATTCCTCTTGAGAGATTGTATATTGATCGCCTGCGTTTTGCTGAGAAAGGGACACCATGACAGGCTCGCCGGTGTTCAAATCTGCCCCGATCGTGATGCATCCGGGCTCCGCCGTGCCCCCATCTTGATACCCTCGAGAGATCGATACGGATGAAAGCGCACAGGATCCGAAAGCTTCATCATCCATTCGCCTTGATAAGCGTCATAGCTGCATATCAAACAGCCCTGGATCATGAGGAGCTGCAGGACCGCCAGTATAAGCTCGTTGCTGTAGCCCTACTCGGTGGTAAACCGATTCAAGTTCCGATATAGTTAGCGCGATAGAAGCGTCGAGGAGGGAGCAATGATTTGTTGCCCAAAAGTTTGGTGGATTGTCGGGTGCGTAGCATTTGCATGCATATGCAATGCGTGAAGCATTTATCTGTCATGCGAATGCGCTCATGAAGGCAGAATGGGCACAGCGACATTTTGCAGTCGCGCGTTGCCAAGTAATAATAACAACGCTGCAGATGCCTGGAAAACATATGGATCGCTCACCCGGAGCTGCATTTCTTGAACGAGCTTGTTATGCGCGATTTCCTTTAGACCAATGAGCCGAATTGCAAACTGAACAGCGCCCAGGCTCTCGCATGGGAGCTCCGATATGGACGCTGTGGAATAATCGAGGGTACCCAAACGCCTCGCACTGCATCAGCAGCACGCAAATCCAGCCACTGTACCTCCTCCTCCTCCTCCCCAGTTCCTACACTGGCAAGAAGCATCGCATGGGCACCCAACCAACACGGTGTTGGAACGATACCAACGCTGCCACAACGAAACCAACGACACCGCGGCAGATAATAGCGACGAAAGAATACTTGCTCTGGTGCCCCTTCCACCCCCAATGGAACTGCAGGGCATGAACTCAGAAGGCTCTCGACATACCCGTTCGCTTGATGGACTTTTGGTCGGACCGCACGATGGCTGGATGCGATCCGAAGCGGGGATTGCGCGTCATTGAGTAGGGGGCAGAGTTCCGATAGCTTCAAATTTGGTAGTCTGGTCCGAGGACGAGCGAGATTGCCGCACGCATCCACCAATACAAGCGAATACACTATGCCGCCGAAGCGTCTCGGCGTCCAAGGAAGCTCTGCTTCCCGCTTGAGGGCGCCGAGCGGCCCGCCAACATGAACATCACGTGAAATTCCTGCTATACATTCGCCATGTGTTCGATGGAGACATGCTGGACAAACAGCTGTACTTCAGCCTGACCCGACGACGGCGATTCAAGCAACTCGATCTCCATATGTGCTCACAGTGCCGGGAAGCCAAGCGACTCGAGAAAGCCGAGTATCTCGATATCGATACACCATGGAATTGTCCAGAGGGTCGAGTGGATGCACCACACAAAGAGATTGCCAGCCAGGATGGGTGACAGTCACACGACTTGCTCACTTGAGCCTATGGATCAGCAGAAAGTGACTGTCCCGTTTCTTTCTGGGCTGACTGTAGTGCGTGTATTCGGTCCTCGGGCAGTTCAATACATGGTGTGGATTATCAACATCAACGTGGCCAGGATGAACGAGTTGTTTGGCGAGTGTCTCAGCCTTGCCTCCACGGCATGGGTGGTTTTTATAAATGACACATGCGGAGGGGCCTCGTTTCATTTTGCGGACGCCGTATCTTGGCACCAACGGAACAGATCCCAGGCTCGAACATGTTCTCATTTAGTGGACCATGCCACCGACCGCTCGAGACCAGGGATCATCCTAGACGCGGGATGAAAACTCGTCCAGGACTTGCTGGAACTTGCGGTTTTGGCCTGTGATGGGATCGAGGATGAGTGAGAAGAGCTTGGGCGAATGCATGTATGAGCTCACAGTCAAACTTGTGCAAGATCTCCTTGGTAATCAGCCGGCCCAAACGATGGGCATGTGGGATGCTGGCCAACAGTAAACACGCATGCCCATTCTTGGCGCAACAACAGCCATTGATCCAATCATTCAGCAATCCAAGGATTCAAGCAGCATACCCAGGATCAGGAGGACTTCTCGCAGCAGCGCCTTGCGCTCCTCGGCCTGCAATTAGTGTGCACGAATCAGCTCTGTATTCTCTATGAGGACAGATAAAGCGGCGCTGCCGTGATTCACATCAACATACCCGCTGGTCTCCGTGATATCCGGCTGTTTGGACTCCTGGCGGATGAGGGCTGGGTGAATGTGTTCTGAGGGACAAAACCCATATTTGGTAAGCGCACCCGCTACTCCAATCTCGGCTCCAATCAAGCCTCCACCGACATGTTAAAATGCTTACTCATGAATCAGGCGGCGACACAGTTCCGCAGCTTTGATCGCCACGCTTTCATCCACAATTGCATGGGCGTAAGCCTTGATCCAGGTATCGTAATCGCGATCCCGCCCGAGCATCTCAAGCGTCGAGAGGTATTCCTTTGGTCGATTGGCGTTAGTGAAGGGCCGTATCAAACCTGAGCGCTCGTGGCCATTGAATCCCTTGTCAATGCCGGTTCTCGAACAACAAAGCGGGCTGCCTTACCTCGATTTCTGACAGCTTCTTGCGGCTAGCTGATTCGTGCCCTTCCTTTGGAAGACGAACATGCATCCACACTCGCATCCTTGAACAAAACACATACTGCAGCCCGTTCGAGAGCACGATTTTGGGGTTTCCGTTGTTCATGACGGCAACACGCGATATGTCGCTGGTCGAGCCGCCAGATACCCTCGCGACTTCGCTGCCTCGGCTGGATATCAAGTGAATCATGGACTCTTTGGACACCACGCAGTCCAGAGTCGAGAGATTCCTTGGGCCGGATAGTCATACAGTTCTTCAATGAATAAATGCCGCACATCCTACCGAGGTCGCGCAAGGGCTCCTCTCGATCTCTGACTGCCACAGCGTGGATCCGCGGGCCGACTTACCACACACTGACATGTCCTTCCGCTGTCAGCACCATCAGATACGGTCCGCTGGCACTCATAAATACGGAAGGCGAGCCGAGCATGAGTCGCGGCAAAAGTCTACCAGAAAAAAACGGAGATACAGTTGTTGGGCATCAAGCCATGAAAGGCATTTTCACAGGAAAGCACCCATCGCCGGGAATCCTTGACATCAATCCAAATTAGGCCCAGCAATCTTACCTTCGTCCGGAGAGCGAATAACAAACGACGCTGCCGTCGCTGCAGCCCGCTGCTATATGACAATAGCTGCCGACGATATGCAGGACGCTTGCGGGTACATGATCGTTCCATAAGACCGTGTCATTCTTGCCCACCGAGAGAGAGGCTGTGATTCCACATCGTGAGAAACCGATCGGGTGCCAAGGGTCTTGGCCCCTTTTGTGCAAGGATCAGTCAGACATACCTCCAGAAACGTCATTCTTGCACTGAACCGTGATCCGATCCGGCAAAGTCTGTGAAGGCTTGCTAATGTCGACGAGAACCTTCAATCGCTCTCGGGGAGCAGGGACCGCCAAGATTGCTGGTGGCTCACGGACAGAGATGGTTGGTAGGATATATGTGCATCGGAGGCTCGGTTCCTGGAGCCAATTTTCGCATGAGCGTTGACAGAAAGCATATCCTTTGGTCCACCTCGAAAGGCACAGCGCGGACGATCACATATTGCACAGCCTTGTGTTCGTACCTCGCCGCCGAGAGCGACTCGCTTTTCGCCTCCACCGTCCTCAGCCGACCGGCGCTTTGCTACAGCAGGTGTTCCAGCGTTCGAAATCTGAGCAAATTAGGCCGATCGCGTTAAAGCTCTGATCATAGGCTCTTGATTGTGCTACTTGCATATGAATCATCCGTGCCAGGGTTAGCAAGCCCTGAGCCTTTAGTCCCTTTTCTGTCGCTCAGTTGGACAGTCACCAAGGATAGAACAAAGGCACAGACACATGTACATAGCGAGCAACGTGCAAACCTCGGTGCTGATTGGAGCGTGACTGGACAGAGAAGTTGTGGCGATCGTGTTAATAAGCGTATCGACGATGCCTGTAAGTACCCCCTATATTCATAGAGTGGATAGTCTACCTCGAGAGAGATACCGGCGTGATGCGACGCTTCCCACGAACTGTGGTGACCGTTTGTTGAGAGAGTATGGTTGAAATGCTGGTTGTGTCGGCTCCTGAAATCGGAGTGGGCGCTTCGACAACCCTCGCATTTTGCTGTCCGACAGGCACTTGAGGTGCTATCGCCAGAGCAGGGATGACTTGTTCTGGCACAGTGTCTGAAACGGGTCGTGAAAGGGAGGAGGCTGCCTCCTCTCTCTCCAGTTGCATCTCAGACTCGACAATAACGCCGCTTCTTTGACCAAACCCATACTTGGAGAGCAACTCGGACTAGGTAAAACGAATTCCATGTCAGCTCCCGCCACCGCACCGGGCGGACTCAGTCGGCGAACTCGGTCGGTATGCAGCTGTTGTTTACCTTCTCCTCGACCGAGAGCGATCGGCCCAGCTCCTCTTTGGAAAAGGTCAGAGCGGCAACGGTCCCATCGTAGGACGATGCGAGCAGCGTGTATCCATCGTAGCTCCTGTCGAGGGACATATTGTTGGTGCTCTCAGTGTCGTATGACAGTATGCGGTCTCAAGAAAAGATGCGGGTGCAATGTCGCCTACCAAGTGAGGTCTATAACGCTGTGCTGGAACACATTTTGAAAGACAGAGATGGCGCTGCCGTGCAGGGACCACCAGATTGAGATGCCGCTGTCTTGGCTGCCAAGGGCGCAAATGCACGGGAACTTTTGCTCGGGTTTATCCCCTTGGTTGCTGGACTCGGCGACGGACTCAAAGACCAAGGGATTGAATGCCTGTGATGAACCATGCCGTCATATGGACCAAGCAGTGAGCAAACAGGGGCAACAAGCGGGCATAAGCGAGTTCGGTACAACCCTCGGGCAGGAGCAAGCCCAACGCGAGATGGTGTAAACCGGTGGAGCAACTCACTGCAACTTCGATAGGGGCACCATGACCGATCAGTTTGATGTCCGAGTTCCTCCAATCTTCCCGCAGAATGACTGGGGCAACCGGAACGCCTCCGCTCTCCCCGCCGGCGGTGATGATGAAAGCACCGTCTGGGGACCAGCTGTGCATGGATAGGAGATAGGCAGATATGCTGTCAGCGTCCATGATGCTTGCAGGGGTACGAGTATGCCACAAGCGCTTACGGTCTAGTAGCATGGAATCCGCCCTTCCCAAACGGCGCGACAGGGCTCGAACTGGCTGTGTGTGATATCGGCGCACTTTCCAGACTCAAAGCCGTTGGGCGGTGCCACTCACCTGAGACGCCGGTAAAATGTATTTGCTGCAGCCTGCCGATAAGGCTCGGATATCTCCTTTTCCAAAGTCCAATCCGAGGTTTTCCATATCTTGAGGGTTTTGTCGTCGGACTAGTGAGGCGAAGTGACCGATTAAGATGCTAATCGACGTGCCTCGGATGGAATGCGGGTCACTAAAAGCCCATCGATATCAAAGGTTTGTTGCGCCGACGGCAATGTGGCCGGTGGGCCAAACCCCAACTCTATGACCCATCGGTGCAAATCCACCAAGTACCATTTCTGACCTGAGCAGCCCAGAGGTTCCAGCGAAACCAGACCCACTGCACCTTCGGTCATAAATCGTCACTCGCCCCCCCCTCCACATCAGAAACGAGGTCCTTGTGGCTTGGTGAAAATGGCATGACCAAGCACGAACCTGGGTGGCCAGATAGTTGCCAACAGGGTCCCAAGTTAGCCCCTTCACAAAACCGTTGTGGGCTTCAACTCTCTTGAGGTAGCCTGTTTCCGGCATGACAAACAGAGACAGCGTGAGCGACATGCCAGAGTCCAGGTCGTCCGGGCGAATCTTGTCGGAATGCATGAAGCTGATGTGTCGACTGGCGTTACCAAATGTGTCGGTGCTCCAAATATGGACAGCGCCCTCGAGTCCACACGATGCAAGATATCGATTGTCTGGCGACCAGCCAAGATCGATGACATCTGGGGTGCTGTCAACGGTTAATTGAAGAGATCGATGTGGATGGCGACAGGCATCAAAGAGCGGCATCCATACCGCTGGATATGCCTTGTCGAAGAACACGATATGGCTTCCAGATCTCTGAGCTCGCCGCTTCGCCGAGGTTCGACGTTAATGCTCCTGGAGCATGGCTCGACTGGCTGACATGAGTACCCAGCAGTCAGCAACCAACCAACAACGAAGAAGTCCGATCTGTCGGCCCGTGGTGCTGCCTGGAAACGAGCACACCGACAGCGTCGTACCCACTGTAGGCCCAAATGACAATGCTTCTATCGTCCGAGCCAGAGGCGAGATATTTTCCATCGTTGTTGGACCACCGAACGCACATTACCGGGCCTGGGTACGCATGTCAGGGTATGCATGTCAGTATGCACGTTGGGGTATGCATAGCAGGGTATCCAGCATGGTGCGGCATGGTGGAGCATGGTGCAGCATCCAAAACAATCCGAGCGTTGCCGGCGACCACTGACCGCTGTGGCAGCAGAGCGTCGACAGTGGAAGTCGGGCGCGCTGATTGCGTTCGTTGTTGGCATCCAGGACGGGAGCAAGATCCCAGATCTTGACTTTGGCATCTGGATGGACCGTTTGCACCGACATCGCCATCCATACGATCCGACAATGTCCGACGTGGTGACAGCGCGACCGATGCCATGCCAAGCGTAGCAGTTGTTAGAAGGCGGTGCATTTGGGCTGCGTTCTGCCGATCGTCGGTTTTGTGCAAGATATGGGCGGGCCATGGTCTGCATCGAGCTTGGATACCCTGGGATCCTGTGGCGAACTTTGGCAAACGAGGATGGGCGTGGATCGAGTAGATAGGCAGCCGCCGGAGCGGATTCCGGTCATAGGCACTCTCGCTCGCCTCTTGATGGCCGACCCACGACGGATTCAGAATCAGCATTGCTGGCAATGGGTGCGGTCGATGGGTGCGTCGATCTGGGGTCTGGTCGATCTGGCCTTGAACCAAGTCGCATCTCGGCGAGAACAGCGAGAACAGCGAGAGGGGAGACATGTGATTGGCTCGTGACTTGCCCGCGCTCGTCCCGGTTTCAAGCATCGGCAGCACAACTGTGCCGCCAACCGGGAGGGCTGTGGTTGAGTCACGTGAGAGGCAGGTGGGCTGGCGTACAAATAGCCTTCGTGGGCGGCAGACATGCTTGGTCCTTCCCACAGAATTTTCAGCCGGTGGGTATCGGGAAGCTCTGACGATGCGGCATACGAGGCGCGGACGATGGTGGCCACCAACATCCATCCATCCATCCATGCATCCATCCATCCATCCACCCATCCATCCATCCATCCATCCACCCATCTGTTCATGCACTGGTTGTGTGTGTGTGTGTTTGTGTCCTGTTGTCTGCTGCTGTCGTCGATCGGCCATAAAGTGAAGACTTGGGCAACGTGCCAACGGAGAGCTTCGCCCAACGTAATCCAAGTGATGGACTGGACTGGACTGGACCGGACTGGGCCGGACTGGTCAAATCCGAGACCCGCACGGCCTCGCGACTGGCTTCCTCGATTGGAACAGCGCAACATTTGATCATGACAGCCACGCACGCGGGGACGCAGCGGATGATAAGCATGATAATGATAATGACAACGGCGACAGCAGCAGACTCGTGGCAACCACGGAATGGGTCGATTGGATCCAAGGCGGCACAGTGCAACAGCCGTCCCCACGATCATACTCACCCAACGACATTTTGCACCCCAACAGAGGTCTTTAAATTCTCACACCCCTTGAACACGTACAGAAAGATGTCAAAGGGAGACGCTCGCGCCAAGAAGGAAGCCTACTTCCAAAAGCTTGAACAGCTTCTCGAGGAGTACCCCTCCATCTTCATTGTCAACGTCGACAATGTCGGCTCCAACCAGATGCACCAGATCCGCCAGTCTCTGCGCGGCAGTGCTGTCATTCTCATGGGCAAGAACACCATGGTCCGCTGTGCTCTTCGCAAGAAGGTTGTCGAGAACCCCAGCTACGAGCACCTCCTCAAGGAGGTCGTTGGCAACGTCGGCTTCGTCTTCACCAAGGGCGACCTGAAGGAAACCCGCGAGAAGATCCTCGCCAACCGAGTCCGTGCCCCTGCCAAGGCCGGTGCCCTCGCTCCCGTCGATGTCCACGTCCCCGCCGGCAACACCGGCATGGAACCCGGCAAGACCTCGTTCTTCCAGGCTCTCGGTATCCCCACCAAGATTGCCCGTGGTACCATCGAAATCGTCAACGATGTCCACCTCGTCAAGGCCGGCAGCCGTGTCGGTCCCTCCGAGGCTACCCTCCTCAACATGCTCAACATCTCTCCCTTCACCTACGGTCTCTCCGTCGTCAACGTCTTCTCCGATGGCGCCGTCTTCAGCGCCTCTCTCCTTGACGTTGAGGAGGAGTCCCTCATCAAGAACCTGGTCACTGGTATCGCCACCATTGCCTCGCTCTCCCTCGCCATCGGCTTCCCCACCGTTGCTGCCGTCCCCCACATCCTCGTCAACGGCTACAAGAACCTTATTGCCGTTGCCCTCGCTTCCGAGGTCCAGCTCGAGGCTGCTGACAAGGTAAGGTGTCGTCTGGTCGAGTTGCACGAGGTGGAGGATATGGGGAGAGTGCGGGACACATCACCGATGATTAGACACTGTTCGGACCCAACCATGGCGATTTCCAAAATCATACACTCTAATTTTTACATGAGATGATGAGCCTGCACCCTGGCGCGCGCTCCATGCACTGCTGAGCACACGATGCATTGATTCTGACCTTGCTCTTCTGGCGCATGCTTGCGTCTGTCGCTCCTCAACAGATCAAGGAGATCCTTGCTGACCCCAGCAAGTTCGCCGCCCTTGCTGCTGCCGCTGCCCCCGCCGAGGCTGCTGCCCCCGCTGCTGCTGCTGCCGCTGCTGCCCCTGCCAAGGCTGAGGAGCCCGAGGAGGAGGAGGACGATGACATGGGCTTCGGTCTCTTCGACTAAGCGTGTTTTCGAGAATACAGACACTTTTTGCATCTGGAGCTGTGAGTGGCAGTCTTGTCCATTGCGAGGCGTGTCTGGTGGACGATGCTGCCGTGATGGTGTTTGTGGTGGGCGTTGCGGTCGTGCGCCTGCCTGTCCCTGTGGACTGCGTTGCCGCTGCTATCTGCAATCATGCGCTCAAACCCAGGCATGGCGCCGTCCTGCTGCACCCACCCACCCAAATTTTTTGTCGTGCGAGTCTGATGACAAGCTGCGCAGCCATCCCATCCGCCCGCAAGAAAAAGCCCCCTTTGGCTTGCACTGCTCCGCGCTCCGTTGCCCCGCCTTCCCCCATCCCAACCACCCAGCCGCCCGACAGGCCCTCCTCTACTACAACGCCGGCCAGGCACCCAGGATCGCTCAAAAGCCGCTGTATTCCCGCCGTCCAAGACGCACCCTCTCGCCTCTCGCTCTTTACTCGATTCAATCCTTGGCCATGTCGGACTGGTCTACTGATTCCTGGAGATCCAAGAACGTCCATCAGGACGTTATCTACGAAAACCAGCCCGAGCTTGACTCGGTCCTCCAGAAGCTGGGTCGCCTCCCTCCGCTGGTGGCCGCCGAGGAGGTGCGGATCACTTCCCTTCTTTGACACCTATGGGTGATCGCGCAGTCGGCTGGCATCCGTATATCTGTCTTCGGCCACTCGTGCTTATTCCACCACTCGTGCTCATTCCACCACTCGTCTCACTGCTCGCGCTTCCAGATCTCCAAGCTCAAGCACCAGCTCGCGGAAGTTGCTGCCGGCAAGAGCTTCCTGCTGCAGGGCGGCGACTGCGCCGAGTTGTTCGACTATTGTGCCAAGGTATGTACTGCCGCTTTCGCTTCGTGCGCCAGCACCAGCACCAGCGCCAATAGCCACATCGCCGATGGCTGTCATCCGTCTGGCCTCCCTCGGTTGGCAGGAACGAGCAATTTGGCTGGTTTCGCAGCTGCCGCGCCTCGATCCTGCTCCACCCCACTCCTCCGATGCCGACCCGCACACCCACTGGCTGTTGCTCTCGGCTTACATGTGCTCCGGCTCTTCCTTGACTCCCAGGACCCAATCGAGAACAAACTCAAGGTCCTTTTGCAAATGTCGCTCATCCTGACTTGGGGTGGGCGCACGCCCGTGGTTCGCATCGCCCGCATGGCGGGACAGTACGCAAAGCCCCGATCGAAGCCGATGGAGGTCATTGACGGCGTCGAGTACCACGCCTTCCGTGGAGACAACGTCAACGGCATCGATCTTTCCGATCGCAAGCCCGATCCCCAGCGTCTCCTGGGTGCCTACTTCCACTCCGCAGCCACGGTCAATTATGTGCGCTCGCTCTTGTCCAACGGCTTTGCTGATCTCCATCACCCTGACAACTGGAACCTCGACAACTGGAACCTGGAGCATGTCGTCTGCCCCCGTGTCCGCCAAGAGTACCAGTACATTCTCGACCGCCTGAGCGATACGATCGAGTTCATGAAGGTCACGGGTGCTGATAACACGTCGGTGCAGTCCTTCAACACTGTCGACATGTTCATGTCCCACGAAGGCCTGCTGCTCGAGTACGAATCCAGACTCACGCGAGAGGCCAAGGACGGCAAGCACTACAATCTCGGCACCCACTTCTTGTGGATCGGCGATCGCACCCGCCAGCTTGACGGCGGTCATATCGAATACTTCAGAGGAATCGAGAACCCCATCGGCATCAAGTGCGGTCCTTCGCTTCAACCGGATGAACTCGTGGCCCTGCTGGATGCCCTCAACCCCACCTACGAGGCTGGTAGGCTAGCGCCCTCGAGATACCTGAGTCTGTCCATCCCAGACCGAGCTACTCTGGTCTGGAGGGTCCGGCGGTGCAAGTCTTTGTCCACGCTCTTCTCACATGCCCATCGCTGCCCCCTCCCGTATCAGGAAAAATCACTCTGATTACCCGCTATGGCCATGAAAAGATCGCCGACTATCTCCCCAGCCACATCCAAGCCGTCCAGAAAACCCCGCACTGGGGCAAGGTGGTCTGGTGCTGCGATCCCATGCACGGCAACACCGAAACCGTTCAGGGCGTCAAGACTCGCCGTTTCGATCACATTGTCTCGGTGAGTCCTTCGTCGCTGACTTGACTGCCACTCGAACATGATATACCCAGGCACACATTCGGGAACTCATCGGTGCCAATGATCTCCGCCCTCCAGGAGCTCGGCCATGCCTTCCGACTGCACAAGGAGAACAATTCCAGGCTGGGCGGTGTGCACTTTGAGCTCACCGGCGATCGCGTCACCGAGGCCCTCGGTGGATCGATGCAACTTTCCGAAGAGGATCTCTCCCGCAACTATCAGACTTTCTGCGATCCTCGGTAAGCCACCTCGGCGACGTTGTGCATCTGGCCACCGCTTCCCCGTGCTACTCCAGCGCCAATCTGCGCCTCGCTTTGATTGACCACCGATCTGCTCTGTCCAACGCAGGCTTAACTACGAGCAATCCATGGATGTTGCCTTTTTGATCGCCAAGTACTACCAGGATGAGCGCAATCCTCTGATCCGCTTGTAGAGACCCGGCTGCGCGCGGGTGATCGACCTGAAGCCTGACCATCTTGCTTCCGTATGCGGGTTGCGTGCAAGGGCTCCTGGGCCTTCGATCGTGCAGCCCCTGCCCTTATTTGTAGCTTTCCTTTCTCTTGTACCTCTTGCTTTGCCTGCACCCATCGCGCTGGATGGTGCCCTATGCTTGAGACATGTCCTTGAACAAATTCTGTATTGTGACACTAGCTGAACCCACAAGTTCGGTCGGTATTGCCTCCAGTGATGTCTTTCAAGGTCGGCACCGGACTCTTGCTCCCAATGGCTGAGCAGTCGTTGGATTCATCTCGCCAGTCCTGAATCGACAGGCGACCTCGGAAGCAACTCTACTTCCTTCCTTTCTTGACGGGTCCTTTGGCAACGGGGGTGGACTGGCCAAAGAGGAGTGGTTTGATCTAACAAGTGCGCCGGCACCGGCATCGCCGTACAACCATGCGATCAAGCAATTCGGGTGAGTCAGATCCGTGTGTCAGATCTGTGTGTCAGAACGTCGTCGGACGACCGTTCTCACCGCTCGCCTCCACCCAGATCAAGCGCCTATGATATGGCGTGTTGATCACCCAGCCATCAGAGACACCGCTCTGGCGACCCTGAATGCCGTCCTCGGCAACGCAGGAAGCTGGCTTACCTGGCTCCACAGCTTGTAGACAGCATAGCCAGGAATCACTGTGGATAACGCACGTTGGAGCTCGTGAGCCATCTGTGCTTGGCCAGGAGCAATCGAGGGACAGAAGCAGCGCCTCGGGCTCCTGATCGCATTATTACAGCAACAATACTTACCAAGGAACGTCCACCAGAAGTAGTCCGAGATAAAGGCCGAGGTGATCAGGACGAAGAGCCCAATATAGATCACATCAAACACTGACCAAGGCGACGGCAATTAGACCGGGGACGAGCTGCTGCTGAGTATCCCGATAATACAATTGAATTGGCCGCCGCGCCGCCGCTCTCTCGATGCATGTGCCCTCTCGATGCATGTGCCCTTTCGATGTATGTGCCCTCGGCTGGGCCAACCAAGGCCAAATCCAAGGCCAAATCCAAAGCCAAATCCAAACCACAGAGGAGCAACGTGTCTGCAGCAAGCACTCACTGTAGGCAATCATGCCCTCGCTCTTCAGGTCTGCTCCGCCATCTCGGACGACGTTGCTTCCAGTCTCGTAGCTTGGGCGAGAGAATGCTTGCAGCTGAGTGTAGATGAAGAACAAAGATCCCTCAACAAGCACAAAACCGACAATGTGCCAGATCGAGATGGAGCTGTAGCGCACGGCGAATCGCCAGATGATATAGATCAGACTGGCAATGCCGAGCTGCAGCTGCAGATCCGAGAGGATCTTTGCATTCTGTGCCATAATCTTCTTGGCCGATTCCTTTGCCTGAACCCCGTCGGGCCAAAGATCGACACATGTGCGGCGGATGAGGCCCGGATTGTCAGCATCGATCGCCAGCCGCGAGCGATTCCAGCAGATTGTGGGCGATGGCACCTGCGATTCAGATCACTCATACCACCGCTGCGTCCTCGCACGATGGAGCAGTGCCTTCTTACCATGGCTCGCTCGTTGGATGTTGCAGATGGATGGCGAGACAGTCCAGCGACTGTCGGCCAGCCGCTGTTTCTGGAACTCAAGTCTGCAACCTCCCCGTCTCGCCTCGCCTCGGCTGGGCGAGAAGAAGCGGGGACGAGCGAGAACAAAGTGCTGGCTTTTGGCTTGATTCTGAGGTTGTCTTGCGATCATCGACATTGCGCCGACGCTGCCCTGATGGCTCTCCCCAGCGCCTCGGTGTCCCTGCAGACACAACCGCCATGCTCCATCAGCATCCAGCAATCCCAGGTTGCTGCAGGCGAAACCCAGCTCGCCCCGCTCGCTCAGCTGGTTGCTGATCTGGGACAGCTCAAAGCATCGGTCAACTCGCATCTCACCCGGCACATCGAGGTATACGAGGCCGGCATTGCCGAGCAGGAAGCAGATAACGACGACGATGGGGATAGCGATGAGGATGATGATCTTCAAGACGACAGCAATCGTGGCAATCGTGGCGATCGTGGCGACAAGGCAAGTACTTCTGGCCAAGACGAGATCAGCCCATCGGCGCCCAAAAAGCCCCGGACCCACTGAGGGCCTTTCCAGCGATCAGACACCAGCCCGCCTCCAAACCAACCGGCATCGATCCATCACCACAGGCCTAGTTTCCTTCTTGCTCGCTGTCGCGCCGAGCAGCCCTGGCCAGCGGCCGCAATCACAGTCAAGTTGCTTCCTTTGGACGAACCAGCCACCCTTTTTCGACTGGCAGTGGAACAGATTTACGGCGCTCGCCACAACCCTGAACGGACGGCCAGTTGGCGGCCAGTGATCATTTTGTACGGATGCTGAATATACGCACTCTCATCGCCCATCACAGCCGGTGTGGGGCCATCACGGGCTGGGTCTTGGTGAATGCGGCGCCTGGAAGGTGTGCGGACGCCGATCAATGCATGACATCATCTGGCTGTTCACGTGGCTGGGGCTCTCTCTCTCTGCAGTTGGAATCGATAGCAGGGCATCATCGTCTCATCCCAGCGATTATCGAGCCATCAAGGCGACGGGCAGCTGCTAATGAGTCAGGTCGCGGAACCACATTCGCCTTCTGGCGCGGCTGATAACACGCCACAGCCAGAGACATCCGCTGGATCGATGGTCCAAGGAGATGCTCCTCAGTCGAGCCCCGCACCGGAGGCCCTGGCACAAGAGCTCGAAAAGCAGGTGGGGATAGTCGGTCGGTCGCCCACGGCCTATCCATCCGCGCAACAGTCCGACGCAGCAGCCGCTCCAACACAGCAACCACCAACTAGCACAGCCACCACTGCACTTTCTTGATTGATATCATGGCACTGTGTTTGAGTGCTCTTGGTATCGATCCGAGTCTCTAACCACGCGATCGACTGGTAGATTGAGTTGCTGAAAACCGAGAAGCTTGCTGTCGAGTCCCAGGTCAAAAAGCTATCCCAAGGCGCGTCCGCATTGCTTCTGCAACCTGACCCACGAGAGACGTGATAGTGTGGACGAGCATTGTTCAGTACGGATGGGCCATACTCTGGGCTGCACCATCGGCCGTACCGACACTAACAATGCCTCATTCTCCCACGCTATGAACACTTGTGGTCACAGACCTGGAGGCTGAAAAGAATTCAAAGACAGTGCTCCTCAAGGACAAGTCGTTGCTAGAGAAAGAAAAGCAGGTTGTCGATCGAGAGCGCATCAATTTGGAGAAGGAGCTCAAGAAAGTCAATGGTGAGCTTTGGGGGATGCTGTGCTGTGAGGAAGCGGGACCGCCTCGTTCGAAAGGCACACGGATCGCTCAGCCCGACCGTTGGTCACGGCGAGGACCTCTCTACACCGACCAACACTTATGTCGCCAACACGCTGCACCAATGTTCGGTCGGCGTTTCCCTGTGTGCCAGCGGTCATCCAGAAAGCCAAAGAGAAGCTGGCGCTCCAGCAGCTCATGGAGGAAAACTCGCGTTTGAGAGGGGAAGTCGAGCTCCTCAACGATCACAAGTCGCAAGTAAGTTCGAGCTCGCACGCTCACCCAGCAGCTATGCTGGTGACTTTGACGAGTGGCTGGCCGAATCCAGCGCTTTTCGGGTCAGCCCTTGTTTGCATGGTCCGGCTGTTTGCCGCGACACTTACATTCCAGATCGCACCTCATCCTATATCTGCAACCAGAATGTGGCACTCAAAGAAAACATCCACAGCATCACAGCAGAGAGCGATCTCAAACAGAAAGAGCTGGTATCCAAGCTCCATACGGCCCTGGACGAGCTCAATCGATATCGAACATCCTCGGGCAAGCCTGTTCTGGACGCGGCATCCATACCTTTGCCATCCAAGGTGCTTGAGGAAGAGGTTGCGACGCTCCAGAGCGAAAGAAAAGCTCTGCAGGACAAACTAAACCATGCAAACGCCGAGCTGGAGGCCTACAAGAAGAAGGCCGAGTCTGAGAAAAGGCAGCCTGAGCCCGGCAACGGTGCGGCATCGACATCGGTCGGCGCTGCTCCCTCCGTCGCTTCGACTACTGCTTCGACTGCTGCTTCGACTGCTGCTTCCACCGCCACTCCCCCTGCTCAGCCATCAGCACCCAACTACGCCTCGTCATTTGCGGCGGCAAAGAGCTGGTGGGGATACAAGCCATCAGCAAACACAGCGCCTGCCACCGGAGCGGCCGTCCAAGCACCTCTGGTCTCGTCGTCCGCACCACCATCAGCGATTCCGGGCGGCCAAGGCACACCAGGCGGTGCAGGGAGCCCCGTCGATCCAGCCACCTCGGCAGCAAAATCTCCAGCCTCTGCCGAACAAACCCCGCATCCTACACCTACATCAGCACAGCAGCCAGCTCAAGACCCAGCAACGGAGGAGCTCAAAAGGGACCGGGACCGACTTGAACAATGCCTCAAAGCCACCAAGTTGGAGGTTGAATCCCTCCACAGGGAACTCGAGGCGATGAAATCGGCACAAAAGCAAGTCGGGGATTCTCCGCACGCCGGTTCTGTGGCAGTGAAGATCGACCAGGAGGTCGAGTCCTCAGGGGCAACATCCGCCGAGCTCGCTGCAGCACAGGTCGCCAATCAGCTTACCGAGAAGCTCACCGCGGCTGACATTGAGATCAAGGCCCTGAAAGAGAGCATCGTCGAAAGAGAAAGAACCATGACAGAGATCAACACGTCGTTGGTACAGCAAATCGATCAATACAAGAGCAAGTCACAGCAGGCGGAGCAAGAGCTCACCAACGTCCAGCAAGCACTGCTGGACAGCAGCGCCGAAGTATTGCGCCGCTCAGAGAGACTTCAATCCGAGATTGATGCTCTGAAGCAGGCTCAGCAGCTGGAAGTTCAAAATATCAATGCAGGGCACGAAAAGGCACTTGGGCAGCTGAAGCAGGCGCTGGAGACAGAAAAGACACAGTATCAGGGGCAGAAGGCCACAAGCCAGCAGCTTCAAGACGCCTTGCGAGCTAGAGATAATCGCATCCGAGAGCTCGAGTCCCATGTCGATCGCGAGGCAATTGCTCGCGCCCAGCAGGAAGTCAGCGATGCCTGGGAACAGGTTGCCCAGCTCAAAGCCCAGGTATCCAAACTCCAGAGCGTGCACATCAACGAAGGCATGGAATCCAGCGACACGAAGGCTACGGACGGCACGGAGGCTCCGGAGCACGGCGATGCGCCGGCCACAGACGTTGTCGTCGAGCGGCTCCGACTTGAGGTCGATCACCTCAATAGAACCATTGAGGGACTCAAGGCAGACATGGACCGAGCCAGACTGCAGTATTCCGCCGACGCAAAGATCCAGTCCGACCTCCATAACGTCGAAGCCGGGCAGCTCCAAAAGCGGATTGACGAAGCGACTGTGCAGCTGGAGCAGTGCCAAATCCAAATCAGCCAAAGCGAGAAGAATACGTGCGACCAGAGTCTCTTGTTCGAGAACAAGATCAAGGAGTTAGACGAGAGCTTTAAGAAACAGACCGCGGAGGCCGCTGAACACTTCCGTGTCCAACTCTGCGAGCGCGAATCCAGGCTCCAGGACCTCGAAACATCACACAAGAAGACCGCCTCGGAGTGGGAGACCCTCAAGGGTCGTGAGCTGGAGACACTGGAAGCTGGCTATCGCGGCAAGATACAGCAACTGGAGCAGCAACATCAGCGCGACCGGGAACATCTCGAACAGGAGGCCGCCAGAAAGATCCGCGCGCTCGAGGATCAACTGAAGACTCTTGCTGTCGATGCTGCCGCCCAGGCCGAAAGCATCAAGACCCTGGAGGAAAAGTATGCACAGTCATTGCGAGAGAAGGATGACCGCCTCAATACCGAAATCAGGCTCAGAGAAAGCGCCGCTGCCGAGGCCGAGGCCGCACATAAAGCCGACCTCAACTCCAGGCAGCAGGCCTTTGACGAAGGTCTCAAGAAGAAAGCGGCTGAGATTGAGACCCTCACCCGGACCCACGAGGCCGCTGTTGCGGATTTGGAGGCGCAGATCAAGGCTAAATCAACCGAATGCGCTCAGCTCGAGGCCCAGATTGGCTTATCCAAGAAGGAGCTGTCCCTGTTGCAGCAAAGCGTCAAGCAAGCCAAGGATGCCAGCGACGCCCAGGTAAAATCTTTGCAGGAAAAGCTCAGCGCCAGCCAGACCGAGCGCAACCTCGTCGAGAAAAAACTCAAGCAAGACAGCGAAGACCGCGCCAAGAAAGATCGGGCCGAGGCAGAAGAAAGGGCAAAGAAGGAGCGTGCGGCTCAAGAAGAGCTCTTCAAGAAAGAAAGGCTCGATATGGAGGAGCGATGGAAGAAGGAACGGGGTGTGCTCGAAGAGAGCTCCAAGAAAGAGAAGCAAAAGCTCACTGCCGATTTCGAAAAGATCAAAAAGGACATTGCGGCCCTGGAGTCGCAAAAGACCGACTTGATCAAGAAGTTTGAAAAGGACCTTGCCGCCCGTAGCGATGACATCGCCGCCAAAACGCAAACCATCAAGCAACTTCAACAAGATCTGCAGACAAGCAAGCAGGAGGGGGCCAAGCAGTTTGAGGAAGTATCAACCAAACTGACCGCCAAGGAGAAAGATTACGAGCAGACCCGCGATGAGTACCTCAAAATCAAAGCCAGTAGTGCGCATCTGGAAGATGAGCTGACGGCATTAAAGGAGCAATTAGCTCAGTTGGAAAGCACCCACGGCGTCCTCACCGCCGAGATGGAGGTTTCTCGCGCGTCGTTCGAGAGATCCTCTAAAGCGCTGGCCGAAAAGGACGAGTCGATCAAGAAGCTCAAGTCTCGCTGTGACGAGCTTCAGCAAAGCGAAGCCCATCTCAAGAAGCAAGCGGGCAAAGCCGAGAAAGAGCGCGACGAACTGGGACAGCGAGAAGCACAGCTCAAGCAGCGCATCAGCGAGTTAGATGCCTCGATCGAGTCTGTTCAAAAGGAGACCGAAGTGGCCAAAGCAGAACATGAACAGGTTGTGAAGCAGCTCTCGAGCGAGCTCGAAGCCCTCAAGCTCGAAGCGAACCAAGTGAATGAAAGGCTTCTTCAGGCTGAGCATGACATGAAGCTTGCGGAGAAGCGCCACAATCAAATCGTAAGGGTTGGCTTTCGATATTCTCGGAGGCCTCAGTCCCACCGGCTCGCTGGCCGGTTCCTTGCTGAAGCATGCAATGTTTTGATGCCATGGCCTTGAATCCCACACCGATTCTGCACTTTGTGCACTGTATTCTGTGCTCCGCGGTCAGAGTCGATGCTGAAGACGGGTAACGAGGCCCGCGATGAGTTCTCCCTTGGCCAAGGAGCGGTTATGGCGCAGCATAACTTACATTCTGGCTGACATGGGTAACTATTTGATACGTTCTGGCCCTCGGTTCACTTCAGATCAAAGACCTGCAGAAGCAGCTTGCAAAAGAGAGGAAGCAAAACAGCGCACCCCAGTCCAGCCCAAGCGCCCCTCCCGAGCTCGAGAATCCCAGCGATTCGCCGTGTAAGCAGGATCTGAGACTCGCACCGTACAGTGGAGCGATCCTCTGTGAATACGGGCGGATGTCGCCGATTTACGATTTACGATTTCACTTCTATCAGCGCGTTTCTGCTGGTTTGCTCGGAGCACAGGCTCCCGCACGGCTTGCGCGTATAGAATCTTGATGGCGATCCATCCCAGGCTCGCGGCTTGTACTGACAGAATGTCTCCATTTTGATTTCAAGCCAAGCATCCAGAGATGGCAGGGATTCCAAAAGTCGACCGGGTGAGCACCTGCGCTATAGCCGTTCCGTATCGAGTTGTCGAGGAACCTGCTTCGTCTGAGGGTTTCTGTTTGTCTTGGATGGACTCGACAGCATATGGATGACAAAGCAAGTCCAAGATGGAGCGGCAGCGCCATTGCATCGTACACTCGGATGGATGAAAGTACTCATTCGAAACCTTGCTCCGATCCGATGCAGCTCACGGACGACCTGGTCAAGCTGGCCCAGGACAACGAGCTTCTCAACAAGCGTCTCAAGGCCGCCGAGACGGAGGTACGCTCTCTAACCGAGCGTCTTACCAAGACAGCCGAGGAGTCTGAGCAAAAATCCAAAACGCTGCAGCAGTATGTCCTGCGAGATTATGCAGCCGAGCTCCAGCCCGATCCTCCAAAGATACAGGTGCGCCGCCGCCTCTTGTCAGACAGAGCACCAAGCATGTTGATGGGGACAAATATGAGAATGCGGACAAAGTGTGGTCGTGTGTCGGCTCGATAGGTTTGGTATTCACCGAGGCTAGCGGTGCAGTGTGGATCGATGGATCGGAGTCGTTTGCGAAATATAATGCTTCGACGCTGCTGCCTATTCTCACTCTCGAGCTCCTTGCGCATCCAGGGCTTCAACCTCAATATCCTCTCGAGCGTCACCGCGATGCAGAAGATGGATCCCGTTCAGCTGTCGCAGATCAACATGAAGATGCAAAAGTTACTTGGGGTGGGTGATGCTGAATGCTGCCTGGAGTTCGCTCATACATGCTACTCGCTTGTCATATGCTGGAACTGATGCCGCCTGATGTATGCTGGCGATGCAGGAACTGACCACCAAGATGATGAAGCTTGAAGAAGACCTGAAGGTGCAAAGGGTCGGATCGGCATGATGGAATTGCGCTCGAGCCGCATCTCACCCACGACGGGCACCCCATCGGACTTGAAGTGAGATTTGCTGCCAAGGGAGACCCCCAAGCCGAAAGCGGCGTAGACATTCCCTGGCGCTCAAATACATTGACAGAGAAGTAGAATGGAATCGGCACCCATTGGAACTGATGTGCACTAGCGTCGGCCAAGCCGGCTCTCGATGGCGACGGAAGGAAGCGGAGGGCCCTGGGCATTGTGCCAGCCGCAACGCTGCTTGCCATCCCCGACCACTAGAGGGCTATAGAGTACTCGTCACAGCTCATGGATCGACAGTGTTATTATGCGTGTGTAGGAGAGAGCGGACAAGCCCTCTCGTTGAAAGTCTCCCGAACGAAATTGGGTGCTTATCGATCGACATCACTGCGCAACAACATGCACAGCCAGGGGGGTCACCAACGAGAGCAGAATCAAGTGCGAACGAGAGGAGAATGTGCACCGAGAGCGGCGATGCAGTTGATGCGCTGGCCGAGCTACTTGGAATCTGCGAAACCAGTGCGTCTTTCCAGTGGCGAGATCAGGAGGGAGGAGGGGGAGGAATGATACGGGTAGTTGACAGCCACTCGCGAGCGAATGGCTCGGCGCTGAAATCGTTCATCGGGCTTCGAACTGGACCACTGCAAACGGCGTGCCATTTGACGCCGTGGGGGCAACGTTGAGCGAAGGAGGTGGGTGTCGTTTTGGGGGGGTGCGAAGAACGTGGATTTGCGGTTAGTGAACTGCCGACAAAGAGTATGTGAAAGATCCAAACAGAGGCAACTGCGGCTGAAGAGGAGGACTATCCCGAGGCGGGTCATCGGAGAGGGAACCTTTGGTAATCCTCCTCAGCGACATCTGGATGAATCGCGGCCGGAGCATCCATCCTTTCGGCATCGGCTCGATCTGAAGGTGAGTTGTTCGCGGCTGGTTGACGACCCGCTCGGCTGTTCTTCATCGTAGCGCTCGTTCTTCGAATGCCCGCATGGATGCACTGGAACTCTGCGATCTGCGCATCTCTCTGTCTGCGTGCTCGTTTTTTGCATATCCGTCTGCGCAGACGGATGTGCACTTTTGTTCGCAGATCGGTCCGAACGCTCATCCGCGCAGAAGCCGTCCCAGGAACTGCAGGAAACCAAATGGCAAAACCCAAGCACGCGAGCAGATGGGATACGCACTGCGCTTGGTTCGCTTCTTGTACATGATGCGGTGGCCGCATTCCTTGCAGCGGATGGGCTCTCGCGGCTTGATCTCGTTGTCGGCACCGCACTCTGTGTCGCGAATATTATCCAGGAACCGATGATATTAGCGTCTGCGGAAGCGAGGAGGATCGTGCCGCTCGCCGAGGCCGCATAAGCCTTGCCAGAACGTCCCTGTTTGTATCCAGCGCCGTCCTGGCAAGGGCTATGCGTTCTCAGCGAACCCGCAGAGATCGTGATCCTCGCGGCGGCTTCAGTCGAGCCATTGCCTCGGTGCTGTTGCTGCGATGCGATGGAAGCGTACCGCCGCAGGTATAGGCGATCTCGATGCGCTGGGGCCGCTGAACGGCGGTTCCTTGAGCAGACTGGTAGTCCATGGCTGTGTTTGGAGCAGCGTCGGGGGCGGGAGGGTGCTTGCGGTCGTTCAGGAGCTGCTGCAGATGCGTCTGATGCAGCGGATATCCTCGTCGTAGCCGCTGTTCGCTGTCCTGGCCTGGCCGTGGAGCCGCATCCGTCCGCGCGGTCTGAAAAAGTTTTTTCGAGCGAGGCGCCGGCTCGAATGCGTGGCTCGAGCCGGCCGCGCCACCGGCCTTTGGCTCGAAAGCGCTGTCGGCTTTGTCCGCTGTCGTCCGCTGTCGTTGCCCTTGCATCTGCCGCCCCTGCCGAAGCAGACCAGGCCGACGAGGACGGCTGCTGGACTGCGTCTGGACTGCCGCCAGACTGCCGCTGGAGACTCTGCCGAGAGCCTGTCGCTGTCGCCGGAGCCATCTGCTGCCTGCCTGCCTGCCATCCCAACAGCCTCCCGTGGGCCTCTCGCGACGACAGCACGAACCCCACCCCAGTCGTCTCGTCATCTGACGCTCGCCTGCATCGCCGACTGACCGACCGGCACCGCATCTCTCCACGGCGGCCGTCTGCATTCATCGTTTTCCTCGAGGATCTCCTGGTTCCAGCGCGTTGCTCGTACCCTATCCGAGACTCGCCGTCGTCGAGCCACCTCATTCCGGATCATTCCAGATCATTCTGCGTCGGCTGCAGCATCAAGCCTCGCCGTCGCTGCATCTTCAAACGTCTCCGGCATCGCCCTTCTCCCAGCCTTTTGCACACAATTTCTAGCATGGGTCCTTACCACAAAGCCAGCAGCACCTCTTCGGCAGCCGCTGCAGCTCCGAGGTCGCATCAGCAACTCCTCTCGTCGATCAAGCTCAAGCACCAGATCGAGGCCCTCAGCAAGTCCGTCCAGAAGAAGCAGATCCTCCTCCAGCTCCAACTCGAGGCGCTTGAGCTCAAGAAACTCCAGCAAGCAGGCTCGAATCAACCTCCGACGGGCGATCTGCGCGCTTCAGACTCGCTGCCGCCCATGTCCATCACAGACTCTCGTGCAGACCATACCAGCGCCGCCCAGGCACCAGAAGACAACATGGCGAACGGGCTCCCGGGAACTGGGCTGCCCGTCACAGGCTCTCTTGGAAGCGCTGACCCCACTCCTAGCTTCCCCCAGCCCGAACGGCTGCGTCCACCCAGCTCCCAGGAACCGATCCAGCCGGGCTCGACTCTGGCCACGGCACCGGCCTCCACTTTCCCTTCGTCGCCCGCCCTCTCGGTCTCAAGCGAGACATCAGTCTCTACGCCTGGTAGAGCATCCCCGGCGATGACCTTCCGAGCCAGCTTTCCTCATACCACCCCTCATCTCCACCCGACCCTCTCTGGGTACCACGCTCCGGCCCCAGTCTTCCGACCAGGCGCACACCGGTGGCCGACGAAATACCATCCGTACTCCTATGGAGCCAACATGACCTCAACGCGGCCACGACCCCCTGCGCATTCATTTGGGAATGGTGCTGCTAATCGCACCAAATCGGGTATGGCTCTGGACATTGCAGCGGCGGCGTTGCACGTCGCTCAAGCACCGATCGACTGTGCTCTGTCTCTAAACATCGATTCTTCCCATCAACTGCCACGGGCCATCGCCCGATGCCTTCCTTGACCGGCAGGTCGTTTCAAATCTAGCTGTAGGTGCCTGGATCTGTCTCCAGCAGACACACGTTCGATTGCTATAGTCAGCGCCTTGCTAGCGTTCGCGCTGTGATCACATCGAGTCGAACGACTTCAATACTTGGTGTTCCACCGTGCATCTTCTGGCGACTGAGTCATGCCACCGTTGCCTTATCAGCGCTCAAGGTCGTGCATGTCCTCGGCGAGCCATTTGCCGTTGTAGGAACAAAACTGATTCGCTCTGGTACGCTGCCGGTTCTCTCTGAAGTATGCTCTGGGCGCTGGTGCCGTGTGACCCAAGGTACTCAGTCAGTGCCCACTGCCTCTACTGATGTATTACTGCCCTGCAGCCCAGACACGACTGTCATCCAAGACGGTTATGCCGAAGGAGATTGTCGTCAAAGGGCAGCACTACGGCCTGGTCCCAAACGGCAACTATCACAGACTCAAGTATGTACGATGCGCAGGGCATATGTGCGTGGCTCGATAGTGCGGGATTCAGCGCCTGCGTTGTGCTTAGGGATGTGGTATGACGGAAGGACGCCATGGTGGTGAATGTGGAACCTGAGGTCGTCCACCGGACCAGTCGCGCTCATCCATCCCATTTGCGCCGTTTGCCGCAGACCGTACTGTGTGCTCTACCACCAGCAAGGTTCGTATCGCCTTGAAACCGAGCCATGATCGGCATGGTCGCTTGCACTGATGAGCAGCAATCTTTGTGTCGTATTTGAGCGACAGCACTCAGTCGGGTTACATGTTTTGCAGGGTGGTGTCGCAAACCCTGTCCGTTCCGACATGACCCCAACCGAGTGGCACTCTGTCCCTTCTCGCTGCGGGGCCAATGCACACGGGCCAACTGCCAACTGTCGCATACACCCACGGACAAGAACACGCCGGTGTGCGAGTACTTTGGCACTCCTGGCGGCTGTACCAACCCGGCGTGTCCCTACGTCCATGTGCGGCTGCGGGCAGATGCTCCGCTGTGTCCGTCGTTTCGGTCAGGTAAGTTCTGTGCCCTGGGAAAGCACTGTCCCAAAAGGCATGTCTTTGTGTGTCCCGAGTTTCAGCAGACGGGGCAGTGCCGCCGGGAGAAATGCCGACTTTACCATGATGGTGCTCGGGGAAAGCAGTCCTCGACCGGCCCAAGACCGGGCCGCCTTCCTGCTGAACCTGGCAGCCGGCCGGACAATGGTGGGTCGAACGCGGGCGAAGCAGGCTCCGGAGATGAGGAGGACGATGACGACGACGACGTCAACATCATCCCCGAGTTTGCGGAGCAGAGCCCCGAGGAGGACGCCTTTGCGCCTGACAGGGACAGCAGCCACGAAAGCGAGTCCGGCGAAAGCCACGGCGATCAGGGAGGCAGTGTCGGCGGCCGCAGCAGCGAGGGTGTGAGCCGAGCCGAGGATGTCGATGACGACTTTGATGGCATTGGCCAAGACGGGGACGCCGACGGTTACTTCGATGGCGACGGTTTTGGCTATGTCGACGAAGGCGATGGATACAGGAGTCCATTTTGAACCGGAACACCCTGTTTTTGAGCTGTCGTTGATTTCCGGACCTGAATACACACCATTCATCATCCGCCACGGCCAAACAGTGTGCTCACGGTGCCTGGAAGCCACCCGAGTATCTTGATGTCGATAGACCATGAAGATGCTCAGAGGGTCAAGCGCAAGCACTCACAGCAAGGAACATGCTCCGGTGTGCCAGTCGAACTATCGCGCAGCCAGTGTGGCTGGGATGACAGTGCACCAGCGGGACGGGTCGCCCTGTGGCTGCAGTTGCCCTGTGCCTGCAGTCGCTATTCCACCCCCCCCCCAAATCCTGAATATACATTCGTACTTGAGAAATTGGCCATGATGCACCGCCAGTCCGGCAGCACATGAGGCGGTCTGCTCGGGGCCAATGGCGCTGGCCGTGGACACGGGCCGCGGCGCCGTCCAGGCGCATTTCCTTTTTTTCGACGGGCGTTCCCCAAAAGGAAAGCGTCGCAACAAACAAACTCAGTCAGCGGCCAGCGGCCAGTGGGGCGGGGAGGCCAGCAGCCCGATAATAGCGGCGACGGCGGTGCTGGGGGCAACCGGGCGAATGCGAGGCAGCTAGTGTGAGTGCACCGAGTGCGCACGGATGTGTTGGATGTGCTGCATGTGTTGAATAACGTTAGGTGTGTTGAACTGGTTGGGAAGTGCCGTTTGGACGATCAACTCGAAAGCGACATCGAAACACAGCGAGAGCACAGCGAGAGCATGGCGAGAGCGCAGCGAGAGCACGTCGAGAGCACAGCGAGAGCGCAGCGAGGCCGCCCTTTGTCTTCTTTTGTCTTTCGCCAAATGCGTCTTCGGCCCGGGGCTGTCTTCATCTGTTCTTCTGACTCTCCACCGCCGCATCTGCCCTTGCCTCTGCGTCTGCACCTGCCTTTGCGTCTGCATCTGCATCCGCATCCGCATCCGCATCTGCATCCCATCTCCAAGCAGCTCACCGCATCGTCCGAGGTACCGTCATGCGTCTCGCCGGCGCCCCCGCAACCTGTCCGGGCCTGGTCCTGGTCCAGCGGATTCTCCAAACCGCCGCTTCCGCGCTGACCATTGCCACCGTCATCACCGCCCGGCGGCTGTTACCGCGGCCATTCCTCTTCTGCAGGCCTGTCTTTAAGCACACCCACCATCCGAGCATCAGTCGCTTCCCTCAAGCATATCGTCATCTCCTCGAACAGCTCACCGACCCTGGATCCGCCTGACATTCCTGTCCTTGCACCATGTCCGTCCTGCATGTCGATAACGCCCCCGCGGGCGTGAAGCGATATGCCAAAGCAAAGTGGAACTACAACGCCATCGAAGTATGTTGCCCTTCAGCGAGCCCACCCCCTTACGATATGCAATCGCGGCGCCACTTTCCCATCCCTTCCCCTCATTCTCGATGCAAGAGGTCGCCGTCTATCAGGACGCTTCCAGCTCCGACTTGGACACTGACCAGTGTCACTTTTTATCCCGCTCGATCTGCTGCAGGACAACGAAATCTCGTTCTCGGCCGGCGATTTGATTGAGGTCGTTGCCCTCTGTAACGAGGACTGGTATGAGGGACGAGTTCGCAATGAGCAGGGCTACTTCCCTGCCAACCGGGTCGAGCTCCTGCCCGAGTCGCCCAAGCGTAAGCATCCCGAGCCGCGCTTGTCGAGCCACCACTCTGCCCATACGCCCCTTTGTGTGGCGGAATAGCCCGGAGCCCCGGCTGGCGGATGCATCCGTACACCGGATGTCATCTGTCCAACCTTCTTGTGCATGCCAACGCCTCGCCTGCTCCGCGGACTGACGACACTCTATCGCTTGGGCATCCCGGGCATGGCGCTATCCTCCATGGCCGACCCGCCGTGCTCTCTCCCTGTCTATGCAGCCGCCTATGGTGCTGTCAAGGTCGGCTCTTACTCATCAGATCAGGCACCGAAACGAGTGGCGTCATACGAAGCCGCCAGCAACCTCTCCGCATACGGGCAGTCGCCTTCACAGTCCAACTCGATACCTGTCTGGACGGCAGGTGCCGGTCCCAAGGACGGCCGCTCGGGCTCTGAAATCTCGGAGCCTGCTCGCATATCGTCGATGCACTCAGACCACGCTGGCGATACTCGGAGGTATCTGCGTTCCGAGTTCGGCGGCTCGCCCACAGTGTCGCCCTCGCCCTCCCTCCAGTCCATCACCGCTCAGGTCAGCATCCATCCCGTCCGCACCAAGAGCAAGGCCACCGATCGCGAGCTTGGTCCTTCCAGCGGCATCTCCGGCACAGTGCAGCCCACCGTGAAGAGCACCGTGACCCAAGGCGATGGGAGCACCCCTGTTCCACCCGAGCGCAAGAGGCACATCTATCCTGCCATCGATCGAGGCAATTCTAACGACCCTGTCAAGGCCCAGGGCCAACCCCTGCTCATGGAGCGCTCGTCGTCGATCAACAACTCGCCATCCGACGGCTCGCCCACCCCGGTCAACAAAATCCTCTCGCCCTCCAGCTTGCCTCCTCGGACGTCATCGACTGCCACCACCCCAGCTCTGTCCAACAAGGAGTTCTCGGCATCGCCCTCCCAGCTGGATGGCAGTCCCGCGCAGCCCATTGCCATCCCCCTTTCCTCTCAGAGCGCTCAGTCGACCCCGGCTTCCCAGCCCTCCCAAACCCCGCCGTCGATCCAGCCCACCCCGGTGCTCGATTCGTATGTGCCGGAGCCCCCCGTCAGGTCGCAGCCCCTGGCCCTTCCCGAGATTCCCCAGTCCGACTACCACTTCTCCACCCCGCGACTCCTCAATGGCAAACTGTCCTTTGCTGCCGACAAGCCCGAACTGCTGGACTCGCTGGACAGGCCTCCGACTCTGCCGGACAAGGATGCGGGCTCTGAGTTTGACGCCGCGCCTGGTGTCGTGGCTGCTCCTGAGCCTGTCGTGGCGGCTATCGAGAAGGCCGTGGAGGAAGAGACCGCGGCCGATGTCGCAAACGGGCAGGGCAACCGTGAAAACGACGCCGACGAAGAAGAAGAAGACGATGATGACGAAGAAGTCGAACTGGTAGGCTCTGACCTGAATGAGCGGATCCATGACGACAATCCCGTGCTGATACGGGGTCTGTGGCCTCCTTGTCTCTGAATGGCTGTGGCCCGGTGCTTGTCTGCCCATGTCTTTGTCTCTGTGCTCCTGTGTCTGATGCGTACATTCTCGCTGCCTGTGTCTTCAAACGCTCGCCTGGGCTGCATCGCGTCCAATCAACTCGCAGGAGGGCGCCGATATCGGCAACGGCTGGAGGCTGATTCCAAACAACGGCGAGCCCTATTTCTGGTTCCCCGAAACCGGCGAGACCACGTGGGTTGATCCCCGCATTACCGATGCCGGCGAACATGCGCACGAGCTTCAGGAGCCAACCCCGGAAAGCTCTGCATCGAGTCCCGTCAAGCCTACCGGCGAACCAGAGCCAGTCGCTGAGCCAGTCGCTGAGCCAGCGGTTAATGGCGCTGCGCCCGAAGACAAGCCTTCCGTCACCTGGGATGCGATACCCTCTCCCGGTCTGGAACCCGGCTCGCTGACCAACGCCGCGGCAAAGATCAAGAGCATGGCCTTTTACGACTTCCGAGTATCCTTTGGCCCCACTCCGGAGATTGCCGCCCAGCTTGGCGCCTCGATCGCGCTTGATCTGCAGAAGCACATCCACTCTCCAACTGAGGTGAGCATCTCGGGCACTGCGTGGCCAGTGCGCGGAGGGCTCGTGCATTGGCCTCCTGTTGTGTATTCGCCTGCATCAAGCTACCAAGCTACCAAGCTGTCCCTCTCTGTTCCAGTATGCTTCCTGTGCTTACTCTCCAGTGTATCCTGTCATGCATCAGTCTGAACCAGCCTCGGCTGCCGTGGATCCCTTCGAAACGGCGGAGGAGGTTGAGACCACAGGTATCAATGACGAGCGAGAATCTGAGGACGTGACCTCGCCTAGCCAGCTGCAACCGCCTCAGAACACACTCTCCAACAGCTCGACGGCATCGGGTGGGCTGTCCCAACTCCTCCAAGAAGCACGAGATGGCTCGTTGGTAAGCCGGGTCGCCCGTGTGCTTTCGTCAGAGTCGCTCTGAACGGCGGATGCAGTCGTCTGGGTGGCGTTGCATGTTCATTAGGAAGTCAGCCAGCGCATCGCGAGAAACGACTGCCGAAGCCGAGCCCAAAACGGCAAGCACAGCCGACCTCTCAGCCTGAACTCCAAATCACTCACCTCCTCACTTTATCCTTGTTCAGACACTCACATCCGTCAACCCGGTACCCCCCGAGCTCGTCCGCCGCGAGGGCCCAATCCAGAAGAAGCTGAAATTCGAAGAGGGCAAGAAGGAGCCTCGCTACTCGACCTCCTGGACAGTCTCGTACGCAATCGTCTGCGTTGGCTTCCTGCTCTTCTACAAGGAGGACCCCAGTCGGGCCAAAAAGGGAGACATCTCTCTGCCGACGTGCGTCCTACCCCTCACCTCGGCCACAACCATCGAGAACGGCACCAACCACACAAAGAAAAAGTACGCTGTCTCGCTGACGACCGAGAAGTATGCCCACTGGCTGCTCTTGTTCCAGACCGAGAAGGACAGCCTCAAGTGGATCGAGACCCTCAAGGAGTGTGCCCGCGAAAAGGCGGCGCCCAACGAGGTGCGTCTCCGGTCGCCGCGTCCATGGCGACATAACATCGTAGTCTCTCTGGCGATTCACCTTGCTTCTCTGCTGTGCGTGCATCGTGCGAGTCCCTGACGCACCGCCGATTCTCACCAAAACGCACTCGTTTCTGTATCCATTCTATCGAAACGCCCCGATTGTCGTTGTTAGTACGAGTATGGTATGTCCTTTTCGCGCCAGGCTTGCTTTCTGTTTGTCTTGGAGGATCAGATCGACTCTCTCGGTTGCTGACACTTTCCTGGCTTGGGATCCGGTGCAGTCGTGAGCTGCCTTTTTACAAAGGACCAGAACGGCGCTGTTGGTCCCTCCTCATCACCGCAGATCCAACCCGTCTCGATCGGTGATTCGACGGTCGTCAAGGCCCAGAAAAAGAAAGGTGCTCCCATCGAGCCGCTGCATGATCTGTTGTCTGATGGGCTCCTTCTGCAGGGACCGCAAGGCATTGCTGCGCGATTGTGTCAACTCATTCCCCCAAACAATTCGGGTTTGTTTTCCTTTTGCAGGCTTCCTCGCTGGCATCCAGCAGAAACACGGCGCTCCGGCAGACGCCAGTGCGGAGGAGCAGGGCGAGAAGAAAAGTGGCCGCGCCGCCGTGTTCAATTTCTTCCGGAGAGTAAGTACACGCCATCTTGCATGGTTGGATACGGCGAACGTGGGATACCATGGAGTCTAGAACCGGGGGGCTCTGTCGAACACCTGTGCTGACGCTGCCTGCTTGGATCCACAGCCCGGCGAGAAGGGAGCAGGAAGCAAGACCCCGAAGATGGAGGCGGCTGTCCCTGACACATCACCAGAAGGTTCGTGTTTCGAGCGCTCCGCCCACTGTGGTTGTTGTTCGTGCTGTCTGTTCAATCGCACTTCGGTGGCTTGGAGCTTGCTGCGGGGTCCAAGGCATCCAATGCTGTCCTCACAAATTGGCTCTAATTCACGTTGTGGTGTATCAGATGTGTTTGGTGGCTATCTCGACTTCCACGTCGATCACGAGAACGATATGCGCATCCCGATGATTGTGTATCAGTGCTGCACCGAGATCGAGAGTCGCGGCCTGGAGTCGCAGGGTATCTATCGACTCTCGGGCACAACGTCGCATATCAACAACCACCGGGCCCAGTTCAACCAGCGTAGGTCTTGTCGGCAGCCGCCTCATCGCATCTATCCTGCTACCCCTCCCGGCTTGGCAGCCGAACTGGCTCAGGGACATGTTGGCGCTCAACACCGCCTTCCTTGATCATGATATTGTGTGCTGAATCCCGGCTGGTGTCTTTCTGCAGGTCAACCCGTGGCTCTGAATGAAGAAGACGACATCAACGTTGTTGCCGCCCTGCTGAAGCGTAAGTCGTCGATGTGATAGCGCCGTAGACCGTATGGCACGCATCTGAGATACACAAGGTGATCCATGCGGCCTGTGACCTGACTGCGTTCAACCTCCCAGTGTACTTCCGCGAGCTCCACAACCCGTTGTTCCCGTTCGAGTTCTATCAGCAATTCATGGATGCCGCTCGTAAGTGCCATGCTGCACATCAGCCGCCCGCGCTGCGATCAGCATCTCAAATGAGTCTTGCCCGGCTGGCCAATTCCTATCCTCTCCTCACACCCCTGGTGCTTGCGTTCCTGATCCAACCCGATGCGGCCGACAATTATACCGACGAACTGGATCAATATAGGCAAGGAGGATTACAACGACAAGCATTACGAGCTGAAGGAGCTGATCCAGTCGCTGCCGAAAGCCAACTATGACGTCCTGGAGTTCCTCAGCCGCCATCTCTGCCGGTACGTCTTGGTGGCGCGACCAGCGATCAGCAACAATGTGCAGTGGGCTCGCGTGTGCCCTCGATCGTGACTGTCCAGTGAAGTGATCCTGGGACGGAATGCACGGATACATGGCTTCATGGACCCACGGGTTCCTGACCGCTTGCTGACTTTTGCGCAACATACCAGGGTCGCTGCCCAGTCGGATGTCAACAAAATGGACTATAGCAACCTGGCGATCGTCTTTGGGTAAGCAGCTGTGGCTTCTCTGACATGGCCTGCTCACAAGCCAATGGCGATGGCGTGTTGTCGCATCTGCAATCCGCATGGGAAACGTCGTTCCTAACCTGGCCTTGTTGCTGCTCGCCTGCCATGATCAAGCCCCACCTTGATCCGAACGCCCGAAACCAATGCCATGAGTGGCTATGACAGCATCGCCAACATGAGTCTGCATTCTATGATCGTGGAGCTGATTCTGACAAAAGTGGACGTAAGTCGGTCGAGGCAGAGGGCGAGAGAGGGCTGCCGGTGCGGTGTTGTCCCTGTTGTATTGGGCACAAGTGCATCGGCAGAGCCGAGATTCGATCGCTCCTTTGTCCGCGACCTTGTCCGTGCTCGGTTTTACTAAGGGTTACTCATTTGCGGATATGATCACTTTCCAGTGGTTCTTCGACAGCCAGTCCGGGCTATAGGAGCGCGCCAGGGCTGAGGCCGACTTTGCTCCGATCTCATAGATTCACATTGGGAGCCATGGCCGGCTGAGCATCGATGGCTGGCCTCCACCCCGGTAGGTAAGCATTCGTTTCTGGCATTGCCTGTTGCCCAGACTGTGTTGATGATCTCCAGAGCAGCAGCCGCCATCGAGCTAACTCTGCTCGACACCCCCCCCCAACAGGGCTCGATGCACGACCTGGTCCTTTCAGTATCATGTATCTCCGCTGTGGCTTCCCAGTTCTGCATTTTGGTTTTCGCCTCTTTGGTGTGCAGTGCTTGCACATGCCGGATGATGATCTCGCTGCCTGTCGAGCAAGTCTCCCCTCCCCGTCGTTCCTCGTTTCCTTCGCTGCCCCGTCTCCGTGACCACCGCATCCCCACCGGCCTCGCAGTGTGGCCGTTTGCTTCTCCCGTCTCGCTCTGCCCATTCGTCTGTCGTTGCCGTCCCTTGCTCGCCCACTCTCTTCGTCCTGTCCCCCGCTCGTTCGATCCCTGCTCCGCATGGCGGACACATGCCCTCCCGAACTCCACGAAATGCCGACTCCCACCCGCTCAGGTGTTTCTTTTCTGTGAATCATTCTTCAACAAGATCAGCATTTCCCCCACTCCGTTTCGTCCCATCCCACCCCCGTCGCTGCCCGCACCGACCCGCGCGGTCTGTCCACATCGGCTGGGGTCTCTGTAGGCGCCGCTGGTGTATCCCTCGGGATCTCTGTGTCGTTGGCAAACTCCGCACCAGCAGCAAGAAGAAAGCCAAAGGGTGCAGGGCGTGGGATCGACCACAACCCCCCTCCTGCAGGAATCACTTGGCTGCACGCACCCTCATCCTTCTGCGCTGACCAAGATCACCCTGCGTCTGTCCCTGTCGCCCCTGCGGGCCCTATCCCTCGCTCTTTCCTCTCGCCATGTCCAGCGCATCGACCATCCCTGACCGTTTGGCTCATGAGTACACAGCGAGTGCATGATCCATCTTGTCGAGACCGGTCGGGGCCGCTGGGGGACAGCAGGGTGCCGATGCAGGGTCCGTCGGTGCGAGCAAACTGCCAGATGAGAGCTGCCGCCATCGGTGCTGGAGATGCTTGCTCTCGTTTCGCTGCCGCTCGCTGTCGCAGTCGGGGGCGTGGGCTGCTTGCCGCTGGTATCGTCCGGCTTGTTTCTTCCATCGGGAGAGGGCCGCCAGGGTGTTCGGTCGGTCCCTCGGTCCCTCTGGAGACCACAGTCGGCAGGCCGCTGGCTATATAGCCACGGCTGTTGCTCCCTCCCCCGTCCGTCTCGGACCACGCAAAGTGCTTGGGCTTCCCCATCTGTTCTCTCATCCCGGTCATCCATGATCTCCAAGGCCAGCCTCGTTTCGCAGCCCGCTGCGGCAGCGGTCAAGCACCCGCAACCCGCCGTCCTGTTGCGGCCCCAGCGCATGCGATACCGCAACGCACTGACCCTGGCTCTGCTCGTCATGGCCGCCGCGATGGTTGCCCTCCTTGGTCGGCTCCAGAACAATATGGCCGGCACGCTCGCTCCCCAAATCGGCTTTCATACGGTCGACGTGCCGCCCGTTGCTATCCCAACCGAGATGGCCGGCGACATGAATCTCTCCGCCGACAATTTGCTCCATGACGAGCTCCCGGCCAGCGAGATCCAGACGCAGTCCAGCCTGCTGGTTGAGCGGTGGGCGGCACTCAGCCCCGTCGAACTGCGCGAGAACGACTATGTCGAGCTCGTCCGCCACATGGAGCTCTATCGGGACCTGTACGGCTTTGTGACCCACCACCGTTCTCAGGCCGATTCCCACACCAAAGACGCACTCGCCGAGATCGAGTCCAAGCTCTTTCCCTTCATCACTCTGTCTCGCACCTGGACCTCGACCGAGAAGCTCTTCGGCTCCTTCAAGCGCAACACCCGGGGCATCGTCCTCACCACCGGAGCTGGGCACTTTGAGTTTGCCTATCTGGCAATCAGATCGCTCCGCCGGTCCGTCAACACAACGCTCCCGATCGAGGTCTTCTACACCGACTCGGGCACCGAGAAGGACGCCGTCTACCGTGCGATGCTGGGCGAGTTTGAGGACCTCCAGATCATGAACCTCGACGACTACTTTGACCTCGACAAGGCCCAGATCAGCGGCTTTGCCTTCAAGCCCTTCACGCTCCTCGCCACATCCTTCAGCGAGGCCATTTTGATCGACGCCGACATCTTGTTCTTCCAGGACCCGGCCCGGGCCTTTGACATTGCCGACTACAAGGCCACCGGAACATACTACTTCCGCGATCGTACCATCTTCAACCCAAACAACCCCACCGACCGCAAGCTCAAGGAGTTGTTCCCGAACCCATCCCAGTACCTCAAGACCAACAGCCGCATCTTGAACCGGCTCAGTGACCACGAAGTCGACTCGGGCATTGTGATCTTCAACAAGGGCCGTGCCTTTCACGAGCTGCTTCTCATCTGCCTGCTCAACACCCGCAAGTACCGCGGTCCGCTCTGGGGGACATTCTGGGGTAAGTCGATGCAACGATCGAGTGGCTCAATGAGCGGGTGATTCAAGAAGGCCCGGCCGCAGTCAATTGGAGTGAACGGGAGCACAGCAGCAGCAGCGTGCTGTCTCGGTCGCTCGGTGTGATTACAGTGCTGGTAGTTCCTTTGGCCAGGCCGTTCTCAGATAGCTGATCATCCCTGCTCTCCGTCTGCTCCAACTGTGCTCTCTCAGGCGACAAGGAGCTCTTTTGGCTGGCCTTTGAGATGCTGGGAACTCCGTATCGCTTTGAAAAGTACGGAGGTGGCGTCGCTGGTTACGTCCGCGACGACGGTGCTATCTGCGGCAACCTGTTTCATCTGGATGATCGCAACCAACCCCTCTGGATGAACGGAGGACCCGTCAACGACCGCCACGATCCCGTCGGCAAGACCCGCACCCTCAAGATCACCCACTGGGCGGCCGATCTGGTCTCGAGCGAAACCAAGTTCCACTGGTCCGGCAGCGGCGAGCCCTTCTGTCTGTTTCAGAAGAATGCCCGCAGCATGCGGCTCTCGGGCGAGTTCCGGCGAGCCACCGAGATCAACCTGCATCTGTGGAAGCGGCAGCAAGACGACAAGCTGTTTGCCTAGTTGGTCGAGCCTCCAGCATCAGTCTCCACCGCAATACCCCAGCCGAACTGCCGTTGTCCCGCTCTGATTAGATCCGGGCTTCGTCCTCTGTCGGCTGGATACACTCTTTCGATTATAACTGCTTTCGCATGCCCCTGCCCAACAAGCTCATCGGCCATCTATCTAGAACTGATTCCAAAGCACTGCATTCACAGAATGAAACGGAAATAACTACAACCGCCTCGGAGCGATCTCTGGATGTAAATATAGACCTCTGCTGGCCACGCCCGGCATTATCGATGTTGAGTGATTCGGGAATGATGCGACGACCAGAGCCAGGGCGGACACGGAACGCATCGGGATCCATCGTTTGCGGCAAGAGCCAGACGAGTGTTCGATGGTCGACAGCATCCATCTCATCGTATGCTCGGGCCGCCACGATGCCATCCCATGCCATCCCCGTGCTGGATGATCCCTGCCTGGTCTGTCTTTGGCCGGCTCCGATTCAGACTCCGCGAGCCAATCGCCGCTCGCCACCTTCACCAGCGCCATCGGCCCTCGCTGCAGGGCGGGACTTGCCCGCCAGGGCTTATATCCTCGAGCTGCCGGCCGGATAGGCGTTGGCCATCTCTTCCGACTCTAGCAATCCGATCGTGGCCAAGGACAGGGACTCTGTACTGGCCAAGAGACCTGCTGCATCAGATCAGCGCTCCATCCAGGTTCGGCTCAGATCGATCGCCCCGTTGCTGCTTGGCCCAGATCATCAACTTTGCTCATTCTCATTCTCATTATGCCTCATTCTCATTCTCACTCTCACCCTCTTATTCTCATTCTCATGACCCCTCCCGCCGCCGCTGACTCACTTCTGTAACAGCATCGCATCTCCCCGATCCACCCCTCGTAAATGAAGTTCCTCGCGCTCGCCGTGTCGCTGGCGCTCGTCCTGCCGAACTTTGTCGCCGCCCTCTATTCCCTCCGCGACCCGGTTCTCCAGTTGAATCAAGGCAACTTCAAGTCCGAGGTTCTTGAGTCTGAGGTATGCGCTGCATATCGATGGCGTGGGTCCCGTCAAGCCCTGGCTGCATCGAACGCCAGCGATCATGCTGCCACTCCTCGTGCTGGTTCGACCTCCTGCGCCATTCGATCGTCTCCCCACCACCACCACCACCACCACCACCACCATCGCCGCCGCGCTGCGACCGAGTCATTATTTGACAGGCATCTCTCTGCTCCAGCATGTCGTTATTGTCGAGTTTTATGCCCCATGGTATGTCTTGGCAACATCCAGATCTGAAGCGACGCCAGTCTGAGAGCCGTTCGTCCAGTCTGAACTTGCTGCCGAGACAAAGCCGACTCGATACTGCTGATCTGCTAACAGATGCCCTCTCGCATTTGTAACGAAGGTGTGGACACTGCAAGAATCTGGTACGTCGATGCTCCGGCGCAGGCTCGCTTTACGGCTGTTCGCACCAAACGTACATCCATCCGGCTGCCTTGACCGATACCCCGATGTTCTCCATTCGACTCCCGACCTTGATATCTGATCTCGAACGGCAACACCATCTTCCAGGCTCCCGAGTACAAAAAGGCCGGCGAGAAACTGAAGGGTCTCGCCAAGGTCGCAGCCGTTGACTGTGACCAGCACAAGGGTCTCTGTGGCCAATATGGCATCCAGGGTGAGTCCCATATGCACCACATCGGCCAGAGATCGGTCCAGGAAGCAGTGCAATCCGCCTAACGACAGCCTTTCTGGACATCGTATCTGGCCAGGCTTCCCGACGATCAAGGTTTTTGGAGCCAACAAGAAAGCGCCCCTCGGTAGGCTGGCCTGTCATATTCTGGTGCAGTGAGCGGCTGTTTCGCTGCCATAGCTCCCTGGCTCTTGGTGCTTGTATCCATGGTGATCAGGCCGCCTCCGACCTGATCCATGACCAAAAACTGACACGAAAACCCGGTTCCCGGCTGCTCCACGCATTAGACTACCAGGGACAGCGAACTGCCGGCCCGATCGTTGATTATGTCGTCGGAAAGATTCCCTCCTTTGTCGAAAAGATTGGCTCTGGCGACAAGCAGAAATCATACGAGTCGTTTATCGAGGTTTGTATTCTGCTGATGGGAAACTGTACCTTGGTCTCGTCTCGCAATGCCATTGCTGTCCACTCCTGCCACCGACGAGTCTTTCCGATCGTGCCAACATCCGGCTGCTGCTTTGATGGTTTGCCTCAGGAGAACGCCGATATGCCCAAAGTTATCCTGGCCTCAAAGAAGGCCGCCACGCCACCACTCTTCAAGGCCCTCTCTGTCGAGTACCACCACCGCCTGAGCTTTGGCGAGATCCGCTCGACAGAGTCTGAGATTCTCGCCAACCTTGACGTCACCACATTCCCTTCAGTTTTGCTGTTTGCCGCCAACGAGCAAACGCCTGTGGTTTACGAAGGTATGGGCACTGGCGGTAGAGTGGCCGGGACAGCGATAGATCGTGAAGCGGTATTTCAGCATGGCCGCGGGGACAGTGGAGGTGTCTGACGGCGATGCCCATGCTCACTCCTGCCTGTCGTAGGTCCCATGAAACACGCCGCACTCTCCGAGTTCTTTGAAAAGTATGCGCTGCCGCCCAAGAAGAAGCCAGCCAAGAAGCCCCAGGGCTCGTCTTCCTCCAAGAAAAAGCCCACCGCCACCCCAACACCCGAACCTGTCGCCAAATGTAGGTATCCGCAAGCGTGCGATGCTGGTATACAATCATCTTGACCGGCTCATTAGCTGCCGCTTTCTCCTTCGACGCAACCTGATGTGCTGACCTCTGCGCTGCGGTCGTTGTAGTTGATCCCACCATCAAGGAGATCAAGTCGCAGGAGGACCTTGTGGAGGTATGCCCTCCCGATGCTGGCACCTGTATCATCAGCTTCTTTGTTCTCGAACCCGAGTATGAAGAGAGCGTCGCCCAGCACAAGGGCCATCTGGACACAATCGTTGCCGTAAAGAAGCACCACCACGTCAAGAACCTCCCGGCCAGCTTCGGATGGGTCAATGTTGCGGAGCACGGCAAGAAGCTGATGTCTGATTTTGACGTGAGCGACATGCTGCCTGGACTTTTGGCCATCAACCGACGACACAACGTCTACCAGAACTTCCGAGGAGCCTTTGAAGAGGCTGCGGTCGTGCGTTTCCTGGAGGACATGCGAATTGGCCGCGGACGGCTTTCCAAGTTCTCTTTTGAGCTCCAGCTGGACAAGCAGCGGGAGAAGACTGAGCTGTGATAGGCCATCAAGCCTCCGCTTGCGTGCGATGACATACTCACAGCAAGTGCAAGCTCGGCAGACACTGCACAAATGTCCTATCGTGGCTTGGCTTGACATGGATTAGCATCCTGGCTATTGCCACGCTCAATGGAAATATATTGTACCGACAGCCACTCTGTCGGAATATTCAGTCGGCCCCAGGCGCGCAAAACTCCCTGCTCGAGGGCACGAAACTGGCCACTCTGCAAGGAGGAGTAGATGGCATATACTTCGAGTGTATCCCTGCTGCTCGGTTGCATCCAGCCAACGCCCTTGGCTGGCTGGTCAGAGCTGGCCGCCACCATAGAGTTGTTTCTGGAGATACCCACGATGTCCAAGCCCGCACGATATGACCCAGTCGATGTTCGAGAAAGACAAATGAGTGTCAGCAGAGGCCATCGCCACGAAAACCGCGGAAACCAAGGACGCCATCGCAGACGGTCGATGGTGACTCGAGCAGAGTGTCTCTGCCGATCGTGGCGAAACGTACCAGCTGCGCTATGCTCTGTTGCTGATCGACAGAGAGCGTTTGGACCTGCTCCATAGGCATGTTGATCAGCTGCAAAATGAGTTGCTGTTGGACACACACACGAGATGGAGATTATGAGTTTCAGATATCGGTGCAGTGCCAATCGGATAATATGGAATGGCAGGATTGATCGACTGTCTGCGGGCTCGCACATCCATTGGTGCGACACCGAGAGGGAGCCGCAGGGCCGTTTCAGCGACCCAGACGCACAATCGGCGATGGCAACGTACAGTCTGTTGGTCGAGGTCTGTCAGCGAGGTTGCCGATTTGGTGGGTTGGCGGATCGGTGTCGATTGGCGAGCATGGTCGGATGATGGATTCGTCGGAAAACGTAACAGATCGAATTGATCAGCAAAAGCTAGAGATGTCCGCTCCCTCACACAAGGCTCTAATCGACATGTGCACGAGGTGTCGTTGGCATCAATGGAGCGGTGGCCAATGAAGACGGAGGAAGCGGCAACGAATCGACAGGGAGGACAAGCAGCCAGTAGCAACCCGTAGTAGCGAGTGGCAGCCGGTTGAACTTACTCATTGACGGCGTGGCATTGGCAAACAGGGTTTGTGCCGGATTGATCTGCGGCGGTATCGGTGCTGCTGCAGCGTAGGCAGGCTGCGGAGGTTGGGGTTGAGGCTGAGGCGGCGGCTGGAGCGGAGGCTGCTGCTGCGGGGGAACCATCATCGGGCGACTATACGGATCGATAGGCGGCGCATTTGCGATGCCGGCAGGTGCCATCGGGACAGGAGCAGGGCCGGGACCACCCATGGCGGGAGACTGACCCGAGTAGATACTCTGGGTCCAGTATGATGGGCGAGAAGATAGACAAAACCGAGAATAGCAGTGTCAGCAAACAACTGCTACCGCAAACCAGAAAGTTGAATGTCTTCCCAGGCATCACCAACCTGGATAGTAGCCGGATCGATGAGATTCATCAGCACCAAGCCCTGAAAGATTCCAAAGGCGAGCTGGGGATTCTGGCTCAGGAGTGTTCGGCACTGGTCAGGATTGTTCTGAGCAAGCGCCTGGTACAGGTGATTGATGCCGCCAAAAGTGTGAGTGCTCCAACAAGGTTTCCGCATCGGACAGCACGGCACTTGCAGAAACGCAGGAGGCGGCAAGGATGATGGCGCCATGTCCAAAACGGAGGATTTTGGGATCATCCAGGGCCACGATGGATGGCGAGCCCTCCAGTAAGCTGACCTTCACTTGCGACAACGCATCCAACAGCTGATGTGACGGCATGGATCGGATCGCTCTTGTGATGACCTCTGCCGAGTTGGCTGGCGGAATGTTCCTGGGAGGGCCAGCGAGCTGGGGACCACCGCCGCGCTTGATGATGGTGATGGTGATGGTGATGGTGATGGTGATGGTGATGGTGATGGTGATGGTGATGGTGATGGTGATGGTGATGGTGATGGTGATGGTGATGGTGATGGTGATGGTGATGGTGATGGTGATGGTGATGGTGATGGTGATGGGGGCGAGCGGGTAGGCGATGAGTGCATGGTACAGCGACAACCTCAATCCATCACGCATCGTTCGGCTGTGCAATGATGTTGCCACTCCCGGCGACAGCACACATACCGAGTCCATGTCACGGCGGTTGGCTGGTCCGTCCGAGTCTTCTTTCTCGCTCTCGGCAAAGTCCACGCGCAGGGAGCGGCCACCGACATCGTGCTTGTCCAGTGTTGATTGGAAATCCACATCCACGAGTTCACAGGGTCGACAAGCCGGACGCATAAATCCATGAAGGATGGAAGCGAGATTGGAAGAGAAAGAGAAGACAAAGACGAGATGGAAGCTGGTAGGACGCATCGATCTGCCCAATGCAACGGCGTCCTCCGTTAGGTCGAAATGAAGCCTCCCCAGAAGATCCTCGGATTGCTGTGTCTGCCCAAAGGCAGTGCAGATGCCGATCGATCCAATAGGAGGCATGTGGGCCGTGCCTTTCCAGCGGGCCACTGACAATCTCGGACAGTGTTGATCGATTCAGAGCAGCACGATTCAGAGCAGCAGCAATACACAAAAAAAAAAGGTGCTGAATCGATCGATGATGAGCCTATGATTTCGAACGGCACTGGCAGCGGTCTCGGCATCTGATGGCGTGGTGCAAGAACATCGAATTCGAGTGAGACGGATGCGGCTTGATCGGACATTGACCAAGATCGACGCATGGGTGCAGAGCGCTACGATCGAAGCCATCATTTTGCTGCGATCTGGTACGCGCCGATACCTCGGAATGTACAGAATCCGTATCCTTTGGGCTTTCCACTTTCACGGTCAAAGACCAGACGGAAGGACACCACAGGTCCAGCGACGCTGAAGATGTCGACCAGCTGTGTCTCCGTGAGGTCGTCTGTTGGAGAGGATGGGACGGCCGTGTCAGTTGCGTTGGAGGGTCGCCTTGGAGAGCAGAGGGCGCCAGCCGAGTCGATCGGCGGACGCAACGCCGGGCCCGGATGCACCATGGTGCTGAGGCGACAGGCCTTGGTTGGATGGCATGGCAGGACAGAATAGTGCTGGTGCTCACATGGGATGTTTCCGACTGCAGCCAAGGTGAGGGCGAGATGGTGAGTACTCGAAATCGAGCGGATGCAGGCCGGCGACGGATCATGCATGGTGGCATACCGAAAACGACTTTGGAGGGCGGATTGGCACTCATTGAACGCAACGTGGAGCTGGACGGTGAGAATATCGGATGAGATCGGATCGCCGACGGCCGATGGATCAAGTCGGATCGGTGGTGGTCGTTGGGTCAGATCGGGTTGATGAGTCGCCGGGCTGTGATCAGACAGCGAGCCGGCATGTCATTGGGCGGCCCAGCGAGGACGCTCTCGCCGCGCTCTCGCCCGCTCCTCGCCCCTCGCTCCTCTCGCCGCCCCTTTCCAAAATTGGAAATCGCCAATGCACACACACACGCGCCCGCCACAGCCCCTGCGTCTGTTGTTCGTCCGTCGACCGTCTTGGCTTCCATCTCGGCCACATCCATCCACCCATCCATCCCGTCCATCCGTCGCCCAGCCGCTGCCCAGCCGCCACCACCATGCTGCCCTCCGGAACCAGTGCTGCGGAACGGCGACGAGAAGAGCTCGAAAAGAAGCGTCAGAAGCTCTCCCAGCTGCGCGAGGCCAGGGAGCAGCGCCGCCCCGCCCTGCTCGACCTCAAGCGCTCCGAGTCGCCCAACAATCTTGTCGGCAACACCCGCAGGGAGATCGACGATCTGGTCGCTTCTCTGGTCGGCGAGCGCAGGGCCCCGATCGAGACATCATCTGTCTCCTCCAGATCCTCGACCCCGGTCTCGATTGCTCCCTCGACCACTCCACAGCCGGACGCACCACAGCAGCAGGTCTCGCAGCAGCAGCCGGCTGCCGAGGTCCCCGAGAGGTAGGCCTTGGGCTTGGCTGGGCGAGTCGTGCTGCCCAGGGTGCGCCGTCGGCAGTGTCTCCTCTGTGTTTGCTATCAGCCTGTTGTTATTACGCTTTCCTCCTCGCAATCGATGGCAATCGAACCGCCGCGGCGCTGATTCCGATCGATCTTGAATCGATCAATGCCGCAACCGGCCCTTGGCGGCTCCCCATTGGTGCTGAAACTCCACTTGCCTAATACCCGCTGTGTCTAGAGTACAGCCGAATCTGGTCTCGGCCGAGTTCATTATCTTCGATGTTGCACCCAAGGTCGGTTACTGATCGCGGCCGGCTTGCGGCCGACGTTCGACACCAGTGGCGCATTGGCACAAGTACAATCTTGCTGGAACTCTCCAACCAAGAGACTGACGCTGTACCTGTCACGGTTTGGTCACCTCTGTCCACGGAATTGCTGAAAACAGGAAAAACAGCTGTATAACAAGGAGGCCCAGACCGTCGAGACCTGGACCCAGCCTGAGGACCACGGGTTCGGCGACGACGAGGTCGACGACGACGAATACGGGGCCCCAGCACCGGAGAAAGTGGCTCAGTCCACCGGCACCGATGCTGCTACCGATCAGCTCCAGCCCACCATCTCGAACGAGGTCGAGCATATCCGAGGTGGGTGGAGAACTGTGCCGATACGGCTGCGCGATCGCTCGGATGGCGTCAACACCGATGGGGCTCGGACATGTCTGTGGCCCCAGCCTCGTGCTGGGGCAGCCCTCGTCCATGGCTCCTGTCAATCTATGGTGCCCCAAGTGCCTTGCACGTCAGCCTATCAAGCGTTTCTTTCGGGCGACATGCATCGACCCAGTTTCAATGGAGCTCCACGATCCCCAACCGCCCATACTCACTGACACCCGCTCACTCTCACTGGCAACCACATAATCGCAGATCTGACTGAAGAAGAGCGCCGAGCCATCATCAGCTCCGAGCAATTCATGGAGTTCTTTGATCAGTCTTCCAAGGTCATCGAGCGCGCCCTGAATGAGAAATACGACTATCTGATTGACTACTCGATCACCAACGAGGGCGAAGTGTAAGTACCGGACAGCAATTGCCACCATGAACAGCTGGACAGCCTACGAGCATCAACGCGCAGTGCTCTGTTTGTCGGATTCTCATGGCCGAGGCGCCCGTTCTTGTCGATGACATCCAGACACGACGATGCCAACAAGAACGTCAAGCAGTACTGCCAATTCTTTGACGAAAAGTGGTCCAAGAACCGCTGGGTCACCGATCTGGACTGGTGCCCAAAGGTGCGTACGATGGATCTTCGGCACACTGGGTTCCTTCTGCTGCTGCAGTGTCCGATCTTGCGGCTCACTGCCGGTCAAGTGCAAGCTCAGTCTGACACGAGCCCCATTGGATCCGAAATTCTGCGCTCTCTGCTCTGCAGTACCCCGAGTTGGTTCTGGGCTCGTATGGCAAGAACCCCAACGCCATCAACGACCCCGACGGTCTCGTCATGATATGGAACCTGCATCTCCGCGAGCGACCCGAGTATATCTTCCATGCGCAGGTAGGGCACGCACCAGCCACGGCGGATCATGCGGTCGATTATCCACTCGCATCAATTCAAAATCGACCATGGCGCTGTGGCAAACACCCAAGCGATCGCAGATAGACCACATGCACAGTTGTACAAGTCAACCTTGGTCAGGGTTGACTTGATGCTGTCCCAGGCTGTCTCGCTCTCGATGTCTGGCGTGCGCCCGGCCCCCTAGCCTTGGATACGCAGACGGCATCTGATGCTATCCAATCTGCTCCCAATCCCCTCATGCCCCAAATCCGACATGGCGATGCTTCAGAGCGATGTCATGACTGCGCGATTCTCGGAATTCCACCCCAACTATGTCATCGGAGGCACCTACTCTGGACAGATCCTGCTGTGGGACATGCGCGCCAAGAGCCAGCCTGTGCTCAAATCACCCCTGTCTTCGACCGGACACACCCACCCTGTCTACTCCATGGCCATGGTCGGCACCCAAAATGCGCACAACCTCATCAGTGCCTCCACCGACGGCATCGTATGCTCGTGGCTGCTGGACATGCTGGCCCAGCCCCAGGAAGTCCTTGATCTCGTTCTGACAGGAAGCAAGACCGAGGAGGTGGCTGTCACCACCTTTGGCTTCCCCGCCAACGAGACGACGACTTTCTGGGTCGGCACTGAAGAAGGCGCCGTTTACCAAGCCAATCGATTTGATCGTGCCGGAAGGTGAGCGCAGGCGCTGCGCCAAGCCACGATGTCGTAGAGATGAAAACACTCTACCAGATGGCGGCCGAGGCCACGCGCAATTGACCAGCCTGTGCTATTGCTAACACCCGCTCTCCTTGTGGCTTCATTATCCAGCAAAGCGGGAATCAGCCCACTGGATTCGTACCGGGGCCACAGCGGCATGATCACGGGCCTGCACTTCCACCCCCTCTTTGGCGCTTCGGACTTTTCTGACCTATTCCTGACCTCATCTGTCGACTGGACAGTGAAGCTGTGGAAGGTCAACAAGGTGGGCACTCCCTTCCCGGCGTGATGCGAGACTGATATGCCGGCTGGTGCTGCTGCGTGATTCTGATGCCGAGAGCAAGTTAGGGCAGCACGAAGGCGGAGCAATTCCTAGCACCGTGGGCCCTCAATCTGCATCGCGGTCATTGGATGCATGTCATGGGGTTGCTTGATGGCTAACACCCGCTCCGACCTCTCCGCGACTCCTCCGGGGCTGCACGATTCGATTGTGCACAGAGCACCACCAAGTCCGCTACCGCCCCTCAGACGGTTGCTCCCTTGTACTCGTTCAACGAGGCCGACGACTATGTTTACGATGTCAAGTGGTCGCCTGTCCACCCGGCCCTGTTTGCTGCTGTCGACGGCAGTGGTCGCATCTCCTTCTACAACCTCAACCAGGAGACCGAGGTGGGTTGTGCCGCAAGTGGCGTCGGTGATCTGATTTGGGCGATTGTATTTGGACGTCCTCCTGACAGCCATCTCCGCTCAGATCCCCACGACAGTAGTCCAGGCCACGGGCAACGCCGGTGCGGCCGGCTCGACAGCAGCTGCTGGCGCTGCATCCGCTGCCCAGAGTACATCCACGGGCGTCAAGGCCCTGAACAAGATCGCCTGGGACAAGGAGGGCAAGAAGACTGCCGTTGCTTCATCAGACGGACATATCTATATCCACGACGTTGGCGAGGCAAGTGGCACCATTCTGGCAACAACCATGGAGGCGAGGGATGGGATGGTAATCCTGGCGGTGGTCGGCAGTGGACCGGAGGCATATGCTCGCCGATGATGATCCTTTGAGCCACCCAAGCACTTCCTCGCCAAACGCTGCTAGTCGACAGATCCAGGCCGCGGAGAGGTATCGTCAGAGTGCGTCGATGCTAACCAGACCCACCTCTCTCACTCTCTTGTTTATGCTCTCTTGTTCATGCTCTCTGTCCGACTGCTCCTGCGAATGTTTGCTCACTGGATTGGGAAAACCTCTATACAGATGGCCATCCCGCATGCCGAGGAGTGGGCTGTTTTCGAAAGGACACTGACCGAGCTCGAGGCCAACTCTGCCTCGAACCCGTTCTAAGCGGAGCTGGCCCAGACGAATAACTCAAAAATGGCCGCGGTCGGTTGGTCATCCGCCCCTCGCCCGATGATGATCCCACGGGGCTCTCCTTCTTCCTTCTCGTCCTCCTCCTTCCTCCTCTTCCCTCCCTCTTTCCCATTCCCTTTGCTCCTTCGGGTCGCTCGCCTGTATGCCCACGCACTTTCTTTGCCGGGTGGAAACCAATGTCACTTTCTTGACTCTCCGCGACTTGCTCGCCCAAATACATCTGTTCGCTCACTGACTTGACTGACTTCACTGACTGGCAGGGCACATCTTGGTCGAGCGAAATAGTGGATCCATCGTTTTGTCCAACAGGCAATCTCCCAGTCCGCAGGGTCGGCCCTGGGCTGGCGCCAGCGATTCAGGGACCAGTCTGAGGCAAAAACCCCGCCCTGACAATGGCGGGACAGCCCGGTTCAGCGCGCAATGCAATCAGGCCTTCGGCGACATTCCCACTGTACCCACCCGCCCAGCCGATCGATCGACCGAGCGGGCTTTGGAGGGATGCACGTCGTTCATCCCGATGCCTGTTTCTGCATCTGCGTCTGGCTCTGCGGCTTGGCATCTTGACCCTGCTCGATATCACCGGCACGCTCGCAAACATCGATCCAGTGTTCCGAGAAAGCTCGCTAATCAAAGCACTTTGCCTACACCCAACCCCAGCGCCAACCCGCCCTCCGTCTTCCAATGAACACCGCGACAGAACGTTTCGATCTCTCCTCCGAGATCATCCCCGAGAGCTTCTCGAGCATGGTGCTCAACGTTGTCGTTGACGTGATGGAGTCAACACTGGCGCAGGTTGAGGACGCTGATGCCAGCATGGAAGGCATGCTCCGTCGAATCCATGACTACAACCATTTCACTGCCCTGGCCATCGGCGGTATCTCCAACGACATTGGCACCCGGCTGTGGTTCCTGGAAATGGATATTCAGCGGCTGCGGCCCGACAATGCCGGTATGACGGCCGAGGCCCTGGTTCGGCTGCGGGAGCAGTACAACGTCCTGTTCACAACCCTCAGCCGGCTCGAGGTCCTCATCAACGAGCTGCTCCTGGACGTGTTCGAGAACAAGAAGCTCGGGATATCGGCCTTTTACGAATTCGAGACCCGTCTTGAGAGCCTGAAGAGCAAGAGCCCCGATCCAGAGGAGGCTCTGTTCGCTGTCGTGTCTCGGTTCTACTATCTCATCACGCCCTTCAAGACCTCGCGGTCGTGGGAGGTGCTCGGGAAAGAGCTGGATGGGCTGATCGAGCACGTTCTGCAGGTTTTTGCACGAGCACCGTTTCACCGGCGTTGGTCCCTGCTGTCCGACACCTTGGCCGAGTGGGAGAGATCGATTGAGCAGTTTCACCGCATAGAGAGAGAAGTACGCGACGAAGCGCTCCACTGCCCCCTGTAGCAGGAGCAGCATGTCGACAGCTTGGGTCGCTGGCGCTTTGTTTCTTTATTATTTTTTGGCACACTTATGATATGTTGACGATAGATTCGAATGTGGACAGCAGCAGGGCGGCGGTACGGCGATGGCAGGGATAGCATAGAGCTCGTATAGAATGAAACGAGACTACCCAATTCGTGTTCATCGATTCAAAATCGTGGATAGTGTCCTGCATCGGTTTGCATGGCGAATGGTACGGGACAGCCCGTGCGAACGACTGCATCGCCCATGATATGCTGTTTATCACATCGCCCATCGCATCGCTCATTACATCGCTCATTACATCACCCTTCGCATCGCTCGTCGTCGCCCTTCGCCATCGGCCCCATTCGCCGGCACCGCACGCCGCGGCCGTCGCTTGTTCCAAACTCGGCGCGCACGATCGCACCAAACCTGCTCGGCGCCGTGCTGCAACCCTCACCGCACCAGCCCGTCCTGCCTCTGTCCTGCCTCTGTCCTGCATCTGCCCCCCCCCCATCGGCCTCGACGCTGCTGCTGCTGCTGCTGCCCGCATCCCCTCTGGGATCCTTCGTTTCCCTGCTGTGGCTCCCTCTGCTGCCCTGCATCTGTGGCTACATCCACGCCTCCATTAACTTCTGTCTCCATCGCCATCCGAGTCTGTCAAGGTCTCCTCCTGACTCCCCACCGACTCCCCACCGGCTCCCACTGACTCGCCCACCACCGCTTCGGCTTTTTTCCTTTCCCGGCTTCAATCGGCGTCGCTCCGGGACGCCGCCATTATGAACGGTACAACCCTGCCTTTTGCTGATCAGCACCGTTACGTCCCAGCCAACACTCAGCAAACCGATCCCTATTCAGCCCCAACATCGCCCAGTCCCGGGGACATCCAGCTTTCCAGGATCCCAAGCAAGTTTGCGCGACAATCTGTCGCCCAATCGTCCTCCCCCTCGCCTCTGCAGCAGTATCGATCGGCTCCGAATACGCCGCCGCCCACGTCCACTAGTCCATCGGCCCCCCATCCCCACTTGTCCTTTGCGCCGGCGTCCGGTCCCTCGACCATGCCCTGGGTATCGTCCTCACAGCCTGGTCCCGCTCAGCCGCCATCGCGAGACGAGTCCGGGAAACTGCCATTCTATGGCGACTTTGGATCGCTTCCAGGAAATCAGCGTCCTCGTCTGTCGGCATCCCATCCTCGAGCGGCCCCGCAGTCGCCCTCAGCCCTCTATGCAAACAAGTCTGTCGTTGAGACTCTGGCCGAGCAGAACGTCGATCCCGGCTCGGGTCTCTCGCTCGCCGAAGCCAATTCGAGACTCTTGATCCATGGTCCGAACGAGCTCGTTGTCAAGGAGGAGGAATCGCTGACCACCAAGTTCCTCGAGCAGTTCAAGAACCCGCTGATTCTGCTCCTGTTTGGCTCCGCAATGATCTCAATTGTGCTCAACCACATCGAGGATGCCGTCAGCATCACTCTCGCCATCGTTATTGTGGTCACAGGTCAGTGGAGCTCGCTTGTGCGTTACGAAACGCTACGGTGCGTCGTGATGGGTTGTGGTGCAATGGCTCGGTCATCGTCTGCATCAGGGATGGTGCCATCCGCAATTATCTGGGCTGGATACCTCTGCTGCCGCGAGGTCGGTAGACGAGCTTCGAGCAGCTGTGAATGAACTCGGTGCTGCCATCCATTGCCGGCCACTGCTACCCAGCGCCACTTGCTTCTGTAATCCACTATCGATCTGGAATCCTGAACCATCCTTGCCCTTTGCTCCATCATGCACATCCCGTCGCTCCACTTTTGCCTCAAAATCCGCAATCCCAACAACAACGCATCGACCAACGGCCAGTCGCATTCATTCAAGAGTACCGCTCCGAACAGTCCCTGGAGGCGCTGAACAAGCTGGTGCCGCATTATGCCCATGTTGTTCGGTGGGTGGTTCTTCGCCGCTCCTCATTTGGCCGTGCCACGCTGCAGCTTTCATCATTTGTGGGTGTGGGTAGGATCTGGTATGACAAGCCCTCTGTTCGGCCGCTCATATCGCCCGCTGTTGCATGTCCACTCAATTCGTCAGGAATGGGCATGAGTACACAATCGACGCCAATGACTTGGTCCCTGGCGATATCATCCGGTTTCGCACTGGCGATCGCATCCCCGCTGACATTCGCTTGATCTCGGTAAGCGGCAAGCGCACTTTGATCGTTTGGCTACGACACTGGTCCCGGCCAACTGCTCCAAGGCGCTCGATCGCAGAAGCTGCCATTTCATTCAGCCGGCCAGTTGGTGTTCTAAGTGCTGTCTGGAACGTCGGTTTTGTAGGCGTGCGATGTTGCCATCGATCAATCGACCCTTACTGGCGAGACTGAGCCCTGCAAAAAGCACACGGATGTCATCGACAACGGCGGCAGCGTCATCCCCCTGCAGGACCGAAACAACATTGCGTTCATGGGAACGCTCACCCGACAGGGATACGGATCCGGCGTCGTCATCGGCACCGGCGAGCACAGCGAGTTTGGTGTGGTCTTCCATATGATGAAGGATGTAAGTCGAGAGTGCTGGCACGCGGCGTTTGGGGAGTGACCGGGTAGATCGACCGCCCTCTTGTCTACATCTCCGTGGTGCCCATCTGTCGGTGGTTTGGGTTTTGGGAGGTCGGCACCGAGAATCCTGACTTTAGCCAACTCTGGCCACCCCACGACGCTTGCTCGCAGGTCGAAGTCCGCAAAACGCCGCTGCAGCACAAAATGGACCACCTCGGCAAGCAGCTCTCGATCATGTCCTTTGGACTCATCTTCTTGATCGCCGTCATTGGCGTCATCCAAGGCCGGACGTGGCTGGAAATGTTTACGATTGGAGGTAACGGCTGAATAGTCGGGGCCGAGCGCAACAACGTCGGCTCCAGGACCTCTTCTTCTCGAACCGCAGTCAGGATGGGTGTGGGAACGTATCTTCGATCGATGTGTATGTGTGCTGGTACTGGTGGATGCGCGGGCATTAACTATACCGCTCGCTGTCATCGCTATTGCAGTGAGTCTCGCTGTCGCTGCGATCCCAGAGGGCCTGCCGATTGTCGTCACGGTCACGCTGGCCCTCGGTGTGCTGCGAATGGCCAAGCGCAGCTCGATTATCAAGAAGCTGCCTTCGGTAGAAGCCCTTGGTTCGGTCAATGCCATTTGCGTCGACAAGACCGGAACCCTGACGCTGAACAAGATGACAGTGACCCGGTTCTTCACCGCCGCACAGGCCCGTGTCTATGAGGTTGACGAGTCTGCGCCCAACTACAGCCCGGCCGTGCACGCCCTCGTGCGCATCGGTAAAGCTCCTGCCTGTGACGGAAGTGGGAGATGAGACAAGGGATGGGCTTGAATGGCATGAAAGAAGTGTGCTTGGACTCATCTGCTGATTGCCAAAGCCGGTGCAATCTGTCCCTCCTCCACTGACAAATGTGTTCATCGTCGACGCAATGGCTGGGTGCACGACGCCTTTGGCGCGTACTGTTTTGTCGAACACCGTTGCTCCGAATCCAGGCAATCTCTGCAACAACGCCAAGCTCAACGAAGACCAGCACTGGATCGGACAGCCCACCGAGACTTCCATTCTTGAATACTGCAGCAAGATCTCCCTGGGTGATCTGAGGCTAGTAAGTGGCATGCTGTCCCTGTGCAACGTGGACGCACCCGTTTGATCAAACGGACTCCATTCAAACCATCGCTCCTATGCACGGCCACAGGAAAATCCCCGTATCAACGAGATCCCCTTCAACACCGACAAAAAATACATGGCCGTCGAGTGCGAGTATGGCATCCACGGAGAGCACGAAAACACCTTCTACGTCAAAGGCGCGGCCGAAACCGTCCTGGCCCAGTGCTTCCGGTACTACCACGGCCACGGCGACATCCGCCCCATCGATACTGAAACTCGAAGCATGATCGAGTCGAAGGCATCGCAGAGCGCCTCGCAGGGACTGCGGGTGCTGTGCATGGCATACGGACGCGCGATGAGCGACCTGGTTTTTGTCGGCTTCGTGGCAATGGAGGATCCCCCGCGCCCCGGTGTCCCAGAGACCATCCACAGGCTCCTGACGAGCGGAATCAAAATCGTGATGATTACCGGAGATTCAGGTAAGTCGCGAGTTGATGGACTGTGGGAAGAGTGGAGGCCAGGACCTTGCCAGGAACGAGATCCTTGCGGGCTTGGTGTCTGTCCTACTCGACATCGAGGTTGAGGATGTTCTCTCAAGCCATCCGTGAGAACGAGTCCGCTTCGATCAAGGGGCAGAGGCAGCATCCCCCGTGCATGCCGAGTGCTAACTGGCTGCCGATGCCTTTTTGTTCCCAGCCGACACGGCCTGTGCCATTGCCACGAACCTCGGCATCCCCTTCCGGGCACGCCAAGGCACTCTGTCGGGCACAGAGGTCGAGTCACTGAGCGAGCGCCAGCTACAAGAAGTTGTGGAGGGCGCCTCGATCATATACCGAGCGACCCCCAAGCACAAGATGCACATAGTGCGTGCGCTGCAGTCGCAGGGATACGTCGTAGCCATGACCGGCGATGGAGGTATGTGAGGTGCTCGCTGTCTCAGCTTCGATCACGCCTTGGTGGCTGTGCGCCAACGCCTGTTTGCTGATCGATATAACTCGCGCCACACGATATCAAGTCAACGACGCCCCTGCCTTGCGCCTGGCCGACATTGGCGTATCTATGGGCAAGAGCGGCACGGATGTATCCAAGGAGGCTGCCGACATGATCCTGGTTGACGACGACTTTTCGACTGTTCTCTATGCCATCGAGGAAGGTGAGTGTTGCTCTGCTGACAAATCACGATCCGCGATCGCGGGAGTGGATGCTCTTGCTTGAGGGCGCCGATGTCTGTGTCGATGTCTGTGTCGATGTCTGTGTCGATGCCTGTGTCGATCCATCAGTGCCGCCATGGTTCCTGCTGCTCTCAACCGGCTGTGCGGCGCTGTCCGCCAACTTTAGCATCGCAGAGATCGTGTGATGGACGATCTGTAGAACTGGAGCAGTCGATTTTATCCGCGTGCCCACGCGCGATCGCCCACGCATTTCACATCAGTTGCACACCCGCCCGCAAACTCACAGTTCAACCTCTTGCTCGCACTCTCACGCCGACTCTGCAAATGGACACAGGCAAGTCGATCTTCTACAACATCCAGAACTTTTTGAAGTTCCAGCTCAGCACGAGCATGGCGGCGCTGAGTCTCGTGGCCTTCTCGACGATTCTCGGGTTCGCCAACCCGCTCAATGCCATGCAAATCCTGTGGATTAGTAAGTGTCTGGGTGGCCCAGCGTTCCTGGCGGCGAAGCAAACAGCGCGTGGCAGAATCGCTGCCAAACAACGACCCCCCGGCCGCCGCCCTGTTGGGGCCGTATCGCCCTTGGGGAATGGGAGGGCATGGACCGGGTCCGCCTGGCACCGCTGACGCAGTTGCACTCTTCGCCAGATATCATCTGCGACGGACCTGTGGCGCAGTCTCTCGGTGTTGAAGCCGTCGACCCAAACATCATGCGCAAGCCCCCGCGCCCCAAGGACGAGCCGATCATCACCCGGGAGCTGGTCACGCGGATTGTCGTCTCGGCGGTGATTATGGTGGCGGGAACGCTCTACGTCTTCCGAAGTGAGATGATGGAGGGCGACGCTGGCCCTCGCGTGACGACCATGGTAAGCGATGCACACGACCGCAGATTGCCGTTGAGTGGAGGTGTGCCTGTGCTGTCGGTGCTGTCGGTGCTGTTGCGGTGGCGTGGGAACTGCACCGACGGCATACCATCGGCTGTGTGAGCGCCGTGCAAGGCCCATCCATCCAGCAATCTCAACGAACAGTGCATCAACTCACTCTGTTTTCTCCCCCCCCCCCTGTGAACGGCGTGCACTCGGTGCCGGCAGACGTTTACGTGCTTCGTCTTCTTTGACATGTTCAACGCTCTCGCCTGCCGGTCGGACAAGCGCTCGGTATTTGAGATCGGAATCGGAAGCAACCAGATGTTCAACTTGGCGGTGGTGGCTTGTCTTCTCGGACAGCTTCTGGTCATCTACGTACCGTTTCTGCAAGTTGTTTTCCAAACCGAGGCGCTTTCGCTTGGGGACCTGGTGTTTCTGACCCTGCTGGGCAGCATCGTCCTGTGGGTCGACGAGTTCCGCAAGCTTGTCGGCTACGGCGGCCGCGGCTTCTCGGGGGTACTTGGTGTCGTGGAACGAAGCACCCGCGGCATGATGCAAGTCAAGCAGAAAGCCGACTCGATGGAGACCGAGCGGCTGGAGCAGGTGGTGTGAGATGGGTGCTGCTGGTGCCAGTGCGGGATGGGATGGATGGATGGGATGGAAGGGTGCGGATGCGATATAGATGCTGGAGCCGTAAAGAATATACGCTCTACGGATTAACACCTGTGCCGATGGAGAGCTGCAACGGAGGGCATCGGCACTGGGCGGCACCGCAGCGCAGGACATGCGCACTGCACGGCATCGCCGTCGGGGCGGGTGGGAAGTACCCGTGCGGAATCGCCCGCAACGGCCGCGCGTCGCCATTGGGCGCCCTTGGCCCTTTTTTTTCTTCGTAATGCATTGGCGGCCACCCGTCCTCGGCCCCGCGACCATCGCTCGTCTCCACACCCGCACGATCACCAACCGCTTTAACGACCGCCTTAACGACTGTCTGAACGACCCCACCGCCGACAGCGCCGCCGACAAGACCTCGCCAAGACCGCCGTCAAGACTTCCTTCAAGCACCTTCCGCAAGCATCGCCTCACCGAGCACCTTCCCCGCAACCGATTCCAGCTGCTCCTTCAGACTGGGCCACCGCGCTGTCCCAAGCCTGCGTTCTCTCCCAGGTCCGTTGCCGTCCTGCGCCGTCTCGGCCCCGTTGCTGCTTTGGAGGGTCTCGCTGGGAGTTTCTCGGTCGCTCTCGCCTCTCCCGCCCTCGCTGCCACCGATCGTGCCTGCTGAGCGCACGAGAGACTTTTCTTGAGTATAAAGCCGCTGCATCGGCTGGCTCCACTGCCCCCACCTCCCCATTCGCCTGTCTCGCTGCTCTGTCACTTGTAAGCCCTCTGCTTTCCTGTCGCTGCTCCTGCACCTCCTCACGCTGCCCAGGTGTCACTGCGAGCGACAGCCGTCAATGTCTGGCCAGTTTCGTTTCCGGGCTCCACATCCCGCCCTTCAGTCCATCGCCACTTGCATCGTCGCTTGCGTCGGCACTCTGGCAAGCCCCTGCCTACCAGAGGCGGTGACTTTTTCATGAACACACGATGATGCACCCTCTCTGGACTGGCGAGCCTATCCTGTGATGAGACAATCTCGCCCCTCTTTCCTCCCTTCTCCCGGCTGCTCGGGATGGGCTGGCTGCAGCCCGGCGACGCTCTGCTGGTTCATGGCACCTTGCAGACCCCCTTCGTCCCTCAGACACGCTCGGAGCCGGGTAGTCCATGGCTAATCGCTCTTCTCGCTCTCGATTGAATCTCTAGATACTTTGTAGTCCCAAGCTTTCCGATCGCCTACCGGATCTCCTCAGCATCTGATTCACACCCACTCACGGTCGTCCAGCACCTCAACTTTGTTTGCCACTGCCAACATCGCCTCCTGCATCGCATTCCCCGATTCGCCTTCAATTATTTACAGCGCCATGTCCGAGCATCCCAAGCGTCAGCAGAAAAAGAAGTTTGTCTCGCTTTCCGAGTTCAACAGCCAGCAGCGCCAGCAGCAGAAGGGCCAGAGCCCGCTCTCTGCCGGGGCCGATTCGTCCTCTGCCTCGCAGCTCCCGCCCGCCTCGCCCCCGGCCCAGTCCTCCCCCGACGCCTCGTCAGAAGCAGCGGTCGACCTGGCCGCCTTGACTCTGGCCAAAGGTGGCCCACGCCAGAACCAATCCCAGTCCCAGTCCCAGTCTCAAAACCAAAGTCGTCACCAACATAACCGCCGCAACCAGCGGGGTGGAAAACCCCCGGAGGCGGCTGCAGACAGCAGTCCCGCCAACCAGGGCCGGTCCCGAAACAATGCCAGGGCTGCTGCTGCCCCTCCCCCTGTGCCTGTACCCGAAGACGACTCGGACAGCAGCTCGGAATCAGACTCGGAGGAGGAGCTGTGCATCATCTGCGCCGATCCCATCTCGTGGTATGCCGTTGGCGAGTGCAACCATCGAGTCTGCCACATGTGCTCGCTCCGCCTCCGTGCCCTCTACAAGATCAACTCGTGCTCGTACTGTAAGGTGAGCGCCGTGTGCCATATTGCCCCATCGCTGCTGGAACGGGTGCTCAAGCACAGAGTGGAGCCGATGCCGTGTGATGCGCAGGCTGGATGGCACCCGTTGCCACGCCAGATCCATCCGCCATCATATCGGACCCGTCCGTCGTCTCCCGGTAGAGATGCATCAAAGTGCGTGCGGATGTCTGGCTGCAGTGCGAAAGCTCTCGTGCGGCAAGTCTCCGTGTTTCCCAACAATCGTCTTTCACGACTGACCCGTGGCACTTGCTTCTCTGTGTGAACTCGGTACATAGAGCGAGCTCAAAGACGTCGTCTTCACCAAGGATAGAGAAGCTCCCTTTTCGTCGTTCAATCTCGCGCGACTTCCTCATCACGACAAACGGACAGCAATATACTTTGACAGCGACGAGAGCTACGAAGAAGCAATGATTTTGCTACGATTCAACTGTCCGGATCCCGACTGCGAGGTTGCATGTCCGGGCGGGTGGGCTGAGCTCAAGAACCACGTCAAGCATGTCCACAAAATGAAGATGTGGTGAGTGTCTGCCCGTGGCGCTGGCCGTCGTGATATCACTGCACCATGGCCGGATTTGGCTGCCTCTCTCCGTCAAACCGGAGCGTCTTCCACCCTCAGAGGCACATGGACATTGCAGCCCGCATAAACTCACTCCACTGCTCTGTTTTCCGCAGCGACCTCTGCACCCGCCACAAGAAGGTCTTCACTCACGAGCACACGCTCTTCACGAACGCCACGCTCAATCGCCACTACAGCGAAGGTGATCCAGAGGACCGGTCCTTCCGCGGGCATCCCGAGTGCGGCTTCTGCAGCCTCTCGTTCTATGGTCAAGATGAACTCTTTGAGCACTGCAAGAAAGATCACGAACAGTGCTTCCTGTGCGTGCGAGCCGGCATTCGCAACCAATATTATGCCAACTACGAATCGCTGGTACGTCCTCTCCCCCCCAGTCCGACCGCGAAATGCAGATGCATCGCATGCAGGGAGAGACCATACTCTTGTCGCCCGAGATGCGCGTGTCGTATGATACACCAGTTGACACGATACCTTCTCTCTTCCCTGCTCTGCAGGAGAACCATTTCCACTCTGATCACTTCTGGTGCAAGGAGCCCGAGTGCTTGGAGAAGAAGTTTATCGTTTTTGCCACTGACATTGACTTGCTCGCGCACGAGGTCAGTCGCGTGTGACCTTTAGCTTTCCTGATTGTCTTGGATGCGCTTGTGCGTCAGAGTTCGGCTCCACACCATCACATCATTATTGCCTTGCATCGGCTTTGTCGTTTCTCGACCATGTCACCCTTGTGGGCGATTCAATCCGTCGCTCTCGTCAATTGATCACCCACCCACCCCTCCGAACTATCTGCCGCACACTCGCTAACCCGCGCCATTCCTTTTGCTTATTCTCCTATCACTGCACGATGGCATCGTTGCTCGCCGCCGTCCACCTGCCGAAATCGCCGGTCTTAATCTCTGCCGACAAACCTCCAGATGGAAGCCCATCCCGGCAAGCGCTCCGGCAAGGGCCGCCCCAACATCGAACTCAACTTCTCCTACAGCGGCAGCGCCTCGCGTGAGCGCCATGCAAGGGGCGGCGACCACGGCCACCGGGATTCTGGGGCAGGCTCCAACTCCCGTGGCCGTGGCAAGGGCAAGGCTCCTGCAACCCCATCTCCCGTGGCCGATCAGCCTAGCAACAGTGTTTCGACTCACTCGCAGGACTCACCTACGCCATCGCCATCGACAAACACGGTTCCTGGCGGACGGATTCGACCACCCCCTGGATTCGGCTCTCAGCTCACCCCGGCGGAGCCTGCTGCAGTCGTTGAGGCTCCACCCACTCCCACCCCAGCGGCCCCTGCCGAATGGATTGCCAAATCGAAAGCCCGGAGCAACCTGCGCTCGACCGAAGACTTCCCGTCGCTCTCGAGCGCGGCCTCTGGATCGTCGAGCTCTCAACGAACGCCGAGCGGACCAAGCTATGCTAACCCCAACGCCGCCGCCGCCGCCGCATCGTCCAGGTCGGCGGAAGGTGATCCCGAGTTGATCCCAAAGCTCCAGCAGCTCTTTGGCTCGGATCTCCCGCGCTTCAACCAGTTCAAGGCAATGCTGGCGCAATTCCGCTCTGGCGAGATGCAGGCTGCTGAGCTCTTGGAGCGGTTCCTTCACTTGGCCACATTGGGCAAGACTGCCGGAAAGCAGACGCATCACGCCGAACACGAAGCCGCCCGCATCTGGACAAAGCTGGCCGAAACGGCGCCTGCAGATGGTCTTGGCCGTCCTGGATCCATCACGAAGCGCGAGGAGATGCTCTTTGCCCTCAACGACTGGAAGATCAAGGTAGGCAGGCAGGTCAAAGCATGCCCGGACGACCGTAGTGTGTCTGTTCATCGAGTGTGGCCTGGCTGTGTCGACTTTCCTGTCGTTGTACAGTGGCTGTCTTGCAAGGTTGACCTTTTATTGTTGCATGCCGGTCACCCTCCACGGCATCCTGACCACCCTCCACGGCATGCTGGTCATCCTTCATTGCACCTCACTGTTGATTACCACCTCTGACACCTGCGCTCTGCTACTTGCCTAATTTGCCTCCCCGTCTGCAGCAGCGGCGCATCAGCGAGTCCACCACGCCCAAGCACAAGGCGCCCTACGGGCTTGCGACCGCTGGCTCGTCCGTATCTCCCAGCCCGCCGTCGCCCTCCGGCTCCAAGGTGCTTGTGATCAAGAGCGCCTCTAACAAGCAGCGCGTGAATGCTGCTGGATGGGCAGCAAGCAGCGCCGGCCGTGGATATGCCAAGCCTGCTGTCGAGCTCGACGATGGCGCCTGGGACCGGATTGCCAGCGACACCATCAACAGGATGCGCGAGCCTCCGACCCCGCCAAGCCCACAGACGTTCGTGCCGTCCAATACCACTCCAACGCCCAGGCCTGCGGCATCAGCATCAGCATCGACATCATTCTCGGCCATCATTTCGGAGCCTCGGGTCAAAGGCGGTGCTTTTGGTCGTGGCACCAGCGCCCAGGACGAGTATCCAGCCTTGGCGCCGACCAAGACTTCGACCAAGAGCGCGTACATGCGAACCGGGTCGCATGGCACCCGGGTGATGCAAAACTATGGCCTCATTTCTCCCGCACCAGCATCCAACCCGTGGGGACCAGCAGGCTCTGCCGACAACGACGATCCTGAGGAGGACTCTCAGCTCGAAGATCGCTCGAAAAGCAAGCGACAGGGGAAGAAGAAGCAAGTTTTGCTTCGTGTCGGGCTGTAGCCCCCTCCCCCACTGCCCCATTCTGGCTGCAATACTACTCCGGACTGTGTCGCCTTGAGATGGAGGAGAAGGGGCAGTGCGTTAGCTGGCTGTTTCCCCGGGCTGCTTCGGTCCCAGACCGCACAGCCACCCTGCTCATGATGCTGTGGGCCTGCCGCGCCTTGATATCTCGAATAGAATTGCAGCGGGCTTTAGCTCCTCCACTCCCTCGATGTCCATGCGACCGTTTCCTCGATGAGCTCTCCCGGCAATTTCGCGTGGCGAGCAAACGGGATCTATTTGGATATGCACCGGGTTCATGTCGGTGGTCGTGATGGATCGAACGTCTTGCTGTGAGCACAAGTGGAGGAGGGGGGGAGTGAGATGCAAGGGCATAGGCGTCGCCATAATTCACGTTGCTGTCGGCGATGACGGCAGCAGATTTCCAACCGCCAAAAGGTGAAAGAGTACATGGAACCGGTGAATGTCTTTGCTCTATTCCTTCCCAAAGTACTCTCGGGTGTGGGCGCACTTGGGATTGGTGCACTGCGGGCAGCGCAGGCCCAGCTGGGTGGACACCTTGGTGCCGGTGCTGAGATGGTCCTTGACAAGCTTGGCCAAGCCGTCGATAAAGACCGGGTCGTCATTGAGGGACTCGACTCGCTTGAGGTTGACTCCGTTCTGAGTGGTAAGAACACACCATGCAAATGAGTTGCATACGACCAACAAGAGCAAGAGCCAGATGCGACGCTGGCTGACACGGTTAAATGCAGGCACAAAGGGCACATCCTCGAGTTCCGCTTCACGTCGCTTGGCTTCTGCGATCCAGAACGCACACGCACCTCTTTGGCCAGATGCACATATTCGATGTCGACTTCAAACAATGTCTCGATGTGGTCCGAGACGAATGCAATCGGCACCACCAGGAGGTTCTTTTTGCCCTGCTTGGCATATCCCTCGATGACTTCGTTGGTCTTGGGGCCGAGCCAAGCGGAGGGGCCGACCTGGGACTGCCAGATCAGGCGATACGGGTTCGAAAACCCAAGTCTCTCCATGACCGCCTGGACGGTGGCCGCGACTTCTTGGGGATAGGGATCTGCCGGATGTCATATGGTATATGCCCGGCGGGCCCCAGATGTGGAGCGCATTCCAGCAGACGGCGTCAGTCGAGAGGTCGTACGCACAAATCGCATCAGCGACGAGCAGGCGAACCAGTAGAGCCTCATTCATGCTGCCGTATGGATATCGATCCCTCGTATCGGCGATGGCGAGCAGCATGGAGAGACGGCGGAAAGTCTTCTCGAACGCTGCATATCACCAGGTCTCCTGCCAGAAGCCGCAATAACCCAGCAACAATTGCAGCATGACATGATGTCGCATCACGAACCTCCTCGGTTGACCACCGACATGGGAAGCGAGTGCGCTGAGAACAGCAGCACCACATCCTTTCGCTCTTCGCTGGAGTACTCGGCCAGAGACCGTTCGATGTGCTGGGCAAAGGTCTGGGCGGCAGATGCGGCTGTGAGCCAGAGAAAGGGTTCCGGTGCGGAAGCAAAGCGGCCAAGGTGGCAATACTAACGACATACCTCGATGAGCTGGGGCTGGGTGGGCCAGCGGTCGATGATGCTCCACGAAAAGGCATCTTTCATGCCCAAGCGATCCATGGTCTTGTGAAGCTCGTTGAGCGATGAGCCAGTCGTCGAACAGGAGTACTGAGGATACATGGTCAAGGCGACGGCACGCTCGACGCCGTCCTGCTTCATGGCCTCGAGGGTCTCCTGGGTCAGCGGAGGAGCGTATCGGAAGGCGACGTATGACTTGTGGGGTGCTGGCAGGGTTCGGGTCACAGCAGTCGGTGAGAAATGAGGCCAGAGCACCCAGCCAGCGAGCGAGAACCGCCAGACGGCAGGCCAGATATGAACACTCACCTGTCTCGGGACACTGCTTGTCCAAGATCGACTCGAGAAGCTTGCCTTGTCGCTCGGTCCAGTAGCGGATGGGCGATCCACCGCCGATCTGGTCGTATTGCTCCTCGATCTTGGGGGTTCGGCGCCTGGCAATCCAAGGAGCCAGGACGCTCTGGAAGGGAATGGGGATCAAGTCGCCATCGGCAAACAGATTGCCGAGGAAGAAGCCGACCTCCTTCGAGGTCGAAGGACCACCCATGTTCATCAAAACAATGGCAGTGGGGCTGCGAGGAGATTGGGATCGTGGGTTGGGGGTTGGGGGTTGGGCGATACCGGCATCCCGAAAGGAGCCAGAAAACATACAACATGCATCCGAGGCAACCCAGCAGGGCAGCAACAGGTGACAACGTGGTAGAGTCGTAGCGCAACAGTAGGAAACGAGCGAGCTCAATTAGATTATCCGATCGCCTGGATCGTGAAGCCGTGGCTGTATTGCTGAAGCCAGGCCGGTAACAGAGCGATCCGCTGCATGTGTGGCTTGACTTACGGCTTGGGCTTGGCCTCGGCGGAGAAGTTAGCTGCCAGACATCGCTGATCTGCATGCGTGGACCATGGAGCAGGCTCGGGGATGTAAGCAACACTTTGCGCAAGGAGGCATCGGCTCTCGTTGTGCTCCAGCCATGAAGAAGCGCATGAACCTCGCGGACAGCCCGGATCTCATCAGGAGCCTCGATCAGGCAGCGAGACCAAACCCTGGGCAGCAAGCACGTACATGGGCCGCGAGCAAGAAGGACGGGCTTTGGGAGACGGAAGAGTTGGTTCATGTCGGAGGGCTTGGAGATGGACGGGGGAGAGGGTCGACGAACAGACCAAAGTCGCTGGTAGATCTCGGGAAGGCAAGGCAGCTGGGCTCGTCGGCAGATCCAGAGAAGCAGGAGGCTTGAGACGCGAGCAGCCGCGCCAGGCGGAGAAATGCGACTGCGGAGGAGGAAGAACATGTTCAAGGGCAGCAGCAGACCAGATGCCCCGGGGTGAAAACGGGTTGCCCACCACGGCCATCCGGCAGGGGCAGCCAGCGACAGGGGTACAGGACGGTGTATTTCGTTTGGCACCAGCAGACGACAAGCTAAAGCAGCGACAGAACACCATGTCGCTCCAAGGGTCTCTCTTCGCAATTCGGAATGTCGCCAAACTGGCAGCGCATCCGCAGATGGGGCTGAGAGGAAGGGGGGGAGAGGGGAAGCTGAAAGCAACGGCTAGCTCTCCGGCATCCCAATGATCGTTGTCTGGGAGCTGGCGGAACTGGTGCCGCTCTTTTGGGCCTTGAGTGTGTTGGACTTGGCCTTCTGGTGCTTGGACCGGAAGATTGTTGCCATGAGCTGTGCATTTGGGCTCTTGAAGCCGCCTTCGGGCGAGCGAGCCAGATTCAGCTCCTCGGACCATTTGGCCAGCAGGTACAGCTTGCGGGACTCGAATTCACTGGTCACGCAGATGATGGCGGCGGCAGCGCAGGTCGCCGGGATGGCCGTCACATCAAAGTAGCTGTAGATGGTGTTTGTGGCTATAAAGATGCCCGTAAAGACATGGAAGATGACCACCACGATCAGGATCGGATAGTAGCAGATGGCCAGGAGGCCCGACTGGGATCCAGCAGCAAAGGTGGCAATGACGACACAGTTGATGCTGAGAAAGAAGGTGGCATCGTCGATAACTTGGCTGTTGATGAAGAGAAAATGGTTCAGGACCCAGCCGCCTATGTTGAAGACGGCGCTGGTCAGGATCACAGCCTGCCACACCCAGGGATCCCGGCGCATCTTGGAGGATAGCAGGAACAGCTTTGGTGCAATCAGGGCCACTGGAAAGTAGATCAAGAAGGTGATGCTCGTTGCAGTTCCCTGTTGGATCAGTGTCCAGCTCGAGAGTAGATTGGTGGTGATGGCTCCAACGACGTTGATGACGGTCGTGGTCACATAGAGATACACCGATCTCTTTGTCATGATTCTGGCCACGGCGAGTGTGTCCGGGGAAGGGCGATAGTGCAGAGCACGTCAGTTGATCGGAACAGGCGGTTCTCGGGGCTGGCTGGGATGGAAGAGAAGACGGGCTGCGACATCTCACCTTCGATACTCCATCTCCAGCGTATCGTCCATGAAACGCATCATCACAAAGGTCCGCCAGTAGACCCATAGTCTTTGCTTCCACGACTGGTTCTGGATGCATGCCATGTCGCCGATGGGCAGAATGTACTCCCGAGTATCGATGTTGCGGTCCGCAAGGTAGAAGGGAATCTCATTGAGGATTGCTGCTGGAGGAGGCGAGAGTTCATCCTTCATCTTGATGATTTCCTTGGCAGTGTAGAACGACACGCGGCGATTGAGGTCCTGCACCCGTTTGCCAAGCAGAAGCGGGTTGTTGGTTCAGTGGAAAAAAACGAAAGATGAATGGTGTGCGAGAGTGCGTGGGAATGCGTGAGAGTGCGTTGGAATGCGTGAGAGTGTGGGAGCCGGCGAAAAGTATCGAACGCCAGCACCAACCACAGGCACCAGTGCGCCGTGCCAAAGAGTCGGCATTGCACCCTCACCTCAGCATAGGCCGCCAGCATGCCCGTGAGGGCCACCTTGCAGTACGTGAGCAAGACCGAGAATCCGTGGATGTTGCTGAAGACATTCGGATTGGTGAAATACCAAATCAGAGGCGACAGCAGCACAAACAGACCCATGGTCAGGTGGATCGATGAGCTTCGCCCCTGGTATGTGCTTGCCATGGAAAACACAATGGCGACATGGTGCGGGTTGATGATGATGCCAGCAGTTGCTGGGGTGTTGACGTAGGTCGAAGTTCGAACAGTCTGCCAGGCCAGACTGACAAGGATCCCAACGAGCCCGATGTGGGACATCCAAACTCGAAAGTTCGGACTCTGAGTGTATATCTTGGTCAAGCCGACTTGCAAGACCAGGCAGCAAACAGCTGGAGAGTCTGGCAGAGTACAAGCCAAATGCATTCAGCATCGTCGGCGGTGCTGTGTTTGCGGGCCCTGGAAACAGCACAGCATCAACCCAAGCGAGCGGCAGCGACTCACCACTGATGTCTGGCTGGCTGACCAGCCAGTTGAAGGCTACAAACATGATGTACGCAATCGCCACGGTGTCGTTGAGAGCAAAACGTCTCCAAGACACTGCCGAGAAGGCCATCCATTCGCTTTCGATCTGTGAAAGGCGGTGGAGAAAGCAAGGGTCAAGGACGGCACTAGCACCGCGCGAGGTGTCATGACGAAGGGCGGTGTGGTGCTGGATCCATGGTCATGCATACCTGCGGATCTCGGAACCTCAAAGGATACAATCTGATATGCTTCATTCTCCCTGGCTCAGTCAAGCAAGGTTACGGTTTCGGTGGATGGTCTGGTATCGTGCTAGAGATCCAGGGGAATTGGAAACCTTAAGGGCGTCTCCAAGATCACTATATACTCTGGGCCGCGGCTCAGAGGATGTCTGTCGGTGCCCCGCAGGTATTCTGTTCGGAAGCTACATTATGAAGCGCCAATCAGGACTGCGACCGCATCATTATTTGGAGGGCTGTCCTCGGCTGGTATGTGGAAACCCAGAATTCCAACGCTCCTGCGGATTTTCTCCCAAGACATTTCCTTTTGGCATGTCAGGCCCGCTCGAGTCTCTGATGGTCCTTGATTCCGATGTGCGGTGCATCCTCTGTCTTGGTGTTTCGACAGCCCAGGCGGAGGGATATGTATGCCAAGTATACACTTCCACCGACCTTTCCTCAGATTCGTACGGGATGAGTTGCTCAGTTCCCCGCACTGTGTCGGATGTAGAGAGAGTGTGTCTTGGCATAGCAATGGCGCCTTCACAGTATTTGGGCCTCCTCATAGTACCGCTAGTGTGGCTCTCCCGCATCGCCAGGGCACTCGATTGATTATGGAAGCTGGGTAATCGTTCGCCAACCGGCTCTATACCTTGAGATGCCCATCCTCGCCCGTCCCGTACACTCGTTGCGAGCACCTGCACTTGGGACCATTAATCAAGGTACCAGTCGACTTGGATATCATGGTCAATATTCTTTCGCATGTACCAGTCGAGCACCAACGAGGCATTGGCATGCTGGGCACAGTGCGGATCGATCGCTGGTGCTTTGCCAATCAGATGCAGTTATGAGGAGTTGAGCTCAATAGCCCAACAGCGTTGTGCGGGCAGAGTCGGGATTCGAGGTGTCGCCGGTATTGTCGTGAAGATGGAAACATGATTGGCAGCTCACTTGTTCGATTGCATCTGGCAGTGCATCGCCTTGCTCGCTAGGAGCAACCGAGATGCTCAGCCGAGCAATAGCGACTGACATCAGTCAGCCGAACGGACGGCGGCGCTTTCTTCCTGTTATCGCGATCGAGCTGTCCTTTGAAAAAAAAAAGAAGAGATCCAAACGCTACCACTGGCTTCCACCAGCTCGCTTGCACCCCGGCGTGCGCCCACGATACTCTCCCCTCTGCATCCTATCGCTTGTTCAATCTGCCCAGGGCGTCGCCGAGCATCCCGCGATGTGCACAAAGGACCCTGAGCTCCAGAGCCAGCTGGATCACAGCCGGAATATCGACAAAAACATACAAGCCGAGGCGAAGAAGCTGTCGACGGACCCCTCTGTCAAGTTGCTTTTGCTGGGTAAATCTGCGCGTGAGGGATGGATATGGCCACGAGGTGTGGGAACGACTCATGTACATGAAACTCGATGGAGGAGAGTCGATGGGCTTTCATCTCGGCCCCAGGGCTGTGACAGACGCTCAAGCTCGGTGCTTTTGTTCACGTTTCAGGGACAGGCGAGAGCGGCAAATCCACCATTCTGAAGCAGTTCAAGCTCATCCACGGGGCGGGATTCTCCAAGATCGAGTTGTCCGTCGTCCGGGATTGTGCCCTCGGCAACTTGGTCACCTCGATGATATCCCTGATCGACGCCATGACACCACTCAACATCGAATTTGAGGATCCCGATCGAGCCATGGTACGCATATCCGTTTTGACTCCGTAGAGTTGTTAAAGGCGAGCGAGGCATGGTGAGGACGGTGCTCTGGGTTTCCTCGACAGCCTTATGTCGGCGAATGGATTGTCGAGTATTGGGAATACCTGCTCGGCGGACAGAGCTTGCCTCAGTAGCCACAGTTTCTCCAAGTTAAATGATCTCCTGTTCGTCCTCGTCGAATACAAAACGACCAACCGGAGTAGAAATGTGTTCCCGTCGTTCGGTCGTGCGCGAGGTACTATTCGCCCGAGACGGATATGTCGGTCGATCAGATTGAAGCCATAGAGTGCCTGTGGAGCGACGAAGGCATCCAAAGGTGCTTCAAGCAATCGAACAAATTCCAGCTGTTGGACTCGTGTGAATAGTAAGTCTGGGCTCTTGCCCTGCTCGTGTGTCCTTCGGCATCGCAAACCAACTGCGGCCGGGATGCGGTGCTGAGCGCATAAAATGTAGTCTCCGGCTGCTCGTCAGCCCGACTGCATCCGCTTGAGACTGTCTCCGACCAGTCAGCCCTGGTTGTCGATCGTCAATGCATTTTGGCCCTGCCTAACCACATGCACAATACATACTTGTCCCGCCACCAATGTATCGCCATTTCAGTCTCATGTCGAACATCCGGAGAATCACCGCCAAGAACTTTGTGCCGACGCCGGACGATGCGCTTCGAGTCCGGATCATGACGACGACGGTGACCGAGAGCGTCTTTGAGATCAAATCCGTGCGCATCCGGATATTCGACATTGGCGGCCAGCGCAGCGAGCGGCGCAAGTGGATGGCGTATTTTGATGACTGCCAAGCCATGATCTTCATGTCGGCAGTTGGGTCCTATGACCAGGTGTGCTCTGAAGACGAGGAGACCAACCGAAGTAAGTGACGTTGCAGTCATCAGACAATCAAGAGGGCATCGGCGAGCGTCGGCAGCCGGAGGTGGCACTTTCGAGGGCCTCGCTTGTTTCTGACGCTGTTGGTTACGCTCACATTTCCGCCGGGACTGTTACAGTGGTCGAGTCTCTCCGGGTCTTTGAAGGGATATGCAACAACCCACTCTTTGAGAAGACAGCCATCATTCTCTTTCTCAACAAGATCGATGTGCTGACGAGCAAATTGACCAGCATCCCAGTGAGCGACTATTTTCCAGACTACAAAGGTGAGATGAGATGGCATGGGCGATTGCATCAGTGCCCTGCTGTCCTGCTGTCCTGCTGTCCTGTTGTCCTGTTGTCCTGTTGTCCTGTGGCTTAAGCGTCTTTCCGTCCTCACCAGGGCCGAATGAGGTGCGGGCAGTGTGCGAGTACTTTGGCTCCAAATTCCTGGCCACCAACAAGGCTCCCAGCCGCAAGATCTACATTCACCAAACCGTTGCCACCAACACAGACCAAGTCCGCAAGGTCATTGCGGATGTGGTGCGGATCGTGGCCAAGGAGAACCTAGCCAAGAATAATCTGTTGTAACGAACAGCACCCTCGACAAAACGGCCCAAAATACAGAGAGCAGCGGGTGTTGTCCCGGGCGAGCCGTTGTTCGGAGCCAGCGACTCCGCCCGATTCTTGGGAGACAGCCAGCGGCATCCCGCCATGCCATGAAAGGCCGACAGGGACTGGGGCGTTGGCCGGTGGCTGGACGGACTGGAAGAGCAGGCTATCGGTTTGCTGGTCGGGCAACGATCCGGATGGCGAACAGCGGGTCCTCACTCGGCATCAGCCACGGAACAGGACCATCGGATGTGGAAAAGCTGAGAAGCATTCCGTTGTATTTGCCAGAAACGGGGGGGGGGAAAGGCGAAGGCGGGGACCAAAGTTGCGATCAAAAATACAGAAAGTTTGGACGCTTTCAGAGAACACACGTAAGAGGCCTTTCCGTCGAAAAAAAGGGGGGGGGCAACCACAACCTCACATTTTTGGTCCGACAACTCTAGCTGTAGATGGAGGGAAAGCTGAACAAAAATGGTATGAGACACTTCTCAGTTTATGCTATCGGTGCCGGACGACTCGCACACCTCGTCATAGACAACCACGAGCCAAACATGCTGCTGCGTGAGCTAGAAAGAGAGTGGGCGGGCCGGGCCCGACAATCACAGGAAGAGACCAAACGAGAGCTTGGGGGGGGGTGCGGATGAGTCAGATGGCAGTCCGTTTACAGGTCCTCGAGACCCTTGAGGGTCTCCTCGAGTTCCTGCTTGACAGCGGTGTACTTGGCAGTGACTTCCTCGAGCTTCTTCTCAAGCTCCAGCTTGTCCGAGTCGAGCTGCTTGGCCTTGCGCTCAAACTGCTCGGCGTGGAGCTCAAGAGCACGGGCCCTGGGGGTAGACAAGACGAGGGAAAGGTGGCGGGTGAGCGGCGACGGTTGGGAGACAGCAGCAACGACAGGGATGACCGCGGCGCCTGGACGCTCCATACTTGGGGACCAGCTATGGGGACAGATGCAGAGGCAAAAGTAGATATCGTTAAGGCAAATACTAACTTTTCAACAGCTTCCTTTCGGCTCTTCTCCTTGTCCTCGAGCTGTGTCTCGAGCAGGGCAACTTTGCGCTGGAGGGTCTCGATGGTGGACTCGTGGCTATCGCCCTCGACCTTCTTGAGCTTGACCTGAAGGCGGGTGTGTGGCGTCGGCGAAATGCATATGCGGTTGGTCAGGCGCCCGGAATCAACCACGGGGACGGCCGGCAAGAGCTAGATCTGCCTGGATGTGACTCAGGCCCTCGGGTACGACTTGCAGCTTCAGCCACCGCCTGATCCGGCGTTCCGGACACACCCGCGGTCCAGGGCGAGCCACCGCAGAAGAACCATCGAGCCTCCAGAACAGCGGGCACACACGCAAGCGATGGCGCCAAGCAGACGGGCCCCCGGTGCGAGGGGCATATCGATCCGGCAGCTTGCGAGCAGAGCGATCCTTACCTCATCAACACGCTTCTCGGCCCGCTCGAGGTCCATGGTGAGGAGAGTGACCTTGTTGTTCAGGTTCTGGACATCGGTCTCGCGCTTAGCAAGGTCGCTTTTCAGCTGCTTGATTTCCTCCTCGGCCTTCAGGGCACGAGTGTTGTTGGACTCAGATTCGATTCTGAGCTTCTCGAGTTTCTGCGGACGGGATAACCAGGGAGGGATGTGAGCACGCTGCCGAGCACCAGATCCACAAGCGGATGTTGACCCCCAACTGCCGACGTGGTTACGGCCGGCCCTGGGAGCCAAGGCGCTGGCTGGCCGATGGCAAACCACGCCTATCGCCTGCCCAGCGAGACGCTTGCAGCCCGAGTCGCTGGCTGCAGGGTCAGGCGGAGCAGTACGACAGCGCACTCTGGATGGCTCGATGGCGACACTGCGGCATCCAAACCCACTGCCGACCAGAGACAGCCTGGCCGGATGGCAGGGCTTCCGCCAAGTGAGCCACCGACTTGCTGGGGGGGGGAGTTGGTTGGCAGGGGAGGGCACAACAGGGACACGGCAACCAAAGCGACGACCGACGAGACGCCGCAGGGAACAGCATCAGGCATCAACAGGGCTGTCTGGCTCACCTCCTTGATCTTGTCCATTTCTGAGGCTGGCTGTGGGATATGTGGTGGTGGTGGTGGTGGTGCGAAAGCGAAAAAAGGCCGTGCCGAGCAGAGAGGAGCGTTTCGAGATGTCGTCTCTCAGGGCCGCGACGCCAGCGGTGCCTTCTATACGGCCAGGCGGTATTAAATTAATATATTTAAGGCATTGCCTATTCGGACACTGGTGCGACCGGAGCGCGTCGGCTGGTCGCGGCTGGCACGAGGCGGGGAGCGAGACCAGTAGCGAGAGCGAACGAGGGCGTGGGAACGGCCGTTGCTGTGTGCGAACAGGCAGAAGCAGCCCAGTCATGTCGTTGGTACGGATGCTGGGGTGTGCAGATGCACCGTCTGGCTGCCCCGCATGGTCTTGCCAGGGAGAACACAGCGCCCTCTGTCTGGTATATATATGGGCATCCTGATCAACCAATACACCAGTCGTTCTGTCTGGGACTGCCAGCACAAACCAAAACATTGACGGGATAGTATGGCTAATTTCCGCGATTGATCATATTACATTAGAAGGGCACCAAAGCCGTTTAGGGGTTGTGAAGATGGAATAAAGGACAGTACGAGTCAGGTTGTCGAGTGACCGGCGACAGACCGACCGTTAGCGAGGGAAGATGGAATGAAGCATACAGACACAAGCAGTGGGCACGTCTTCCAGAGACGAAGCTGATGCTTAGTTGCCGCCAGAGGTGGTGAAGCCATAGGTCTGGTCGGTCGAGCCAATGCCAGCCTGGCCGTAGCCGATCCATAAGAAGCCGTCAGTGCCCCAGGTGGTGGTCCAGGAGTTCTTGCAGAGCCAGGCCTGCTTGCTCTCATCCCAGCCAACAATCGAGACGGCGTGGCCGCCCTCCTGCTGGTCGGACTGCTGCATGTAGATCTGGTTGTTGGTGCAGCAGTTCATAAAGTCTTGGTCTGTTGGGGGCAAGGGAGAGTGTGGTGAGTTAGTGCCATGTCCATCCAGTTGAATGCAGAATCCTGCTCGGTCGGTCGGTCGAGTACTCACAGACAGTGAAGCCAGTAAAGACGGCGCCGTAGGTCATGATGTGCTGCTTGATCTCGTCGACGCTGCCGAACGAGGCTTCAGACAGACCACCAGTGCGCTGGCAGCTGCTATCGTTGCACTGCTGGTCCTGGCCGTTACCGGCGGTGTAAGGGAAGCAGTCGGCTCCAACGACGCCGTTCTGGGAGATGGCATCGGCAGCCGATTTGGGCTGCCAGCCGGTGCTGCACTGAGCCTGGCCAGCAGCAAGGCAGAAAAAGATGTCGGCGGTCGAGACCTCGATGCTGTTGCCGGTCTGGCTGAGGAAGGTGCTCTCGACGGTGGCAGCCGAGGAGAAGGCAACGCAGCTGCCGCACTGGCCCTGGTCCTTGACTGAGGAGACCCAGTTCTTGTCGCGGGAATCCCACGAGTCGGGGAGCATGGCAGCTCGGACGGCAGCGGTGTGGACATCAGAGGCGTTGCTGCCCTGTATGCCAAGAAGCATCAGAGTCAGTGCTGGCAATGACCAGAGTGTGATGAACATGGATGGCGTTTGTGCAGAGTACCTTGATGCACGATCTGCAATCCAGCCGCAACGACTACAAGCTGCCATCGGCTGCCGGATGCAGACAGATCGGATCAGCACACTGTTTGACACTTACAAAGACATCGGTGGCCAGGGACTCGATGTTGTCATCGGTCATGGTGAAGCCGGCCTTGTTCTTCTTGGCCTTGGGGTGCTTCTTGACCTTCTTGACGAGCTTCTTGAAGGCGGGGTCCTTGCGCTGGGTGACATGGGCCTGGAACATGGTCTTGGCGTCCTTGGACATGCTGGCCGTGTTCTCGGCAGAGCCGAGGACCTTGTCGAGCGACTTGCGGTACTTGTCCCACTTGCCGCCCTTGGAGACGGAAGCAGCCTCGATGGCTCCGGAGAGGGCGAGGAGGGCGGTCAGAGCAAAGCCGAGGTTGACGAGCATGGTGGTAGAGCTGAACAAGATGAGCGAGAGAAGGAGAGGAGGGAGAAGAGGTCGGAGGCTAGAAGGCTGGTTCTGAGCGGGAGTCGGGTGTGCCGGTGGTGAGGCCCAGAAGAAGCGAGATGCGAGGCCCTTTTATATTCCAGAGGTCGGTCGGTCGGATGGCATCAGCAGGTTGGCGGTGCTTCCGAGCCGGAAGTGAGACAGCCAGAGCAAGTGTGGGGATGCCGTGCGTGGGAGTGGGCGAAATGGAGTGGAAGTGTGCTGCTGACAGGTTCCATTGCAGAGAACGGAGACATGAGCCATTGAGAGATCAACCAGCGGGAGCGAATGACCCGTCCGCTGATCGCATGTTCCATGTTGCTCAGAGAGCATGCCGTGTATTGAACGCGTACACTTCTGGGAATCGGGGTAAATTGCGGCTGAGGATGGGCGGCAGCACAACAGACCGTGCTCCGGGTCGTCGGGGAAGCGACTTGAGAACATGTCCCACTGCGGCAAGGCTGCTTGATGTCATCTACGTGCAACAGGGACCACCTCTGGAAGTTAGATGTGCCAGCGGGAGCAAGGCTTGGGGTCACCGGATCATGCTGCGGCCAAGCCAACTTGTCCATGTCCATCATGTCCCTCGCCAGCCCACCCCCATTCTGCACTCGGTACCACCCGGACTCGGTCCCATCAGATATATCGGCCAGCGGCGCTGGCCCTTGCCAAACGCATGATCTGGTGCCGTACGGAGACGGACCCGATCCAGGACGTCAGCGCAGTAAGGTGATCAGCTATTCTCAGCCGCCCGTAAGACACAGGCTCCCATCGACACGAACAGGCTGGCACTTCGAAGAGGCATGTCCTGATGCATTCCGAACAGAACATGGAGTACTGTCTTTTATTCGAGTTCGCCGCGACCTCTCTGGGAAAGACATCCCCATTCCTCGGTTTTGGGTGTTTGATGGACCCACTTCCCACGAGCCGAGCCGGACAGGGACCAGGAGTTCCCTGACGAGCCATGTCCGTGCAGCTGCGATGGCAAGCTCGATGAGAATGAGAATTCTAAGGTATCTGTTATACAATTTATTTAGGGGGGAAATGGGACACCTGCCCACAACCCATTTGTCAGCGTAATATGCGATGGCATGCGTCTAACTATGCCATAAGAAATAGAACAGATCACTTTGGCAGCCTCCGAGTGAAGACCACCGGTCGCAGTGCAGCGATGCGGACATCGAGGGTGCTGTGCTTGGCCATGATTATGATGAGTGGGTGGGTGTATTCAGGTCACAGAAAATAACCCTCATGGCCCAACGGGGTGTCCCATTTCATTTTGGAAACGCCCAAAGCAATCCGACTGGGGATGCGCAAGGAATCTCCATGAGCGTCGATCGATCTGAACACTGCGGCTGTTCCTGTCTGCACCGGCGCTGTGGTTGCGGATGGAAGTTCCCCATATCGATATAGCCACGGCCACCGACTCAAAGCCACGGCGTCCAGCTCGTTTCTGCGATCGCTGCGATCACTGCGACGGACGGCCGCCGGGGCAGACAACGGCCGTGCGGAGTTTGGCCCTGCTGCCTTCTTGGTCCCGGTGCGGCCCTGCTGGCGATCCTGCTCTTTTGATCCATCTCACGGCCGCCTTGGCCTCGTCAGTCCCTGCATCTGTTCTTTCGCTACTCCCTGCCCGGCCCAGCTGGCTCGCAGTTTGGTCGCTGGCCTGGTTTGCATTCGCCACGCTTCAAGCTCGGCCCACTGCCCCACCGCTCTTTCGATTCCTCCAATCCACCCCCCTGGATCGTCAGCCTCTCCACCGCTTCGGTCTGACTCGGCCCTTTGCCGATCCGCTCTGTCCGCATCGACCTCCTACGCTCTCGCACTCCATCCGCATTCGGCAGCAATGATGGGTCACCAAGACAGCAGCACCCACGCCACACCGTCATCTTTTGGCCGTATCCGCAAGCTCAAGGTCACCAACTTCAACGAGGCAGTCATGTCCACCGACTTTGGCGACGCCGACTCTGGTGAATCGCCCGAGCACAAGGCTCATACCGGAGGCCGTCGGCACTCCCACGAAAAAGGTCGATCCTACAGGCCGTCCTTGCCAGGCCATCATCATGCCCACTCCAACAGCGACGATGATCTCGATCAAACTGCAGTTGTCATCCCGGCTCCGTCATCGGTCACCAAGAGCGGACGCATCAGCAAGCCCGTCAGTCGACTGGCTTACTCACTAGATCAGCCTTCGTCGCCCAAGAAGCGCCCAAAGCGAGAGCAGCTGTATTCATTTGAGAGCGATCACTCACCCGAAGCTCGTGCCGATCCCATCCACCACGAACCGGCCGTCACCCGAACCGGGCGCATCAGCCGGCCGCCCGAGCATTATGATCCTTACACCTCCTACCAGAGCCGATCGCGAGCATCGGGGCCGTCGTCACAGGCCAATTCGGCTGCCGAGAAGAGCCGCTCCAGGCATCGAGATCCCCCGGAGTCGAGCTATCACCAGTCGTCCAGGCGCAGCTACAGCGTGGATCTGGAGGATCATATCTCCTACGACTCGATCGGCCGAACCCGCGGAGCAAAGCGTAAGCTCAGCCTGTCTATCGACGATCACACTGATGAAGCACCCAACGGCGTTGATCCAGCCGACGACCGTCGTGCCAGTCGAGATGAGATCAGCCGCAAGTCTGTAGCATTCGCCAGTAAGTACCAGCCCTCTGCTCATGCTGGATCGCATCGACGCCATGACGGAACAGCAATCCAGCTCTGCTTGGCTCGATGACCTATCCCGAGAAACGGTATCTCTTGTTGTTGTTCCATGGTGCATCCCACTGTCCCTTGTGTTGCCCTCCTGATCTGTGACGGATCGGCCTCGATCTCCACATGGATGGCTCCCGCGGCTCCCCGCTCAGCCTGTCGCCATTCTCGCTCCGATCTTGACAATACTCCATTTCGACTCGCCTTGCATCTTAATGCATGTGTGCGAAATGGGATCTGCCTCTCGCCGCCGGCTGGGGAACACCGGCTTGACATTGTGCCCTTCCTTTCAGAATCACCCCCTCCATATCGCTCGTCCAGGTCAGACGGCTCCAAGCATCATCGTCCCGCGTCGCCGGAGCAAGCCCTTCAAAGCACCAGCCAGTCGGATCATGACCCGGATCGATCTTTTGAGCACGAGTCGAATGGTCCCCACAGCGGTAACGAAGAGGATGAGGAGACAGCCCCCACACCACCGCGGCAACGCCATAACTCAAACGAAAAGTACATTCCCAGCGACGATGATGACGATGACGATGACGACGACGACGACAAGGCTAATGCAGATGCAGATGCAGACGACAGTCAAGCCGAGGACGATGCTGAGGCTGGCTCGAGCAAGAGCGACATTGGTGGCGATGCTTCGGTCGATGCAAATGTCCAGGAAAGAGACGACCCGGCTCTTTCTGGCAGACGACGGCTCCGTCCGCGCGGCGAGGTTCGATACTCTCTCACTGATATCTTTTCCAAGACCTTGTACGATGCCCGCCCGGGCGCCTCTCACGATCGCAAGTCCGAGCGCTCTCGCAGTCGCCGCTCCTCGGAGGATCATCCGATACCGTTCACGGGCCGGCAGACCCGCAACTCGCTGAAAGCATTCGATGCCCTGCCAGATCGCGAGCCTCCGGAGAGCCGCGTTACTCGTCTGCGGAGCCGCGAGGGACGAGCCGTGGACTACAGCCGATTCTATATTCCAAAGAAGGCAGCTCCAACAGAAGCAAACAGCCGCAAGTCCAAGGCAGGATACGGTGGATACGACCATCCCTTTGTGAGCTACCGACCAGGACGGTACTCTTCAAAGCCTCGACGCCTCTACGACTCGGTAGGCCATCTGCAGTTGCCGCCGCAGTGCACATCCTGACGCACCTGTATGGCGGCCACTGCTCCATCAGACCGCGCCCACCGCTTTGCTGCCTGCTGCGTATGGCTCGATCCGTTTCGGTTGCCCTGACATCGACCCATTCCTCTCTGCGTCAGTCGGATGATGAAGAGTCAATCGGACGTATGCGATCCGGCGGCTCGCGCTCGGCCGGGGCACCGGCATCGATGAATCCCATCAACATGGCCGAGATTCAGAGGGCCCAGGACGTCCTGCTGAGGCTGGGAGGGCTCTCAGAAGGTGAAAGGAAGGAACTCGAGAGCTGCCGCGACATGCGATACGGCGCAACAGGTACGGGCGCTATCGAAACGGCCGGGCAGGTGCCTAAGTTGTCACCAGTAGCCTACGCGAATGTCTGACTGATTGAAACCGCACAACTTCCAGGAAACTCGGATACAGATCCCATCGACGTCGGCAAGGTGGGATTCGACGATATTGGTGGTTTGCAAGAACGTAAGTGTTGTTGGGATCCATGGGCCGCGCGTGCTGACATGTGCACCATCTCCTCATCTACTGCACAATCCGGCATGGCAACCATACGAACATCGCATGGCACCCATATGATTCCTTTTATTCGGTTCTAACGCGACTTTGTCTATTTCTCAGACATCCGATCCCTCAAGGAGATGATTGTCATGCCGCTGCTCTATCCAGAACTGTTTTCGACCCTGAACATCACCCCTCCTCGAGGCGTGCTGTTCCACGGCCCGCCCGGAACAGGCAAGACGCTCATGGGTACGTGAGAGCATCGTCGCGAGTCTAGTCGAGAGTTGACATGCAACCATGGCTGGATGAAGGTCAGCGCATCGAGCCACAGTCCCACAGTCACCACAGCCCACAGGGATCATAACCCGAGTGAACACCCAGTCCGTGCTGACTCGTCTGGCCATTGATACGTCTCAGCCCGGGCCCTGGCCAACAGCTGCTCGAGCTCGAACCAGAAGGTTGCGTTTTTCCTACGCAAAGGCGCCGACTTGCTCAGCAAGTGGGTCGGCGAGGCCGAGAGGAGCTTACGACTGCTGTTCGAGCAAGCCAAGCAGTGGCAGCCATGCATCATATTCTTCGACGAGATCGATGGTGAGCGCACGAGGGCAGTAGGCGACTCTGACCTTCCCTTGGATGTGATGTGCTGTGCGGCTGGCTGAAGTGTGCTCCGATTTCTGGCAGGCAAATAGTCTCGCATCGCGTTACTCACTCCCGACTCTGGCACTTAGGACTGGCTCCGGTACGCTCCAGCAAGCAGGATCAAGTCCACTCCAGCATTGTTTCGACGCTGCTGGCGCTGATGGATGGATTGGACAGCCGAGGTGAGATTTTGCGACTCTGCCCCGGTGCCGAGGCCGGCCCACAACCAAGAGTGAACCATGCTCGTCGCCAAGGGACTGCGCATGGTTACCATTGCCCCTATTAACTCCCAACGCACGTCGTTTCCTCCAACGCACGCCGTTTCCTCCAACGCACGCCGTTTCCTCCAACGTGCACGATTTGGGTCTACTTCAGGCCAGGTCGTTGTTATCGGCGCGACCAATCGCATCGATGCCATCGATCCCGCTCTGCGCCGGCCCGGTCGGTTTGACCGCGAGTTTTACTTTCCTCTCCCCGGCGATGCGGCTCGTAAGAAGATTCTCGAGATCTCGACCAAGCAATGGAACCCGCCGCTGAGAGACTCGCTGATCGATGAGCTAGTCGTGAGCACCCGGGGATACTGTGGCGCCGATGTGAAGGTAAGGGATGGTCTCGACGAAGGATTCGCAAATCAGAAAGAACTTTCAACAGTGGCGATGATTAGCGATGCAGGCGGCCTTGGTCGTCATCTGGATCTGAATCAGTCGCCGCGTGTCGCTGTCAGGGGACTCAGAAGCTGACCCTTCGCGGATATTTGACGGACAATGACCACAGGCGCTGTGCACCGAGGCTGCCCTCCATGCTATCCGCCGCTCGTTCCCGCAGGTGTACGAGTCGAATCACAAGCTTGTCGTCGATCCAAACCAAATCCGGGTCAAGAGATGCGATTTTGCAGAGAGTTTGAGGAGTAAGTGTGTCGATGTTGTCGATGCTGTCGATGCTGTCGATGCTGTCGATGCTGTCGATGCTGTCGATGCTGTCGATGCTGTGGCCCGCCATCTGCATGGATTGCACCGTCCCGCCTATTACTCGTCCCGCTTCTTACTCGCCATCCGCAAATCACGTTTTCAGAGATACTGCCATCGACCCAACGCACGGCAATTGTATATGCACAGCCGTTACCCAAACAGCTCAAGCCACTGTTGGATTCGCAGCTTGAGATCGTAACCGCTTTCGTGGAGACGATCCTGCCCCTTCTCGAATCAAACACAGCGCGGCACGACGGCTCCACCGCGCATGAGCTGCGCAGAGCTGGCGCAGGCGACATTGACGAGAGTGGTGATAGCGACGACGATACGACGCTCCTCCCAAGCAACCCAGGCACATCATTCCAGCACGACATCTCGCTCTACTGCAGAAGCATTGCGCCGCGAATCTTGGTTGCAGGATCGGCTGGAATGGGACAAAAGTACATTGGACCAGCCATCTTGGCGTCCATGGAAAAGTCACGCGTGTACATCCAGGGCATGGATCTCGCCACGATTCTTATCGACAGCGGCCGGGTACGTGAACGGGTGAGAGGAAGCACACATGTGTGCCTCCCACGGATCTTGGGCCGGCCTAACTCTGCTCCCGACGCGCGGGTGGTCCGAAATGAAGAGGCTACAAGCTTGGATACTGACTCGATCCTGTCTTGATTCCACCTTGATGCCGACCACCTGTCCGCCATCGCCAACCGCGACTGTGCCCTACGGCTTGCACACAGAGCCCTGAAGCCGCCATTGTGCAGTACATCAACGAACTCCGGCGGCACCGCCCGGCAGCGATCTACATCCCCGAGATCGACCGCTGGTGGGAAACCCTGACCGAGCTCTGTCGCCACACCCTTGTGTCCCTCCTCAACCGCGATCCGTACGATCCGATCATTGTGCTGGGCACATGTGAAAAGCACATCGAGGAGCTGCCATCGGACCTGCTGGATATCTTTGCGGGCGTCTGGGGAGACGGCACCGCGGTTGGCAAGATGGTGATAGCTTTGGCGTCTCCAGACATGGTAGGCCAGAAGTCGGATGTTTCTCTGCACATAGTTGTTTATCGGTGAGCCGCCGCGACGAAGCCAGCTAACATTGGCGCCTCGGTCGTGCTGCCATTGCAGAATCAACGCAACGACTTTTTCCACGACGTGATCCAAGCTCTGCAGAGACCGCCACGCGCTCTCAAGCACAAGACTCCTCGGTCGACTCTTCCCGAAGAGCCGGTTGTTCTGGAGCGTGCCCCGACACCGCCCCCGGCCGAACCTACCGCCGCCGAGATCCAGGCGCTGCGCGAACAGGACGAATATGTTAGCCTCCGACTGCGAATGGAGCTGCGAACGATTCATAAAGATCTGATGAAGAGCAGCACCTTCCGGCCGTTCAAGAACGCAGTCAACGAGCAGGACTATCCAGACTACTACGCCGTCATCAAGAAGCCCATGGATCTAAGCACAATGGCGTTCAAGATCGATGCAAACGAGTATGGGAGTACCTCGAGCTACATGGACGACATTGCCCTCATTCTCGAGAACGCTCGGACCTACAACAACCACGACAGCCCCGTCTACCAGGCAGTACGTACTGCATGTGTATCTGAGTGCCTCATTTGGACGCCGAGAGATGCGGATGCGATGGTGGCGTGTCAGCGTCATGTTGATCGAGTGTGGTCCCCAAGCGCCATGGCGGCTCCCGAGGTGATAGATTCCGATGACCGGACTTTCGAGCTGTGAGTGCGAAGCTAACCAGAGCCCACCGTTCCATCCGCACATCGCTCTAGGCTCAGGAGCTCGTTGACATGGCGCGGTTCATGCTCGACTTTATCCCGAAGGACCTGATCGAGGACTCGAAGCTGATGATGATCCGCCGGCGACTGCTGCGAAAGTGGGAGGAGCGGCAGCGCCAGGAGCCACGGAAGAAAGGCAGATCTCGGGGTCAGTGTCGCCTCTCGCGAGCAAGGATGACTGTGCAGTTTGTGTCGCTCCTCTGTGGATAGCAGAATGCAAGACTCACCGTGACCTGTTGCGCCCATCACAGATCTGTCTCGCGAGAGCCGTGTTGGAATCGCCGCAAAGACCTCGGCAACGGCCGAGCCTGAGCCTGAACCCGAACCTGAGCCTGAGCCTGAACCTGAGCAGAATTCGGAATCTGTGTCTGTGGCTGTACCCGAGATCGAGCTACAGTCGGCATCAGTAGCCGAGTTGGTACTGACAGTAGAGCTACAATCACAGTCAAAGCAGCTTGCACCACTGCCGAACAAGCGGGATGATGCAGATGCACTTCTGTCCGAAGCTATGGGCTTGTCTCGGGATCAGTCGCCCGATGAGATGGATTCTGCAGAGGACGTGCCTGGCAATGGCATTCTCGTGTACGAAACAGACCACGAGAGGGACGAGCCCCCGATCGACTCTATGGACCTGGAGTCGGCGACCGCTGCTGGAAACCCGAACGTGGAGATCGCGCAAGGAATCGGTCACTCCTCGAGCATTCACGCTCTCGCAGTCAAACCGGCGACTGTCACAACCCCCATCCTTGAAACTGGGCGTGCTCGCAGTGGTGGTATCGAAACTGAAGAGTGTGTGCCGGGATACACACCCATCGATCCGGAGGAACTGGAGCAGTTCAAGCACCAACTTTTGCTTTCAACCGAGGACTGGTCCGTGGCCGATCTGGAGGCACTCGGCGCGGCGCTGGCGTGTGCCGTTATGCAGCTGTCCGGCGAGCCAAACCGCAAAGTGGTTCTGCAGGTATGGTGGTTGATGACTGCAGCGGGAAAAGTATGCAAAGATCGCGGTGGCAGGCAAAGGACGCATGGCAGATCCCAAGCGCCCACTGACTCGCCAACGCTCCTCGTTCCTCGACAGCGATGCGAGGCTGTTCTGGCCGGCATCATCCAGTCGAAATCAGCTGAGGTGTGAGCCAGGAATCGTGTGAAGCGATGGGACAAGCCGAGACACATCGAAGCACCACAACGCACATTGCCCTCCCTCATCGGTCAGACAGCTGGAGCTGCAGGATGCGCATACACCAAGCAAGACGTGCAATATGGGAATTCATGGATGGTCGCATCTGAGCAGCCTCGATGGTGATTCGTGAACTCTGAGTGGTCCGCTGGCCACGGGATTTCTGCGGAGCCTGTTCAGAAAGCAAAACCCGATGCCTATTCGTGCTCCTCCGCACTTCAGCCGCTGCCTGGTTTCAGTTTGAGGGAGCCCAGTCTTGAGATACAATATATATTCGATCATCTGGATGGCTCTGTGGTTTCTCGACGTCGACCGTCGGGTCAGACAAGTCGTTCGCTGCGCAATCTGGTGATGGTGGGCCACTTGGGCCGCATGTAGAATATGCCACTCAGATCCGCTTGCGACAGGTGAAGAGATAGATGTCCTCGGAGCGGTAGTCGTAGCCCTGGCTGTCTTCTGGGACATGGGCGAACGAGAACTTTTTGCCCAGCTGGGCAAAGAACTCGACCTCGACATCAAAGTTGCGGCGCTCGTAGGCCAGGACGATGAGGGTTTCGTGGCTGGAAATGGCTTCGAGGGTGGCGATCAGCGGGGTAAAGAGCTCGGGCCAGTGCACGCAGTCGGCGATCAGAACGAGATCCGGGGCGAGCCGGGCGACGGGCCCGTCTGAGACCGAGGGATCGCTCCATTCCAGAACCTCGGTCGAGATGCGGAAGACCTTGGCAAGAGCAGAGTCTCGAGCCAGAGCAAGGGTGAGGTTGTGGTTCAGGAGCGGGATTGTGCCCGCTTTGTCGGTCAGCACAAGCTGCCGTTGCGATGGAGGATGCGATCGAGTCGAGTCGTCCAGAGGAGCCGATGCCGGCGAGTGTGCGATGACGGTGGCCAGGGCTAAACCCAGCAGACCAGTGCCGGCGCCGATCTCGACGATGCGATGGCAGGGCGGCAGGCGACCTTCGGATGCTAGTCGCTCGAAATAGTTCACGGCGACCAGAGCCGAGTCCCAGACGGTTGCGCCGATGCCGGCGGACCACTTTGATCCGCTCGGATCTTGATGCACTTTGAGGGGAGGGATGGAGTCGTCGGCAAAGGCATAGAGATAGGCGGTATCGTCGTCGGTGCGGATATCGTCGTTGGTGCGGATGTCGTCGTCGGTGCGGATGTCGCTGCTGGAGGGTACGTGCCCGGTGGCCATTAGTTGAGCTTGATCCTGCGATGTCTTGGGTGGTGTTGGGAGCCTTGGGTGGTGCTGGATGCAAGCGCCCGATTGGCGAGATGGGGGCAGAGGACAGAACTCGCAGCAACAGCGTCGCATTCGTTGGCTGTGCGGCACTTGGATCGTCGCAGGCACTTGGATCGTCGACTGTACTTGGATCGTCGACTACGACATCATTCACCTACGACATCATTCGCCTACGACATTACACACCTACGACACTACTCACCTGCAGCATTACTCACCTGCGGCACTACTGGCTTGCATGATCCCGAGTGGCCGCCGCGATTGTCGCCAAGGCACCGTCGCTCTCGATGCCGTGCGGCATCTTCCCATGACCGCTCCGCAGCGAGTGCTCTTTGCTCTTCCCAGAGACAGCAGACCAGAGTCATCCTTGTGCGGGCGGTCTGCTTGGGGCGGTCGACAAGCCCAGCCGCCTTGGTCGACGCTGCCGGCATGACCCGGGCTTTGTCCATGAGCGGCACGGGGAGCGTGGCTCTCTGTGGCCATGAAGACAGCCGATTGCGCACTCCCCAGGCACCATGAAGCCAGCGAGCCCGGCCCGGATAGGCTGCTTGCGCTGGATTCTGTCCTCGGATTCGCCTCATTCCGCTCTTCTCCCACTCTCCGGATCCACTCTCCTTGGCTCTGACCACCGGCGATCCCGCCTGCATCGAACCAAACTGCCCTCTCTCCGATCCCTCTCACTTGCGCTCAGTCCCGTCCAGGCCAGTCGTTTCTCTGCCGCCCCTGTGAAGCCTTTGTCAAAGCCATCGTTGTCGTCAAAAACGTCGACGCTATCCGATTCGGTTCATCGATAACTCACCTGCATCGGCACATCGCAGCCATGAACCCCGCCGAACTTGCCCTCAGCGCCAACATCAACATCACCACCGACAACGATAACGACTCTGCCGACACCCTTCCGCTGTCGGATCCTCCAGCCTTGACTGTCCCAGCAGCGACGATCGATGCCGGCCTCGCTGCAAAGGCGAGCTTCCTGCCGAACGAAATCTGGTTCCAAGTGCTCGAGCATCTCGACTTGTCGGCCCTCTGGGCCGTTCACACCACATGCCGCACCTTCCACCAAATCTGCCTCAGGCTCATCGCACAATCGCTCAAGGCACGCAAGCCGCACATTCCTGGCCGCTCGGTGCCGGATGAAGCCATGGCCGTTGCTTTCGGCAAGTTCCCAATGCTGCCGGGCAACAACCAGATTGTGACGGCGCTGTTCCTGCGACTCGTCCGGTGGTGCGAGAAAACGTGGACCTTTGAATTCGAGCCCACGGGCGAGGCCAAGTTCGGAATCTGGATCCACCGGATTGGATTCCTGCCGATGTCGCACGCCTACAAGATGGCCAAGTTCTGGTTCCCAAAGACTGCTCCGCCTCGGCTGCATCTGTGGTTCTGCCCAGAGGAGTGCTACAGCTCGCAGTTCGGCGGCGAGGCTGTTGGGGCCACGGCCAGCAACGTCGAGCAGCTGCCCGGCCTGCAGCAGGTTCTCGAGTCTGAGCTTGGAAAGCACCTGGGCTCGATCGACAAGGACAAGGGCTGGGTGGAGTACGAAGTTGTTGTCGATGTCGAGATGCATGTGGAGGGCGATCCGGATGCTGTCACCGCAGACGACCCGCCATCGCAGCATCAGCAGCAGCAGCAGAGTGACTCTGGACTTGCTTCCGGCAGCTTTCACAATGTGTTTGGGCGCCTCGGGAGAGTGCATCTGCGGGGCGAGACCATGTTTGGGAGGTAGATTGGACGCTTCTGGGAATCCATATGTGTTGGCTTTGGCCGGCCGGCTTGCTGTTTAGGGTGCGCTTGCACTCATGGACGCAATCGCATTGGTGCTGACATTGCCGTGGCGATTCTGAGTCCAATACACAGTTTTGGCCGTATGTGGAAGAACGGACTTGCTCGGGCTGTCGCTGTGGAGGCAGGCGGAACAGGGTCTTGACCCACAAACCCCGATCCAATGCTTGGCGAAGAGATGCACATGTCGCCAAAGCTTGGCTTTGGCCGGCTTTGGGAAAATGCATCGATGCTGTTCTGCCGACATCCACAGTCCTTGGCAGGCTTGTTCGAGCACAGGCGCAGGCCGAGCGACATGTGCATCCAGTCGCCAAGAAGCGGGCTTGCCTCCCGCTGGAGTTGGCCGCAGAAGCGCTTTTGTCGGCAGATGGAGGCGTGTCCCCACATGCATCGATGTCCGCCAAACCAAACCTTCTGCGGACGGCAACCAGCCCGACAAGACAGCCCCGAAAACCATGCGCGCGGAGGGGGGCGGTTCTGTACAGCCGCGTGTCTCCGCACTGTTACTGTCCACACTCTGTGTGCGGCCGTCTGTGCTGGGCCCCTTGCTCGCCCAGCGGAATCCTGGGCTCCGCCACCACAGTCGCGCAGTGTGGCGCAGCGTCTGGCGGCGGTGCTGCACACAGACTGTGGGCGATGACAGCCGCATTTGCAAGGGTCCAACACAGGGTGTACAGACAAGCAGCACAGCCGAGAGCATTGTACACACAAGTCGCTGACAAAGACGACACATCCAACACAGACAGCACAGGCAGCACATAGCCAACACCCCCGCCGCCCATGGGGCCAGGCCCGTGTTTGTGGCCTACATGTACAGCGCTGGACACTGCCCGGGACGCTGTGTCGGGCCGCGACAAGCCAGCCAGCGGATGAACGCGACGGCGGCGCTTCCGGACGTATCGCCGGGGCGGTCGCACGCATATAAAAAATCGTCGAGAAGTCTCGCCCAGCCGCCTTCCTGTCGCGCCCGAGCTTCGAAATCCTCGCGAAGGAAAAAGCCGTCTGTCTTCTGCCTTCTGCCGCCTCGTCCTGGATCAACCGCCGAAATGCAGCCCTCCAGCCTGCTCAAGTCCGGTGAGTCTGCGTCTGCAGCGCAACTGATCCGCTCCGGCTGGGGGCCTGGATATGGACCCGAGATCGCACCGATTTCCCTGTGGCCCACTGATCGTTTCCCATACTTACCTGCGCTGCTTTGGCCTCGGGACTGCAGCTTTTCTGCTTTCCATGCTCTCGCAGGGTGCCCTCTCCGCCAGCATCCACGCTGGCGGCGTGAACCTCACCATGACCTATCCCGACTACGGCGTGCCTCCACTCCGCCCCGAGTGGAACAAGTACCTCGGCACTTTCAAGGCCGACCACACACCCGACATCATCCAGTGTCTGCGTTCTGGCGAATGGGTAAGAGCATGTGCAGTCGGGCCACTCCCAGCATTCCCGCCACCTCCATTCCACACCATCATGCCCATGTATCGGTGCGGCCACACTATCCACCCGCACCCGGACCGCAACGTAACGTCGTGTTCAGCGATGGTGCTCTGCTCACGGCTCCTCCACCACCTGCATCGCCTGGTCCTGGTCAGTCCTAACTCTCGCTTCGATCGATTCCAGGGCCAAACCTTCGATGATGGACCCGGTGCCCCCACGAACCAGCTCCTGGACTACCTGCAGCAGCAAAACATCACCGTCACCTTCTTTATCATCGGCGCCAATGCCGTCGCGGCTCCAAACACAGTCAAGCGTGCCTTTGATCTTGGCCACCAGATTGCCATTCGTAAGTGCTCCTTACCCCTGCTGATGATCTGCCCACTTGTTCGTGCACTTGTTTCCTCTGGCCCGCCCTCGATCTCCCCACCGAGGGAATGCGGGCTACCGTTTTGAATGATGTGGAACCGTCCGGCTCACCGACACCTGCCGGCCTTGATGAAACACAGACACTTGGAGCCATCCCCACATTCCAACCTTGACCGAGGCCGGCATTGGTATGTATTTGCATCGCACGTAACTCGCAGCCCAGCCCGTCATCTTTCTCTTGCTTGAGCAATGGAAGGCATGATCCTTTGGGCTGCGGCCGCTCACTTGCTCCGCCGAGCATTCGAGATCTGTGATTGGGGGCGACTGCATGTACCGGATGCAATCCGTTGCTCACCCGCTCAACATCATTCCAGTTGCCGAGCTCCTGTGGACCGCGCAGGTCCTGACCGACATCATCGGCGTTACTCCCGTCTACATGAGACCTCCATACGGCGAGATCGATGCCAAGAGCCGCAACGTCATTCGCGGACTCGGCTTCATCCCAGTCATCTGGAGCAACGACTCTTCCGACTGGGATGACACCGTCTCCGTCGAGTCTGTCAAGTCCGAGGTCGACAGATGGGCCTCCGATACCAGTCGTCCACCGGCCATTGGCCTGGAGCACGATCTCAATGACCGCGAAGCTCAGTTGGCTCGATACATCATTCCCAAGCTCATGTCTGGTGGATACAAACTCAAGCCGGTCGCCGAGTGCCTGGATGATCCTCTCCCTTACCGCCGTGGTCTCGATCCCACTGCCGAACGAGTTGGTCGCTCGGCCGCTATTGCCCCATCGTCGTCGTCTGCTCTGCCGTCGACAACATCCGCGGCCGCTTCTATCTCTGCCTCCGGCACCACCATGCCCACCGCTACTCCTGCTGCCCAGGGTGTTCGAGTCAGCAGCTCGACTCGCACTCAGGTCGGACTGTCCCTGGCTTTCTTGGTTGCCGGGCTTGCCTTCCTGGCGCAATTCTAGAAGCCTGTAGTTCAGCAATCATCAGCATCACCATGAAACGAGCCCGCCATATTCCAAAAATCACATCAGCATTGTCTCGTTTAGACCAACCACTATTTACAGCGCCAGTCGCCCATCTTCCACGACATATGGGTGTGACTATGATGTTCTCAGACACCGCCCCTCTAATACATGCACCTCATGTGTGGTTTGCTGCCCCTTCCTTTGGGACTGCGGATCCAACGGTGGGGCCAACCGCAGGCGGTGCCTTCTCTCTCTCGCCTATCCCCCTCTTCTCAACTTTTGTCTTTCTCCATCCCGATTCCTCAATCACTTCGTTCTTGGATTTCGACCATTCGATCGTTCATCGTGGTTGCTGATCAATGTTTGATCATATGGCCAATGCGCCTCTATCTATCTCCTGTCCTCACCCCTTGGTGTGGGCACCTCTTCCAGTCAATACAATCAACTTCTTCCATTTTCACAACAGCAGACGGGGCCCGCCTCTGAGTCGCTCCGAGCTGTCTGCATGCTCGTCGGAATGCAGTTGTTGTGTGACGGGAGTATCCACAGCTATCGCAGGGTCTTTCCACAATAGCTCCAATGACTGCGAAGGCGAATCCCAGAAAACAAGAGCAAGAGCAAGAAAGAGAGAGAGAAGGAGAAGGCGATAATGCAATCGTGAAATGTACATGGTGTAGACAAATAGAATCAAAAGTATCAAAGGTATCAAAAGAATCAAAAGGGAACTCCGGCCAAGCTGTGCGCTCGAGACCGCTACTGCTACAGAGTGTGGGCTTTGAATGTGGCGCCAATGCGATGTGTGGCTGCGTGAGGTATAGCGTTGCGGGGTATGTGGGACATCCGGGGTTGACGCCGACAGGCGGCTCGCAGTTGGTATCAGTCCAGCACTCCACGTCACAGGTATCCAAGGGCTGTGCTTGAGACGATGCATTCGAGAGTGGGTGGGAAGTGCGACGTAAGTGCATAACTTGGCGGGGGGGGGTTGCCCGAAGTTAGGTTGGATGTTGCATTGGCTCCAGCATCCGTGTTGGTGTGTGAATTGTTGCCTTCGAACGAAGAGAATGTCGAAAATTGTGCTGGATCGGGAACTTGCCCACATTGGTCCGTATGCGCGGGTGCTGTTGTGAAAACCGTTGGCGATCCGGCCCCAGTGCTCGCCGGTACTATGCCATCGGCAGTCCACCCCACCGCCGCAAAGCGACAGTGCCCCGTGGAACAGCCATCGCCCTCGCATGCGCTCAGCCGGCGTTGCCAAACTCCTCGTGCAGGATCCTCTCCATGAACTTTTCGTCTTCTTCATCCAAGAACATTGAGCCGACCATCGTGTTGGACATGGATGTGCGACGGGCCCCGCCCTCGCCGCTCTGAGTCGTGGATTTGATCGGCCTGTGCGGTGCAGTTGCGCAAGTGTGTCGGGGTATCGCACACATGAGCAAATGTGCTGGTGCGGCTGGGCTGAGAGGTTCTCTATTCCGGTAGAACACGGCATTCCAGGGACACTCCAGGCACACTCCAGCGACAGCCACCCGTACCTGTTTGCGACCTCGGTATCTTTGAGCTCGTTCTGGACTTGTCCCTGCTCCGATAAATCACAAGTGAGTGCATGCCCACGATCGATAAACCTCTGTGCATCACCGGACTGGGACTTTGTCGCCGGGAGCAACGGTCTGATCAGAAGAGCTTACTCGGTTTGCTTGCTTGAACTTTTCTTTATCGAAAGCAGGGATGTTTATCTACAGCAGAGACGGCGCCATTGCGCTCGGGTTAGAGCAGCGAGTTGACACCAAGGGTCCAGCCAAGCTGTGCACACCCGGCTGCCGAGCGTCGGCTCTGGCACGTACCTTGTTGTAGTTGTCGGAGGTTTGTATCGAATAGTCTGTTGCTGTTGAGTAGCTGAGCGACGACACGCTGCCACTTCGTCTTCGCTGCATGCCGCCTGTTGCCCAGGACGGGGCGAGTAGCAGTACAGTGAGTCAGGCGCTCCAGAGAAAATCATGTCGGCTCGATGCCGGTGGAATGCAATCGGAACTGGATCACTTCGAGTTGAGTCCAGTGGGGTCGGATCCAGATGATCCAAGCCAAGTCTGCGCGACAGCACCCGGACGCATCCACGCCCTCGTTGCAGGAGTAGGTCCTACCATGCATCGATCGCTCCGATATACTGCCTGCCCGCATGGTGCGTGCCGCACGCAGCTCTTCCTGGCTGAAAGATGATGCCATTGGCTCGCCCTTGGCAATGACTTCCTGGATCATGGCTAGATGCGAGTTTGAGGCAGCCGGTATCCGCTGTCGGGTGGCAACACCATAGGCGGTTTCGTCCGCCATGCGTGCAGCGAGCGCTGCTTTGTTGGTATAGCCCGGCGGGCTCGTATAGCTCGACTGGCTGGCAAATTTCGGAGACTTGCCGGTCTCGGTGCTGCCGCCGGACACATTGTGGTGGTATTGGTGTGGAGAGCCGGCGTACGGGGGGCGATTCGCAGGTGGATACGAGTGGCGAGGCGAGTGAGGGGATACGTTTGATGGCGACCGCTGAGACCGGCTGCTGAGCTGGTGCTGCAGGGACGGTTGAGTCTGCGATGGCGACGGAGGCTCGGCCTTGGTGGACGAGTTTCCCATGATGCGTGGGCGAGGCGCACGACAAAAGTCGGAGGGTACAGGACTGGATTCAGGTGCGGAGAGCTGAACTTGGCTTCAATGGCTTGGCTGTGCGCTGCGCTGCGATGTGCAGCCAGAGAGCGATCCAACTGGATCGGACGTGGAAGAATTCAACCTCTTGGGCCGCAGAAAGTACTCTGACACTGCAGGAGCGACAAGAGCTGGCTGCGGCTGTTGCCGTGTCAAGCGTTGCTGTCGAGCAAGTTCAGAGATACAATGGCTGGCCGATCCGTTCGAGGATCCGTCTATCTGAGCCTGCGTGGATCTTGGCTGGGCAGAGGTGCATCGATCTGGAGGAAAAAAAGAGGCGTGCCTTGCTTTCTACCGCCTGTCTTTGGCAAAGCCGGGGCCCTCTAGTTTCGGCGCTGTCCTGACGAGACGTGATCGAGGGGAACGGGGATAGGCGAGGGTTGATGGAGGGGAGCTGTCCTCGACGATGACGCCGACAAAGATGGACAAGGCGGACAAACTGGAGAAAGAGACACAGTATATGGCAGCCCGGGATTGATGCGGCGAGCGAATCACACAAACGGGCGGCCGAGAAGCGATCGGATGGATGACTGGGTGGGCTGGCGTCGGTCGGGGAGTGACGTCGCCCCGTGGGAACGCACGCGTCGGCGGCACAGCCAGGACGGATCGCTCTGCCTCGATCCGGCTCGACTCGGCTCGATCCATCGACCAACGTGACGCGTGCGCAGCATGTTGTCGCGGTGTGACGTGTGTCGCACGGGCGAGGCGGCCCCAGCTTATCGGGCACACACAGACTGCATGCGCATGTCACACGCGTGCGACGGCGGTGTCCGTGACGCTGCTTGCTCAGTGTGTGTGTGTCTGTGCCACCGTCCGCCGAAAAAAAGTGGGATCGACGAAATTTGGTTGATAACCCGTTGCGGATCCCAAGCATCACGCCGCCGCACCCGTCCCTGATCTTCCCCCCGATCTCTGCGCCCACCGGACCCAGCTTGTGCTCGGACCTGCCGCCGGCCGTTTGATGATCAAGGATCTGCTCTCACTCTCAGCATCCCGAGCCTTTTCCAGACAGCCGCTTTCCCGCCACCTCGCTGCCCAAGCCTTCCGTCCAGCAGCCCCACTCCGCCTTTTGGCCCGTCTCCAGCACTCGCATCCGCTCCCAATGTCGTTCGAAGCACACACCGCAACCTTCTACCTCCTGTTCAACGTGAACCAGCCGGCCTTTGCCGAGGTGGCCGCCTACTATCTGGCCTCCAAGGGCGCAGCTGGTCCGCACCATTTCCGCGCCGGTCTGCACTATGATCTGATCTCGAAGGACTCGCTCCTCAATATCCCGGCCGGCGCCTTCACGCCCGCCAAGCAGACCATCTCGGGCAAGTCCTCGATCGTCCGCTACTTTGCTCGTGCCTTTGAGAAGCACGGTGCTGCCTACTACGAGGCGCTCTCGCCCAAGGTCCAGGCCGAGATCGACGACTGGATCGACAGCATCCGCAAGGCCACCGACGCCGACACCGACGTCATCTCGACGCTCGCCCAGCGCATCGCCGACGCCGTCGCCAAGGGTGGCTATGTCACCTCGGCCGGCAAGCTCTCCCTGGCCGATCTCGTTGCCTGGGACTTTGTCAAGGTTCACATCAAATCGCCCAACTCCAAGGTCCATGTCCACGGCCTGGATGCGTGGTTCAAGAAGATCGAGGGTGTTGCCGAGATCAAGCTCGCTCTTGAGGAGATCCGCAAGGTGCAGAGCCAGGTCCACCAGCTCCACCTCTTCCGCGAGCAGGCTGCTCTGCAGCTCTCCGAGATCCTGAAACTGTCGGTCACCACGATCTACAATTCCCTGGAGGCTCCCAAGGACGTCAAGATGGGCGACATTTCGGTGCCCATTCCTCGCCTGCGCCTGCCCGGCAACCCTGCCCAGCTGGCCCAGGAGACTGTCAAGCAGGTGAGCCTCGCCATCTGCAGAGCGACGGCAATCAAGTGAGATGGCGAATATGGAGGAGAGGTCTCGGCAGAGTCGTTCTTGCTGCGTAGGCATTGGAGGGTCCTCCCTGGCTGGGGCAGCCGAACTTGTGCCTGAAACACCAGCACACCCCTGTCACTCGCCAGACCCACTGTCACCTGTCACTGACCCTTGTCTTTGTTGGCCAACTCGACACAGTTCAAGCCCAACCAATACCTACTCCGTGCCATCGCCACCGGCCCATACCTGAACATCTTTATCAACCGCGATCTGCTCCGCGATCGACTCGTTCCCCAGATCCTGAATCTCTCGGATGAGTACGGCGCCAACGCCTCTGGATTTGGCAAGACCTCTATCGTCGAGTTCTCCAGCCCCAACATCGCCAAGCCCTTCCACGCCGGCCACTTGCGCAGCACCATCATCGGCAACTTTGTCAACCGGGTGCTAAAGGCCAACGGCTGGGCCACGGTCGCTCTGAACTACCTTGGTGACTGGGGCAAGCAGTACGGTGAGCATCTGCCTGGTGACGTTGGGCAACGAGTGCGGCGCATGCTGCTGAGGTTTCTTTCTGTGCCGTGACTTTCGGCTGACACTGCGTTGATGCTGATACTGTTGTGCAAATTTTTGCAGGTCTGCTCGCCATCGGCTTCAGCCGCTATGGCTCTGAGGAGGAGCTCGAGAAAGATCCCATTCGCCATCTCTTCAACGTCTACGTCAAGATCAACGTATGTCTGATTGCATGGAGAGCTGGTCGCACGCAAGTCATCCACGTTGACTCCTCGAAAGTTGGTTGGGCTGGACGCCGACGCTGCTTCGTCAGCGACTGCCTCAAGCCGGTGTTGAACCACAGTCTCATCTGCTTCTCTTGTTTCGGTGTTCAATAGAACGACAAGGCCGAGAACCCCAGCATCGATGATGAGGCTCGTGCTTACTTCCGCAAGATGGAGGAGGGTGAGTTCTCCTCTTCCTGTCGTCTATGCACCCGTTTCCTTGCCACGACAAATGTACCATGCCGATCACTGACACTGCATTCATCCGGCGCTCGCTCTTCCCCCGCCATTACCACCACCACCACCACCACAGGCGATGAGGAGGCTCTCGGTCTGTGGCAAAAGTTCCGAGACCTCAGTATCGTCAAGTACAAGGATATCTACGAGCGGCTCAATGTGACCTTTGACGTGTACTCGGGCGAGTCGCAGTACTCTGCTCAGCAGATGGAGAGCGTCGTCAACGAACTCCGCGACCTGGGACTGCTCGTTCCCTCCGAGGGCGCCCACATTGTCGATCTGAAGGAGCACGGCCTCGGAGCGGCCTTGATCACCAAGACGGACGGCAGTATGCTGTACCTTTCGCGCGATGTTGCGGCTGCCATCGAGCGCCAGAAGAAGTACAAGTTTGACAACATGTTCTACATTGTCGGCGATCAGCAGATCCACCACTTCAAGCAGCTCTTCAAGATCCTGGAGCAGATGGGTCTCCCGTGGTCGGCCAACTGCCAGCATATCAGCTTCGGCATGGTCAAGTCCAAGGACGGCAACATGAGCACGCGCAAGGGCACGGTTGTGTTCCTCGAGGATATGCTCAACTCGACCAAGGAGGAGATGCGTGCTGTGATGATGCGCAACCCGGAAAAGTACGCGCAGATCGAGAACCCCGAGCATGTCTCGGACGTTATTGGCATGACGGCCATCATGACCAACGACATGAGCTCTCGCCGCATCAAGGACTACGAGCTCGACTGGGCCAAGATGTTCCTGTTCGAGGGCGACACGGGACCGTACCTGCAGTACGCCCACTCCCGCCTGTCGTCGATCGAGCGCAAGAACGCAGAGCTGTCGATCACTGCCTCGAGCGAGACCAACCTCTCGATTCTGAACGAAAAGGAGGCCCACGCGCTGATCGACATCCTGGCCCAGTTCCCCGATGTCGTCCGCGACTCCAGCAAGAACTTTGAGCCCTGCAACGTCGTTTCGTACCTGTTTACGCTCTCGCACGCCATTTCGGTGTGCTTCGAGACCCTGTGGGTCATGGGCCAGGAGAAGGAGGTTGCCGAGGCCCGCCTGGCGCTGTACATTGCTGCCCGCACCACCCTGGGCAACGGCATGCGGCTACTGGGCTTCCGCCCCCTCGAGCGAATGTAAGCTTTGCGATGGAGGGAAGGCGTTGGAGTCGCCAGCACAGCACTGGGTGTGAGAGAGGAACGAATGAAAGCATAGGAAATGTGTCGTGTTTGGGTGTCTTGGCGCAACAAGTCAGAATCCGGAATACACACAGAATCGTCCGTCACATTGGCCCCCCTCCCCTCACCCTCCCGCACTGCAGAGATGGTGTGAACGGGGCAGCAGCGAGCGTGAGATCGTGGGCGATTGGAGTGACGAACGACATGGGCAAAGCTCTCACCGAGTTGGTCACGAGACCCCTCCTGGTTTTTGCAGTCGGCGTGGTTTGTGTCACCCGACCCCGCGTTCCGTGCTCCATGTCGTTCGGGGCTGTTCCTGGGTCGGTCTGGGATGGATGCAGCGATCCTGCTGGGACGATGCGACGACAGCAGCAATGGCAGCAGCGGGAGGGGCGGAGACGGAGGAAGTTGTGGATCAGCGCGATATCTGGAATGGCGGTGCTGAGCGGGAGGGATTTGATTGGACGGCTGCTGCGTGGACAGCCGGGGCGTGCAGGGCCATGTCGCCGCATCTTGGTGTGGGACTGGACTGCTTGGCTGCCGAAAGATCCCACGGCCTTGGACGAACGACCGATGCATATGCACTCTGCCTGGACGCATGCGAGCGAGGGAAGAGCCGCTGGCTGATTCGGCGGGACGAGGGGAGGTCGCCTGTTCACCCCAGCAGCAGCAGGCTCGGTCGCAGGACCCGTGCAGACGGGGATCGACAGCGACGAAGCACTCTCGCCCGAGGATGTAACCCGGGCCGATCGCCGAGCGACAAACCGAACGACCGGCGACTGCGAGCCGAACAGCACCCGCCGGGCTTGGTCGCTGTCGCCACCACCGGGCGACTTTCACCGGCGTTGCTCTGATCTGTTCTTCTGCCGGCCATCCTGATCTTGCTCTTCCACCACCTCTGCCGGCCTGCAAACCCCAACGTGCTTCTGCTGCTGTTGCTTCCAGGTATCTGCTGCTGCTGCTTCTGCTGGTGCTGTCGCTGCTGCTTTTGTTATTGCTTTTGCTTTCGCTGTCGTCGCCGCCGCCGCCGTTGCTGCTTCTGCCTCTGCTTCTGCTGCTGTCGTCGCTGCTGCTTCGGGCAGTGTCCATTTTGTACCTTTGCTTTTTTCCTCTCCCCGGCCTCTGTTGCGACCCGCAGCACACCTCGCTCCAACCACCCCACACACGCACATCCCTCCTGCTTTTGCTGCCCCTCCCCGACACAACCCCTTTTCCAAGGCCATCGCCGTCACCGCGCCGCTCCCCGTTGTTGTCACCTCGTTGGTTCAACCCCTGCATTTTTTGCATACACGCACACACACACTTTAACAACCATTGCTGACACCCGCGGGCTCGCCGGCCGTCTCTTGCCGGCGCCAGCATCGCTACGCTTAGCTCCCTGCGGTGCCTCCCCGCCCTCGCAGACCCTCAGACGAACCGGCCCCTCCCCCATCCGATCGGCCGCCTGCCCGCTTCCCGCCGTGTCGCACAGCGATGGAAATCATCGATCTCACCGATCCCGATTTTGAGCCCTCGCCTCAAGTCGCCGGGCTCCCCACCGGCAAGGCCGCCGACCACAGTCAACCGCCGTCCGGTGCATCCCTCAGCGGCCTCGCCCAAGTCAAGCCCGACACCATGGCCGTCGAACCTCCCAGCGCCGCTAGCCCCGTCGCCCCCGCCAGCGGCCCTTTGGCCGGTGGCCCAGGCTCTGCTCCAGACGGCAGCGGCACTGCCGGGAACAGCAGCAACAGCAACGGCAACGGCAACGGCATCGGCACCACCTCCACCAGCGATGCCATGCAGATCGACGAGCCGCGCAACCCTGTCGGCCCACCAAACAGCACCGCAGACAACAATACTATCGGCAGGGGCAATGGCAGCAGCAATGTCACTTACTCCAATACCGACCAGGCCAATGGCAGCAGCGTCGCGCAGCCTCCATCAGAAACTGCCCCTTGCCTGAGTCCGCTTCTGCCAGGGACGGACTATGCCTCGGTCAGGAGGATCCAGATCCACCTCAATCTGGCCGACACCCGGAAAAACGTCTTCAATATGGACTCGCTGCTGCTGACCGACGCCGAATCCAACGCAAAGATCAGTCTGTTTGCTCCGACCCGACAAGCCCCGGGAAGTGGCCGGCAGCTCGACGACGATCCCAAGGACAGCGACGACATGAGCGTGTCCGGCGCCGAGCCCGACGATAACCGGGGTGAGGCCGATGCCCCCAAGAAGGTAAGCAGGCGATCGCTCGCGTGGGTCGAGCTGGGTGCTGTGTTGGAGTCGGTCGTGGATAGAGCGAGCGGCATCGCGGAGCAACAGACAAAAAGCCGTCAAGGCCCCGCTCAGCAATCGTGCTGCCGCCGATCCGAGTCCCGCCTACTGACTCGGCCCTTTGGATATCTCCAGAAACGCAAGCGGAGGAGGCGCCAAGACGAAGAAGACGAATACGACCTTGATGACGACTTTATCGACGACGGAGATTTGTTCTACGACGACGAGGATGGCTTTGTGGACTTTGACTCTGATCCGAATACGGCTGCCAAGATTTGGGAATATGGATACTTTGCCTGGAAGGGGCCGATTGAATCGTACTTGTAAGCATGGCGCCAGTCATCTCTATGTCGGCCGCCACGGCGTCGTTGGCCGGGTCGTCGGGACAACGCTGACCACTAACACTCTGCTGCTATATCGTTCGTGTATGCTCTTATCCCAGCTCGTGGGCCGACGAGAGATCCCGGGGCAAAGGCGCCAAGAAGGATATGCTGGAGAAGGTCACGCCGATTGTGCCCACCATCGACAGCCCGTCTTCTGAGACTGGCCGCCAACGGCTTTCGCCATCGGTGCCATCGCCTGGCAGTGCCGAGGCCTCGACATCGGCCCTCAGCTCCACCGAGGCCTCATCCGGCAGGACAAGTGGGGAGCGGCCCGAAGCAGGATCTGATCGACCCGAGATCCCGCGCGCGAGACCAACCCAGAGCTCGCCGTCCAACCTCTCCAATGGCAGCACCGATCGAGCATCGACAGTGCCGACCGATACCGGCTCTCGGCCCGAGTCTGCCAAAGAGAACGCTCGAACGGGACCAAGTGTGGTGAACGAGTCCGTTGCAGACAAGCCCAAGAAGAAGCCGAAAAAGAAACTCAACAACGGCGCGGCCACAGATCAGCCATCGCCGAAGGAATCTAGCGAGGATAATAGGCCGGAGACCCCCAATCGACAGAGCCAGCCGGGCCAGGCCGATCAAGGCGATAAAGCCACCCCGCCGGAGAAGAGCGGCAAGCCCAAACCATCGAGCCAGCCCGACAAAACGAGCAAAGCTGACCCGGCTGCCAGCGTCAAGAATGCCGGAGCTTCAAAGCCGAATCCTCAGGCCGGATCTCAGAGTACCGCGGGCGGCAAGGCTGCTGCTGCCGGCGCTGCAAACTCGACCATGCCACCTCCAGCTCGCCCTACAGCAGCCGAGCCCCGCATCGCAGCAGGCGGAGCCCCCGCTGTGGCTCAGACGAACAAGCCATCGGATAAGGTACCAAAGCCTCGCGAGGCGGCGCCGATTCCATCAACCTCGACACCATCCTCGCAGAGCGGCGTTGCAAAGGGCAAGTCCAAAGGCGATCCTCCGAAGCCGCAGCCGCAACAGGCAGGCGGAGGTGGTTCTGCAAAACCCAAGGCCGAACCAGCGCAGACCCAGTCTCCAGCTGCCAGCCCAGTCGTCCGTGCTCCTCCGGTGGTTCAGAGGAGCGGCCTCAACAAACCTAGCCAAACGAACTCTGGCGTCGCTGCACCCACAGCAAGCCAAGCCAGTGCCGGCACTGATACAACCAAAACGCCAGAACCGCAGCCATCCGCAGCTCTGAAACGAAAGGAACCACCGTCGAGTACTCAGCCAGATTCAAAGAGACCGAAATATCCCCAAAGCCTGCTGCTTGAAATGCTCAACATGGAGTCGGAGCGACCGCCGGTGCCAGTAAGTTGTTCATATCATCGTGTGGCAGGCAGAGCCGCAGATTTGGTGTTGCCCAATGCCGCACCGCAGCACAAACCGAGCTCTTGCTTTTAGTGGATGGCTTGGCAACTGAGAGCGATTGGGGTGCTTGAGATAATTCCCGCCGCAGCCCGTGTGGGCGCACGATCACCACGCGCTTACAATTGCTGCGGCACTGCTTGGAACAGGGTCTTTTACATCAAGACGTCCTCGCGATGATCAACAACTTCCGGAATATAGCCAAAAAGGGTGTGTATTTGTCCCAGGAGTCCCCTCCCCTTGCCTCTCTCCCGCTCAGAGGCAGCCGCATCGACCAGCGCCCAGGATATATGCACCGTTACTCCGTCGCACTCACGACCAATACGGCGCTCCATAGAAACCGTTGTCGGTCAAACCAAGCTTCCGCTCAACCTTCACGAGCCTCTTAGCGACATCTGCAAAGCCGCTATGGATCAGTTATGCATCAACGAGAGTTTCATTGGGCACTTGATGATGGCCCTTCCGTACAGCGCTATCAACGTTAAGGTAGGCCGTGTTTCCTCGTTTGGCACGTTTATCGTGTTCCAAACGAAAGATGGTCCCCAGAGGTAGACTTGGGCTTGTCATGTGAGCTTGGAGACGAGGGAGGTCACAGAGCGCGAGGCGTCAGACCCCGCAGCAGTGCTTGCAATCATGGGCTAACCATCGTCTCCTTAGCGACTGGTCGAACGCATTGTGCTACGTGAGCAAATCAACACCCTGTGCCAGCGGTCGAATGTGCTCTATCCTGAGTTCCAAAAGAACATTGAGCTTTATGTAAAGCACCATAACAAGAAGCTCCAAGGTACGCAATACCGATTCTGGGCCGTGTGCGCGACCACGCGAGTCTACTGCGATCCTGGGCGACTGTTCGCATTGCCGTGGCTGACATGATTCGATTTGCATCTTTCCGTTCGCTAGACGATAAGAGCAAAAGCGAGCAGGGCCCCGCTACTGGAGAAAGCTCCGGCGCAAATAAGAGTGCGTACCAAATACCCACAGCCGCGCGCGCGCACAACCTGAACGGGATATTGCACATGTGGGTCAACAGTAACTCGACAGCTGCTCACGATTTGTCTGACCGTACTCTATCGCAACTCCATCGCAACCCCATCGCAACTCCAGATCGCTCAACGACCTTCCGCTTTGCTCCGCTGCTCACGGATGCCCTGATGGAGCTGATTGACAACGAATGCGAGATGGCCCGGTTGAACAATGCCTTGTCGTAAGCATCGCCGCAGCTCGGCTTGCAGCTCTGGCCAGCGCAGTCTTATTGCTGGGAAGGGTCCGGCGACAGTCGTGCACAAGGATCAAGGCCGGTTCATGTTTGTCTAACAAATCGCAAATCATCGCTGCGCTCGCTGTAGCAAACTCGGCAACAAAGATCCCCAGTACTTTGAAGAAAAAGTCCAACAGGCGTTTTATGAAAAGGTTGGTTTCCCTCCCTCCCCCTCCTCTATATTTGCGACAGAGCAAGCCGAGACCCCAGTTGCCTGCCACCGATGTAACCAAACACCACCGCAACATGGCCAAACCGACTGTTTTTTTGGCTCAACAAACGAAATACTCTCTATCCGGCTACAGATAGTAAAGTTCTGGCCGCCGGGCATGATGACAATCGACCATCTAAAGAAGACCGTATATTTCCGGAGGCGCAGCAGCACCAAGAAGGACACCGACACCCCGGGGAAAGGTGAGCGAGTGTATCTCCTCCTGATCGATCGAGCCTGCGGGATTCTGCACTGCGCTGCGCTGCGCCAGATCCTCCTTTGATATGGAATGACTGAGCCTACATTTGCACCAGACTCGGCACCGTCACCGTCACCATCGCCATCGCCGTTGCCGGCAGCGTCAAACACCGCTGCAGCCGCATCTGCAGCCAAAGCTACACCTCCGACCGCTAATACAACTCCAGCCCGGGCCACGGCTTCTACCCCAACGCCTACTTCGAACCCTGTTACAACACCAACCCCCGCTGCAACTCGAGCACCGGCATCGGCTGCCGCTCGAGCACCGGCATCAGCCAAGGCACCGGCTCCCAAAGCACCAGCCCCAACACCTGCCTCCGCTTCAGCATCAGCATCAGCAGCGGCCCCTAAAGCGTCAGCACCGGCTCCTAAACCATCAGCACCGACTTCCAAAGCTCCGACACCGGTACCAGCATCAACACCGGCTCCGAAAGCCACAGCTCCAGCTTCGACTCCGGCTCCCAAAGCACAAGCCCCGGCCAAAGTACAAACCCCAAAACCCACCCCGGCTCCAACTTCGAATCGAGCTACATCTTCTGCCCCGGCCTCAGCCGCAGCTCCTGCCCCAGCTGCAACCCGACCAACTAAACCCTCAGCGCCAACCACAACTGCAACTGTGGCTTCACCTGCGGCCTCGACCCCGCGCACGACATCAACGACGGCTCCGGCGTCGGCACGGGCCACGTTGCCGCCGACACCGACACCGACACACGCACACACCACAGCGTCACCAGCATCAACACCCGCACGAACCACAACGCTGCCCACACCGCCACCCGCTCCTACATCGGCACCAAAGCCCAAACCAAAGACGACCGCGGGATCCTCGTCAGTCCCGATGTCGATGTTGGTATCCGGTCCGGTCCTGGATCCCCACGCAAAGCCTTCCGCCGCGCCAAGGAGCTCAGGAGCACCACCAGAATCACCGGCGACATTTATGCCTTCAGCCGCAGCAGAGCCCAAGCCCATAACGAGCCCAACGGGCCCAAAGAATCCAGCGAAGGCGAGTGCGAGTGTGCCGCCAGCACCGATGCCCCCCGCCTCGCGACAGTGAAGGGCCGAGCAGTGCGCTGCTCGCCGCAGTTTTGGGCGTGCTGGGCGTGCTGGGCGAGCCTCTGACGAATATGGCCGCGATGATCTGCATAATGTCTGCCGAGCGATTGTTTCCCGTCTTGATTGATAATTGAAGTGGGTACAAGAGGCATAATCTTGGCCGTTGCGGATAATAGATGTGTGCACTTCTGCCCAAAGAGATGCCATAAAGCAACATGTCGCCGATTCCGCTCTGCAGGCTCCGCAACCCGGAGCACAGACAAAGCACGAGAGTTCGACTGGCTGAGAGAACAAAACGTTGATGGGAGTGCGAAGGACGAGAGAAAAAAAAGAACCGACCACACCAGGGGTCGAACCTGGAATCTCTTGATTCGTAGTCAAGCGCCTTATCCATTTGGCCATGCGGCCGTTGAATGAGCTAAAAATTTTGCATATACGACCAGTGATTCAGGACACCACACCACACCCTTCGACATCCGATTCCCACCTCGGATGATGATACTCCATACGGCGGCCCAAGACCTGTCTACGCCGATGCTACCGATGGCAGCAGATGCAACTCCCTTCCTCCAATTGCTTCCCACCCCGCAAACTAGTCGGCATGCTCTCGTTGTTTTCAGTTTGTTCTGGTGACGTCATGACAAGAATAACGCATCGACAGATCCAGTGCTTGCGTGACATGCACTGGGGAGCTACGTCGGAGGAGCGGCAACCAGGCCCGCTGGGTTGGTCGTTGTCTTGGCGCCGATCACGAGTGGCTTGAATCCCAGCTCCTCCAGCGGGATCGTGAACTCGGTCAGCTTTGCCTCGTAGACGCGAATCATGTCGTTGTGAGCCTGGTGCAGTCCCCGAACCATGCAGCAATGTTGCAGAGATGGAAACGTCAGCGGGATGGACAAGACACAGCCTCGTGATATCCAGGAGTTGCCGTGTCCAACAAGGAACGGGCCGCTCCTGTCAAAGCCCTGGACACTTGCCTTGGTGACCTTGGACAGATCATATTGCAGCTCTTTGATGAGCTGGTTCTTATTCTCCAGGACCTCCTCCAGCCGCTTCGTGAGGTTGTTCAGGGTGATCGGATCCAGATTGGTGGCCTTGAGAATCTCGTTGAGCTGAAGCTCCTTTTTCTCGAGATTATCCTTCAGACTATCGACCTTCTTCTCGAGGATCTGCTCGGGGCACGTTCACGGACAGATGGTTAGTCGCGCGCGAGTCGAGCCGAACCGAGCCGAGCCGAGTCGACTTGAGGCAAACGTGCTAGATGCGATCGGACGTACCAGGTTCTTGAAGCCAGTCTTTTGCTGCACGCTAATGATGCGGTCGACAAAGTTCTCGTACAGCTCGTCCCGCTCTTTTTGCACCTGGGCAAACCGCTGCTCCAGCACCTCGTGCTCCCACAGCAGCTGCTTGTGCTTTTCCTCGAGGACCTTGAGTCGCGCCTTGCTGTTCTGTAGCGACATCTTGTCCTTCTCGTAGTGGGCCAGTTCTCGCTTGAGCTGGTCACACTCTGCCAGGGCGATCTGCAGAGGCTCCGACAAACGCTTGTTCTCGGAAGTGATATCGGCCATCAACTTTTCATTCCGCTCTTCCTTCTTCTTCATCTCCTCGACTTGTTCCTGGAGGTGCGGGCCAAAGCCAACGCTTAGTATCGGTCCTTTGGCCCGTGGACCCATGCATCTCCATCATATTTCCGCGCCAAGACAAGAAAGGAGATGTCTTCCAGTCCCAAGGGTGAACAGGCCCGGTTCTCACCTTGAGCGAGTTGATAAGGGCCAGGTTGTTCAGCGTGATGTCGTTGTAGTAGTTTTTGATCTCGGTAAAGCCCTTGTCGTGGTTCTTCATGAGAGCGTTGATTTGGCCATTCTTGCGCTCCTCGATCTCGTGGATCTCGTTTTTGCGCTTGGTGTCGAGATCCTCGCGGATGACCTTCATCTGCTTCTCGTACTTTGCATGGAGCTCGCGCGCCCGCTGCTCGTAGTCCGCTCGCAGCTTGGTGATCTCCTGGTCGTGTTTGTTCTTGAGATTTTTGATGATGTCCTCGTGCGAGAGCTCAAACTCCTTGAGCTCGAGCTTGAGACTACGCTTGTCGCGCTTGAGCTGCTGCTCGCGGGCAATGTGCTCCTCCTGCTCCACCTGCAGCGCTCGCTCAGAGTCGACCTGCAGATGCGCTACATTGTTCTGATACTCGTACAGCAAATGCTTGATTTTTTGCTTGTAGACCTGCGACACCAGCCACCATGGGCATCGGTTCGATAGTTTCGGGGAGATGGAAAGAAGGGGCCGGAGAATATATCGAGCTGTGATGAGTCCCGCCACAATGCCGGCCAAGGTCGTCCAGTAACAACAGCGACTGCCGAAGTGCTTCTCGCACCTTGATTTCGACTTGGTGCTTTTCTTCCAACTCTTCCAGCTCCCTGTCCTTGTTCAGCAGCTCGTTCTTGGACTCGGTCAGCTCATTCTTGGAGATCTCCCAGAACTGACTGATTTTATCCTGGATGAACGGGTACGGATGTGAGTATCGATGCACGCCTGTGCATGTGCATGTGCATGTGTATGTGCATGTGTATGTGTATGTCTTTAGGGCAATATTCCAAAGCGAATCTCGCCGTTCGTCTGGACCGCAGTCGCCTCGCCTCCTTATCTTTCCTTCGTGCTTTCTTCGACCTACATTCGTGTTCGCTCGCCCTGCCACCCTCCTCCGCCCCGTTCCTTCCCAGCCCCGACAAGACTCACCCTTTCCAGCTGAAAGTAGTTTCTCTCTTCGCGCTCGGAAGCGAGCTCGTCCATGATTTTCTTGATCTCGGCCTCCAGTTCCTCCTTGGTCTTTTCGCCGGGCGCCAGTTTGGCCTGAGATCCGGAACCATTCGCTCCGTTGGCTCCGTCTTTGGCGCTGGCCCCCCGGGACTTGGCGCCGCCGGCAGAGGCCTTCTTTTTGGCTGCGGCGCTCTATTTGGATGGAAGGACGTGATGATGACGATGATGGCGATGATGATAATGATGATGGTGACGATGATGATGATAATGACGATGATGGTGGTGATGGTGATGACAAGCCAACCACGCCCCAGTATCGTTGGCATCCCCACAAAAGAGGTTGTTGAGGTACGTGAGGATTCAATCAAGCCATTTCGATATCGCGGCATGCAAGCGAACAGACGCGAGCCAGTCGGTGGGTCAAGCCAGCAATGTGCAAGAATTGTGAATGTCACGGCCTCATGGGAGGAATCAAACCGGGCAGCCCAGACTCTGATACTGCGGCGAGATTTGAAGATGCACCCAACGATGGTGCCTCCCCCCCCTTGCGAACACGTAAAGAGTGTGGGAACTGATTCCACCGGCCCATCGCGTGGACGGGGCTGGCCGACATACCATCTATCGACGTTTATCAAGGCAAAGGGAGAGTGCCGGCTGTTTCGCTGGCCGAGGCGTTCGTGCTGAATCCGAGCGAGCGATTGACTAGAACGAGTGGATCGGCGATGGTGTCGGCGGTGGTGTCGGCGGTGGTGCCGATGTTGATGGGTGGTGCTGATGCCGACGGCAATGCTGACGCCCGCGCTTGTTGACGGGCGGTGTTTTTCTGATTCGCACACATCATACGATGGCGGCCACGTGCATAGATGAGGCACCGCTGCCGCCCGTCCATGTTGAAACGAGAGATGCCATGTACAGGGACGGAATGCTGTCGATCGGCCATGGCTGAACAGCATCGGGCAGTGCTCGCACTGCTGTGATGGGCTCGGCCGATGGGATATCAAGGGATAGACTCCCAAGGAAAAGATTCACCCGCCTGGCCGTTCTTGACTGCCTGACTTTCGGAACCAGCGACTGCCATTCTCTGGGTGCGAAAGACAGGCTCAGCTCGTTTCCACAGCCAGGCAACTAACTAACCAACCACGGCGCCACTGATCGCCATGCCCTGTCGCATTGCGATTCTGCGACTCGATTGGATAGCAGTTTGTGAATCGGCCATCACTTCCCCGCCTCCCCCCGCGGAATATTGGCTCAATAGGACCGGTTTCTGGCCGCGTTTTGTATTCATTAAAGCACTGCGAGCAATCACTCAGTGAACATATGGCCAGGATAAGATACGAGGAGATGAAGTTGGCAAGGAGAAAAGAACAGAGGGGCGAAAAGGCAAGATGAAATCAAAGGGCAAGATGAAATCAAAGGGCAAGATGAAATCAAAGGGCAAGATGAAATCAAAGGGCAAGATGAAATCAAAGGGCAAGATGAAATCAAAGGGCAAGTGATGGCACAGCCGGTTTACTTCTTCAATTTGCCAATGATGATCTCGGGCGCATACTTGGCCACGACATCGGGCTTGTGGAGCATGTTGACTGCCGAGAATCCCACGCGACAAGTGTGTTGAAGACAGCCAGAATGAACCACCAAGATCGCGGGACAGCGTATGGTGGATGGTGCATGGCCAGGACCAGAGCGGAAGCGAGAACATGAAGGGTCAGCCAAGCCTTCAAACCATTGGATGGTTGGATGCCACAAGCAACAGGAGCCGGTAGCAGGATCCGGCAGCAGCAGAATCGCGTGGTTCATGCGACCTTGGCCTCAGACAGTACTTACACTCCTCGGTGGCATCGCGTCCAGCGTACAGCATGATGGCTTTCTTGCCGCCAGGATGGTCAGAGAGGAAGCTGGTGGCGTTCAGGACTTCGCCGTTGACGACGACCCAGCAGTCCTTGTCCGTGTTGTGCTTGGCAACCTCCTCGAGGGTATACTCCTTGAGCTGGCCGGCGGCAGCAGGAGCAGGAGCAGGGGCGGCAGCGGGAGCGGCGGCGGCGGCTGGAGCAGCAGCAACAGGAGCAGCGCCCGAGGCAGGGGCACTCTGGCCATCGAACGAAATCTGGAGGTTGACACCGCCAACGGAGATGGAGACAGGGGTGCCGCTCAGATGGCCGGCAATGTTGCCGAGACGGCGGGCAGCAGCGCTGGAGGAGAGCTGCTCCATGTGGAAAGCGCTTGCGCTGCAAGTCGGGATCGATGAGAACATGCAGATTCGGTCAGTTCCAAGCGCAGGATCCGTAGCAGATGTTTATGCATCGATAATGTGGTTGTGGGGTGTCAGTGTGCTCGTGCGGGGATCGGTACAGCATGCCATTCTCACCTGGCACCAGCAACCCGTCCGTAAACGACACAGCCCAACAGAGAGCTGCCGCCAAGGCGGTTGGCACCGTGCACACCACCGGCGACTTCACCGCAGGCGTAGAGACCCGGAATAATCTGACCCGAGGCACCGTGGAAGACCTGGCTGTGCTCGTCGATCTTGATGCCACCCATGGTGAAGTGGAGGACGGGGCAGACGACGGCAACAAAGAACTCGTCGTTGATGTCGAAGGGGAGGTTGTGGAAGTACTTCTTGCCAAAAGGACAGTTCTTGGTTCTGGCAATCTCGTTGTACTTGCGGAAGGTCTCGTCCAGGTGGGCCTTGGAGATTCCGATTTCCCTGGCGAGGGCCTCGCCGTTCTTGAAGTGCTTCATGAGGCCACGGCCCATGTAGTGCTGCAGACGGGATGGCGCGAAGGAAGGCAGGGTGAGAGGCATGCACACCTGTTGTGGGAGCTGCGTGGGGTTGTGGCAGTTGCATGCGAGACTCGACACAAAAGAACGGCGCGAGCGACAGCCTACCTTGCAGTGCCACTCGATCTCCTTGCCGCCCTTGCCGTTGAGAACGAGGCGGAAGGGGCCCTTGTTCTTGTTCATCATGCCGGTGACGTAGTCGCGGTGGCCAAGCTCGTCACAGAAGCGGCTTCCGTTGGCATCGAGAAGGAGACCGCCCACACCGCGGAGGGCCTCAGCGGCCAGGAACTACACGGAAAAGATTGTAGCCATGCTGTGAATGAGGGCGTCTCCGACAGAGAAGGCGAGTGGCTGCAGCGGGACATGGACTGGTCTGTACATACCTTGACTTTAGCATCGGGCTCCTTGGGATCGACAAGGCCCGTGGGATGGACCTGGACCTTGTCCATGTGGAGGGTGCCACCGCCAATGGCAAGGGTCATCTTGATGCCATCGCCAGTGCAGTGGTCGCCGTTGGTAGTGGGCAGATCCCACAGCTCCGGACTGTGCACGAGCGAGATGCACCGGCACAGGGAACAGCACACGATCGTAGCAGAGGCATGACGAGAGCGACACGGAAAGGAGCGATATAGTCTGTCAGGAGGGCCTGATCGATGGTCGGACATGCTTGGCATCTGGCTTCCAGTCACCCATGGGCAATGCCCTCAGTAAATGCGGGTCGATGTGCGGCCGATGCTTACCGGAACTGTCTCAGGAGCGAAGTGTTGGTGAAATCGGCAGCATAGCCGCCAGTAGCGAGGATGACGGGGCCACGGGCTTCGTGGACAGCGCCGTCCTTCTGGTAGCGCACGCCAACGACACGGTTGTTCTCGTAGATCAGCTCGGTGACCTCGGCCTTCTTGAGAAGCTGGGCGCGGTGGGGCGAGCTCTTGCAGAGATCCTCATAGGTCTCCATGAGGGCGTAGGTCATGGTCATGCCAGGGAACATTTCCTTGCCGCGGTGGGTGCGGGGCTGGGAATGGCCACCGAGCCGGGAAACCAGGGACATGTCGACCTTGAACTTTTCCGAGATCCACTCGACCGCCGAGGCCGAGTTGTAGGTCAGAACCTTGGTGAGGGCCGGGTTGAGCAGGTCGCGGGCAGAACGAGCAGAATCGTCGTAGAAGATGGCGGGAGTGTCGGGAATGCCGAGCTTCATCTGGGCGGTGGTGCCGGCACCGTTGATGCCGGACGTGGCTTTGGTGGAGTTGCCTGGAGAGCAGCGAAGTCGGACGCAGAGCGGATATGAGTGCGGGTCGCACCATGATCAGAAAGCGATGAGCAGAGCCGCACATGGCCGACGGGTGTGTTGGTGGCGATAGGAGCAAAATCACAGCAGCCGACAAGAGAAGGGTCCAGAGACCATTGCCTCGGCACGTCCGAAGCAAACGTCAAGGACAGACTCGAGAGGGCCGCAGAACAAGCCTCGCTCGCGCAAAACCGCAAATCAGAGATAGAGAGCCGCGCCGACCACCGACACAGGGATCAGCAAGCCGCCGTGAAGAATGAGTCATGTCGCGACATTTGGGTCGTTCGCTGACCAACGATGACGGACAATCGAATGAACCAGGGTCGCGGTGGATCAAGCGAGAAAAAGAGTGGCAAGCCAGCCCATGATCAAGGAAAGCAGGTGTACTTCACGGGAAACGAGATAGGCCGTGGTAATGTGCAGAGACGCACGCTTACCTCCAAGGAAGGGGTTCTTGTCAAGCAAAACGACGTTGCCGCCGCGTTCGACGATGGTGTGGGCGGCAGAAAGGCCGGCCAAACCACCACCAACAACAATGATCGGGTTTTGCATGTGGGCGGGTCGCGAAGCGGATGAGGGAGAAGCTGCGAGCGGTAAGCGGGAGGGGGGGGAGGACAAAAGCTGATCAAACAAGCAGGACGAGGAGCAAGGCCAGGTCTTGATGCAGAAAGGAAGGCGAGCAGGACAGACGAGGGGCGCAGAGGACCGACGACAGGAGAAAGGCCAGCGGAGCGGGTTGCATCGGACTTTTATCGGGTTTGATTGAGGCCGGGGTGTGTCATTGTGATGGGCAGCGAGCAGATCACCAGGCACAGCCCGCACGTGAAAGCAGAACAGGCGACGTGCTGGGCAGGAGCGAGGGGGGACTTGGCCATGGTGTGCGGGATATCGATGACGGTGCGATGGTGTGCATTAGCAGGATGGTGTGTATTAGCAGAATAGTGGTGTATACCCTGGAGATTCAACTGCGTATTGAATTGCGTATTGAATTGCATATTCGATTGCATATTCAATGGAGGATGGGCGGTGGCTTGCTCATGGTGGAGATCCTGCGGACCAATGCGCCGGGGGATGCTTGAGCCGCCCGGCGTGCTGGTTGCATTTCTGTTGGTCGGCAGCGTTGTCTATGCGAGCCAACCAAGGCAGCAGTGGCAGCATCGATACGAACAATGCACCGGCGGCGACAGGGCACGGACATCAATCACCTGCCGGCGATCCGCTCCATGACCCTTGCTTCGACCCTGTCCTGGCGGCTTGAGCAAGGCGGAGGATGAATGGCTGAAAGGAGCGACAGGGCGCTGGAGTGGTTGCGAGCCGGGTGTCTTTGCCGGTGGCAACGGGCGGCTTTGTCGTCAACGGAGGCAGACACCCACAGGACGACTGGCGAGCGCTCTGCTGCCCGGTCGGCAGTGTTCCGCCAGATCTGCTGTCCGGCAGACAATCCATGCCGCCCCAGCGCCGCGAGTCGGGATAAATCGCAATCAGCTGCAAGCCAGTCTTGCGCGCGGGGCTCGCGGCCCTGTTGGTTGGTGTGATCGTTCGGGTTGGATGCCATTTCATGTGCCAGCGATGAAGGGGTGGGTTGAGACACCATCGCAGAAACGGCAGGAAGGCGGTTACGCCGCAACTTGCGGTGGGGGGGGGGAACGGAATGTCTCCGAGTTGCCGTGCTCGCTGCCTGGCCTTGCGGATGCGATACTGCTACGTTTGGCGGATGCATGCGGCGTCTGCTTGTCGGGCATGGCTGCTCTTCAGGGCTCGACTGTGCGCGCTGCTGCGGGAATGGGCTCTTGGCGGCTCTGGTGTGTGATGCCTGTCGTCTCGAGACAGCCACGATGGCCGTGGGCGACCAAGGTTACGGTGCCGACGATGCCGTGGTATGCAAGAGCATCTGGGGGTGGAGGAAAGCGTGTTTCATCTTGATGGCTCCGGAATTACAGGAAGATGATCACTCGCGAAATCGGAATGCCGCGCGAGAATCGAGCAGTGCCGGGCAGTATTGGACAGCACTGGCCAGTACCAGGCCGATTCGCCAAGCGAGAGATGATCAACATCACCCCGAGGAGCAACTCGCTCGCCTGCTGATGCTTGTAGCCGTGGTGTGAATATCGGGGCAGGAGCAGGGGAATCAAAGGAGCGCAGCTGGGCCCGTTCGGCGTCCGGATCCACAGGAGTAACGCAGTGTCAGGGGAAGTCAATCCCTCAACTCAGGCACGGCTATCGACAGGGCGGGCCAGGACCGACAGGCGGACCGACGAGCCACAACAGATCCGCTGGCGCGGGAAAAATTGGGTGGGAATTCACCGACGTGGTGGGGGCGGATTGGGCAGACCAGATGCGATTGCATCGAGTATGATTGCGCTTGGGATGGGATGTGAAATCATCTGCTGATCCCCCGCGTTATGACGATAGCGATTCGCATTCGCAGCCCTGCAAGTCAGCCGACACCAATCTATCATGTTTTGGATGAACCCCTCCGTCGAATGCAGCCCGTCCTCGAACATGAGACCTGAATATCCCACTCGCTTGCGAGAGGACTGCGGGTTGTCTTGCTCTGAACGACAGGGCGGTTCGGATCAACGCAGAGGTTTCCCCGCCAGGCGCGCGTTGTCGACTGGGCACAACCGTGACAGCACCCAATCGGCGGCGCCCCCAGGAGTGCCAGGCGAATCAGAATCGGCGGCGACGCAACAAGGACGGATCGACGATGACTCAACGGCGACACAGAGACGCTCGGCGAGAGCGGCCGAGGCCGCAGCGAGAGCACTTGGCCTGCGCGCAGGTGTGCTGCCGGACAGGGGTCCTTCTCTCGGTCGAGCTGGATGGCCAGTGAGTCACTCTGGCCACGACTGAGCGCACCGAGACACCGAGACCGAGACGCGGACGGCGAGCGAGATGGCGGACAAACGAACACAGACACAGACGCAGCGTGGCGCTGCGCTCGGCGTCTCGATTGACACTGGCCCTGGCCGCGACGCGCCTTCCCAGCATGCTGTCCACGCAGAGCTGTGTCGACAGAGACTGCGGCGCGGCACAACGGCTGCACAGGCAGAATCGCACACAGATAGCGAGGGAGGACAGTTGGCGGGTTGATTTCAAATGAAGTCCATTGATGCCAACGGCGCAGTGGCAAACAGACAGAGGAGCAGTGGCAAACAGACAGGAGCACGAACCCCCACAGAAACAGCTCCCACACAGACAGCGGCATCTGCACAGAAACAGCGGCAGAAGCAGCACAGCGCGGCCGCCGCAACAGTACCACCGCCGCCCCGCGCACCCACACTCGCACTGACTCATCGACTGACTCACCTGCCGCCCATGCGTCCAGGCCGAGGGCGACCAAAGAGCCGTCTTTGCTGCCTTCTTTTTTCGGGCGGCCCTGGGACAAAGCCTCTACGAGAAAACCACTTCACCGCTCTCGTTGATTCCACTGCCTTTGCTGCCTGCCGGATCGATGCCTGGCAACCACGGCCATACAAATCTGAATCCAACCGCCCGTTTGCCCTTCCATCATCTCTGCCTCTCCAGATCCGCGATCGCACCGGTCGGACTCTCTAGCTTTGCTCGTCCCGTAGCTGCTGCTGAGTCTCGGTGCCAGCTCAACTGGCTTCCCCATCGACACTTGCTCCCTCTCGCTCCTCCCTCCACACACGATATCCGCCAATACATCGCCATCGCCATCGCCATCGCCATCGCCATCGCCATTGCCATTGCCAAACGAACCACCGAGACGCCATGCTGATTCACTCCGTCGCCGTCCTGGCCCAAGAGTTCTTTACGCTTCCGCACAACAAACTCAACACACCCCATCACCGGTATCTGTGGCAGCGGATTTGCACCCTCCTAAACGGGATCACGGCCGAGACCCTCAAAATCAAGGTATATCTCGCCCCTACATCCTGCATGTTGCTGATGCTTGCCTGCCCTCTGCGATTCCGCTTGCCGACTTTTTCGTCGCCATCCGCAACGCTAGAGCAAGCCAGTGGTCGCAGCAATCATCGCAGCGGCACCCACCACCAGCACCGCGAGCACCACATCCGACAGTGCTCCCTCTCGCCATCGGCCGTGCAATTAGCACCCGCCTTGCGCTCTCTACTTCTCGATGCCGCACTGTCTCGGTGACAGGGCGCTTGCTCGGCCGGCTCGGCTCAGCGAGAGCATACCCGCTTGCTGGCATATCGGCGCCCCTTGGCCATCACCATCAGCCCCGTTACCACCGCTCTGTCGCCCTTGTTCGCCACAGCCCTATTCCTGCTCTCCCAGCCTTTGGTTGCCTCCCGATTGCTGTGTCGAGGCTGTGGCAGACCATCAGGAACCCCGCTCATCTCCGGTGCACACGGCCTGCTTGCTCGCCGTGCAGTGACCATCTTGAATTCACACTCTTCTGCTTGCGTCACTGCAGGAGTCTCTCGCTCCAGTCGAGTACTACTCCGTCTATGAGTCGAGCGTCTTCACAATATGTGTGTTCGTTCTGAAGCGGGGAACGATCATGCCTATCCACGACCACCCTGATATGACCGTCTTCAGGTTAGGCCGCGGATGCGTACTTGTGCATCGGCTGCATTCATCCCCCTGTCCCTCCTCTCCGTCCGGCTTGTGCCTTTCCCACTCATCGCCCTCGCCTTCCCTCGACTGCAACCTGGCCCTGGTCTCGACCACTTTGCGTCTGTCCACGGCCAGCTGGCCGCAGCCGCCCCTGAGCCAACCCAGGCTCTGGGGACAGACTCGCTGTGCGCCCAAATCCACAATCCCGTTCGGCCCCCTCCGCTGCTGTGGTTGTGGCTCGTCTGCGTGTGCGCCACCAGCGGCCTGCTGCCTTTGGGCTGCGTCTGGGATGACTGCAGCATCAATCGGGCACGCCCCGCCCAACCGTCCCCGACTGCATCCTAACCGCCCCGCTCTCTCGCCTCATCCAGCAAAATCGTCAGTGGCGACATGTTTGTCAAAACATTTGAATTCCTGCCCAAGAGCAACAACGAGTGAGTGTCTCCTTGTCCAAACACCCCCCTGTCGCTGGCTGCTGCTGCTGCTGTTGCTGCTTGGCTGACTCTGGGCATGCTCTCTCAACAGCCTGAAAACTGTCATCGACCCAACCACTTTGCAGCCATGCACAGGTAGAATGCTCCCCCCCCCTGCTTTTCTCCGTGTTGTCGCAATGGGCTTTCGCCGATCAAACCGGCCAGGGCTCCAATCTGCCTGTTGGCGCGTGGCTGCGTCCTGGAATTCGCACCCACACCCTGCTCGTTCTGCCAACCCGCCGGCCAACCCGCCGACAAACTGTGGCGGCATGTGCCTGCTGCCCTTCTATGCATCACATCCCTGGCTTATGCGCCACTAACCAGCATCCCGCCTCTCGCCATCACATTCCAGTGCATCGCACCCGCCTGGGATTAAATCGCGTCGTCAGCGCCGGATCTCCAGAGTCTCTCATGATCATCGAGCCGGGCCAGGGCGCTAACCTGCACTCCTTCGAGGCAGTCTCCGATCGAGTCGTCCTGCTGGATCTCATCGGCCCGCCCTACAACGGCGACACCCGCCGGTGCACCTATTTCACGCCGCTCACTCCCTCGCACGAACGACTCTTGCTGAGCTCGCCCCTGTCCTCCTCCATAACCAGCGCCGATGACAGCAAGCTGCCCCTGCTGCTCCAAGACATCTCGCAGACCATGCTCAAAGCATCGCGAGCACAGGACCACACAAGCAAATCCATTCCATCGCCAGACATCCCCACAAGCAAATCCTCGTCATTTCCGGGCGCGGATACCTCCAAGAGGCACCAGCAGCCGTCGACATCTCCCGGCCTCTGGTGCGACGGGAGCTCAAGCGACTCGTCCGAGAACGACTCTCAGTTCAAGCACAACGGGTCGTCTCGCCCTTACCACTACGCCTCGCCGCCCTCGGAAGGCCAGGAATACTGCTGGCTGATGGAGAACGACAACGTCGACTACGAGTGCACCGAGCGAACCTACTGTGGTGCCCGCGTCCACGGCGACCGGCTCATCCGCGACTCCTTCAATGACATCCGGCCTGTGATCGAGAAGGTTGCCAGCTACATCGAGAGCCGAGCATCCAGCGCCGCCCATTCGCCATGAGCGAGCCGGCCTCTCTCCGCTCTGCGGCGGTCCTATCGTTCTTTCTTTCCTTCTTTCTTTATTTCTGCCTTCCGCACTGTACTCTTATCTCCGATGCGGCTCGGATGGCCCTATCGACCCAACCATGCCTCGTCTGTGCCTCTTGCACAGGGCTTCCTGTTGTCCCTGTCGTGTCCCCACACTCCATTCATCCACGCCTCTCCTTCCAACACCTTACCCTATCACCCACTACACCTGCCTGCATATTTCTTCAGGCATCATACCTTCATTCACACCAAATCCAACCGGGCTGGACATGGCATTCCTGAGTGGCTATGTGGATACGGATTGGACTTGCCTGTCGATCTGTCGACCCGCCGAGCAACACCGGCCGTGCTCTAGACTCGATTCCCCACAGAAATGCTATCCGTCTCATCAATTCCTTGCCATCCGCCGAGCCGGCGCAGCCCTGATGGGCCTCTATGCTCACGTACTCACAAGAGCCCGACGAACCTCCGCCCCTGCGGGTGAGACCCCTTGGCTCACTTTCGCCGTATCATGATTCCTACTAGTCGTTGTTGTGTATGCTCTCTGCTCGTATCCTCGCACCACCCATCCTCAACCCACTCCTTGCTCTTCTTCACTTGGCTTTCTCTGCGTTGTAGTTGCTGTCTCGCTATGTCCCTGGCACTGCCTCCAGCCTGCGGGCTCGGATGCTGATTGATCGTCCGCCTCCCGAACGCCTGTGGCCTTGCACGATCAATCCCTGCGCTGCCCATTGCTCTGGTGTGCGCTTTGGCCATTCTATTTTTCTTCTTGCACTGTTTCCTCCCTCACCCCGGCTATTCCTCCCCCCCTCTCCTTTCTCTCTCTCTACTTTTGCTCACTCACTCTCTCGCTTCTTCGCCATCATCTTCGCTGCATCGCTTCCGCTCTCTTTGGCTGGCTCCGTCCCTTCATCCATCGCACCTGGCCCTTTCCCTGCTTTGCATTGCTGGCTTTCTCGAACCTGCTTTGTTTTTGTCCCATGCTGTTGATACAGGGTACCCCCAACGAAAAGAGTAAGAAAATACAAACGCTCTCCTCCCCCCATAACACGGAACCGTGGCTGTTATTTGCAGCGATGTTCATCGGTCAGAGAATGGAGCTTCATTGATGTCCTGGGCTTTCATCTGGGCTTCCATCTGGGCTGTCACCTGGGCTTCCATCCTTGGTGGTTTACAACGCACCACTTTGCGCCTTTTGCAGGCCATCGGCGACGCTGACTCGTGTCTGGATGAGAGAGCAGACCACGAGCGTCACTTGCTGACCACACACATGTTCGCTGGCTCATTCGCCCGCGGACTCGCTGTCGACAAAGTACACTCGGCGGGCTTACCTTTTCGCTGATCGGCGGGTCGGCGCGCAAGTACGCTGCAATGAAGGTCTCGGCGACCCACTTGCTCTTCATCACCACCATCAGCTCGCCCTCAAACTCCATCTCCAGGGTGTTCTCGGTCGTCTTGCGGAAAACGAACGACTGGCCCGCCTTGACGACGCCGGGCGGGAAGTTGGCGCGCAGCTCGGTCATGGCAGCCTTGATTTCCTGGAATATGTCAAGTTTGTTGGGGAGAGGAAGGGAGGAAGGGAGGAAGGGAGGAAGAGACATGAGTACACGATTTGAATGGAAACGGGGGGGGGTTATCATGACCGGAGTCTCTGATTGTACCTGGAGTTCAGTCTCTGTGAGCGAGGCTTGGTCTTGTGCAAGCTGGAGCTTCAGGAATCGCTCAACACCGTTGCGGAGATGCGGGCCGTTTGTTGCACGAGTGGGTTCTGGAATGAATCGGGCAGAGAGACGATGGGTGGGATCAGTGTGTGTGCAGCGGATGCACACTTGCCAGGTATTTTGAATGAGCAGACGGCGATGCCGATGCCGATGCCGATGCTGGCGAGGAGACCGTGAAGGAAGCAGGGAGCAGGAAGCAGGAAGCAGGATACCTATGCGGATTGCTATCTGGCCCTTGCCCTTGACGAGGTGGTCCAGGGCCACGTTGTGCTTCAGGAAGGCCTCAGCGTCGAATGCCTTCCATGTCGAGATGGCATGCTCGGTCACGCTGTCGATATAGACTCCAATGACATATACCGGGATCTGCAGGAAGGTGACGTGCCGGCTTCCCAGGCCCAGCAGCCGGAACGATTGCTGCGGATCGCGGCTCGGGAGCCGCAAGCTCTCGGGGATCCTTGCGTGGGTGACGGGGTCCTCTGCGGCCGGCGAGGAATGAAGGCATCAGCGCCGGGTCAGGGTGCGCTCGGCAAAGGAGCAAAGGATGCAAGGGAGCTCACCGCGGAGCGGAATGGGGTGGGCCTGCTCGCTGTTGAGAACCGAACCGCCAGCCAGGGCAGCCGAAAGAACCAGCAGGAGGCCAGTTCCATAGGCCCAGAGGCTGCTTCTGCTTCTGGGACGGGCGAGCAGCTGCAGCGGCGAAGAATGCAGCGCGGCGATACGCAGGCCGGGCTCTGCGATCATGCGTGGGTTGAGCTTGCGAGAGGCAGCCCAGAAGATGAGTCGGCCGGGCTGGATCGACTGGCACGGACGGATGCGCTGCAGCAGGACCATGTTTAGGGCCAATCGGTGGAGATGGGGATGGAGGATGATAATCCGATACGAGAGCCGATGAAATAGCCGATACGAGCGTAATGTACAATCCAAGAGAGTGTAATGTACAATCCAAGAGTGCAATCGAAGTGTCGATTCAAATCCAGGGCCGACGCGTCCCGCTTCTCGCTCGCTTCTCGCCTCCCTCTCGCCTCCCTCTCGCCCGCCTCTCGCCCATGGCTCGCAGCACGGCTGCGCAATGCAAAGGCCGTTTTGCTTTGGGATTTCGCCGCCTTCGCTTCGCTTCGTCCTGCTCTTCATCACCCCCGACACCCGCACCCCTGCTCGCTGTCTCCGTCTGCACACCGTCTCCTGCAGGTCCGCATCCGCTCGTCTCCGACCCGCATGTCGGCCCGCCAGCCATCGCCGCCCAGGGCCCTGTCCCCTCGTGCTGCTCTCGCCTGCTGTGTCGATCGCTCCTCCGTCTGTTGTCGCTCTCCGCCATCCTCACGTCTGCACGCTCTCCCTCCTCCCGCAACGCTTCCTCGGTCGATGTCGCAGGCTTTGCTCGCCATGGATACGCCCAAAGCCGAGCCGCCGCATTCCGCGCCCCTTCCTGTCGCCGTCGTCTCCATTCCTGGACGGAAGCACTGCCATCTCAAGACCCGCTTCAACCAGATCGTCGTCAACGAGGACGCACATGACACCTTCCGCTTCACGATCCGGCTGCCGTCTGCCATTACGCCTGGCTCGCTGCGCAGAATCACCGATTTCTCGGCCTGCGCAAACCCACGGGTCCTCTCGCCAGCATGCCACCATGTCTCGGTCTTCTACATTGCGGACGGACATGGAGAGTCCTATGCCGTGCCCCAGACCCGCCTGTCCGCCTCGCAGTGGAGCGGAAGCAAAGCCGAGCAATTCATGCGCGTCCTCAAGCCTGTTGTTCGCCAGGTTCTGGAGGAGATCTTTGACGACGCCATTGATTGCTGGAAACGAGGCGAGCTGGAGCTCTGGCGCTCGGAACCGTCCGCGACAGCAACTGCAACTGCAACTGCAACTGCAACTGCAACTGCAACTGCAACTGCAACTGCAACTGCAATTCACTCTCATGTGGTTGATCCTTTGTCTGCCAAGGACTCATCTGCGTCAGCTGCCATGTCATCGCCCCACCCAGAACCAAGAACTCTTGCCGATCCGTCCTCCGACCGCGTGGACTCTGTGACGTCGCTCCTCGCTTTCTTCCAGACCACTCGCCCCGAGCCTTCATCTCCAAGACCAAGATCCTTCGAGGGCGTGAAGGACCCCGAGGAGGAATTGCTAGAGCTGCAACAGCTGGAGCAAAAGGATCGCAGGGTCGGTGCGGCGCCTGTCAATCACCCATCAAGTTTGGACGCCAGCGTGCCCAGCACCTCGGACGGCAATGTGCTATCGGTGGCCTCGTCGCTCCACAGGCTGTACGGACACATCACCCGGCTCCTCAAACATCTGCAGGTCCGCATCGACGATAATCTCCTGCAGGCACATCCCAATCTGTCCCGCGACAACGGCGCAACGCTGAGCCTCGGCATCGTTCTGCATTCCACGGTGTGGTTCTGCAACGTTGGCGATTCGTCCATGATGCTCTTTGACCGTATCTCGGGCGAGCCGCTCAAGGTCTGGAGGCGTGGGAATGGCTTGGACGACGTGTGCCACACGGCTTCCTATGAAGACTCGCTCGAAGGATATCCCAGCTCCCTGCCGGAGGGGCAAAGCCTCAAGTCGGTCTCGCGCGACTACGAAAAGATCAAGGACAACTGCAGAGCCTCGCGCCGCGGCGACAGGATCTACTACACCGTTTCCAGTGCCCTGAGCGACTACGGGTTGTGCATGACCAATTCTCTGGGAAACCACAACCACAAAGGTGGGCAGCAAGCGACCGGGCATGACGCTGCTACGTGGGATTGGATCACCCGCGACGACACGATCGCTCGTCCGTCTTCGTTGCTGCCCTGCTTTCTTGCTCTTGCCCCGAGGCGTGCACCGCTGCCACCCCGACATTCATTTGCTCCACGTACTGATCCTGCTTTGGTCCACTCCTTGCTCTTGCCCGCACCAGCTCGGCTCTTCAATCGCACGACTGTGTACTGCTTCGATATCCCGGCACTCGTCCGACAGACAGAGTCAGGATGTCTCGCTGCGGTACTTGTTACCGATGGAGTGTAAGTGCATTGCAGTCGCAGCGACGTCGTGGGCACTCCGGCGAGCGCTGTCGTGCAGATCCAACCCGCCTTGCCTGATCGGCCGATGGAAACATACTCTGTTGTTGCGCCAGACTGCCTTTGTATTGACACCATCGATAATCCTTGCTTTCGCAGGAAGGACGTCATGAGTTCGGCCGAGATCGGCAAAGCCTTTGTCTCGACCGATGCGGCCATCGCCAATCTGACTCACTTCAGGCACTTGGGTTCCGAGGAAAGCAAGACCGTGGAACTCGGCGACCTGATCGATCTCGCTGCCCAGAGGACAAGCAACGACGCTTTGGTTCGTCTGGATCGCCACCACATGATTGCCAAGGACGACCTGATTGAGATTTGCATGAAGGAAGACGACCAGCGATCCGTGGATCCCTTCTTGACTGTCGATTCGAGCCCAGACAGCAAAAGCAACAACGACATTGCCAAGGGGCTTGTCGGGACGCCCTCGGATGCGCTGGCCCCTCTCGAACAGATTGCCGCTGCCATCACCAACCTGGGCATCGTGCGCAGAAGCAACGACGATTGCACCACCATGGTCGTCGACTTGGGCTTCTTTGCATCCAGCCAGACCCGAGCCGCACCCGTTTCTCCCCACGAGCAGCACTATCACAGCAGCCTCTCTGGCCCCTGTGTCGTCGGCTGGAATGATGGTGTCGAACGGCCCCCAGCGAGCCCAAGCGACTGTTCGTCTCGTTCGCCGATCTCGACAAAGCCTGCTGCATGGAATGTCTTTGGATTTGACGACTCGCCGAGTCCAGCCAGCTCGGCTGGCGCCAGTGAGACCTCACTTGTTGCCAGCGAGGAGGAGCCTATCATCAGCATGCTGCCAGCGGACAGCACCCAACTTGAATCCGACCCGCCATCGCTATCGCCGCCGCTATCGTCACAAACAGACCCCGCAGAGCGCAGCCACGGCATCGAGTCCAGTGCCAGAACCCTCTCGGTGGCCACCAGCATTCTGGAGACTCCAAATGTCCCAGGCTCGCCCGACTTTTGGCCGGATCAAGATGCCGAGGTGTCTGAGGTCTCCGAGCATCAACCACCATCCAGCTCCCACGCGCGGTCAAGGGCACCGCCCGCGTTCGAGTTTTATCCTGGAACCATCTTTCGCAGCGTCTCGCACCTCTCGACCACAGCGACGACAGCGACATCGCCGGCAATCTCCCATTGCGCAACGACGCCGCGAATCGACACAGATATGGAGTTCTATGACTCACTCAGCGACGAAGACTCGGTGTCTCTGTTTGCGGATGGCGTAGAGTGCTGCGATACTTTGTCTCTCGGGCCGATCTCGAGACATGAAGGTCTCGACATCCAATTGCCTGTCGGTCTCTTCCCTGAACGCACTGCCGCCTCCCAAGCAAAGTCGCCCGCCACGCTCTCTGTCCTTCACCTCGAAATAGCACCATTCGGGCTTCTGCCGTCCAAGCTTGCGTGTGTTGCTGTTGCAGCATCACCGCCGACTGGCAGCGGAGAAATCGCTGCCGAGTCGGCTTCATCTCTTGACGGTCGGATACGACGGAAACGTAGCTGGGACCCTGAGCCGCCGCTGCAGTTGTATCCCGGAGTGGGATTCGACTGGGGGCTTGATTTGAGCCGGGTATCAAAGCGTCCCAAGGTGAGTGCCGCAACGGGCAGCTCGACAAGCGGCGCTTCTTTGACCCCTGCTGCGCCTGAGATCGAGCCATCTGTCGTGCTTTTAACTCACACTGCACCCCGTGGCTTTTCCAGAGCGCCTCGGACGACCTGCCGTTGAATGTGAGCAGCAGCATTCGGCCAAAAGACTCCCCTGGCTCAGATACCAAGAGACCAAGGCTGAAATGAGCTCGGCCAAGCAAGTCTTTGCACAGAAACCAAGTGAATCGAATGTTCCCAGCCAAGCGTGGCCAGCCTGCTCGCTCTCTGTCGCAGTACTTTTCCAAGAGGCATATCCACCACCGTTGCTGTCGATACCACAACATTGTATGCGCTGGTTCTCCTTCATTTCCTTTGTTTCTCTTTTTGGGTGTGGTTGCGACATCCCTCTGATCCCTCTGATCCCTCGCTCGACTTGCTTGTATCCGTCGCAGCTGCTGGCCACGGCTCCAAATCCTGCCTCGCTATTTATATTCATCATCATCATCACTGTTGGGCTGGTTGGGAAGTGTCTCGTTAATGATGCGAATGCTGTATTTCATGCAAGTTTGAATCGATGAAGCCCGCTGAAGATCGTCTCCCGGCCCTGATCTTGTGTTGACATTCGAGAGCCGAGAGGCATCCCATATCCGACCGGGTGCTGTCTCGACTGTCCGTGCATGTTTCGTACGTTCCAGAAAGAAACAGGATACCCTCGATTTTGATCATTGATCAAATGTTTTGTTATCCAGTACCACCGCGCGCTGGCCATGACCATTCGCCAGTGCGCCAAGAGCACCATTCACCGCTGGCACTCCGAGACCAGTGTGCAGGTCGATTGTGGAGACCGGAGAACGACCGGTGTCTTCACTCAGAAGCTGCCAAAGTGATCTGTTCTATTTCTTATGGCTCCGCTTGACGCAAGCTCATCACATACTACGCTGGCATATGGGATCGTGAGGGTGTCCCGTTTGCTCATGTGTGAAGTGTACGTGTCGTCGTGATATGCCTAGTGGCGGCCATGTGCCAACGGAGAGGATACAGACGCTGATCCTGATCCTGATGCCGATCCCGATCCCGACGAGACATGCTCCTCGGACTGCTCAATCTCGGCGATGGTCCTCATCTCGATAGAGCCGTCGTCATGCACGACGTTCCCGGCCGCCACGATCCGCTGTGGGATCAGTGGGTGATAGTCCGACAGAGACACCTGCGACCCACCAAGAGACTGCGGGGCGGCCCTGCCTTTGTGCTTCAGCATGAGCTTGCCGAACCGGAACTGGGCATATTCGAGCGACCGATCGAGCATCTGGGCAAACGGCGGATCGGATGGACGGAGACTGTCGCTGGAGGAGGCCGAGGGAGTCTCGATCGAGACAACAGAGGCGGGCTCGCTGTCCAGTATCGCCAGCGCCAGGTCTTGGATCTGGATGCGTGTGGGGTCGTTGGGAAGCCAAACGACAGTGACCCGATGATGCTCGATGTTGCGGGCGTGGCCGGTCTTGAGAGTGCTGAGGTCCGGCTCACCATAGAGCCAGCGCTGCTCGCCTCGGGCCTCCTCGCGCTGGTTCAGAAAGTTGGACAGGAACAGCAGCGCGACGGCGAGAAAGGCCATGATGGTGCTGATGAGGAATCCCTGGGTCGCCTGGATGAAGGTCGTCATGGGATTCACAAGCTCCAGGATCCGCGTCGACAGCAGCAGATAGACGGTCGTGAGAGAGACGACCCCCATCACCAGGAATGGGATGGTTCTCATCGCCATGGACGAGTCTGTCGTTGTGGCTGGATGGAGGGTGGGTCGAGAGAGTTGGGGGCCGGGTAAACAAAGGGAACAGCGAGCTAATGAATCGGCATTGACCGGCATGAATCGGCATGAACCGACATGAATCGGCATGAAAGTGATGCCGGTACACGCACCATAGTGTATTCGGCCGACCGTATTGGATGATACGTGCGTTAGAGTGACCGGAGGTACTTGCACATTCCCTGGCACCGAGCCGGACATGCAGGCAGGACTTGAGTCTGAAGACATGTGAGGTTTACGCGCATTCAAAGTTACGGCCACGGATGATGCAAATCCGGTCTGGGCTGGAGAAATCCAGAGCGCTGCCGGACTGATGTTGCGCTTGGCTCAAGGCAACGACATCGCTGGGTGGACTCTCGCTTCCAGACCAGGCTCGAAGAGCATGGCGGTCTGTGTCGGTTTTGGCGGGAGAAGGGCGGGTTCGAGAAGCTGCCACCAACCCGGCATAGCAACCCAGCTGACCGCCCCTTCCCGGATCCGATTGCCTCAGTCAGGTTGATGTCGCCATGACCTGCCTGTTGCTGCCATAGCCCATTTGATGCATTTGCGCACGGGCGCAGTACTGCTGCATACTCCGTCTCCACAAACGAGGTGCCACATGTCATGGTCTCCATGGGGCTGAGGCTGCACAAGTGCAGGCGTGAATCCCATTGTCTCCGCTAGCGGCGCATGGAGGGCAGCATGTGAGATGCATTATTTGTGTCGGCCTCGTCGCTGCATGGAATGACATGTACGGCGATGATGTCGCTTGCACATCGGAAACGGGGCGTAGTGCTTGGCCGAAAAAGTGCCTAGAGCTTCACGGACTGCTCGCTCCCGTTGTATCGGGGCAGGTTCAGCTCGTACTGGTTGGCCATAGATGGGGGGATGAATCGGCCACCGAGATAGTGGTGTTTGCCTTTGAAGTGACGAGCGCAGAGCTTTGGTGCCGTGAGCGAAATCAGCAGCTCGGGCTCCAGACCGTCCCCGCCGATGTTGCCTTGGATGTACAGTCGGGTCCGGCGGCAGGTTTCGTCGATAGTGTACAATCAAGAGGAAAGAGGCAGCCTGGGTTATGATGCCGCCGCAGCAGATTGGCACAGACGTGGGAATTCGCTCGGCACCTGGGCTCGAGTTCGGCAGAGTATGACGGCGCTCGGCGGTACTCCTGGGGAAGCAGTCTCTGCAGTACCAGCCGCCCATGCTGCGACCACGTACCATTCTCGACATCCCAGCCAGAGGGAATGTCAATCGAGGCCACGGGGAGCGAGGCAGACTTGATGGTCTAAAGGAAAGGTGGAACCATGGAGTCGCTGGCAATTCAGCAGCTCATTCTCTCTTGGATAACAGCAGCCCGTTTCCCGCGACTGCAGGACTATCTTCGTACCCTGATGATCGATGCAAACGGCTCGCGAATCTCTCCGGAGAAGCTGAATCCTGGTTGCGCCCCGGGTCCATGTATCAAGGAACCAAAGTAGATTCATCCAAGACAGGTTGGAATGATCAGCATGCAGATAACATCGGCTGCTTGCATCCGTTCGGTCGGTCGTCTACTTGTTCGTTCATCTGATAGCCCCAGACAACGGTGGCAGAAGCCGGCAAGCAGCAATGGTCTTACCGAAGATGCCATCCACCAGCAGGTCGTGCTGCCTGATCTCGGTTGGAAAGTCATCGACAAAAGGGATATCCAGATTCCGACACTGGGTAACCAAGTTCTGAATCGCATGCCCCCGACTCGTCAACGGAGCGATCCGATCGGACAATTGTTGGACTGCAGCTCCATCCACCAACCATGCTGCATGGCCGCGGCGATCGACAGTGGGTATCCCCGTCAATCAGCAGCCGTTCATATCCATGCCAGGCTATGGCTCCAGTAATATCTACCATGAAGAGCGGCTTCTGTGGCTGCTTTGGATAGTAGATCGATGGTCGGTACCCGAAGTGACGCAAGTGCCGGGCTGCAACGAGGCCATCACCGCCGTTATTTCCCGGGCCTGCCGAGGAATACATATGCACATGTGTCAGAGGCGATGGTGATGGCTTGTGATGCATCAGGACGATTGGGGGCCGTCGTTTCGATCTTCAGTCTTGGTGTTTTCGGCCGAGACTTGCCGCATCGGCGATGCTGCATGCAAACCCACCGGCGACGACCAGCACCCGCCGATGGGTCTGAATATCGTAAACTTTGTGGATAGCCTCGGCAACGCTGAGGCCCGCAAGTTCCATGAGCTGTCGACAACCATGGCCGACCAGATGCCGAGCTGTGTCAGAGTCTGCCGAGGAGCATGTCGGGGCCATGTGCTTTTCGTGACCATGTGCTTTTCGAGTCCAGAAGCCACCGGAATGCTGGTCGACTCACCTGGTCGATGGAGAACCCGCCGAGGGCCGGGTTCATCAGGTCCAAATCAATCTGCTGAGCGATTTTCTGGGAAAGAAGCTGGATCGATTGCAACGAGATTTCAGCCCGGTCGTATTGGGCCACGAGCCCCGAGCTTGCGCATCAGCAGCAGAGCGAGCGATGCGTCCATCCCGCACGACTGCATACCTTGATCGACATCCTTGTTGGGGTGAGATTGAGTCCAAGAGGCGAGGAGATGGCACCCTTCCGGCGCTGGCTCCTGTAAAGCAGCCCCGCCCTCGGCAACGCCAGACACCGCCGCCAGCCCAGATAGACCCGGAGTCGCCTCTTCCCCCATTTCAACATCACAGGGACTATATTCATCAGGTGAGATGCTGCAGTGGCAGTAGCATGCAAAAACAGACGATGGGCAGGAGAGAAATGTCTGTTTCGGCGATGGATCCGACCGTGTATCCAGGCTGGCGGATGTGGGAATGCCATGGACCACTGTCCGGGCTCAGGGTGCCCCGGCCTTCGATACACCGACTGGGCCAGCATGTTCGATTCGGTATCAGAGGTCGTGCGCATATGCTAAAGATGGTTGCGGCCGACGTCAGACCGTCGCAGCCGCCTTTCCCAGGCTGCCGTCCGGCCACTCATCCCGCATGTGGTTTCAAGTGACTGGCAATCCGACTGAGGCGCTCGACAGCTCGGGATTGAGCGCTTTGGGTATTCTTTGAGGCCGAGGACAGAGCCAGGGTGCTGTTCTTGGCCGACAAGAGCGAGCCGAGGTAGTCCCGTTCAAAGAGGTCGTCGCCGAATCCGCCGTGGGATGGAGGCTGGGTGCGCGTGGAGGTTGAGTGGGAGGCTTGGCCGTTCTCTCGGAAGGCCCGTTCGTAGGCCGCGGGCAGGCTTGCAAAGAGCGACTTGGTGTTGAGCATGAGTGCGACCGATGGGACGATGCGGCGATACGGGCGATGCAGCCAAGCAAGTCGCCAGCCGGGGCTGCTGTGGTTTTGTCGCAGAGGCAGAGGCAGAGGCAGCGCTGGTGTTTGTTGCATGTGCTTTCGCATCGACGCCGTGGTTCGCCGAGAGCGCCTTCCCTTCTCGCCGAGAACAGGCCCAGCCACACCCCCTGGCTTGAGCCCATGTCGATTTGCGCAGGGTCTTCACCGCATCTGGCCCTCAGGACGCTGCTCACACCGCATCGAACCAAGAGCACCGGCGAGATGAGAGAGACGGGCCGTGCCAAGGCCTTCAGCGCCAAACAGAAGAAGAAGCAGCTGCAGGAGAAGCGTCTGCGCAAGTCACAACCCGAAACCCACCACGTTGCCGACGAGCACCACTCAGGAGCCAGCGACCCGGACGACACAGCGCCGTTTGCTGTGTCCCGACATCGGCCACCGGGCTCAGCGCAGAACCGACGTGTGCGCTCGGGCTCGGACGCTGCTGGCGATGCTGGCGGTACTGGCGATGCTGATCGTATGCGCAAGCCCAGATCGAAGAGCAGGTCTGTAGACGAGGACTGTGGATGCGAGGATCCCAGAACTAGCCGCTTGGTCTGGCTTCGATCCTCGAGCGAGTATCGCGAGCGATGATGCTCCATGAAGACAGATGAGGATGTAGAGTGAATTCATTCGCTGAAACGATTGCCCGACACGCACAACAACGCCCGCACCCATGCGTTCTTGGCTCGGCCTCGATCAAATCGCTCGGAAACGGCGGCATCGCTCTCGGCGGCGTCATGCGCTCGTGTCTCGAATGCGACCGGGCACCAGAGGGCTCGAATCCAAGTTCGTGCGGATGCCGCATGAGGCCATGGAAGCCCTGAAGCAGCAGGCACAGCAGCCATTCCATCGCCTGGACGAGGTCAGCCACAGCTCGTTGGCTCGGGGGGAGGAGGATTCTATGGCAGGCCGTGTTTCGTCAAATCACCATCGCAAACTGATGGACTCCTCTATTTCTGTATAGACTGGCTTGGAAGTCGACTACGATAGCTTCTATCCCGAGAGTGCGATAATACCCCTTCCGAAGCGGCCGGCCTGGAGCTACGACGACAGCAAAGAAGTCCTCGAGGAGCGCGAGCAGTCGTACTTTCAGTCGTGGATCGAAAGCGTCCACACCGAGTTCCAGGGGGATCATCTGAGCTACTTTGAGCAGAATCTCGAGGTTACTGTCATCCCATGTCTGTGCAAGCTTCGATGTGCTGGTTTCATTCCCATCAGTGCTGTGCCTGAGAATTGTGGCCAAGGACGACCTTGGGGCTATACGATGTTTGCGGTGCTCACCCGAGACAGCTTGGATTCTGCAGGTCTGGCGGCAACTCTGGAGGGTTTGCGAGATTTCGTAAGGATCCACGCATTGATCGAAAGCAGAGATAATGCCTTGTCGTAGTGTTACGGCAACGGCACCCGAGCGTACTGAGCGAATATCCTTCCTAACCGATCGTGGTCCACCAGAGACATCATCCTGGTCGTCGTCGACTCGCGCAATCCCGTTCTGCATTTCCCGCCAGCGCTACACGAATACATATGCAAGGATCTGGGCAAAGATGTTGTTCTGGTCTTCAACAAAGTGGACCTGGTTCCCCGCCGAACTCTCCTCGAATGGCAAAAGTATTTCGAGGGACGCTTTCCGGGACTCAAGACGGCCTGTTTCAGCATGTATCCCAAAGAATCGTTTGCTCAACGAGGTAAGCCTTCACAGAGAGCGCAGTGAACAGCAACCAACGCCGCAGCTTCACACTGCCGAACTGGATCGGTGCTGGCCGCATGGGTCCGATCACGGAATCTCGGTTAGTGGGGCTGTCGTGTACGTCGCCAACCCGATCGCACTCTATCCGCGGCTTCACCAGGAAAGAGGGTGCGGTTCAAGCGCTATGCTCGAGCCTATGGCACTGTCGATATCCTCAACGCCTGCAAGTCCACTCCTTTGACCAAGGAGGGCACGCTTGTGGAATGGGATTCGCTGATCGAGGAGCAGCTCTATCGGGTTCGCAAGTATGAAGCGTATCAGGCATCCAAAGCCGCAACGCGGGAGAAGCAGGATGGGTTCCTGGGTCGCTCTAGAAGGCGACAGCGCCTTGGCAACGAAAAGCTCGAGTACGACGGATATCGTCGTGGGCCGCACGGTCGCGACAGCGACGATGATGAGGTGTCCGCCGGCTACAAGCGCCAAGGACACAGTGGTGTCGAGCAGGACGATGCCAGCAGCGCAGATTCTTCAGGTGTGTTTTGCTGCATCTGAATTACTGGGAAGCAATCACAGGCTCGCGCCGCGAGCGGTTGTGTGCCGTGTCTAGTCTGCGAGGAAACTGTCGTAAGATTCATTGGCCAAAGCCTCTGACACCAAGCGAATGCGATAGTCGATGACGATGATGATGAGCCGCTCCAAGGAGAGTTGGAAAGTGATCCGGCTGCTCGAAGCGACGTGGTAACCATCGGAATGCTAGGTATGTACCGACGCCCGGTCCTTCTGTTTTCTGAGATGGGATATGTTCACCAAGGCGAGGTTTACATGGGTGTGTGGTAACACCGCTGCCTCGTCCATCTAGGTCATCCGTGAGTATTATGCCGACTGCTCAAACCACAGCCCAACGCAACCAAAGCATGGGCTGATCGAGATGCGTCCTTTCTGTGATAGCAACGTAGGCAAGTCGTCACTGATCAACAGTTTGATGGGCAAGAAGGTAGTTTCGACATCCAAGACCCCGGGCCACACCAAGCATTTCCAAACGATTCATCTGGCTCCACGCGTCCGGCTTTGCGACTGTCCCGGGCTGGTGTTTCCATCACTCATCCCGCCTCAGCTCCAGGTTCGCATCAGTCCTGTCCTCGCAGCCCCCACAGTGCCTGCTATCAGGGCTGCAGTAGATGTCTCGCTCGATGCATGTGCACCATCCGTCAGCGCACCGCTTCTCGGCGACCGCAGCGATGCTGACGATCTGCGGTGTTTTCTGGCGCACACGATCATCGCTTGTCGCGGCGCACGGCTTGACAGATCCTCTCTGGCATGTACAAGATTGCCCAAGTACAAGAGCCATATTCAGTCGTTCAGTATCTGGCTGAGCGTATACCCCTGGAGACGATTCTGGGCGTATCCTTCATCGACGACAATGACAACAAAGTGGATTCAGAGGAGGATCGTGGTCCGCGAGAGTGGAGTGCATGGAAAATATGCGAAGGTAAGCCGGCCGCGCGATGGGTGCCATGCTCGGGGGTTTGTTGTGTTTATTGTGTTTGGTAGAAACCGCCAGCTGAGGTGCACCTGGCCAGGAGTACCTGCTCCGTCAGATCTTTGGCACTGTACGTGATCATTGTGATGCGCATGCACAGTATTGCTGCTGATCGAAGCATCTGTCGACTCAACTCCAGCATTTGCAATCCAGCGCGGCTTCCTGACCGCTCGTGCTGCTCGCCCGGATGTTTATCGCGCAGCCAACCTCATTCTGAGAATGGCTTGCGAGGGCAAGATTCCGTGGGCCTACAGGCCAGCTGGCTACTTTTCTCTTCAAACTCGAGACGAGGAAGAACCTATGGGTGGCCGGGAGATCCCGGTGGATGATCAACCAGAGAGCCCCTTTGATGATGAGGCCGAGTCTCTGGGGAATGCCGAGAGTGAGTCGCACCGGTACGATGTGCTCGATGAGGTATATGTCAACGACATGTCTGGAGCGAACTAGGGCAGTGTCCCTCAGTCCTTTGCATCAACCGCGGCCTTCAGCACAACGATCTGCTGCCCGCAGCACCACTGCGGCCATGCGACTGTATCTGGTCTCAGTTGGTGGTTGCAGGGGCACGGCTTTGAATACACCCGGCCGATGTCCTGAGGCGATGATGGGGCTGCTCCGAGTACCGGGCGAGCCTGTCTCGGTGGGCTCGATGCGTATCCCTTCCCTTGCTTCCAGGACACATTCCCAGAGGCAAATCACAATGCCAATCTCAGTGGAGACACCGTTGGGCCATGATGGGATAGATGTGTATTCGCGACTCTGGAAGCGACAGCCCTGATTCGAAGAGGGTGTCCCGTTTCGCTTTGGGTACGCTGTATACTCTTGAGCGATTGCCACAGGCAGCTTCAGCCACAACATCCTGATCTGCGATTCGGGAACGAGTGGGCTGTTGATGCGCATGTACGTGCCCGCTCAACAGACAAACAAGCCACCGACTGACAACAGCTGGGGCGGCTGTTGTCGTCCTGCGCAACTTGAAATCACAGCCACCCCGCTCTTGTCCACAGACTGTACTTGCGGGGCAGTAGCACAGTGCTGATCGGCGGCAACAAACATTCAACCGGCCAATCAGGTGCTCGTGGGAACATTCTCTTGTGTACGCTTTGTTGGAGTCGTTTCGAGCAAAGCCGGCAAGATTGTCAGGCCAGTGCGTCGCTGAAAAGTGGACATCATCCACGAGAACCGCTGGGAAGGCGGCTGCTGCTTGGGACGCCCTTGGCTGTTTGCGTCGTCTGCCTGCACTCTTGGACGGCATCGTTCCGGTCAAATAACCAACCACATCGTCACTCGGCACCGTCGGGCAGCCATCTGAATTGTGCCGCAGTTCCCACAGTCGTCCATCACCTCTGAGAGCATCAATCGACTCCTTAAACCCTCCTTCGAGCAGCGATACCCCTTGTCTTCACGATGGCGCTGAACTGCTTCGCTCCAAATGTCGATCCTGAGATCCGTGAAGCGAACCGAGTCGCACGGAGGGCCAGCAACCAAATCGATGCCGATCTGCGGAAAGAAGCCGAGGAGCAGATGAAGCTGCCTATGGTCAAGCTGCTCCTCCTTGGTACGGCGTATTTGCATATTCCTGTCGGTGACCGTCGGGGTCTCGGCTTTTCCTGCTTGCGCCTGGCCATCCTTGCGCTTGACCATCCTTGCGCGAGCGCTTGGCGTGGTGCGCTTTCGTCTGTTTCCTTGTAAACCCACAAGACATCCAGCACAGAATTATCTGCATCAGATGCCGGCTGCCTGCTTCACGCTTTTCAGCACGGCTGCGTACCATTCGATGATGTGCCCTGGGCGATCAAAGCCTTTAGCTCACTCTCGACCGGCATTGGCGGCGTGCTTGCCGAAGCAACCGACTGACGCTGTTTGGCTTGTTTGTTACTCCACTGGGATGTCCCCGCCAAACAGGAGCGGGCGAGTCCGGCAAATCCACCATTCTCAAGCAGTTCAAGATCATCCACGGCGAGGGATTTTCCGATAGTGATGTTGCTCTCTTCAAAGCCGCCATCCTGGGAAACACAGTCGGATCGATGAAGATCCTGATTACCGAAATGGAGCGGCTAGAAATCCCATTCGGCTATGCTGATGCCAAGGTATTTCTCAGTTTAACGCATCACTGCGACCCAGTTGCTCATTCGACACAGCGTCGGGATAACTATGGCCGCTGTACATGATAGACGCGACCGTTTCTGATGCCCCCGCTTGCCTTGGTTAACATCCGTTTCTTGTTGTTCCAAACCAAACGGGGTGCAAAGTCCCATGTCAGCGTCATAAAGGAGGCGCCATACGTATACTCGACCTCAGCCGGTCAGGAAATGATCTCTCAAGAAATATCGACAGCACTCAAGTATCTCTGGAGCGACTCTGGCGTCCAGGCATGCTATGCACGACGCAACGAATATCAAATCATCGACTCGTGCCAGTAGTACGTGCTCATCTGAATCTGCAAGGGATGCTCGGTGCTGGTGCAGTATGGGGGGGGGAACTTGGCAGCCGCCAAACTCAGCTGATGATCACCTCGAACGAGGCTCGCCTGGTGCGCGGTATCGCAAACATCTCGACAACGACACAGTGCGATACACCTCGGTCCCCCAGCGATGCCGCTCGTGTTCCCAATCTGCAGTGTGGTTGCGTGATTCCGCCGACTCGCTCAACCTCCTGCGCCTTCATTTTTGTCTCAAATTCAGCTTTATGGAGAGTATCGATCGAGTCTGTGACACCGCGTTCAAGCCGACTCCCGACGATATCCTGCGTGCCCGAATCATGACCACCACCGTCACGGAAAACAAATTCAACATCGGGGGCATTCAGTATCGGATATATGATGTCGGCGGACAGAGGAACCAGCGAAAAAAATGGATTCCCTATTTTGACGATGCCCGTGCCATCATATACATGGCGGCCGTGGGTTCCTACGACCAAGTCATCTCCGAGGACCGAGAAACCAACCGAAGTAAGTTTCGCCCAACCATGAATGGATGCCGATAGATAGGCCGGTACGGGCAAAACAGCCGGACGGTCGCACGATGCGTATCGTTATTGACGGAGCACACCGACATTGCAGTGGTGGAAGCCATTCAGCTCTTCCAGAACCTGTGCGACCAAGCATTGCTTTCCAATACGTCCTTCATTATTTTCCTGAACAAAATCGACTTGCTGCAAGAAAAGATAAAGCGCCTTCCTCTGAAAAACTACTTCCCGGACTACCAAGGTAGACGATGCAGACGGGCGCAACTGCGTACCGCACGTTGGCTCTGTACGGGCAATGCAGAGCGCTAACCCCTGACACGGCTGGCGGATGTACGTTGGCATTCAGGCATAGATAACTGGGAGGAAGTCCTTGTGTACTTTGGCGGGAAGTTGAAGGCCTGCAACACCTCACCGACTCGCAAGGTCTACGTTTACTCGACACTGGCAACCGATACCAAGCAGGTCACCACCGTCATCAAGACCGTCACCAAAATCGTCGCAAATCTCAACCTGGCGCAGAACGGCCTCTGATTCAGAAATCGTGCAGTACCAGTGTAGTCGGGTAACAATCGGGCAGAGGCATCTATGCAATCGTCGCAAACCAGCCATGACCACTCCTCCTTCTGGCTCATCTGCTCGCCTCTTTCCTGCCTGGGCTGCTTTGCTTGGCGGACACACCGCGACCAAGTTGCGGATTGCAGTCAAAGCAATAAAGAAGGGGGCGCCCAGTTTTTCGATCAACCGGCGGTCTTCACTCGGAGGCTGCCAGAGTGATCTGTTCTATTTCTTATGGCTCCGCTTGACGCAAGCCATCACATACTACGCCGACAAATGGGTTGTGTGTACAGTGTAGATCGACACCCCGATTGCACCAAGGAGTCCGCACACATACGGAAAGTCTGCGAATGGTGCACTGAAACAGAGTATCTTTCACAGCAATGCACAAAATGCTTTGCAACAACGCAGAGATCGGGGGATCAATGGACAGACGCTTGTCGATATGGAGGACCAGTTCCATTTCAACCCATTTTGGGCATGTTTTGCATGCTGGTCTTGGCTGATTCTTGTTGGTCAGATATGGTCATCACTGGCCGGTGCTCGGGCCGTTGTAGTGTAGGGTGAGTGCCCGCGGCTTGATTCGACAGGCGAGGAGCTTCGGATGACCAAAGCACCAGAGCCGCTCCGACAGCATCTGGAGATATGTGCGCTGCTGCCAGGCGATTGAATCATCACGCTGCGGCTGCCGGCGAATGCAATCGAACGATAACCTGTTCGGCTCACGGCGGCCATTTGTTCCCTATCGCACGGACCAAGTGCGTCTTCGTTCATTCGACTTGGGTCTGTGCTCAGCGACGAGGTGAGTTGAGTGGAGCGCACTCTCGGCCCGGAAGCTGCCTGAGAGTGGGCTGCAGAATATCGGCATCCCACGCCCTGGCTATCCCGTCGCCTCTGAGCCTCTAGATGGTCCACCTTAACTGCAACAACCCTGCCCTCGCGATCCACCCAGGGTCCCGATATTCGAGCAGCAACTGGCGGAGAGCTCGTTCCGGCAAGACAGTCCGGCTTCAGCACAACAAACAGGACGAAGAAAGCATCGCCTGCCTGAGACCACATCATGTCGTGCTGTCCAAAGGAGTCGCCTGAGGACATTGATCAGAGGCGCAAGAGCATCAAAATCGACGAGGATATCAAACGACATGCAACAGAGTCAAGAAAACACGCTGGCGTCAAACTGCTACTATTAGGTATGATGCGTGATGTGCATTAAGCACGAGAATCTCGGACTCTTTGCGTAGACACCCTAAAACCGGCATCCGGGGCAGCAATCGAGTTGGTAATGCGCATCTGGGCGGTCGGTCGAAGGAAACCGGCAGAGATCTGCGCTGTGGGCCGAGGAAAATGTGCCGTTCTTCTGCCTCGGATATCGACGCCATATCACAGCAAGCATCTGTGCTGGCGATATGGCCTCTGGCACGAAGGCTCATTGGCGATCCAAGAGCCTCATTAAGGAATCCGATACTCAGCTTCTCGCTCATGCCTCTCGGTGCCACAGGAGCGGGCGAGTCTGGAAAATCCACCATCCTGAAGCAATTCAAGCTGATTCATGGCGGAGGATTCACAAATATCGAGATTGAGCGATATCGCGACGCCATCTTTGGCAACATTGTCGGGGCCATGAAGATTCTGATCACGGAGATGGAGCGAATGGAGATTTCGATGGAGATGGCGAATGCAGAGGTGGGTCAAACTCGGATTGAAGGGGCACTGTAGGTTTGCCATCTGCGCGGATCCATTCAAAGTTGCCCGGCTCCTATCAACGGGGACTTTGCGATAATGGGTCTGATGTCCCTGGTGCCAAGGGACTATGAACCGCTTTGAGCCACCCGTGTATTGGGACGTCGCTAACAGTGCGAGGAACCATTTCGCGGAACTGCCGCAGGCATGCATACGAACAATCCAAGAGGCCCCATACTGGTTCAAGACAGAGGCGGGGAAAGAGGAGTTTTCCAAGGACCTTGTCGAGTCGATGAAATCGCTGTGGGCCGACCCCGGCACACAAAAATGCATGGAGCGAGCGAACGAGTTCCAAATGCTCGACTCGATTATATAGTTAAGAACGTTCCGGCGATAGCATTCCGGCTACGCCATTCTTGCACCGGCGGGCACGATCTCAGCGCAGCGTATGGTAGTCGAAAGAGAGGCGGCGGATGGGGTGGGAGAGGGGAAGGCTGTCTCTGGATTCCGACTCACGAATATCCATCTGGTATCGAGTCTGTCTTTGCGCTGGAGGAGCACAAGCTCACTTGGTTAGGCAACTCTGGCCGGATGGTGCTAACCAAGTTGTTGCTGTTGCAGTTTCATGAGCAACATTGACCGAATCGCAACCCCGGGCTACATCCCAACAAACGACGATGCGCTGCGCGCTCGCATCATGACGACTACAATCACCGAAAACCGGTTTGACATTATGGGCCTCGAGTACCGGATCTACGATGTCGGCGGGCAGCGCAGCCAGCGGAAAAAGTGGTTCAGCTTCTTTGACGACTGCATAGCCGTGATATTCCTGGCCGCGGTGGGTTCCTATGACCAGCTGTGCTCGGAGGACAACGAAACCAATCGCAGTGAGTATCCGGCGCCTGCAAATCCACGCTCAGAAACAGAGCAGTGTAGCTTGAGTCGGGAAACGTTGGATCGGAAGGGATGGTACTTACGCGCTCTTTCTGCCTCTCGGTCGCAGTGGTTGAGGCCCTGACGCTGTTCGATGCCATATGCAATAATCCGCTCTTGAGCACAACCGCGATGATCATCTTCATGAACAAAATCGATCTACTGAAAGAAAAGCTGGAATCCAAGCCGCTGGGAAACTACTTTTCCGACTATACAGGTAGGCACCTTAGGCGCGCTGGCCGAGAGAGAACCAAAGAAGATGAGCTCGAACCGGATCACGGCGCGGACCGATTCTTGATGGGATCGAGGACAAACTCCTGATCACCCGAGCACGCAGCCACCCGAATCGCAAGTCATGTCGAATGACCCTGGTCAAAAGTATCATGCGCACACGGCAACCGAACCAACCACATGCTCGGCGGTGCGACACAAGCAGGATACTAACAAAACCCAACCTCGCAGGACCCGACGAAATAACCAGCGCGCTGTCGTATTTCGGAACCAAGTTTGCCGAGGTCAACCGGTACCCGGACAAAAAACTCTATATCTACAGCACACAGGCGACGGACACGAGCCAAGTGGCGACAGTCTTTGTTACCGTGAGAACGATCATAACCAAGCTCAATCTGCAGAAGAGTGGTCTCTGAACGTGACCGGGAGAACGGCACACAGGCCTGTCTGGGCTGCCTGTTGTTGGAAATGTACATATAGATCAATATATCATAGCAACTTCCCTCTGACTATATCGGCTCCTTCCTTTCTTCCTGCCTGCCGGATGGTCCGATTGCGGGGCAGTCATCATCGGAAGGTGAGGAGGGGTTCAAGTAAACATTACGGCGATTCAGGCATCCCACCCAGACACAACAAAGGAGGGCATAGAGGCGGATTCGAGTAGATGTGCCTGAATAATCATACGAATGGCAAGTCCCCTCCTTTCCATCGATCCTGTGTTGGCGCCCGGAAAGCCGCTGTACTCAAACTGCATCCCCCGCCCACCCGATTGTGGACACAGTCCCTTGGAACATTCAGCCGCTGCATCCGACCCAATCAGCCCAACTCTCGTCCAGCTTCAGCTCGATGGCATCTCCGCTGGTCTGAGCGGAACAAGCAACGCAGCCAACGATCTCGTTGCCTTTGCTTGCACCCTTGTACTTTTCGCTCTCAGAGTTGGCGAGACGATAACCGAGCACCGGCGTCAGCTTACCTGCCAGTGAGTCGCTGTCGTCCCCGCAATCGAACCCTCTGTAGTAGTCCGAACAGGGCTACTACGCTCGTCGGCCTTTGCTCGGCCCGGAATCGGCTTAGAGTCGCTATCCGTGTCGCATCGCATTGCACTGCGTTCTATCCTCCGTTCGCTCACCCCGCAGAACTCTCAGGTGCCCATCGACAGAGGTGTGCGCACCACTGTCTGCGAGAAAAGCATCGTCGGCTTACGAGCCAGAAACAGCGTTCGGCACTTCATCGACTGCATCAACTTCATCGACTGCATCGACCGCATCGGCTGCATCGGCCCCGTCAACCGTGTCGGCCGCATCATTCGTATCGCCCCCCCCTTCCCATCCACTCGCATATTCGCTCGCTCCAAGCCTGCCAAAGCCCAATGCGGTCTTGCTTCTCTATCGACGGCTGTCCCGCCGACAAGGAGTCCATTTACCGGAGCAAGTCGATCGATGTGCAAATCAAACAGGACGCCAAAGCCAAGGCCAACGCAATCAAGCTCCTGCTTCTTGGTAACCTAGTGATCAAAGGCGCGGGAGGAAGCATATGAGCGGAGGCGGAGCCGCATCGATAGCCAACTGGGATGTACTCACTGGGCCGCTGCGGCGCACCGATGCCCACGGTAGGATCGGGCGAATCGGGCAAGTCGACCATTCTGAAGCAGTTCAGACTCGTGTACGGAGAGGGGTTTACGGCCGACGAGCTCAAGTTCTACAAGATAGCGGTGGTGAAGAATGTCGTCACTTGCGTCACTACCCTGTGGACACAAGCCCAGGCCCGTAACATTCACGTTACGGACTCGACGCAGGTATGTCTGCGGCAACAACGATGCTCGGCGACGGTGCACAGCGGCAGTGCCTCGGCGGCTATCCGTTGAATCGGGAAGCCGGAGTATCTGCTGCCGCTGACCCGACTCGTGGACTCTCAGGAATGGGCCAGCATCATCAATGATCTCCCAACGACCCTCGGACTCACATCGGTATCGAACGGCGAGATCCCGCGGCGGCAGATCCCGGCCAACATCATCCAGTTTCTTGTTGGCTTCTGGAAGAATCCCGGGATACAGGCCTGCTTTGGCCAGTCGACAGAGTTCTACCTGCCGGACTGCTGCGAACAGTACGTGGTGCATCGACAGAGCGATGGCGATGGCCATCGAGGCTGTGGATGAGGCAGGAGGAGGATGAACGGGCCGCTGGCTCTAACGACCCTTTGTTGATGCACTACAACGCCGTATCAATGCCGCCACCAGCTTCCTGAAGAACATAGCCAGCATATGCCACATCGACTACAATCCGTCGGAGCAAGACGTCCTGCAGGCCCGCATCATGACCACCACCATCACCCAGCATACCTTCATGATCAACAAAGTGCCATACCAGATCATCGACGTCGGCGGACAGCGGAGCGAGCGGCGCAAATGGTTCCACTACTTTGACGACGTCCGAGCGATCCTCTTCGTGGCTGCTGTGGGATCGTACGATCAGAACATCATCGAAGATGGGCAGACAAATCGAAGTGAGTGCATGCCGATTGAAGAGACTTGCGTGGAGGGAGCAGAAAGACGAACGGGTGCAAGCAAGCGGCTGCAAATCGGGGATATGGAAATGAACCACTGCTGTACGGATACCCCTTCGATCCACTTGTGTCGATACCTGGTGGTGGTGTGGCCACGGCATGGTGCTGACCCCCGTCGGTGCTCCTCAGTGGTCGAGGCTCTGACGGTCTTTGAGCAAGTGGCCAACCACCCGTCGCTCGAGAGCACAGCCATACTACTCTTTATGAACAAGATCGACCTGTTCAACGCCAAGCTCGCCGACCCAAACAAGTCGTTCAAGAAGTACTTTCCTGATTACACAGGTGGGCGGTAGAGGCTCGAGAGCGTCGCCGAGGAGCTATCTCCGCGGCGCACTGCATTGCCGATGTGGATAAGGGTTCGTTGCCGGGGACCTCTCCACTCCATGCTCATCTCTTTCGATTTCGACCTGTCACTACCGAACGGCACGATGTGGATCTGCCCAACGCCGCGCCACCAACAACGCCATCGCTCTGTCGGGTGTCATCCGCCAACATTCTGCCCACGCAGGACCAAACCGACCCAAGCCTATTGGACAGTACTTTACCGAGCGATTCAAGAACGCCAGCAAGAACCCGGAACGAAAGCTCTACTTTTACTTTACCCAGGCGACGGACACGCACCAGATCCGAACGATCCTGAAGTTGGTCGGCAGCATTACGATGGAGCTGAATCTCCAATACGGTGGACTGGTACGCTCACCTCCTCCTCCCCCCCCTCTTTCCGCCTGTTGAGAGGCATCACATCTTGTTCGTTGCCTGGTCTTGGCGCTGCTCTGTCTCGTTTTCGTGACGCTCAATATCTGAACCGACTACCACTCCCCCGTCATTCTCCCCGTCGCTCCCACCGACTGCGATCGCACATGGGCCGTGAAACTGATGCTACCATGTTTCCGCCATGATTTGGTATATGCAGGTTCTGTAGCCAGGAGCCTGCTTGTTCTGTCGGCCAACGGCCGTGTGCTCTGGACACTTGGGTGCCTCTGGTGATGGCGGAACTGCTCAAGATACTTGGCGAGCCTGGGTCTGCGTAGGCCCTATGGGTGTTCAGGTTTCGGTGGACTGTTCGACTCGCATCATTTTCTCATCCGCCATCGATCACGGTCACTGTCACCACCATCTTGTTGTGTTTGTTTCTTCAACACGAATGCGCATATTTGCAGTGTGGAGTAGCCAGCGTCCCCTTCCCTACCCGCACATGATCCACATGTCGGGCTCAGTCAGTCGGTCAGCCATTCAGTCAGTCAGTCAGTCAGTCAGTCAGTCGGTCAGTCAGTCAGTCAGTCAGTCAGTGTCAGTGTAATGGTTGCTATCCTGTCTATTCGTGCAGAATCTGCGTCTATACAACCGAACGGGGGTTGTGTGTATGGATAAGAGGCGGGCGACGAGAGAGAGAGGGAGTGTGTGTGAAACGAAGACGAAGAGCTGGAAAGGGTGAGTTGGCAAGAGAAAGTCGAGTGACATCAAGTCCACGGACAGACAGTTGGATGGAGAAGGATCGAGCCGACAGGCGTATGAGATGACGAGCTGGGCTCGCAGACAGAACGCAGAAGCGCAGAAGCAAAGAGAGTCGTGAAATGGCGACAGCGAAACTCCCCCCTAAGACCAAGACCAAGACCAAGACCAAAATCAAACCAAAACCAGTACCAAAAGCACATGCGCACGCACGCACACTCAGAAACAGGCAGCTAGTTATCCTCGCAGCCGTCCGAGTTCTGGATGGCGCTGGCTTGGGGACTCGGCTCACTTCCACAATTTGGTCTGCTGCGACTTGGCCTTCAGCAAGAGTCTGAGGACACCCGCGTGTCCGTTCTCGGTCGCCTTCTTGATGGCATAGCCGCCGTTTGCCTGGACCTTGGCACCGAGCTTGATCAGATCGCCGACAACATCGGCGTAGCCGTTCTCGGAGGCATACATGAGCGCATACTCGCCCTTGGCATGGACGTTGGCCCCGCGACTGACCAGCAGCTTGAAGATGTCGTAGTGGCCGTTGCGGGCGGCCCAGCGCACGGCGTAGTGCTCCTGGCCGGCAAGATCGGCCCCCATGCCCAGGAGCCGCTGAGTGGCCTCGATGTAGCCGTAGCGGGCACTGGCGCGGAAGGCCGAGTTGATGTCCAGGAGCTTCAGCTCGCTAGCGGTGGTGATGAGGGTCAGGACCGTCTTGCTTGAATGGCCGGCGGACCAAATCGACTGCAGCGCATTTTCGACGCTGGCGCCCCTCTGCAGCAGCAGCTTGATGACGGGCGTGTGCTTGTTCTCGCACGCCCAGCGCAGGGCATACTCGTTGGTGTCGTGGATGTCGGCGCCCTGGTCCAGCAGCAGCGTGGTCGCCTCCAGATGGCCGTGCTCGGCAGCCATATGGAGAGCGTGACCGCCGTGGGCAGCGACATCGGCACCCTTGCCGACGAGATACTGGATCAGTTCGGCCGAGCCCTTTTCGGCGGCGAGATCGAGGGCGGCGCCGTCGGAGCCATTGACGTCGGCGCCCTTCTGCAACAGGACATCCAGGGTGGGCGTGCTGGGGGTCTCGGCCCCGATGGCAGACAGGAAAGCCTCGTTGATGTCTGCCTTTCGACACAGCAAGATGTCGACCATGTCGAGGTTGCCGGCCTCGGCGGCCAGACGAAGCGGATCGTTCTTCTTGACATGGACGTCGGCGCCGTGATCGAGCAGCAGCGCCGCAAACTCGGGCAGGTTGTTCTTGGCGGCGAAGCGGAGCAGGAAGCCGTCGTTGGCATCGAGGCGCGGGGAGCTGTCGAGCTCGACGAGCGACTGGAAGTTGCGAATGGAGGCGGAAAGGAGCGTCGACTTGAGTGCGGCGTTGATGTCGGCGCTGCCCGGCTCGAGGAGGTATTTTGCGACCTCGGTGTGGCCACGGGCGACGGCGGCAATAAGGGCAGCTTCATCGAAAGCATGGACGTCGGCGCCCTTCTCGACCAGGAGCTTGACGATCTCGCTCTGGCCGCTCGAGGCGGCCATTGTGAGCGGCGACTCGAGCCGGTTGATGTTGACATAGGCGCCGGCATCGACCAGGCGGCGGACGACCTCGGTGTGGCCATTGTAGGCCGAGTCGGTCAGGGCATAGCCGTTGTCGGCGTTGGGGCTGCCGCCGGCCTCCAGCAGCAGCTCGACGATGGGCAGGTGGCCGTTGATGGCAGCCATGGCCAGGGACATGTCGTCTTCGTAGTGGATGTTGGCCTGATGGCGAATCAGCAACTGGACGCAATCCACATGGCCATGCTCGCACGCCAGAGTCAGGGGCGACGGGGCAAAGTCAGTCTGGCCGTCCGGCTGAGGGCCGCCAGGGGTCTCGACGAGGTTTGGGCTGAGGCCCGAGTCGAGAAAGCTCTCGAGGATTTGCAGTTTGCCGAGCTTGGCGGTCAGGTTCAGGGCAGCCTCTTGCTCGGGGCGGCGGAAGGGCTTGAGTGCCGGGGAGGCCTCGAGAGCCTGCAGGAGCATCTGGGCGAGGGCAAGGCTCGACTTGGAGACGGCCCAGGACAGCGGCGACCAGGACGAATCGGTGTTCTGGGCGAGTCTGGCTCGGAGCAGGCCATCGATTCGAGTAGCAAACAGGATCGAGGAAGCGCCGTGGTGGAACTGCTTGCAGGTGGCCCTGAGCCGGACGACGGCGGTAAGCGAGCTGCTGTGGGCAAGGACGGCTGCGAGAACGGGGTCAGGAAGGGTGACCAGGTCGACCATGGTGACGGTGGGTGGGATTGAAGGACGGGCGGCCGGGTCGGGGATGCGGGGACAGGCAAGAGCCCGAGGAGGACGATGAGGACCAAGAGGAAAGTGAAGGGACACGGCGCAGGACGGCAAAGGACACGATCGACGCCGTGCGACAGACAATGTCGGCCATGACGGTCAGTTGTCGTGTGGATGCGGTGATCGACTTGGCGATTGCAGCGAGCAGAGCAGGACAGGATCGATCAGGGCAGATCAGGATAGATGAGAGCAGGACAGAGGAGATCAGGGCATGGCGGACGACATCTGCCGATCCAGCCGTCGTGCTGTGTCCCGCGGGGACGGGACTCGGACTTCAGCAACCGTCGTCCCCAATGACCAGCATTGCCATCCGACGCAGAGCCCGCGGGGCCGGAGCGGCGACGAGACGGACGGCTCTTGCGGGCGTCGGGGAGGGGTTTTGCCCTGTCTGGTCTTGTCTCTTTCGCGGGGGGGGGGAGACGAGAACAAGACGGAGTTGGTGGTGAGAGAAACAGATCGTAATATCCGGGCGTGAGCATAGACTAGTATAATGTCAGGAGTATTCTCCAGTGTAATATCTGGAGTATTCTCCAGTGTAATATCTGGAGTATTCCCGGTGTAATGTCTGGAGTATTCTCCGGTGTAATGTCTGGAGTATTGGCTGGGTGTAATGCCTGGAGTATCTCTCTGCAAACTATCATGTAGACAGTTCCCAGGCCCGTGCGGATGCGGAGGCAAAAGTGTCCCTGACGACCCTGGTTGAGACTCTTGGCAGGTCCACAAGACAACTCGGCCAGTCGGCCAGATCCGCTCGCCCGTCTGCCCTCCTCCATCCTTTCTCCGTCCATCCGCCCATTGACCTCCCTCCCTCTCTCGGCGAGCCGTCTGGCGGGCCTTGGAGGAAAGAAACGGAAAAGAAACACCCTCAGCGGGCCACCCATCGGTCCCGTCAGGGCAGGGAGGGACCCCACCCCTCCGGCTCTCATTCCCCGCCCGACCGTCGCTCTTTTAGGCCATGCCCGTCCCTCGTCCGGCATCAATGCCGACCATCCGATTCATGCCCGAGTTGCATCCACAGCCACTGATTGACGATCAGGTCGGCAGCAGCACAGCAAGCAGAGAAGCAAGATAAGATCCCAAGCGAGACGGGCAAAGTTCGCACCAGCGTCACTCGGATCAACCCCCAGCAGTCAAGAACAAAAAAAAGTCACCAGCGATCATTGCTTCCACCCACCCTGGGGTAGTTTCAGGCACCATTGCTTCTGCAAGCCGAGTGATCCGATCAAGCGAGCAAGCAAGCGAGCGATCTAATTGCTCAGTACTTTTGGTGAGAGACTGGCGTCGCGCTTTGGCCAACATGGATTTGGGCGAGATTCTCCACATCAATACCGACAGAGTGCGGCTGGGGATGGCGACGATGGCTGCAAGGACCGAGGACGATCCAGGATATCGCTTTGCTGCTCGAGACACCTCGCTCCCTCCCATCTGTGTCGGTGCAATGCCAGCACAGGCGATGTTTGGAGTGTTTCGAGACGGAGATCAACAACCAGACCCTGACGGCTTCCCACGGCTGTGCGCGGCCATGATATCGGGTGGCATTCCGTCTTGCAACATGCAGCTCGGTCGCAGCGACATAAAGTCTGATGGTTTTGCACTTGGCCATGTCACTACTCGGCCATGTCGATACTCGGCCACGGCTCCGCTTGGTACTCACTCGATTCGTTTCTTGTCCTTCCCAGACTACAATCTCGCTCTCGAGCCACCAGCCAATCGATCAAGCGAGCCAATTCCTATCTGCTCATTTCATCTCGATATCCTTCTCTCTCTCTGATATCTCCTAGTGACCTACCACCACCACTGCTGCCACTCCTCCCACCACCACTGCTGCTTCCACCGCTACCACCGCTACCACCGCTACCACTATTGCCACCATGGTCTCTCCATCACTTATGGCCCGTGGCGTGAGCTACTTTGTCTTCACCGCCATCAACTACCTCCCTTTCCTCAAGCACGGCATGGATCTGTACTTTACGGTCAAGTACCAAAGCGGCGGAGGGCAGTGTCGGTCGCTGCTGATTCCGCTGATCTGCTTTGACGACTACGGCACCAACTGGCTCCTGACGGACGAGATCGGGTGCGACAACGTGCTGGTTCTGCTAGCGACGCTCATGACCGTCTTCCACACGATCGTGGCCATCTACCACCTGGTCTTCAACTGCCGGGCCAAGACCAAGGACTACATAGCCGGGGCCGAGGAAGGATGCTGCGGCCTGGCGGCGTGCATGATCTCCTTGGCCGTCGTCGACAACGAGGTCGATGCCCACCGGGCCCATGCTCTCAAATGGCGCCGGGTGGTGTGCTTTGTGACGGCGGCCTTCCAGGCGGCCCTGGTGGTGACGGCCTGCTTTGGCATCAAGTTTGTGACGTGCGACGGGGCCGCCGATATCCAGCGATCGAGCATCTTTGTGTTCCTGCCGGTGATGATGATCAACCTGTCCCAGTTGATCTACAACCTGTGGGAGGGCATCAAGGACGGCTTCAACTGAGCCCCGGGCGGTGGGCGGTATTGAGGAGGATCTCTCCTTGTCTGTGATGAACCGACGGGTTGGGGGGGGGACCTGCTCGGCACCGAGGTTGTCTGTTGCTTCCCGCATCTCTGGGAATTCATTAAAAGTCTTGCTAACAACGACAAGTGGGTCTGCCTCATGGAGCCGGTCTGCCTCATGGAGTCGATTTGCCTCATGGAATCGGTCTGCTTCATGGAGTCGGTTTGCTTCATGGAGTCAGCCAAGACCCCCAAAAGTCACTGAGCCGGACGTGCTCGGATCGCTCTCCGATGATATGTGCGTTTTTGCTTGGACACTGTTTGCCCGCTCGTTCGACTTCTCGTCTGTTCATCAGCTCGAGTCGCTGGCCCACGTTTCTGCTGGCCGGTTTGCTGGCCCCGCGTCAGCACGCCCCACACGCCTCGCGGCATTTTTTTTCTTGGTTCGTTCGTTGGGTGGATGGATGGATCGTGGTGGATGGTGGTGGTGGTGGTGGTGGTGGTGGGGGGAACAGATCCGCGCCATGGCCTGGCTCCCAGTCTCTCTCGATCCAGTGTTGGCTTGGTTTGCTCGCCTTTGACCTGGGCAGATGCATACGAAGCAGACGAAGAGCAGAGACCGACGACATCATTCATGGAGATCCGCACCATCATTCATGGGGATCATCGGCATTCATGGTGGCCACTGTCCCGTCGCTTGCTCCCACCACACCCGCATTCATCGAAGGAACTGTTTCTGATTCTGTGTATATTCTTCTTGGAGAGGAGAGATTGCATTTGTCTCTCCTTCACATACCACGACAGGTGTAAATCTACCGATACCATATCCATTGGCGACGAGAAGTGTCGTTTGCCGGACAGTGGGCCGAATAAATAATAAATACGGCGCGAGCCGATGACGAGCGAGAGAGCAGAGTCTACAGCGCAGAGAGGATGATGCAAATGCATGAAAAAGTAATTACAGCAGAGGAAGAGGAGGAAGGAAGGAAGGAAGGAAAAGGAATCTATCAAGTGCGGTGGAGAGGGGAGGGGACAAGGCCGCCATCAGAGCTCTCGCCTCGGCAGGAGGATTGATTTTGCTGTTGTTGTGCCCAAAAAGCGATCGCGGAATGTGGGAGAGGAGGGAGCGGGAGAGAACATGTCGGAATACTCTGGAAGAGGTTTCCGAAAATAAATATGAATCAGCCAATGGAGAATGCGAAGGATTGGATGAAAGGAGGAAGATGGAGAGGGGCGGGGTATTGGAAGAAACAGGAGGACTCCCCCTCCCTGTTTAGAAGGGGCGGTCGTAGTAGAACTCGTATGGCGGCGACAGCGGAGCAGGCATGCCCGAGTGGTCGACCATGACCAGGGGAGCAACAGAAACCAAAGGCTGGGGGACGGCGGGCCACAAGTAGGGCGAGGGCGAGATGGGATGGCTGTGGACGATGGAATAGGGGTAGGGCGCCAGATGCGGCTGCGGGAAAACGGCAGGGGCAGGAGCGGCAGGCGCCGGCGAGATCATGAAGTGGTCAAAGTAGGACATGTGGTGGGCGGCTTCAACATGCGAGGCCGAGGTGGCAAAGGGGGCCGGGTGCGAGGGAACGATGGCGGCAGAGACAGGGGCAGCGGCAGCGACCGGGGTCGCCGGAACGGCAGGCTTGGACTGGGAAGAAGACTGGCTGCTGGGAGTGAAGACGTTCTCGAGGACAAAGAGCTGGTCGGCAGGGATGGCGCTGGTGAGCGACGAGCGGCTGCGAACCGTCGAGCGGCGCTGCGACGACGACGAAGACGAAGAGGAAGACGACTTGCGCTTGGGCGCCTTGAGCGACTTGGACGAGCGAGCAAGGGGAGCCGCGGCGACGTGGACACTGTCCTTGGAGGCAGGGGCCTTGGAGGAGGAAGTGGCGGTAGTGGAGGCGATGGAGGCTGTCGAGGGAGAGCCGGTCGACGAAGCCGAGCTGACAGGTGCGTTGGAAACGGGGCTCTCGGGCTGTTCAGCAGCTGGCGAAGCCGGGGCAGAGTCCAGGCTGAGCAAGTTCATGCAGGCCTGGTCGTCCGATGCTGAGAGACCAAGCGAAGCCACCGGCGAAGTGGGCGGCGACAGAGGAGCCAGGCAGACATCGGAAGCCAGGGACCACTCGACCAGGTCGTCGTCGTCGAGGTCGGAGGATAGAGGTCGGAGAACATCGACGGCCAGCTGGTCGTCCTCGGAGGACTCGGAGCAGCCATAGGTCGAAGCAGGGCTGGCGGGAACCAGCAGGAAGGTGTCGAAGGCCTGGTTGCCGTACTTCATGACCTGGATGGACTGGTGCAGCGAGTCGCCGGTGTGGCCAAAGAAGAAGGTCGAGGGCTCGATGTCGGCCAGCAGCAGCGAGTCGGATTCTAGGAGTGTCATGGTTGTGGCGACGATTGAAGTAGTGGGCAGTGGGGATGGCACTAACAGTGGGCGCAGTTGTATATGTGAGTGTGGAGTGTGTGTGCGTGGGAAAACCAATGTCGAGACGGGACAGGACGAGACACACGGTCGATGTGGAGGGGGAGATGCGCCTGGAGAGAGCAGCAAATATCTATATGGGGGGGGGAGGGCGATTGCACGGAAGCAAAGGCAAGGGAAGGGAGGGCCAGAGGAACAGGATGATGCACTGGGCAGGGGACGGATGGGCAAAGACAAGATCTGCAGTGCGTCTGGCAGGACCACTCAGGACGGTTGGCGATAGTCCAAGACCAAGGGCGACAGAGGAGGCTGCGACCAGGCATTTATATGAGCGACGGGGCGGGGCATGGAGCCGAGACAGCAAAGGACAAGAAAGCGCATGGCATGGGGGGGGGCATGGCATCAACGGGGCGAGCACTCACCCCTGCCTGTCCCTCGCTCACTCGCTCGCGGGCGAGAAAGACGCACACATGTGGGCGTGGGCAGTGGGTAAGAGTGCGCCGGGGCTTTGTTGCTGAGGCTGGGGCCATAGGACAAGCGAGAGTGGTCATGATGGTGCGAGCGAGAAGGCAGCATTAGTGGCGGAGGACCAACAAGCGCAACAAGCGAGACGGCAGCGAGACGGCAGCGAGAAGGCAGCATTAGTGGCGGAGGACCAACAAGCGCAACAAGCGAGACGGCAGCGAGACGGCAGCGAGACGGCAGCGAGGCGGCAGCGAGGAGGGTGGGGCGGCGCCACGCAGAGAGTGGCGACCATGTGTCTCGGGCTGTGGCGAATCAGCGGCGGCGCTGCGTGGTCGGCCAATCAGCGGGCGGGCGCACTCGCTTGTTGCCGCACCTGTTTGCGTCACCAAGCAGTCACAAACACCAGGCCGGGGCACAAGCAGCGCTGCCGGGGCGAGGAGTGTGCAATCCAGGGCGAGGAGGAGGGGAGAAGCACATTGGCGAGAGCAAAGCGTGTAGTGCGAGAGCGATTCACGACGGCGAGAGAGAAACAACACCCTGAGAGAAACAACGACTGCAAGAGAGAACCGCACCACAGGACAGTGCCACACAAACAGCAGCCGGGGGCTGGCAATGTAATGGGCTGTCTGGCCATGGGCTGCCTGTGTCGCTCCAACATGTCCGACACCATGACACAGCAGCGCATCACACAGCGCAGGACTTGCATCCCTCCAGGCGAGGCGACCAGCAACGACCGGCAGCGACCCCGGCAGCAATCGCAGCATCGGCATCGGCATCAGCAGCAGCTTGGCTCGGACATGAGTCCACCGCCAGACACGGCGGCCGAGCCAGCCCCTCCCCAACACGTTGTTCGCCGCAACTGCCGCCATCGCACACGAGCGCACTGATGAAACGCCGCCTCCACATGCGCTGCGACAGCGTGCCGCCGGTGCGGTCCGTCCGCTCGCACACACACACACACCGTGCGGTGGGCGGCGCTCGTTGGCCGGCTCCTGGAAACACACGCCCAGCAGCACGCCAGCACTCCACGCAGCCCGGCGTGCGGGTGGGCGATGGCGAAATCGCCTTATTGGCCCGTTGCTCAACAAGACGGCCTCCTCCACCCGCCGCCACCACCCAGGCGCGCAGATGGACGCTGCAGCCCGTGTGGGGCCAGCAAGGGCCCCCCTCTCTCCGCGACGCGGAACGAGACCCGCCGGCCCACCGAACGCACTCGGCCAAGAGGACAACGGACCACGTGGTCACCGCGGATCGCCTCCGCCAGGGTGCGGGCGACCCTGGCCTTGCCGCCCCGGCTTCTGAGTGGGCGCCGCTGTTGGCACGAAACTTTGGTGAGCGGGCCAGCAAGGCAGCCGGCACCGCCCCGCACTCCACCAATCGGCGTCGCGCTGCTGGCTCGTGCGACGCCGGGGGTCGCAGCGGCAGCCAGCTGTCGCGGCCGTCCGTGTACACATGGGCCAGCCAGCAAGAGGGCATTGCTGCACGACATGCTGCGATTGGTGCATTGGTGCTGCCCCTTGTTGCCACAAGGGGGAGGGAGTGCGCCCGATCCTGTCGAATAACATTGCCTGTCACGGACCGGGTCAAGAGGGGCAAACAATTGCGCAAGGAGCAAGTCTGGTCTCGGCAGTCTCGCTGGGTTGTGGATGGTGGGTTGTGGGTCGTTGCTTGGGGATCGCAGATCGCAGAGCATTAGCTATCAGCCATCCAACACCAGCCATTCGCTATCGACCAGCATCGTTCGTGGCTTGCACATTGCTCCCTCTCTGCATTCTCTGTCCGCGTGCTTTGCTGCTCGCCCCCCGTCTCGCACGCACCTTGGTCCTGGCTCTGGCTCTCGTCTCCACAGCGCCTCCTCCTCGCCGAGGCCATAACACGCTGTCCAAGCCGCTGTACCTCGTGGGTGGGCAGTAAGGGCCGGCAGTCTTCAGGAGAAAGAACGTGCAGCCGGGCCGCCAGTGGGCCGCGAGGCCTGTGTCGCCTTGCCCCGAGGTCATGCGGGGCAAAGGTCAGCCAGAGATAGCGGCGCAACAAGGCCCGAGCGATAGGGACGAACGAGCCGCCCGCACGTCCTCCACCACACACTCTCTCCGGCAAACCCAGCAAGGCCGCCGGGTGAGCGCGGGGGAGGCAACAAGGGGCGGGATTGCCAGTGTCGCATGTACCTCGCTCGTCTGCTCTGGCTGCTTTGTCCTGCCTTGCCTGCTTGTGCGGGCCTGCTCGCTCGGTTGTTTTCCGGCTGGCTCTTGTCTGTCTGCCTGGCACAATCGATCGGCCTGGGCCACGGGGCAGTTTGTTGACGTGCGGGGCTGGGTCGGCAGCCAGGGGATCGCGATCGGCAGGTGGCCGTGGCGAAATCATCATGGCAAGATCGTCACCGCAAGATCATCGGCATCATCGTCACGGCCACGACAACACCATGCCGGCCTGGTCTTTCTCGCTCAGGATGCCTCTTTGCCGGCCTGTCTGCCACGGCCTCTGGTCGTTTCTGGCCACTCTGATTTGCTTGCCTCTGCCGCACTGAACCAGACAGGATTTCTTGCCAATCCCCCTCTCGATCGCGACACCCGCCACCGAATCCGACCTGTCCGACGCCCTTGTTTGCCGGGTGGGGTACGTTTTTTCTTGGGTGGCGGCGCTGCTTCCCCCTTGTCGATGCAGCCCGCCCGGTTTCAGCCAGTCCGATGCCCAAAAATGCATCCGATCGTCGCCCTGACTCACTCATGCAGCACGACGAGCGCACGACGAGCGCAAGAGGGCGCCAGGACAAGAGAACGAGAGCAGGATCGACATGGAGCGGCGGTCGGCGTGGTGGTGGGATCGAGTCTGGCTCGGCTTGGCTTGGCTTGGCTTGGAGTGACAACAGCAGCAGCAACAGCAGCCGCGCGGGATGCACACCCGACCCGGAGAGCCCTGATGAAATGCGGGGCTGCGTTGTGCGAGTAGAGTGGGTGGGCAGCAGGAATGGGCGAGGCCTGGGTCGCTGTGCATCTTGACAATCGCAAGTCTGTGGGCATTACGCCGTGCTGACGAGAAAACGAGACGCATCGTCATGGATGTTGACATCCAGTGCAGCGACTGGTCGCCCCATTGATGTTGCTGATCAAGTGCAGCCCTGTCGACATTGATGCTGCAGATCCGATTCGGCGACATGTCGACACTCACGCAGACCAGCAGTGGTGCACATCCACCCAGTGCCGCGGCTGTGGATTGCTCCCGGCAACAAGGGTCTGCGCAATTGGTCCCCCCCCTGTGCAAATTTGATCCCTGTCCCGCAGCACAGCACATGTCTGGTGTCGCTCGTTTGCTTCTCGTTTCCTTTCTTTCTCCTCGCTGGATTCGTCCGTCCATCGATTGCGCAATCCCAGGTCTGTCGCCGATGCTTCTGCCACAGGTGTCTGCCGCCGGTGTGTCTGTCAATTCACCACACCCGTCACATCCATCACATCCGTCACATTCACATCCATCACACCGATCCCGTCCTGGAGCAACATGGCCTGGGCCCGTCTTCCATCAGCACCGCACATGCCGCTCCCCACACGCACCGCCCGCACCGCCCGCACGTTGCCTGCCGCACATGCGCACGCCTTGGTGCGGGCCTTGGTCTGGGCCATGTTTCCCCCCCCCACGTTCCTGGCCAGGACCCGAGGCTGGGGCCGCTCGCCAGAGACGGTGTCAGCGCCATTCCAAAGAACCGATCCGCCCTGGAGCATGGCTTCTGTTTGCCGCTGCTGGCGGCGGCTGCGTGGTGCGGTGGAGCAGGCCTCCAGGCGATGGCGAATCATGCCGCATGTCGCCGTCGCGTGTCGGGCGGATCTGGCTCTGGGTCATGGCACGCCATGATGGCATGCATGGCGCGGCTCCTGGTGCGGCTCCTGGTGCGGCGAGATCCGGGAGCCATGTTGCTGACGCCGTCTTCGCCGCCGCCGGATCCACCGGATTTCGGGCCTGCACGAGAGCAGCAGCGATAACCAGCGCTGCAGCCAGGCTCGCACTGGTGGACCAGGCAAGTCATGGCCCATCTGTGCTCCGCTCCACCCAGATAAGTGGAATCCAATCCATTCGCTCTGCCTCTCTCTTCCGACTGTTGTCTCGTTTGGACAAAGCTGTGTATTTGGGCTACGCAGATACATCATTTTGCTGGTTGATTACTATCGAGAGAACAAACTGGGAGGGGGTGGGGAGAGTGCAAGGGGGATGCAGAAAGTCTGCCGGGGGTTGGCCAGGGCCGTTTGCGGCAATGTGAAGCGAGAGGGAAGCCCGCAAAGAGGAAGAGGGAGGAAACATGGAGCGGTGGCAAAGTCACAAGACTGCCAAACTCCGATGGGTCCCCTTCCCTTCCTCCTTCCCCACTATTCATGGGGAATCGTGGGCCTTTACTTCTTCGCTACACATACGCACAACACAACTTCGCCGTGAGGGGGCATCCTGTCGGCAGCACCTCCACAAACCAAAGGCCCACACGCGCATCTCGCTTAGACGAGGATGATGCGCTTGTGCTCGTTGCTGCTGGCATCCTGGTTGGGGTTGAGCTCCTCATAGTCGACGTACTTGAAGAACTTGTAGACACCGGCGGCGGCGGCACCACCAAGGAGGGGACCAACCCAGAAGACCCAGTGGTCGGCCCAGATACCAGCAGCGAGGGAACCAGCGAAGGAGCTGTGAGGGGAGGAACATGGATCGGTGAAGAGCATGTCAGCATGAGCGAGCATCAGGATGCGACGAGCGGAAGCAGTATCTGTTGCTTGGCAGACGGGACACCTCATCATCAGCCTTTGGCATCCCTTCCCTCCCTTCCCATCGACATCCACACATCCACATCCACACATCGACATCCACACATCGACATCCACACCTTCATCTCCGTGGTGGGCCATGTAGAGCTCCATCCGATACGCAACCACACACACACACTTACCGAGCGGGGTTGAGGGAGGTGTTGTCGTAGGGGATGAGAACGAGGTGGGCAACAAAGACGGTGAAGCCGATGAAGACGGGGGCCAGGAAGGTGACGCGGGACTTCTCAACAGCGAGGAAGAGGACAACGAGGACGAGGAGGGCGGTCAGGAGGGTCTCGAGGCCAATGACCTGGAGGACGGTGATCTTGTCGTCGAGGATCTGGTTGGCACCCTTGAAGTCACCAGGGAAGAGGAGGGCAACGGCGCCGGTGGCGAGCGAGGCACCAATGACCTGGGCGGTGGCGTAGAGGAGCGACTTGCGGAGCTCAAAGAGGTTGAGGAGGTACAGGGCAAAGGTGATGGCGGGGTTGAGGACACCGCCGGAGATGCGGTAGGTGATGGAGACGGCGAGGGTGAGGGCGACTGGTGTCGAGGAGGATGATATGTCGTTGCCGGCGTTTCATCCATCCATTCATTCATCGATTCATCCATTCATCACGATCAGAGGAGCCAACGGCGACCAAGACAAGGACGACGGAGGGGAGATTGGGGTTGCGGTTGCGGTTGCGGTTGCGGGATCGCATGTTGGGAGACATGGGACAGCAGACGGGAAACATGTCAATAACCCGCAGAAGCGACAGAGAGTGTGTATGCCACTCCCCTTCTCTTCATGCAGTACGATGAAAAAGGGGAAACCAAAAGGGCCAGGGGAAGCTGCAGGAAACACATCTCACTCGCACGGGAGCACCACCGGCTGTTTACCTCCAAAGGCGGTGGCGACGGTCAGGTTGAAGGCATCGCCCTGGGTCTTGATGGCGGCCTGGACGGCGCCGAGCGAGACAAAGATGAAGATGAAGGTGCCGAGGAGCTCACTGCCGGCCTGGAGGAGGTCCTTGGTCAGGGCCGAGAAGCGCGGGGGGGCGTTGAAGGGGTCGGTGGGGAGGGTCGAGGACGACGACGTGGTGGTGGTGGTGGTATAGGTGGGCATGGCGTGCGAGGGAGAGCTATGAGATGGGAAGGAGGATGCGAGGCTGGGGGAGGGATGTGCAGAGAGCAGGCCTGGTATGAGGATGCAGGAGCGTGGAGGCAAACGAGGCTGGGAGGGCAAGCGGCGGCTTTATAGCCCTTGGGTTGTATGGATGCGTGCTTTGCCTCTCGCATTCCACAGCCCGCCACCACCTTGCGTTTGCGTTTTTTCATCCGCTGGGCTGGCAAACCAACAACGCAACAGCGGCGCAATCCCCGCGAACCGCAGACCACAAACCGCAGACCAGACCACAAACCAACGGCCGACGCCCCGCGCAGCCGATTTCAACATAGCGCCACCGAGCGTCGCCATCATGTCCCCGCGGCGGCTGCTTCTGCCCGCCGCCTCTCATCCACCCGAGTGCCACGGGGAGAGGGCATGGCCGTCGTCCTCCAGCGCTTCATGGCTCACGGGGCCAGGAAAGCCTCGGCTTGGGCAACACCGTTGGCTTGCGACCAGCGGTGGATGTGAGCAGAGGCCAGGAAAGCAGGCAGGCAGGCAGGCAGGCAGGCGGGCGGGTGGCGGGGAGCAATGTCCGATGGTCCAGGGCTACTTTGTGCATATGCAAGCCACACTGGCATGGCCATGGTCATGAAACGACCTGCGTCGGTGTCCTCATGGGTGGCTTCATGGTTGATCGGTGGCCTCATGGACCTGCGTGACCCCCGGTCGCATAAGGGGTGCTTGCAGCCGCATCCAATGCCATCCTCCCGCATCCCCGCACACTCTTCAGCATCCCTCCGCGCCCTCCAAAACCGACCGCCACCCTCCGGCATCCCTGGACAACCGGGTTCTGACACCCGATTCCTTATGCCTTCGCTTCGTCCGGTGATTCCTCGGGACGTGTTCACAGACCGCCACCACCCGAAACATATGTGCCCGACGACAGTCTGTGTCAAGGACGACAGCCATGGCAGCCAGATCGCTGCAGGTGCAGGTGCAGGTGCAGGTGCAGGTGCAGGTGCAGGTGCAGGTGCAGGTGCAGGTGCAGGTGCGGAGATGCAGCTCGCCGTCCGCCCTCTCGTTTGCAAAGTCTGTCGCCGTTCAGAGCTTGGCCTTGGGCAGGGGGCTCACGTCCGTCGGCCTGATGACCAGCCGGACGTCCTTCTTTGTGTTCTTCAGGTGCTTCTCGCTGCCCTTGAAGAACACCACCATGATCGTGATGTCGTCGCGGATCCACCGGCTCGTCTTGGGGTCGAGCGACAGCATCCGGCTGAGCGTGTGCGGACCAAACTCACCCTCGCCAATCTGACCCAGGGTCTCCCGCAGGATGTGCGTTGCGCCGTTCGAGTCCACGATCGTGTGTCCGTCCTCGGCGGTCTCATGGCGAGACGTGGTTGTGCTGAGGTACTTGCCGACGGCGTCAACCACTTGCTGGTTGGTGAGTACTTCGCTCACACCGTCGGTGACCAGGACCATGAACTCGTCGTTGCTATTCAAGCCGTACTCGCGGATCTCAGGGGTAGGAATGATGTCTGCTCCAGCACGCACCAGGAAGGAGCCGAGAAGGCAAGAGACTCTATCAATTCCAACTCATCGAGCACAAGCGATCGATGCAAGTGCGACCCGAGTGCGACCCGAGTGCGACAACCACAACCACAACCACAACCACAACCACAACCACAACCACAACCACAACCACAACCACAACCACAACCACAACCACAACCACAACCACTTCTCGATCGTCGTTGTGGCTATCTCGGCTAGGCAACTTACAAGGAGGCGTCTTGTAGTTGGGCCGGGTTCGGTATGAGGTCTTGGTGATCCTTGGGCGACGGAGGACAATCTCGTCAATCTTCTCGTGCCAGGCAAGTGGCCACTTGTACTTCATGTCGCCGAGTGCTGGATATGGATGCGGATGCGCAGATCCAATACGTGGGGGCAGACGACCGGCTCGCAGTTAGAAGCAACACACATGCAGGACAGTGTGATCTGCCAGCATACGGCATGAAGACGCAGTACTGGTCGCTGCCGATGTAAATCCGCTCGTTGGCAAACCACAGCCCCCTTTCCAGAAGGGCGGATGCGCCATACTCACTTCGGGACGGCATCATGCCGCCAAGTACGCGCAAGGGCCCGTTGACTTCGGAAGGGTGGTAGCTCGCCACGGTTTCGTGCTCGCCGGGATGCTCGGCTCGCATGCGGGCCAGTTCCGAAGGATTGCCAGGCTGGTGGTCGTCCGTCAGATCGCGCGCCTCATAGACGCCCTCACTCAGCCGATGGCCGATAAAGATGCGGGTGTCGCCCGAGTTGGCCACCGTCACTTTGTCGTTCTTGACGTACGCAAACGAGGCACAGCAGCCCGAGAGAGCCTGGAGTAGCCGCTTGCGGGCTTCGGCCGGAATGTCGATCCAGGAAACCTGGTTGGCGCTCAGGCGCTCAAAGTCAGGCAGGATCTCTTTGGGGATGTTGTAGAGATGGCGATCAAAGCTCTCGAAGGCTTGGACAAGTGCCTGGCCGATGGACGATGAGGATTTGATGGCGCTGCCGATGTAGCTCGGGAGGACATTGCTGGCCAGCTTGACGGCCTCGTCGCCGGCGTGGCCTGATCAAGGAAGAGAGCAAGCCAGGTTTGAGCCGTCAGTAATCGCTTAGGCGCGTCGCACTGCACCAGGAATGCACATGCAAGATGGGCCGATACGCCGATGTGCCCGTCGTGTAGCGTCCAAAGCCTCGGTCGCGGCGGTTGTGCTCGGCGGCCGATCAGGGCAGCGACCCATGTACTCCTATGCATCGGCTGGCAGCCCCGTAGCGCCGCCTTACCGTCAAAGATGCCCACGAGAAGGCCGCGGTCAAAGGTGCCGACAAAGTGGCGATCTTCGATCGGGCGGTTGGACTCGAGATAGTTGACATCCACGCGACAGGTCTTTGCGACGCCGCCAGTGTCGAACGTCGACTGGTCCTTCCACAGCTCGGCATTGATGTCGTCGGCTGAGAGGTCCGGCCGACCCGGAAGCTTGCTCTGGGCGCTGCTGGTGGAGTGCGAGTCGCATTGGAGCCCCAGCAGATGCGGGTTGCCGTAGTAGAGACTGAGGGCCGAGACGGTGACCAGGCCCGTGCCGGACAAGAGCAGCTTGGTGTTGGGCGACCAGCGACGAGCCGAGAGCGCCGACGCCACGACCGGGTTTTGGGTGCGGAAGACGTGGCGGGCCCAGTGCAGTCCCAGAGCCGAGCGTGGAAGAAACATGGTGGGGATGCGGATGCAGACGGGTGAGTGGCTTGTGTGGACGAGGACGTGGACGAGACAGAGATGCAGTCAGTGCGGCTGGCCTGGACGGCGACGACGGCAATAGTCCAAGGCGATGCAAGGCGATGCAATGCGATGCAAGGCGATGCGATCGAAGACGCAAGGGATGGTTGGGCTGGTTGGCCGACCCTGGCAGTGCTGCGCCACACTCAGCCGCCCCGGTTTATTGCCAGCCGCATCACGTGGGGCGGCGCTCTCGGTCTGCGCTCTCGGCCGGTGGTGGACCTTGGGCGGCAGTACTTTGCAAGTCTGATCGCCACATGGTCGCCGCATAGTCGCCGCATAGTCGCCGCATGGTTCCAGGTGGAGGATCGGCTATTCTCGAGAGCCCTGCATGTGCACCGGCACGCAGGCATTCGACACAGTTGCTCTGCGTTCACGCGGCCCGGGCCAGGTTCATCCAGTTGCGTGCAACAGCCGGAGCATCTCCTGCCGGTGCTAGATCATGCTGTGCGTACATTTATGCCATCGGCATCTCGTCGGATCATCTCTGTTGTGCGCCTATCGGCATCATGTCCTTGTCTGTCTGGGTGGGTGGGGTACATGCGCGACCGGTGTGGGAACGGAGGCCGAGAGGGCGATGGAGGTCCTCGAGTCTTGGGGCGGACTCGTCCACGAACGACCAAGCGGGCCCGATCATCTCCGTGGGTGTCCATTCCAATGTGACTAGACTGCCCACGGAGTTTGTCCAAGAATGCGATATCTCATCGGCCAAGGCCATCGCATCAGCGCGAATGCAAACGGGCGCCGTTCAGCCAGGCGGCCGGATCGACAGCATTCAACGGACACAAACCATGGACATGTGCAAGTGCCGTGTTTCCAAATGGCCGGTTGTCATGCATCCGAAAGTATAATCCGGCCACACCACACATCGCACATCGCACATCGCACACCACACATTGCACATTGCACATCGCACATCGCCCAAATGTCTGTTCTCTTGCGCACGCAGACCCTTGTCCCCAGCCCACACAGCCCAACCGCCGTCCACTGTGCCCAGTGCCGGCCGCCGTGCGACGCCCCGCCCCATATATGGCAGGTTCGCTGCTCCATGCGCCCGTCGCCACTCGCCTCCCGCGAGAGCGGCTCTTCTCGCCCGGAGGCCGTCTCCTGGTCTCGTCCTGTCGGCTCCCCTCTCCTCTGGGCTCTTGTCCGCATCTGTCGCTGCCCAGTGGCATCGGCCATCCACAACCAGACCCCCGGTCATCTAGAACCCCAGACTTACTCTCACCAGCGATGCCCCCCAGAGCCGGACGATGGGTCCCGGCCGACGTGGAGCCCTCGCAGCTCCTGCCCGTCATTGCCCGCGAGGCCATGCTTTGCGTCTATTGCAGGTGTGTCTTTGTGCGGCGATTGGCTCTTCTCTTCCTCCTTCGCTTGGCAGTCGGCAGCACGCAGGAGGCACTCTTGTCCAAGTCGCCGTCGTCAGCACATTCAGTCCATGCGACTTGCTTGTGTCTACTGCCAAGCATCAAGCCGCCCCGCTGCTATTGCGACCTTGGAGGTGGACCCGGCCAGGATCGGCCGGCTCCCCCCTCCTCTGTCGGACCCCGCATTGCCTGGCTGTTCTAACCGCTCCGTCTTGCTCTCGGGGTGGACCCACCTGTCGCTTCTGCTGTGATATCCGCATGCAGCTCTGAATATTCTGCTCTGGCCACCGAGGGCGCCTTGCTCGGCGACGACCCGCAACGGGTGCCGATTCCCCTTACCGTCCTCGAGCTTATCGCCACAAAGATTGCCCGGCTCGTGTGTCTGCAGGTCGTCGAGGAGCTGCAGGCGTCAGGAGCTCTCTCGAGTACGTATCCACTGCTACGCGCCTTTATTATTCGCATCATCGCTGAATGATGTCGGTGGCTGGTCGCTGCTTCCCCAACTCGACACTGGTATCTGGAGGATTCGTGGCCAGAGACAACTCATGAGCACATCTGTCGCCCCACATCCGTCGCCGCACAGACACCACCACCACCACAACCACCAAGGTGCATCCCAGCCCGCAAGTCGATGCCCTCCTCCTGGACACGACCGTACCCAAGATCTCGAGCGAGCCGAGCGATGAGGGCGGGCCCCCGAGTCCCTGGAAGACCTATTTTTCCTTGAGCCGCAACAACACCGCCAAACGGGCCGATCCGATTTCCTTGCTGCGATCGGCCGTCACAAGCTTCACGCTGTCTCGCCCGCGATCTTCGACCCTCCCGTCCAATCCGACCGAGACGCTGCAGCGGGTGGCGACTCCCTCGCCCAAGGTGTACAAGCGCCAGGACGTCATCGACAGGGTTCAACCTGCCCTTCAGACGCTGCTGGAAACCCAGCTGGACAAGGTCGTCCGGTATGTCCTTCCCTCTCCTGGCCTGCTCTCGGCGCTCATTGAGTGCATAGGGTGTGTATCTCTTTTGAACATGGGGTTCATGCCCTGAACGGCTTTCGGATCTGTCTCTCCTTGTCGCAGTGAGGCCATGGCGGCGCCTGTGGACAAGCGTCGATATGCTGCCGATGGCGCTTCACTCAAGGGATGGAAGAGCAAAAACGAGGATCGCATCGTCGTCCGAACGTATCTCAACGAACTCCTGGTACGAAGTCCTTATTCATGCACCTAGCGCCAGTCGGGCGACAGGGCTTTGGCAGATGCAATCGGCTTTGTTTTTGGACGATACAGCCTCGTGCGCATTGTCGAGCGCACTCCCTTTCCGCCCTGCTGTGCATTGTGATGTGGAGCAACGCAGCCATCCCGCCATACTCCATGCTGGTGCATACGGGCTCGCTCGGACAAGGCCACGTCATGCTGACTCACATCTTGGCTCCGGTTCATGATGCGCGTCAGGGTCCCGAGCACCGGCCGCTGTCGTTCTATGCCGTATACGATGGCCATGCCGGGGAAGTCACATCTGAGTACGTAGCCACGCACCTGCACTGGGTCGTGGCCCAGCAGCCGGGATTTCCCAGCAATGCCGAAAACGCCTTCAAGGAGGCGTTTGGGACGGTCAACTCCAAGCTCAAAGCCGCCATGGAGGCCGGTGACTGCCGCGTGAAGAGTGGCTCGACAGCTGTCGTTGCCGCATTGGCAGACAACCAGCTGCATGTTGCCTGGGTCGGCGATTCGGTCGCCATTCTGTTCAACGAGGACGGCACATCCGAAAAGCTGATCGTCGAGCACACAGGCCACAACGAGGATGAGAAGCAGCGCTGTGTGGCTGAAGGTGGCGAGTTTCTCCGGGACGGCAGGTCGATCCGGCTCAACGGGCTCTTGAGCGTCACCAGGTCCTTTGGCGACTACCACATCCCTCAGGTCACCGCTACTCCCCAGACCCGGAGCATCACCCTCACGGGCAAGGAGAAGTATCTGCTGCTGGCGTCGGACGGCCTGACGGATGTCATGAGCAACAAGGACATCCACGAGTGGCTCCGAAAGCGCGAGCACGGCTATTTCGAAGAGAATGTACAGGACGACAACAATGGCTGGGGCCGTCGAACCTCCAGCCTCGCCGAGCCCACCCAGAGCCTGGATAACGCCGAGTCGGAGATCTCTGCGGGAAGCAACGCCGTCACGGTGGATATCCTCACCACGGGCGTAGCCGAGGTTCTGGCACAGAAGGCCCTGGATATCGGGTCTACCGACAACGTCAGCGTCATCCTCGTCAAACTGAAACCCTAGACACTCGCCGTGGCCACCTAAGCGATCTATCGGCCGCCGGGCATATACCTCGCTTGTCCTGAGGCCGAAGCCCGCCGTCTTTCACTCTGGTCCACTCCCTGCCGAGTTTTCGGCTCGCCAACCCAACCTCAGCCGATCTCCAAATCCAATCCACCCTCACTACCACTATCACTATCACCACCCAGCTTCTCCGCGTCAGCAGTCCGATTCTCCCGACGGCGGGTCTGTTCCTTCTCCCACCTTACGGCTGTCTATTTTCTACTCTCTGTGCCGGCCGCTCCGCCTCATCGACGACGACGCTGCCCCGTCGGCAGCACCACTCTCTGTCGGGAATCTGGCTTTCTGGCCGCTCCTTGCCCTGTCTTTGCTTCGCCTCACTCTTGTATCTCTACTGTCATCACCTCCTTTCGTCGTCTTGCTTCCACTTGTCGCGATACTGCAGCAGCAGGAGCAACGACGACGACAACAACAACCACAACCACACTGGTACTCTATTGATTCGGTCGTTGTCGAGATCTGGGCACATTGTGGTCTTGCCCGCTCTCGAGATTTTCGCATGCGCTTGCACGGCCAACGGTCCTTGCCCAGCACCGTTCCTCCCTCTGTAACCCAGTCACAGTTTGCAGCCCGGTTGCAGTGGCGATGAGTCCGAGGGCACTCGTGCGCTTGATTTGATTTTGTTTGGTTCGGATTTTTCTATTGCTTCCTTTTGTTTCCTTTTGTTTCGGCCATGTTGATGGGAGTTATTGAATGAATGCGGCGACCCAGTCGGCAGTGTTCATCAATGAAGAGCGCACAATTGGCGACAATAACAGAGTGGCTCCGTTGCGAATGCTGTACAGTCTATCCAGAAAGAAACGGAACAGTCACTTCCTGGCTTCAGATATCTGAAACCCGCTGACTGACTTGTAGGCCCAGTGGGCAAGCCGTGAGATTGTTTCCCATCCTGGTTGGCAATCGAGTGATTTTGGTTGGTTTGGGAAGCACAGTCTTGAATACACTCGGTCGATCTTCTGTGGCGATGATCGACTGGCATACCGAGATCATGTTCCTGGCTGCATTGATGTCTCGATGTGGGAGTGTGGTGGATGCATTCGACCCTCTGCACAGTTCCATGGTTTCTCGATATCAAGATGCTCGACCTTCTCGAGTCGCTTGGCTTCCCGACAATGTGAGCACACCTGGGATGTGTTGAACTCGTTCGCCGAGCACACATGGATCTTGGAGACGGATCGGTCTGGTGGTCGTCTCTGGTGGTGGTGGAACTGCTCAAAATACTTGGCGAACCTGAGTCTCCTGGGACTGGATGCGTATCCCTTCCCCTGTTTCCAGGATGCATTCCCAAAGGCAATCACCATTTCGGTCTCCCTTGGACATACTTGCTTGGCCATGAATGCGATGAGTGGGTAGGTGTATTCAGGTTCCAGAAAAAGCACAGCCATGCACAAAACAGGGGTGTCCCATTTCATATTGGAAACGCTGTAAGATGATTTTCGGTGGCGAAATTAGCAGTGGATCGACGGATTCTGCTGGACTCGGGCCTGTTGGCGTACACAGCGTCAAGACGACATCATCCAGGGCATTCCATGGATGCCGCTGGCACTGTTGTCGCCAGCCCCATGGACGAGCATGCTGGGGCTGGTGCTGTTGTTGTCCCAACGAGCCACCAGATGCTGCCGCGTGCTCGCCAGGGTGACGACAGAGCTTCGGCCGATTGGGGGGCCTGTCGGGTGTGTTGTCGTCGCAGCCGGCGCTGCCGTTCCTGGACTGCCTCCAAACCCAGAGCCGCCTGCACACCTGCCCTTCCATCCCAGCCCGGCGGTTGTTGATGTCGAGCCACCGCGAGGCTTGGGCTCAAGCTCGGGCGAGTTTGATTACCGTAGTACAAGAGGGGTGGCTGCACAGGAACTGGCCGTCCCACAGAGCCACTCGATGCTCGGCTCCAACAAAAAGCTGCGATTTCCGAAGGACCGGACTCGCTGCTGTGTTCGCATCGCAACCTTTTGCTTCGATTCCATCTGCATCCTGCTGCGGCCAGGCGACACATCGGCGAGCGTCCTCATCCCCCTCCCGTCCAGGACTGTCCAGTCGAACCCACTGATCTAGCCGCCATCGCCGTGTCAGTTCTGCATAAAATGAGTACGAACGCAACCTACGGATATGTCCAAAGTACGTCTCGGACTGCGGCGCTCGCTTCCCCGCGGTCAGCGGCTCGCAGATGGCTCCAAGCGATGCATATGCCCGAGATTCCATGACCATGGAGGAGCGACCCTGCGTGGTCTCCCGTATCATCTCGCATTGGCGCCGGCGATCTGGATGCAAGGGTCCGGATTCGCAAGGCCCAGCTCTGACAGAACGCCTCGCCGTTTCGCTGAACCCCCCCCCTCCTACCTTGTAGACTCGGAGATGGTGTGTCCGCCATTGCTGAAGAAAATCGGGCTCAGTCTGACAGGATTCTCCTGCTTCTCGGTGGTCGGTCGACAGCAATCAAGTACGGTCCCACCCCCGACCGCCTCTATCTCCCGAATAACCCATGTGTCCGTTGGCGATCTGCTCACCGCACACCAACCCAAAGTCAGCTAATTGGACCGTTGTTCTGTCCATTTTTATTCTTTTTTTTTTTTTTTTGACTCGGATTGCTTTGCTGCCGATGCCACGGTCATCCCCGCGAATACGCCGTCCACTCAACCTGCTCTATGAATGATGCTGCTGCTCTCCGCCTCAGTCTGGGAGTTCCTCGAGCGCCACCGCAACTTGAAAGTCGAGTACGAAGAGGATCCCAACTTTCATCTCCAGACCAAGGTCCCGGTCGTCCTCCACCTCAAACGGTCGACCCTGACTCTGCCAGGCAAGGGCTGGTTCGGGCTCCCTGCCTACGAGGACGGCCTGCTCCTCGAGATCCGGTTAGCCAAGACCGAGGATCTGGCTGCCGAAACCTGGTCCGGCGCCGAGGAGGAAGAGGATCGAAACGAGGCCGGCCCCGTCGGAATCGTTGCCAGCCTGGCCAGCGCCGTCTCTTGGCAGGACCCTTCCGAGCTCAACCGCGATGTGATGCTTGCCCTGATCAACTCGGGGACGTCCCTGGCCGAAATCCACCAGATCCTGAAGCGCCATACCTCTGGATGGCACGACTACAGAGGCTCGTACGAAGTGGCTGCGCTGGCGGCTGCTTGCAAAGAGATGTAATCACGGCGATTCAAGCCGCCAGCATCGGGGGCCGGGAGTCGCATCGCAGATGTGCCAGTCATGCGGACGGAGCCGTCATCGTCATCGTCATCGTCATCGTCGGTGATGCGTCCGGTTGCCCATCTGTTTGTGCGGCCATCATCGACGACCGGATGGCCATGAAGCGGAGCCAGAATACAAACGAAGATCGCCGGTTTCGCTGGGGGGGGGGCTCTTGGCTCGTTTGGTCACTGCATCGGATCGGATCGGCGATGCAGATCCGGCATTTTGGATCGCTGCTTGAGTGTGGATGGATTTGAATGACGAGGATGCTCCCGCATAGCACTCTGGCATTTCGCTTGGCCTCGTCTGAGCAGCGCCCGCCAAATGTCCGCCTCGGCGTCGGCCCTGGTCGGGGTTTGGAGCCGGTCCAGCCAGCCAGCTCGGTCGGCTTCGTTGGAAACGTGCATCCCTCTTCCGCCTCTCGCCCCTGCATCTGGCCTTGGCCATCCCCGACACCATCGGTCTGCAGCCCCCATCACACACAGCATCCAGACTCGGCGCTTTCCTGCAGCTGCGCCGATCGATCGATCTCCAACATCGCCGGCCTGATCAGCATGGACGACTCAGCAGGCATCATATACAACAAGCAGGTGCCCATCACCGTCAAGTCCTCGTCGACGCAGCCGGCCCCACTCGGCTCGCCGTCGTCGCTGTCGACTGGAGCGTCATCCGCATCTGGGGCTCTCCAAGAGCGGCGACACAGCGGCATCACCGTGCAGATCAGAATGGCTCACAAGCAGGGTGGAAGGCTAAAGGTTTGGAATGGGGCGGATTCGCCTGAATTGCGGAAATGAAGAGTGGGATGAGCTCTGGTCTCGGCTCCGGTGTTGTCTGCACTCTCCTATCCACAGGATCCACAGGATACACAGGACACAACGATCGAGAGATCCGAGCCGAGCCTCAGGCCCAGACCATACAACGCCGATCTCACGGCCGTCGCCTCTGTGCCCTTCCAACTCGCTGACGAAACGACGCCTCGACTCCAGGTCCTGCAGTTCCGGATCACCGACGAAGCCGACCCGTACTTTCTGTACCAACTCGATATTGCGGAAGACGATTTCCACATTCTGAAAACGGAGCAGAATCTGTTGGTTGACTTTCAGCAGTTTCCCGAAAAGGTCACCGAGCTCCTGGACCTGTGCATTCTCTGTCGGTCGGACGATCATCCAAAGTATGCTTGGCGACTGCGATCACAAACGACGGATCCATTTCCTTTCCTGTTGCCATGGCCATATCGTCCGCAGCTCGAGACATGGGCATCATTCAGCAACTCCGATCTGACCATGATCTGGGACTTTCCTCCACCATTCAGGTACCTGGCCTTTTTGACAACCTCCAGCCCCCGCACAACAACCTTCAGCATCATCGAGACCAACACATTCAAGCACATCAGCCATATTGCGCTGGCGTTCATTCCCGGCAACGATGTTGCAATCAAAGAGTATTTGGCTGGACTTGTGGTGGACTTCAAGGCGGAAAACGCCATGCTGAAGAGTGAGCTCGATACAACAGGCACATCGCTATCGACCCGGCTGCGAGACCTCGAGACGAGTCTTGCCAGGAAGAGCACCGAGATCGAATCGCTCAAATTGATCCATGCAAACCAGATCAGTGATCTGAGTCTGAGGCACTCGGAGGAGATGGCCAAGGAGCGAGAGCAGGCCTACAAGGAAAAAGAGGAAGTCCGAAGGCAGCTCGAGCAACAGAAGCGTGACGCCGATGCGCTTCATATCGACGAGGTACGCTCTGGCATGTGGTGGCAGGAACACATGTTTCGAAAGGTCTTATGGGTGGGCTGTTTTGGGTTGACTCTGATTGCTATGTGATTCGTTTTCTGTGCCTGGTGCACTCTGCATCGTCGTCGGCCCGATGCAATGTGGAGGCAGGGCATCGATCATGACTGGACTCTGGATGCTCTGCGACTCGAGCTAACTGCGCCAACTTGTCGTCTGTCTTTCTCTGGTTCTTCAAGCTCAATGCCCTGACGCTTAAATACAATACCCTTACAGCAACACACAGCCATCTACTATCCCACAACAAGACCCTTGAGCAAAACCTGGGCAATCTGACCCGCGAGAGCGATGCAGCCAACAGGAGACTGAATGAGACCCAAATCGAGCTGGAAAAAACGAGGCAGATCTGCGAAAGCCAAGACCTCCGCAACCAAGAGCTCGAGCAGCAGTGTGAGATGCTGCGATCCCAGCTGTCCAACAGCGAGCGTCGCGAGCGCGAAAGAGACGAGGCCGCTCGCCGCTTGGAGAGCCTGCTTGAAAGCTCGAAGGGCCAGCTGGTATGCGACGTTATCTGGACACTTTATGGGCGTCGATCGGCGATGTCCCTCCGCCTGGTTCTTGGCGGTGGAGCTGCACGCAGACAGCGCCATTTACATGTCAATTGACTCGCCTCGGCTGCAGGAGAAACGCGATGCAGCCTTGGATATATACAAGGTCCAGAACGACCGGCTGCAAGAGAACTTTGGCAAAGCTACGGAGGAGATTAACAAGGTAATCCATCGGGTGGCTTGCCAGCCATCCGTCCATGCTATCGCGGTGGGCCGCTCTCTCAGAAAAGTCTGCTCATCGCTATCGCGCACTCGCTGGTGATTTGAGCAGGGCAACGAAATCATCCGAAGACTCCAGGGGGATCTCAAGACAGCCAAGAACAAGATCAAGCTCAAGAACGCCGTGACAGTGCAGCAGGAGCAGCTCTTGGACGAGCGGCTGGCCTCGCTGGAAAAGCTGCAGCGGGAGCACACTGAGCTCAAAGGCCGGTGCGAGCAGCAGACCCGGTCCCTTGCCGAACTTCAGAAGAAGCTAGAGGAGCGCGAGGCCAAGATCGAGCAGGATCGCCAAACAATCGAAGACAATAATCACGGTGTGTGCTTTGATGTGGCAGAGGCCTCGCTACTTGCTCGCTTGCGGCCTGGGTATGCAAGTGGAGATGTGGTTCTTCCGAACCTTTCTTTGTGCTAATGGCTTTCGGCTGCGTTCCATACCTCCATCGTGCCCGAACAGTGATTGAGTGGCTTCACAAGCAGCTGAACGAAGAGGCCCTTGGTCGACCACTCGGTAGCCAACTGCTGCCACGCACAGGCACAGATGCAGGCTTTGGACAGATCGACTTTGATCGATTTGCGTCGTCATTGACCCCTGGTCCCTCGAAGGGGCTCTCGGAAGCCGTGGGCGTGGCCAATGTAAGTAGTTCGATACGGCCCGATGGGCTTGTCTGTTGCTTGGCCAGGAATTGGGTCGGGAATGTCCGCCTGGTGTATCGAGCGTCGACCAGCCTGGCGGTCAGCAATCCCTTCTATGTGAAAGTGTGTACACTGTAGTGTCGCCACGCCCACTGACTCGTTCGCACCTGTCAATCAATGACTCGTCTTCCCAGTATCGATCCAAATACGCACCGGCGGCTACTGGTACGCTGTCCGGCGTCGCTGCGTCTTCGACACTGGGCCAACGCTTTTCTCACCCCAGTGTCGCTGCCAGCACCAAGGCCGGAGGTATCTCGGAAGAAACCACAGGGGAGCCCGCGAACAAGCCCTACACATCCCTGAAGTACACGTCAAGTTTGCCGCTGCGACGACCAGTGCCCGGTGTGCCAACAGAGGCCGACCCAGGGTCGCTTCGTTTTGGTGCAGGCGGCGGATTGATTGGCAGTCGCAAGCCCTCGTATCGCACAGGGGCCGAGAACTCGTCGGCATAGTGCGCTACACGCTAGAAATAGGATCATTCACATCCATCGAATAAGGCTTCTGCTCGCTCGCCCTTGTCGAGAGAGCGGGAACATCTTCCCACACGGATAACTTGCGTGGGTTGTGGGTTGTGGGTTGTGGGTTGTGTGCATCAGGCGGCACCCGAACTCCATGAAATCCACTCGCCGAGGTCTTGCGTCGATTTTGTTCTTTGCTCTGCGTCATTCTCCCTCATCCCAGGTGCTCTGGCCTGCAGTGACTGCATCTGCGGCGGCTCGCTGGTCCCCGTCGTGCCCGCCCATTCCATGCATCTCTCTCACACAGGGAAATGATTAGATCCACTTGTGATATGATCCGACTTCGCCGTGTTTGCTCGAATGAGACGATGTGTCTCATTTTTGCTTCAACACGCTGTATTGTTGCTTGGGCGATCCGTTGGCGAACAAACCAAGTCGTCCACCATTCATCGCCATCAAGATGCGATAGCGTTCCAAGTCACAGCGACTCGAAACACACCGGTTATCACGATGCAGTTCCCCACCCTGTCGCTACTGGGCACATTGCTGTATTTCATTACGACATTCAGGGTGTTCAGGAAGTTAGCCGAGTGACGATCCAGTCGAGCCCGTCATGAAGTCTGTGGGAACCCAACATCCATGCAAGCAAGTACCAGGAGAAGAGACATGCAGTCGAGAATGTGTTAGCGCAGTGTATCGAGGCACGAATAAGCATCGACACATGCCCATATCAAGTCAAACTGGGGCTGTGCAGCCAGCGTCGATAGATGCTCACCCTTCGCCGGTGATGGCACAACATCCCTGCATCAAGAGAAGGAGAAATGTTCAGTATATGGCTCGTGGCTGCCGTTTCTCGGTCGCGATGGTGGTGCTTTTCGACAGAGTGAGTGAAGCTGAAAGAACCCATACGACTGCAACAAAACGTGGGAGGCGCACCTGGATATGCCAATGCCGATCTTTCAAGGTCGAAAGTGCCAGAGCCTCAGAGATTTGCATCGCCGAGCGGCTGTCCTTGACATCCTGCTTGTTGGCAAAGACGAGCAAGCAGGCACTCTTCAAATGCTCGTGCTCCAGCATGCGGTGTAGCTCTGCCTTGGCGATGTGGAGCCGTCCGACGTCGCTGCTATCGATGACCATGATCACAGCCTTGGAATTGACATAGTATGTGCTGTTCCGGAGGTCAGAGCCAGGGTGTTGCTCAGGGAGGGGCAGCCCATTGGCTCGCCCCCCTCGGTTCGCCTCGGTTCGCCCCGACGGCCACCAGCAAATCTGAACTCACCTCCATGACTGTCGCAGCGACTCTTGACCGCCGATATCCCAGACCATTAGCCTTATGTTTTTGTACCTCAGTTCCTGCGTGGGCCGTATCGAAAGTCGGGGTTGGTCACAATGGCGGCTTGGCGGCACTGCTGACATTGCCGGTATCGCCGAGTGTCATCACACCGTCAACGCCGTCATCAGAGCTGCGGCCGGCAGAATCTCGGCATCGATTGAGAACCAGAGCCGGTGTCCGTGGGGTTCGGCATGGCCAGAAGCGATGGTGCAGCCGCTATCGAGACCCACCTCCACATTGCTCCCGATCGTCGGTGATGTGCTGACAGACTCGTTGTATATCCTGATGGATTGTATTCCACGGAACAACCACCCAGTGTATCAGTAGAGACACTCAGAGGAAGGCACGACCGGCTCCAGATCCTGTTCACTGACATTTGCTCGCAGGAGCACCTACAGTCTATAGAGGACTGGCTCATCGGCGGAGCCATGGTGCGATCCGAGGGCGAGCGATTGCGATGGCAGCCGGCAGAGAGGCAAAGGATAAAGGTTGAGCCCTTGATTTCATATACGATACAGCAGAACAGGATCCAAGCACAGGCGGAGGACCGGCAAGTTGACCAGGGCCGTATTCCATCACCAGCAACCTGTTCATCAGGCGCCATCCGGACTCGGGTGAGCCAACGACAAGCAGACAATCGCCCCGCACCTGTTGTCTTGCCGGCGTTGTCCAGGCCGACGATGCAAATCTTGTATTCCGTTTGGCTCCAGAGCAGCCGCCAGAGCTTGGTCAGGACGATGCCCATAGTCGGGGGACGGCGGGATGCGGCTGGATCAGGGGAACGCACGATCGAACACGGCGCATCGCTTGTATTGGCCGGCACACACACACACACAGCGAATGCAGCGCCTCGATTCCGAACAAGTGTTTCCTCAGAGTCGATGGCGCCAGCGACTGATCAGGGAGGAATAGCTGGATGACGGACGTGCACCATCGGTCCCCGTGGCGGCTGCGCTGTGGACTCAACCCCTTTGAGACACCGGTTTTATGCCAAACAATCATGGTGCCTGTATTGGTCATGCATATACGGGTGGTTGCCACACGGAAGCCAGGCACAAGAACAGCGGCGGGCGACAGCTAGGTTACAAGCTGATGACTCGGCTGAGCTTCTGGATGCGGTTCAAAAGCAGATCGCCCTGCTTGATGGTGGACTGGTACTGTGCGTTCTTTGCATCGGGGCGGTTGGTCTCGACAATGCCTCCGACTTTGTCAATGACGGCGTTGAGGCGTCCTGCAGCAATAAACTTTGACAGGTCGCTTTGGAAGCAATTGGAAGCACATCGCAGTTGTGTCAGGTTGGCTCCTCCACTTGACAAAGGTGTCACGGGCTGCAGGTCTGTCTGCTCACCTGTCGATGTAATCTTGCGACACGCCGAAGGAGTTGGCCAGCGACTCGATGGTGAGGCTTCTGTAGGACTCCAAGAGCTGGGCGTACGCAAGGATCCGCATCTCGCGCACATAATACCGATAATGAGGGGCAAGGATGCGGTCGTACTTGATTTCTTGCTCGATGGTAGCTAAGAGCGAGGAGCCGGTCAGCATGTCGCAGAAGCATCCGAGGTCAAACATGGTGGGTCTTGCGGCGCGACTCACCGAGCGACTGGAAGAACCGAGCATAGTCGCACGTGTATATTGAGTTGGCAAAGTCCGAGAGATTGTTGATTTCGTGAATCACCTCCAGGACTTCGGGTGAATCGATGATCTGCATGTAGTGGCGATTGAGGCGGATTATTTAGCTCCAGAAGCTTGCAGCAATAGACATGGCTGCAGATGCGGGGGCAACTGGCTGCAGACACGTCCTCGTCTACCTTTTTCTTGTAATCGGGACGAGGCAGGATCAGAGTGGCTGCCAGGACAGTGTAGCGGACAAACTCCTTGTAGTCCATCAGCTCAGTCGAGGTGAAGGTAGCCAGAGTATCGATCAGCTGGTTCACGGCTCCCTTGAAATCCCGGATCGAGAGTTTGTAGATGCCTTCGTAGGCCTTCAGGCGGTTGCGTCGGTCCCAGTCACCGCCCTCTTCGATCAACCTGTGCAAACCGACAAGGTCCTGCAATAGTTAGAGCGCGCAAGTTCTACCGGCGTTCGGAAGCCATCGCATGAGCTATCAGCGTCACTGACATTCGAGCCAACTGCCCGCAGGTCCGCAAGCAGCAGCAGCGGGAAAACCTCGTCGTCCGTACCGCTTAGCTTCGCCGATTTTACGAGACACCAGATCCTTGTCGTCGAAAAAGAACCCGATGCGAATGGTAGCAAAGAGAATATCGATGCGTTGGCCCAAGGGACCGGTCTTTGAGAAGGCTGTGGTGTAGGCATCGACGGCCTTGTCCTGTGAGATCAGAATGTCAGCAGCGCCTGGGAGCAGATACAAACGGAGGACGCCATATCATTCACATGAGATCCGGGCACCGTCTCGTCGGGTATCGTCTCGTCGGGCCCACCTTTTCGCCGATCTTTGTCAAATAGAAGGCTTTGGCGGTCAGGGCGTCGCTGATCTCGGTTTCGCCCAGATTGGCCTCAGCATCCTCGAGCTTCTCCTGCAGGCGAGCCAGCTCGGCATCGTTGGCAGTCTTCATTTTTGCCAGGAGCTGGGCATCAGGAGCCCATTTGAGCTTCTCTATGAGGTACTGATAGAAGGGCGCCATGTCTTTGGAGAGCCAGCCCGGTGGAAGTTTGGAGTGGTGTTCGTCAACATATTGCTACAGTTTCGGACTGGCGGGAAGAGATATCGGCGAGCACCGATCCTCGCCACTGGCCAACGCAATCCATCGAACTGCGCGATCGACAGAGCCCCGGCTCTCGGATCCGTCGGGGCACGCGGCTGCGCTAATGCTTTTGGCTTGAACATTACCGTTAGCTGTGATGGCGTCCATCAGCGCCTTCTGTGCCGCTGCATGGGACGAGGGCAGGCCATGCGACAGCGAAAAGCAGTACTGGGCCAGTTCAAGGTTGGGGATCTGGTCGATTCGCGGATGCAGATGTGGATGCAGATGTGGATGCAGATGTGGATGCAGATGGGATTGCAGAGAAAGTGAGCAACATTCCAAGTCTGTCGCGGGGATTGTCGGCGACCAAAAACCCTTTCGCCGCTGGTGATCGCTGTTTCTGCTCTCGCCCATCGATGCATATGCCAGACAAATTTACTTTGGGAATGGCTTCTTCCATGGCGAGCGACGGGTCAGACCAGCGTGGTTGATAATGCAGAGAACCAGGAGACTGATCCGGAGCGGCATCAATCGGGTCGCTGCCGAAACCCGGCCTGAGCAACCAGGGCAGCGAGACCCTGGCCGAATATCACGTGCCCAAGGCCGAAGATGCTGCGCAACACCAGGTTGCTGCGCCACAGCCAGTCCAGCCATCTTCACCCTGCTTCAGAGATTCCGGCTGGAGGTCCTCACTCGGAAGCGATCTGTTGAAGTGCATGTGGCTCTGCTCGGCACAGTCCGTCGAATACTAGATTGTGCATGGAAATGTTTGTGGAGCCCCGTTGTTCGTGTGTAAAGTGTAGATTTTAAAATGCAGATCATCGCTGGGCACTTCTATCGTCGAAGCTAAAGCCCGGTCACAGTCCCTCGAGCACAGGTTGCCAGAAATGCGCCATATCTCGAAAAATCCGTCTATTAAAACGCGGCTTTGTGTGATGGACAATTGCGCTGCCTTCTGTGAGGTTGATTGCCACAGATAAACTCGGTCATACTTCCAATCACACACTTGTGGAGCTCTCAAAGTAAATCAGCCAGGGCTCGTAGTCATTCTTGTTTATGTCGACGACCCAGGTGATGTTGCTGTTCTCCGATATGGTTGCGACACACTCCTTTTCGTCCAGAACGGTGTCAACGTTTGGGGCTCTCAGCTTGACGAGCAGCGGATCATTTTCCCCGCTCTATTTGAAATGAGCATGTATGAGTTGGTGGCTGTCGAAATCATCCTCACCATGCATACAATCCATGAAGAAAGCTGAGCAGTAATACTGGGAGCGGGGGCTTTACCTTTGGGATTATAACAAAGCTATTGGGATCAAACCACAGCAGCATGATGGTACAGTCGTCGAATTCTTTGAGGTGTCTCTTCTTTTGCTGCCAGTTGTACCGATAGACCTTGCGCTGCAATGCGTTTGTACCAACACATGAGTGATCCACAGGTTTGGCGATGAGGCCTCCAAGTCGCTCGAATACTGCAGTCATGAGGCCCATGTTCATCAGGCCCAAGAGCTCGGGTTCACCATCCGACAAATACATACGCATCTAATTCTTGTCATTTTGTCGCGAGTGATCACGCCTCGAGCTGACTCCACTTTGCTGGCTGATACGATTGAGCGGGATCCTATACCAACGGCGGCATCTTTCTTGCTGGGCTTTTGACCTGACCCAGACAGTGTGGTTGAGTAATATTGGATGCGAGTGGAAGTATCCTTGAAGGCGACTCCAGTCACGGCGAGCATCATCGGCATGACAGCGCACACGAACATGATCGATGGGACGAAGACGAGCCCGGCAATATACAATGAAAGACGCTCCCCATATGCCAACATCATGAGCGACGATATGGTGAAGAACGCCGTCCCTAAGAAGAGAGCGTTTCTGTGGACGGTAGACAAAGAAGGATGTCAGTGTCGGGGCGATCCGCGCCAACCAATCAAAGCAGCTGCAGGACCTCTAGAGCGGCTGTGCAAACGCTGCCTACCCCATTCCAAAGAGCAGGACTCGGTTTTCGCTCTTGTAAGTGGATGGATATATGTTAGTCATTCAAGCTCAAGTATATGAGCAGAGACCGAGCGCAGTTTGATTGTAGATGCCGGGTGCGACTTGATTGTACTCACAAACGGAACTTTGGCGTTGCTGGCTTGCTGGAAGAGGGCGTAGGTCGTAAGCAATATGAGGGCGCCATTGAATATGATCATTCCAACTTGGATGTTGTTGGGGTTCGAGGACTGGCACGTGATATAGTGGTCAAATTGGTCGGTGTCGATTCGAGTCGGCTGAAGTGGATATTGGCAAACCAGCACCAAGGAGAGAATCTGCAGTTTGTTTCATACATCAATAAGTGCCAAAGCGTCAGCGACTTGGTATATCAAATGAATGGACGGATTGGCTCTTGCATCTGTCTTACCAAGTTGACCACGAAGATGACTCCTTGGAACGAAAGCAACGATGCCGTCTTGACGGGTGTGAACACGCTGATATTGGAGCCGGCATGCGCCCAGAAATCTTTCGGAATATGGAGGTCAAGTTAGCGACTTGATACCACAGCCTCCATACCGACGCCGATCGCAAGCTCAATTCAACAAACGGAAGCCTTACGATGTGCCTTGGACAAGAAGGCGCTGGATGACCGATGGAGGAAGAACCATTAGCTCTAACTGTGATTCACGGTATCCAGAGTTGTGGCTTTCAATCTCCCAAACTGTTGCTTACCTGATCATGATGCCTGATCCAACCGACTGCACAAACGGGATCGCGTTGCAGCTTTGGGCGGTCAAGGGGGTGCTGAGGAAAGCGACTGCTGATCCGTGGATCAAGAGCGCTCCGACAATCACTGAGACACAGAGTCGAGATCGCTTGATGAGTTTGCATGGTGCTGCCATAATGCCCTTCACTGCGTAACTGTCCGTTACACGAGCAACAGACAACCCACCAGAGACATAGAACCACACGTTTCCAAATACAGCCACTGAGTTGGTTCTCATGCGAAGGAGAAACACAATCGATGCAGCCAGGGTTGCCATAATAAATATGACAAAGCCTCTCACGGCATGGCTTGTCGATTGACTCAATCCCTGGTCCAAACTTGGCGGAAAGTCCAGCGGGATCGCCAGGGAAGCTGAAGCAGTGATAATGATCAGTCAGAACGATAGCTGCAGCACTATGTCAAAGAAAATGCCATCTCTTGCACGGTTCATGGTTGCTAGCAAAGGGCGCTCACATGATCCGTTGAAGAACGGGTTGATGCCAATCTCCGTGATGAGCATGGGGGCGGATGAGTTTCCACTGCTGACGAACTCGATAAAGTCGTATTTGTTGAAGTTCTCAATGGCGCCAGGATTAGCATTCTGCTCTCCAAAAGTCAAAGAGGACGGGAGAGAGTGCATCAGTCGCGGACAGTACCAGTCCAGGCGAGTCACGATGGTCCAGCATTGACAGAGCCAAAATTACGCATACTGGCCAGTATCTTTGCCAGCCTCGATCGCGCAGTCATATCATGCGCTGAATGTTTGCTTAATGTGGTCATACATAGGCAATGTCGATAATACTGCGTCGAGTTAAAGCGATTCAATGATGAGTATTCGTGATTTTGGACATCGGCCCCGACCTGCGAGCTGAACCGTCGCTCTACGTGACAAAACGCTCGGTTTACCTGGTCAACTTCTGACCATATCGGTCGAACATGAGCTGTTGCCCAATTGCGTTGCAGTGAGATGGGACGGGATGAGATGAAGCGCAAAACAGGACAGTCGCTCAACCAGCAGAGCTTCTGAAGCTGCTAATGCAGCGATCGGGATACCCTGGTTGACACTAGGTGACAGCTGCCCGACACCTACCGGCCCCAAAGCTCCGGCGTAGTTAGTTGAAAAAACTGAAGGCGTGAGCAGTTTGTTCACTTGGTTGGATACCAGGTCGCTGAGTCGTACTTGAGGGTTGGTATTGAGCAGCTACAGCAAGATTGTGTTCAAGTGAGTTTCCGAAACACTGGGCAAGTGCCACTGAGTTGTGAGCCTACCTTTTGGATCGCATACACGAGCGTCGTGATGCTCTCCCACGATGCCCTTGCAAATACAATGAGATGCTGCTATTAGTATACACAGTTGCCAAACAAGAAGCTAGCCGCCTCTTGATATTGATACGATGAACTCCAAGCAAGCCCTACCGGGCAGTGTCCCATCACTATGCTGGCTGCAGGCTCCGTCTGCTTATCATCATTTGAGACAGGACGGATGTCATACTCACGTGACGTAATACTTCTGAGGAGCAAACGTAATATCGGTGTTCAGAGAAACGCCAAAGCTCGTGTTGTACAAAGAGTTGAGCAGTTGGTAGTCAGTGGACTGCGTGGAAATTTGTGGTCCAATTCTGTGGGTGTATGGCAAGACGATGGTCAGAAGGTACAGAGCGGGTGAGATGACGACGGCATGGAAGGAATATTGACGGCTCTGTGCGCTTGCACTCCGCCGAGGATCTGAACAAGCAACACGAGAACTCACAGCGAGAATACTGGAGGAAACGTTGTATTGGCTGGGAGCACAATGTTGAGATTTGTTTGAAGCTCCGTCAGTGTATAGGATCCATCGGAGCACCACCTGTGCCGGGATCAACAGCAGCAGAGATTTTGGAAGCAAACTCGGCGTCAATACTGCACTGGGCGTGGAGGCTGCAAGATCTTCACAACGACCCGTGAGGTGATGAAGCTGTGTCTCCTGCACAATCACAACGCATGGACAAAGACAATACCAGAGATAGTCCGGGGTTGTCAAATTGTAGTTTCTGAACGGAACCCCGGAGCCCAGTTAGTCGATCATCTGCATCATCGGTACATTGTAAGCAGATGCAGGGAATATTTACCGTGCCTGTAAAGCCGAGCACGAGATGTTAGTGATATATCCAAGAAGCTGCAGCTTCGGTCATGTGGCGCAAGATCTTACCTCTATAAACAACGGTGCCAAGAACTGGAGCTGACCAAACCTGGTTGTTGAAGCTGCGTTAGTATTGCGCTAAGGGCCTGATTTATACAGCTAGATCCAGGGATGATCCCTGCGTTGCGTTGCCGCTGTGTCTCGTCGCTCGGTGTATTCTTACAGCACAAAGATACGGGTCTGCGAGGCCACCATGGCTTCGCACGCAGCCTGCAAGCTGCTCGGCGTGGCTACGAATTGCTGTATGAGACGAATATTTATGCCAAGGGATTCTGCTCGCTGTATAAATCCCGAAGCCAGCTGTGGCCCGTAGGACGAAACCAGCGACGGCTGTTTTGGAAGCAAGGCATCTTGAGTCGAGCTTTCCAGCGACGCGACTCAGACCTGCAAATCGCTGGCACCGCAGTATCCTCGATAGAAACAGAGCGTACCGTTGTCAAGACGATAACCTGTCACGACAGCCGAATCGTGATCAGTAATGCGGGTTGTTTATGCTGGCAAACAGCGCTGATGCCTGCGCCACATCCAACCTACATTTCTCCAGCCCATGCTGTAGACCCAGTCGGCAATCCCTGGAATATGGTGGAAGGTTAAAATCTCGTATTTGACACACCAATATTTACCAATTAGATTGCTATATTCGTGTATGCACCGTCAAAATTGCGATGCAAAGCTTGAAAGTACCCCAGTGGCGGGGCTCATGCATAGCCGTTATGACGTACCTGTGGCAACATAACTTTCAGCCGAGGGTTCAACGGGGTCGAAAACAAAGTGTGGTATCAGTTTTCGAATCACGGAAGAGCTTCGGTCGTGGCGATATCCGCACAAACACAATCTTGATGGGATCAAGCAGAGCTCGGCGTACCTGAGCACGGTGCCAAAGCTGTGATTATACCACAAGGTTAGCTGTGGATTAGGGCAAACGCTTTATGACACCCAAACTAATGGAGCATCATGTGAACATACCTGATGGTTTGAGGAAACATTGCCCACTCTGGATTGCCAGGCTGGTCGAGTGTCGCCAAGATATGAGCAGCGTCAGCCAGGCACGGTACCAAGTGGCCTTTGGCACGAGTCTCCTCATGCACAACCTACTGCTAGGGCAAGAGATCCTGTCGATGCAAGGAACGGATAGCCGAGTGCATTGGAAACCATGCCCGGGTACTCGACGGAAAACCCGCCACTGACAAAGGCGTTTACGGGAAAGCTCTGCAGCGCTTGGATGACATTGTTGATCTGGGTGTAGTGCAATGAAGAGTATGCCGTCGATAAGCATGAATCAAAGTTGCCCGACAGTAACAGCGGATGAATGATGGGATACGTGACGGTCGAGCGAGAACGCGAGCTGGAATGCAGATCTAGAGTGAGGGCGATCGGAGCGGTAGGACTTGGACGATGATTCTGAGCAGTGCGACCGCCGCTCCAGTATATCCAACGGAACGCAAGACAGGGGCTGCCGCGATCTCTGCCAATCACAAATAAGGCGTCTCACAGCCCTCCGGCTTTGCAAATCATTGTCACACGATGGATATGATCATACCGATCTAACAGGAATCAGGTAGTTGGTGTAGTGGCATGAAAAGTTGAGGCGCTGGACGAAAGATTCGAGTTAGCATTGGACCGGCAAGGTGCCTGCCGTGTTGATTGCGGCCATGATGGATCATATGCTGGATTGAGCCCAGTAGAGTTGTGTTGCCCGTACCAGGCCAGGAATCACGGTGTCGATGGAGTTGTAGTAATCCAAGGCCATCTGGAAAACCTGGATCTGTTGGCGGGAATAACGCGTGAGAAGTCGCGGAATATCATCGGCCGAGACTTGGACACTCTCGTATCGATTGGCCTGAGCTTGTACGGGGTACTCGCAGAATCAACTACGGTGGCATGGCCGAGGCGCCCAAGACGGGCACTGCCGCCTGGAAAGGTTGATGCAGTCGCGTGTGCGAGCCATCGAAACAGCCGATTTCCAATGGAGTGGCTATGGCACACTCTCCAACAGCGACAAAACACGGAAGCTGCTGATCGGTGCAAACGGGCAAACCACATCCAAGCGCACCTGACGCACGATCCAGACGGGATTCATCCCATAGAGCTGCGTCGTTGTGTTGTAGGAGGTCAAAAGCGCGATATTGTAAACAGGGGCATTCGCCTTGGCAGCGCTGACAGGAAAGTATGGGTTTGCCCGGACAGTTTCCGGCGGGAAGGTTTGGCAACCCGCCAGAGTCACCAAACTGGCGTAAAACCAGATAATCGCAGCGTAGAGACGCATCGCTGGTGGAGGAACCCGAGGATAAGCGTGCGATGGGGGAAAGAAAGAAACCCAGCAGCTCGATTCCTTCTTACTCCCGAGTCCCCGCAGCTCGATCGGCCGAGGGACATGCCTGCCAGCGACCGATTGACCGAGGGAGACATGATCGGTACGCCAGAGCCCGCACGGCGTCAGCTCCGTGCTCCCAATCAATAGCGATTACCGGGAGGATAGGCGGCGCCAGGTGCAGTCGCAGCCGCCAACGATCGGCGAGGATGGGCGCCGATATTCACCGAAGCGCGCTCGTACACTGTCAGGTTCGATACTTGTATCAGCCTCGGCGATTACAATGGCGGCCAGCCCATCTCATGACTGAGTTGGGCTGACGCCATCAATGACTCAATCTCACCTTGGGTGTGATGGCAGTGGCTGTTCTTCTAACCAGGCGGCAGCCAATCACGCTCAGACTGTGGTTGCCGCATTGATTGCAGTTTCGGCATGTTGAAAAGGCAATGGGTCACAGAGTCTGCTCGGACAATACCACACGGATCATATCACCCACTTGTCTGAGAACGACAAGTGGGTCAAATCATCTGCCTGGGCGCCCGTCTCATGAAACCGGTCTGCCTCACAGAGTCGGTCCAAATCCCCAGGCTCAATAGTGCAAATGCCGATCGACATCGTCCAGCCCGGAGGCCGATCAATGTCATTCAATCGTGCGCTGGCCATGGCTGCGTGGAGACCACAGGGCGATTGCGGAAACCAGGGGGCGATCTGCGATCCTCACTCGGAGGTTGCCGAATCCATTCATTGACAGAAATCTGGCTTTGAGGATGCCGGTCTTGAACAAGCGATCGATCTCGATGAGTGGTGATCGATTTGCACACCACAACCATGCTCTTGGTCGCGTTGATGTCTTGATGCCGGATTTTGGTTCGCTGGCCACATCGCTTTGAACCTACCTGATAAACCTATGCAGGCTAACTCTCATTTTTTTTTGGGGGGGGGCAGTGGAACCGCTTGAAAGAGCAAAGGGGCCTCAAACGATAGGGATTGGAGACATGGACCTTGCTTTGTTTCCACGGAGGTGAATGGTCGTTGTGAATAATTGATGTGAGGATATAATTCGAAAGAGATCAGCGGTCTCGTACCGTCCCGTTTAATTTTGTGAATATATCACGATGCAGACGAGGTCGCCAGGGATGCCAGCAGGGGCTTCGCTGCGACTTTGTAGACATTGTGAGATCCAACAATGCCGGATGCGCTTGTCAACAAAACACAGCATGTGTCCTCTGATGCGACTTGCTTGTTTCTCGTGGTCTCTGGGGGGTTGGCTGCTCGGTTGGTATGGATTCGGCACCTGGGCTGATCAATTCACCGCATTCGCCTTGCCCTCAAACCTGTCGCACTCTCGATACAAACCGCTCGGCATTTGACATCCTTGCACCCGATGGGCGAGTCCGTGGGATAATGTCGAATCACTCGTTCCTCAGGCCGACCGTGGTGATTCGCAGAGGGGCTCAGAGTTTCGGTCCAAAGATCAGGCTGCTGCTACGTTCTGAGCGCAGGTATTTCACCGAATTGGTTTCCGCTGACGAGGTGGCTCTTGGAACAGATGCTTCGCGAAATTTAGCTTGTGACTCGATCGACTTTGGTCCGCTTTCATAGAAAGGAATGGGGTTGTGCTGCCTCAGGAACGAGCCCAGATGGTATCATTGGCGACTATCATCATTCTCGAAGGCTTTGGCGAAACCCGCTGCCCTCGTTTGCCGGCACGCTTTACTTGGAACATTTGGGCTCAAGCTTGAAAACCCTGCTCGGGGCCGGAGGACCACATCTGGGGAGTCAGTCCTTTGCGACTCTCGAAGATGAATGGTGCATGTCTTCTCGAACACACCCCGTTTGAGCCGCTGTGGGTCGTTAAAACACTCACCCTCGGTGTTGCGTATACTGCATATGTCTGCTCTTGCATTCATGCCTTCTTGGCCTGCCTTGGCATCCCAACAGTCCCTTGAGCTTCGTTTTCATCATGTTACATTTTCCAGGTAACCGTCGGGCTGTAATGCTGTGCTCATTTGGATTCAATTCGGCCGCAGCCTCGCTATTGACGGCCGGAGGAGGATATCGCTTGCTCGCTGCGACAACTAGTTCGTCCTGGACATCTTGCTACGCTTGTCGCCAGTACAGAGCTGCTTGGAGCAAATGGAGTCAGAATGCCCGCGGCCAAAACGGATTTGTCACGGCTCCCAATATTCCCGAGATTCTGGCAGGTCCCGGTATTTTCCCTCCCACAAGGCACTGGCGCTCCACCCAGAAGCACCGGATGCAGAGCCGCTCTCTCTCTCTCTCTCTCTCTCTCTCTTGCGCTCTCCCTCATTCGTTTCCTGTCCTCGAGGCTAAGATGCAGGTCGAGACCGCACCGCAACGCTGCCGCTGCGAACCCAAGTCGGCTCCATCGTCCCGCTCGGTCGTCTGTTGCGTTGGAAACTCAAAACGAGATTGTTTTAGTGATCGCTTTTTCCACAGAGCGGAGCAAGACATGGTGCCACCGCTCGAGGGGCGCCGAGATTCCGTTTGGGCTGACAGACACATACAGCGAGGGAGAGAGAGAGAGAAAAAAAGAGGAATCTCGTAAAACAATGCGCGCGAGGCACCAAACCGTTATGGACGAACTGACGATAGTTAGAAACTAAAAACGGGCAAAGCAGGTAAATCAGACAACGAGCGAAAGGATCAAACGAAGCGATTCGACGGACGACTCAGCGCCAGGAGCAAGCCACCACAACCACTTTCCATAAGCTATCTGACGCAAAGAGCTTCGAGCCGGGAACTTCACGGGTCGTTTCGCCTTCGGACCGGAGCATCCTCGTCGTCGACAAACCCAGGTATGGGGCCTAACGGGTGAGTGGTGCCGAGTCAAAGGTGACGAGGAAGGAGACGATACGGGAGCGTTGGCTAAGTAATGCAGAGCAGCTAGCAAAGCGAGCTGCAGGCACGTCGGGCCACACGTTATCCAGGACGGGCAGCGATTCAGCTTTGATGAGCGGCGAGCTTGGTATGAAGCCCGTTGGCGAGCTGCTTTCAGTTTCGAGTGGCTCTCGGGACATTCCTATACGCATCGGTCGCTCGCCCGAGAGCCATATCCGTCACATTATCGTGTATGTCGTCCTTTCGATTCGGCTCAAGGCCCCTCTGCATCGTTCGATGGATAACGGGCAATGAACAGCGACGACGGGCAGCGGACAAAGTTGGGTTGCCATTGTGCCGATCGCTTACTGATGTTGAGACGACTCTTTCTTGAGCAGGGGAGGAGCTCGTGCCAACCGGAATGCAATTGCCTCTCCCCAACACACACTCATACGGTTCGTCCAACAGCACATAGACGCAATGTTACCTGGATCGACTCCAGCACAGGTATCATGGCTTCAGGAGGCGGGTTTATCGACAACGACGGACACAATTCAACAAAAGGAATCACGGAAGGCGATCACGGCTGTGTTGGGCCCTGGCGGGTGGGGTAGGCAAGGCTTCGGCTGCAGGTCCGAGGAGCTATCGGGTGCGCTCCCTTGCTGAGTCGCCCTCGTCCAAGGATCGAGCCCGCTTGGCCGGCTGTGCCTTGCGGATGATCTTGACGACGCCTTGATCAACAAAATTTCGAGCCAGATCGGATATCTCTACGGGTTGCGCAGGAGTTTGGTAGGTCAGCAAGCGGATCGATCAGGGCAGCGAGTTTGTGGTGAGGGACCAACGGGGGGGAAGGAAAGACTGCTCGAATGGTAACCTCACCGATTTGCGCACGCAGCATCGAGACTCCCCTCGCAAGTAACGCCGGCAACAGCGCCGACAGCAGCGACGGCAACGGCAATGACAGCAGCGACGATGGCTACGACGATGACGGCGACAACGATCGTATAGGCACTGGCTCTAATGAAAGGCTCGTTGCAAGGGTGTCGAGAAGGCTCCGCTCAAATCAGAGTCAACCTACTGCCCATTCCGGGGAACGTCCTCCAGCTATGCGACTCGAACTGATTTGAAATCACAGTCGTCAACGTTCGAGGCAGCGGCGGGTTCAGGCCACTAGTGCAAAGGAGGAGGAGAAAATCCGAGACGGAGTCAGTAAGACGGGCCATGCTAAAGCGGCCCTGCGAGCTGTCCCGCTTGGGCCTGTCCAGAGACCAAGCGATGTGGCCATCAGATTCGTGCCGGATGATAGGCTCGGGGAAACAAAGCCATACTGCCGAAAGCCGTCCGGCGGCCCAACGGACAGGCGGAACGAGCAGGTAGGTACTATGCACGATTTATCATATCCGGCGAGTGCCAGTTCGCTGTTTGTGCTGGTTGGCAAGCCAGCGGGCTGGGCCTCGGGATGGCGCGTCGCCCAACCCCAAGCATGCCCACCCCGGATCGCCCACAGACCAACGGGCTGGTCCGATCCTGGCCCTGGGGCAAACAACGACTCGCCGCTGGAAGGCTCGCCTCTTTGCGAATCAGACTGCAAGCGACGCTCGACAAAGCAGCAGATCAGCAAGCATGGACTCGGTACATACAGCATCAGGTGCACCAGCTTGAACTTCAAGCGGAAGATTCCTTCAAGCCGAACGCACAGGTTACCAAACACGAAAAAGATACCCTGCCGGCCGACGAGGTCCTTGGCGGAGTAGCTCGGAGAGACAGTGTTGCCAAACAGAGGATGGTGGTCTTGGGATGCAACTGGAACGGCGGCCGGATTGGTATCGAGCATGCTGGGGAAGGAAGGCGCGCGGACAGGGTCGGTGAAGCTTGAGGTTCCGGATGAGCCCGGAACGGCTGGTGGCCGTCGCTGGGCCGGTGACGATCCATCGCTGCTGCTTGGGTCGGGTTGGCTCTCTATGTCACCCGAAACACGGCTCGCTTCGGGATATTGCAGGGCAGTGTTTGAAGGCTTAGACGATGTCGAGGTGGTTGGGGAATCCAACGTATCGCTGTAGCGATAGATCGAGTTGATGCTGAGAATGTCCTTGGAGCCATCCTTGGATGCAAGTGTGGCAGAGACGACAAAGGAGACACTCTCCGCGAACGCCGGATACCTGGGACTGACAGCATAGTCATGAAGCATCAGGTTAGCGACACAAGCCCGCCGGACGAAGAACACTGACCACCAACAGACGGTAAGCTGGGTGAAAAATCGACCTGACGTTGGATTGGGATGGCTGTGGCATGCCGGGGGGATCTAGTCGATCAAGCCTGGGCTCTGTTTCGTTGTTCCGTCGGCTCGGTTTGGCTTGACTTGTAACAGTGTACAGTCCAGGCGCCATTGGTTGTCTCCGAGCCTGGCTGGCGCCATCCAATGCTTCCAGGTTGCGTACAGGAGAGCCATACCATCCCACCTCCTGTGTCGGCCATGAGCGACTCAAGGGACCAGCGGTCCAGGTGGGTGTGTGCCTACGATATCCGATGCTCCCGCAGTCCTCCGAAGCACAACCGACAACGGGTTGCTCACCGTCGCCCCGACCGACGCCCTTCTCTATCCCGCACACACCAAGGTAGCAAGCAGCTAAAAGTCCACAGAAAGCCCATAGCCCGCGGCTTACTCTGTGATGACATTGCCATTCTCGTCTCGGTAAGCCAGCTGGATGATCGGGATGGGATCTATGGAGCGGGCGGTGCTAATGCTCGTGTAGCCCGAGGATCGCACTCTGCCTGGGTGCTCGAGGATGATGAGGAAAAACTGAACATGCAGTTGCCGGAAGGATAAGACAGCGAGAAGCCATGTGAGTGAATCCGGCGTCGACTGGGGAGGACTGACACCCATGGTGATCGGCTCAGGGGCAAGAGTTAGATCCGGCGGATATACGACAACAAGACCAGCCGGCATCGCCGGCTCATTCGGCGCTGGCTCGAGGCATCCCTCTCGAAGTCTTTCAAGAACATACCCCTTCAGTGGGCTCATCGACAGGGTGCGTATTTGAAATTTCCATTGGAGAGCCAACGTCAAGTGCAGTGCGGATCGTCAAACGGGTCAAACGGCCGAGAGTGCCGGGTCAAGCAAGTCGAAGAAGAGGGGAGTCCAACACAACCCCACGGACCGGTATCAAGCTGCAAAGGTGCGATGGGCAGAGTCTTCCAGGGAACTAGCGGAGCCGAAAGATCAATCGGATCAGCAAGCGAATCGAATATCGATGAATCTGCGAGTGCCAGCCGCCGCTACACGACCAGAGCTATCCTGGGCCGGCGTCAGGGCCGCCTGGCGATGGCCGTCCAAAGCCACGAACCAGAATCCATGCATGACAAATGCACAGCGAAGGCTCGGCGAAGGCTTAACGGAGGCATAATGAGGCAGCCCAGCGACCGAAGCCGGCCAATATCCAACGCTGTTCCGGCAAGACACAAACCCCGGGCAGTGTCGCAGCACCGAGACGCAGACCGGGCGAACGAAACGGCCAAAACTCCCCAGGACCGACGATGCCAGCGCCTGGCACGAATGCTCTCTTCTTGACGATGGCCAACGACATGGCATTATAGCGGCCCAACATACCTTGGAAGTATGAAGCGCAAGGCTCAAGCTTTACGATGGAACGAGATGCTGGCGCCGACAAACTGTCAAATCGAATTGGATCGAGGTCAGGCAGGGATCCTCTGGGTCGATGGACGGCGCGATACGCAAGCTGCGGGGATAGGAAAGGTAGCGAGGACGACGATGGCGGGCGATAGCGAAAGGGAGCAGCAGGCGAGGGGCAAACTCGGTGAGTGATATAGGCCTTCCCCCAGGACGGGATATCCAGCGACCACTATTGCTCCTGTCGCGGGATGAAAGGCGTGGGCAAAAAAGGCGACAGCAATCAGCCGCTGAACAAGCCCTGGCTGTGTTGTCGTTGTGACCACAGTCTTCTGTGATCAGACAGACAAGCACAGACAGTGCTCGCTGGCGCGGTCGGCGAGTGTGGTCGATTGGTGCAGCCGATCGATGCGGTCAGTGGGCTTTGACGAATGAAGGTTGGACTCGGGGCAAGGGCAGATGGCCAGGTATCATATGTGCCATAAGTTCGCGAAGACACCGGATACCTGCGGTATCTGTATTCAATACAGACGATACAAGGGACGACAAACCATTCGGTTGGTCGAACAGCCCGCAAGCCCGACTCGGCAGCGGGTCAGGGGTGGGAGTGACCTTTGTTATGGCGCTTGTGGGAATACTATCCTGAGGTTCTGAGCAGCGCGCGCTGTGCATCCGCTGTTCGGGTATAGATGGAGAGCTCTTTCTGGTCTGCTGTGAAGGTTTTGGACAGCTGGGCAGACACAGGGCGCCAAACTCTGCAGAGAGTCAGCCGCGAGATACCGTCCGCCCTGGGCACAGATACCCCGGTATGCGGCAGTGCACATCGCGAATGGTCGCGGATGAATCCGGTATCAGCTCTCGGCCGAACATGGCGCGGAGAAGGCTGTCCCGGGTTGGGTATCCGTGATCGGTATCGAGGCGAGGCAGATACCTCCTGGGCAGACGGTCTGCGAAGAACAGGGTATCCAGCCAGAGGCACAGAAACCTCCCACAACTCGGCGGAGGGAAACAGACTATTGTTGGCTGCAGCGGGCTCGATTGGCAACGGCCCTCTGACTGACGGATGATTGCTTTGTTCTCCTTCTCTGTTCTCCTTCTCTGTTCTGTGATTGTGGGCTGTGCTGTCGAAGCTCAGTCGACGCAGTCACATATGCAGCACACACACAACACCGACGCGGCGCAGCGCAGCGCGATGCCTTTGCTCCGCCGCGAGCCTGACTCCTCGGCTCTCGCATCCCTGTCATCGCGACGTCGCGGCGGAGACGACTCGCATTCCGAGCCGGCGACAGGATCAGCGCTGCGGGCTGGTTCGCTTGCGCACGTTTGCGCACGTTTGCGTTTGACTTCGTTTGTTTGGCAGCACCCGCCCACTGTTTAGTCCCTGGCCGGGTTCGATTGCCAGACCAACTCTGTCGATGAGCCGAGCCCCTTGCAAACGGCAATTGTCTTTTTTTCGGACCTGGCGGTGCCAATCAGCGGGCTTGCCGCACCAATTGGAGCGCTGGACACTCGATGCCTTGTCCTGGGGCTGGTGCGCTCCAGTCTTGCGCGTGGCGCATTTCGGATCTGCCACGTGCACTGGTGCACGTGTCTGGGATTGCGTGTGTGTGTGTTCGCCAGGGCTTGGCACCCCAGCCCTAGGGCTCGTGCCTAACCCTGTTACGTAAGCGCTCTTGTCGTTTTTTTCGTCGTCGCCATGCTTGTCGTCCTTGCACACTGTTCCGAGCCAAGCACAGGCGATCTGCGGCTGCAATTCGCTCGTCCATCAACCACACCTGTCCTCGGGCCGATCCATCCAGCCCAGCCCAGCCCAGCCTAGTCCGTCGATCCACCGCCACCCTCCGACACACCGCAGACATGCCTCTCTACGAACTCGTGTGCATCTCGCGGGTCAGTTCCGTGTCCTTGCTCCCGGCGCCTCGCTGCCCTCTTGCTCAACTCTGATTCTGACGATCGCTCTTCATTGCCTTTTCTTTCGATCGGTGGCCCGCCTCAGGCCTACACGGCGCAGGCCACCATGCGGCTAGCGGCCAAGCATGTCCTCGACAATGGCGGCGTCGTCCGGACCTTCCAGAACCTCGGATACCAAACCCTACCCTATCGGATCAAGAGGCATGGCAACGTCGAAGTTCACGGACAGTACGCATATTTTCTGCTCCCCGTCATGCATTCTGGCTTGCGTGTTCAGTGAAGCGGACTGCGTGCCGGCGCGACTGCCCTGGCTCTGCAAATCAACGGATGCATAGATGGACGCGATGACCCTGGAATGTTCGGTTTGGATTCTGGGCGATGGTCCAAGATTCTCAGGCTGAGCAGCATCGGATGTGTGGCATGAGTGATGGCGTGATTGAAGGTGTCCTCGCTATCGGTTGCTCTGGATGGTTCCTCTGGATTGGCTCCAAACCGATGACCCGCATCCAGCCCATTCTCTCCACACTCGACTCACCGGACCGCTCTATCACAACCACGACCGCGCGCAGATACTGGGCGATGCAGTTTTACTCGGCGCCAAAGCTGTTGCCGGAACTGCAGGAGAAGCTGAATTACGAAGAAAATCTAATCCGCCACACCACCCTCAAGATTGGAGACTCTATGAAGGATGTCATCTCCAAGACCAGCAAGTACTAGAGGCAACGAGACTTCTTGCGAAGCCGGAGCGAGCCGGGTCAGGCTTACGGCCATCCTGCAACCCTCCCCACCATCCGTGAGACCCGCGACCGAAGCATCCCGAAACGACTGCTGCTTCGTGCCCGATCCACCCGGAGGAGATCGGGAGACATCGGACTTTGATGGCGATTACTCGACAATAGCCCTCGGACAGTGCCAGGATGACCTTTGGCTGAAACAGCGGGCTTGCACACCGAGACCGTTTGCATCTCCACCATGTACCCAGTTCAAAACGCAGTATGCCGATAATTGCACATTGATCAGGACTCTCGTCACCCGTGCGTGTGGGATGGAGGCCAAAGTTAATCGAGTGGATATGTGTGCGCTGACGGGTCGCGAAGAGTGCTCGTGTTGCTCGTTTGCTCGTTTGCTCGTTTGATGAGGGAACATGCACGGCTTGAGTGCCATGTCGGCGATGCCTCAGCGATGCCTCAGCGATGCCTCAGTCCGGGATGAACCGCGGCCCTCCCTCAGTACCCAGACTCTAGAGCCACGATCCGAAATCGGGCGATCGCGGCTACCGATCGGATCAATGGCATATGAATGGGCCAGATCCACAAGCCCGATCGCGAGCTCAGTAGGTCAAGTTTGCAGCCTATGTGAAAAATATTGGAAACAGACGAAACAAAAGTGGAGCCGTTAGTAATCCCACGTACAACTACTCGGTCCACATGAACAGCATGAAGCAGAAGCGAGCACATCGATGCCATGGAGCGTCGAGATCGCACGGTGCCGGCTCAAAGTCACAGTAGCAGCCAAAGAGTCGGACTCGAGGCGCTGGTGTCTCGGGCGAATGGGCGATACCCACCTTTTCGTACAGCGACTCGACAGCCTGGCTCATATGCTTCAAGGTATCGAGTGCAAGTTCGTATGTTTTCTGGATGGCATGGCATGGCATGGCGGCAAGCACTCGTCAGTCAAGCCACCAGGATTTGGGGTTGGGCCAATCCTATCTCACCACCCAACAGCGTACATCACTCCACTTACATCAGAAATGGGCTCGTCAAAGACGATCAAGCATCCTGCGCCCTGGTCCAGTATACCGTGGAACACCTTGTCCAGGATCATCTGCGAGAGCCTGTAGATTGGCACAGGGAGACGGAGGCGCATGTTCAGCCTTAAGGAACGCTCGCTGCATCGAAGTAGTCGCGACGCTGCAATGCGATGGCGGAAGAGGGCTGGAACCCGAGTGCTTACTTGCTCTCCACAGTTGTCACAGGCAGCTTCACCAGCGCTGCGACGTGGGCAATCTCGACCTTGGAGAACGGCTCGATGATTCGCAGCAGGTTCTGCTCCAGCAGCGTATCGTACAGGTCCGCCAGATGAGAGCGGATGATGGGATCGTTGCCGAGCTCTGCGGAAGAAGGCGGCATTGTAACATGAGCATCACTGGAAGTTTGAACAGCAACTGCGAAGATATCGCTGAGCAAATCCAGATCGCTTCCGTGGCACCCCCTGCAGCGGCTGGATCAACTCAAGGAGACCCACCGTCCTTGTACTTTGATAGCGCTTGCTCAAACTCCAACAGGGAGCGGTTCTGGTGCGCATTGGCAACAGCACGCATGGCCTCGATTTCAGGGCCAGCGTATCGGAGGGCCAGCTTGCCGTTGATGATGGAATGAACGTCGTCCGTCTGTGATGGTCGGATTTATCAAAGGAAGTCGTAGTATTGGAGGAAGGTCAATTAGGACTGGCATCGACAGAATCAAATAGCCTGGATTTGGCGCGATATGGCGGACTTTGTCTCCGGAGCTCATTCGTTCGTATTTGAAGGGACCAAAGAATCCGAATTATGTAATGACACCCGGTTGAAAGATCTGGAAGACGTGCAGCGCGGCGACTTGAGCGCCATGGACTTACCAGGTTAAGCATGATCTTGCAGAGGAGCATGTACTTGAGTCCCAGAAGGGCTCGGCGGTCATCTTGCGACGAGAATCCTTCGAGAGCCTCGTAAAAGTACGAGTAACTGCGCCAATAAGAGCACAAGCCAAATGAGTTCAAGTTGGCTTGGGAACAGTGGCACTCTGTCGCTGGAACGTATCTAGTCGGTGCTGCGGATGCTTACGCAGTCTTGTAATCCTTCTCTTCGGCATGCAGGATGCCCGACTGCATATCCAGCTGGGCTTGCATCAGAGGAGGGCAGTACACAGCATTGGCGGACGTACGGGCCGAGGTGAGAGCAGCCTGGAGGACAGAAGGGCAGATGAATTCATGTGCTCAATAACTCCTGACCTAGTGGGCGCCACGGCAAATCCACTGCCACGTCCACGGCACTGGCAACAACGCAACTTACCCTCGACTTTGCCTGGTTGCGGAGACAGTGATACACTCGACTCTCCAGAAGCTGAACCTCCATCAAGACGGCCTTGTCGTCCAGTCGTTTCAGTTCCTTCAAGAGCGTGCCGATCAGGGTCAAGGCATCCGAGTACATCTTGTTATCCAAGAACCTACATCACCGGACACATTCCACGGGAGCCTGATGAGTTGACCAATAAAACACGACACTCGACGCAAGGCCGCGTGCTATTCGGAGCGATGTCCTGGTGACTCGGTTCAATATCCTGCCGATCCGGAGAAGCCCCAGGGCGATTCGATGACATCCCAGGGCATCAACGGGCGACCGAGAATCGATCCAGGAACACCCGAGCCAACGCCACAGCTTAGCCAAGTCCGCTATTCGGATGAAGTCGCTGTCTGGCCATAAGCATCGCCAACTGACTCCATGGGCAATCCATGACCCAGCAACAGCGACAAGGTCACCGCCAACGGATTCGGACGTACAGGGCAATCATCTTGGTCTCGAGCTGCTGCTTCAGAAAGATCCGCTTCTCAGTCGTGGCCCACTCGATCGACTCTCGGCAGACTTGCACCTGCAGTGGCAGCGAGTCCGGGATCTCGGAGAAGTTTTCCAGCAAGGTTCGAACTGAACAAAGACGACTGTGTCAATAGGACCCTTGAGAGCAGGTATGGCAGGAACTGAGGAAGAAGTGCTGTCAGAAAGTGAGTAAAGAACACGAGGTTGCATACTGATTTTCGAAGTCTTGGCCTTGGGAATCGTGGCGAGGAAGGTCCGAGACGATCTGATGAGGTTGGCAAGGTCCTCAGGCTTTCTGCTCGTGAGCGATTTGAACCGGGGGCATAACGGCGTTGATGTTGGCAAAAGACACACATCGGGGACATGCGAATGAGTACGAGCAATGACCAAGCCCTCACGTCCACCACGAGGCAATCCGTACGATATAGTGAGAGCGTCCTTACTTTTCGGTGCCGTAGAGAGAGCCAAGCTGGGTGATGGCGGTTTCCTTGACCTTGAGATCTTCCTCTGTGCTCGACTCTGAAGCCGCGATTTACACGGCGGCAGTGGCAATAATAGCGATCGAATTAACGGCGGTTGCCCAGTCGCGCATCCGACGATCCAGGTCGGGGTAGAATAAGGACATTCCTGGACGCTGATCTGGTGTCGCTTCCCCCCCCTGACACTTCAGCAAGCCGATCGGGGGTGTGGTGCCAGCAATCGTGTGCCAACGGATGGAGTGAGCAGGCCATGGAGACGGAAGCCGGGTACCTCGAGATTGGGCCGTAGTGAGCAGAGTCTGGAAGAGAGCAATGGCTTGCTGTCGCTGGCTGGACTTGGCGAGCTCCTCTGCGCGAGCGAGATCGGGAAGCAGAGACATGGCGGAGAGTGCGGCGAGGGAGTGGAGCGGTTCTGGAGCTGCGGACGATGATCCAGCCAGTCGATTCGAGCAAATAGGTCAGAGGAGCTGCAGGTCGGAGCAGGTCGGAGCAGGTCGGAGCAGAGATGCAGCTCGGATGTGTCCAGAGGCTGGTCGGGCGAGCGAGCGGGCTTACTTGGTCGGGGATGATGGCGCACAAGGGCAGACAGGCCGGCAGAAACAGGGTCGCAGCAACGAGGCAGAAAAGCGAGGCCGATTTGGACCAGGGCCTGTGTGTGACGGCAAGAGAAAAGCCAGGGTAGGCAAGGCGAAAGCGCAAGGCGGAAGCGCAAGGCGAAAGGGTCGGTGGCGGATCGATCCGCACTCGAGCCGGCGCGGATCATGTGTCACCGACTTTCGTGCCGACCCGAACTTGAGCAGCAGATCTGCCTCTGGTCCACCGCTCGGCAACCACGCCATACGCCCAAGCCCCTCAGAACACAGCCATGAGCCAGAGCAAGCCCTCGAAAGCCTCGGTCCAGGTGTGCTTCCCGTCAGCAAGAGCCGCCAATCCATCGTCCGGGTCAGAATGGCTCCGGCGCTGGTTCTCGCTGCGGAATTTGCGGCAGTGGAGCAAGTGATTTACTCTGGCTTCTGCAGGAGCAAATCAAGAAATACGATGGCTTCATCAACGACCGGCTGCGAGTGGACCTGCAAGACACTCTCGATCAGCGTGATGCGCTCTATGACAAGATCTCGGAATAGTATGCATTCTGCTGTGAGCTTTTGCCAGACAACCCACGGGACTCGGTTCGGGATGATCCCGGCATGTGGAGCCGCTGCAGACACAGCGAGACTCGATGGTGGCCCGATTTGAATGGAAGAGTAACCCTGTCCCCGGCCGGGTGGTGTCGATTCGTCGATAGCCTGAAGCTCAAGGTTCAGATCGAGACGATCAAAGCACAGGGCGCACAGCAGCTTAAAACCCAAGTCGATATCGGATGCGACTTTTACGTCCAAGCCAAAGTGTATGTTGAGCGCATTATGGCGGTTTTGGTCCGGCTGGCAATGGTCCTTGCCCCCGCCTGGTCTCTGACAGACCCGTGTTGCGGCTGCTGCTATTGCCGATCGATTGCTGATGCACCTTACGTGACGGTCCAGTCCAGATGCCTCGCGGATCTTTGTCGATATTGGGTACGGCTTCTATCCCGAATTGACGCTGGATGAGGCCATCGCATTTATCGACCGGTACGAGAAGTTCATGCTCAGGTAAGCTTGTGCGTTCACCCTGACCTGCTTTTATGATCGGCTGAAGGTAGCCTGCAGGGTGTGTGTGAGCCCAAGGCGACAGAGCGTTGGCTGCACCGCCAGACTTATGATGTTCTCATGCCCAACCAGACGGGCCGACAAGCTCACCGAACAGGCCGCCCAAATCAAGGCACACATCAAGCTGGTGCTCGAAGCCATTCAAGAGGTACCAATGTGGCTATCGTGCTTGTGTCTGAGAGAGCTACTGCGGCAAATCCGGCAATGGCAGCTCTCTGGATCTAGATCTGGATCTGGATCTTGACGGTTGACTGAATCGGGATCCAGATCGCTGGCCGGCATGACACTGCTCTAACTCGAATGGTCTGGTCTTGCTCACAACAAAAGGTTGCCGCCGCTGCCGGAGAGCTATCGTACAAACCCGACTTTTTTGAGCCGTAGCCGATTCGGCGCCGTTGATTGCTCATCCTCTTCCCTTTGCGTCGCCGGCACCGGTCCGGCTCAAGGCTATTCCTCAAGCATTTTGTCAAACACATCCACAATACATTGCCACTCTTGCACCGAAACCGGCAAAATCATCAAATACGTGATTGTTGGAGTGGCCCCCAACAGCAACGACGGCGGCACACGGAATGGGGAGCAGACGAGAGCGAGTCTGGTCAAAGGGGCGAGTCTGGTCAAAAGGGCTCTGTATTCATTTCTGGGGAAACCAAGACAGCGAGCCAGAGGGTCAAAGGAGGAGAAGGAGTGGAAGGACAGCCCGGCCGAGACCCGGGGTTATCCAGGCCTCCTCCCCCCCACAGAGGGTCGGGGCAATCAAAACAGGCAAAAGAAAGTACAAGAATGGTTCATATGTATATGGCAATAGGATTATCGACCATGCTCCAAATATCGTGAGCGATGCGCAATGGTAGGACGGACGGGTGGACCACCCACAGGCGTTCTCTTCGTGCAGCGTTGGAGACACATTTCTTCTTTTCACGGGGTCCGCAAGGCTTAAATATCATCAATATCGAACTCGACAACATCCTCTGCGGGTTCCAAAGGCAATCGCCATGGCACATGAGTGCGCGGCAGAGATACGATGGCGTTAGTGGCGCTGTGCGAGTCCGGAGACAGCCGCAGGACAGAGAGGCTCGCGCTGCCGATGCCGATGGCGGCGAACATGCGCTGGCAAGTGCAAATATTACCTTCATCCGATTCGCCGGCGGCGAGCTCGGTCTCGTTGATTCTCAGGTTGTCGGGCAGCTCGCCGTACGACTTGAGCAGACGGGCCTCGTCGGGAGTGTATTTCAGGATAACGTCGGCCTTGGTGTCCTGGTAGTCTCGCAAACCCAGCAGAATAACGTCTCCGACCGTGATCCTGGCATTGGGGAGACGGGTCAGCGAAATCGAACACACTGACTCTGCTTGCGCGATTCGTCCCGCAGCCGCAGGGAAGGTGTCGCAGGGAAGGTGTCGCAGGGAGGGTGTTGCTGGGAGGGTGTTGCTGGGAGGGTGTTGCTGGGAAGGTGTCGCAGGGACATCTGCCTCAACCACATTTTCGCAAAAGTACTTACCAGACCTTCTTTCTGAAGGCGCCACGAATATGAGCCATGCGCTTGCTGCCGTCGCAGCATGTGGTCTCGATCCAGCCGTTGCCGAGCATCTTGGTGACAGAGGCATATTCTTGACCCTCCTCCTTGAAAACGAGCTCGCGCTTCTCCGACTCGTTCTCGTTTCTTCCCCTGCAGAGGCACACGCAACGATAAGAAACGGTTGAGGATGGATTTCGGAAGCCACACGCTCATGCTCGAGAGGCGCTCTTCATCTCTGCGGACGACACCGGGGAGGACCCATCACCCGAGGCGGCGTCAAAGAGGGGCCCCCCACAAGCCGAAAGCCCGATAAAAGCAAGGTGCCACTGAAAGGTACATGGTCAAGAGAAGCAAAGCACTGAAGACAGGTGCTATAGACAGCCAGCAACCGGCTTGCTGAATCGATGAAGCAGGAGGGAGATTCGATCAAGAGGGAGGGCGGGGATAGGAAGACCCCACGAATATTGATGGCCGGGAGACGGCCGATTCTGTTCGTCAAAGGCAAAGGAATCGGGGGCAAGCGAGCAGACGATGGAAAGGCAGGTGGGAGGGGAGTAGAGAGAACACAGCCTGGGCAATCGGCTGGGGAAGCCTGGCTCCTCTCGTGGTCCGGTCCTCGTCCGAAGCTCGATGAATGCACAGCTGGGAGAAGCCAGAGATCGCAGCTGCGAGTCCGAAGCCGTCCCACAGTTGACACGGATGCAGCGGCAGCCAGGAACGACGGGTTACTTCTTTCGGTTCTTTCCTCCCTTTCCCTTGTTCTTGGGCATGATGGCTTGCGTTGATCGGGCTGTTGAGCAGACGCAGAAAGCAGATGCGGGTCGACGGGCCAGCAGCACGTCCTCGGGCTTTATACTGGCCGTGTGTGCCTGGGACAGCACCGAAAAAAAAAAAAGGGCGCCGCAACACAGAAGAAGAAAAACGCGCCGATTCGAACCGGCGGCTGGACGAAGCCGGGACGGCTGGGGCGCGGGAGGCGAAGTTCGTGTCACCGACCGGCAGCCAATCGCGCGGCGAGTGTGAATGGGTCTGCGAACACTTGGCGAACAGTGAGAACACATCCGCAGCGCCGCCATGTCCGCTCGACTGGCACACAGATCGCGGAGACTGCCATGCACTCTGCGATCGAGCATCGGATACCCGACATCGCAGACATGACCGCTCGCTGGTTCATCCCACGCATGCACATCGCTCGCTGTGGAAAGGGATCAGGGCACATGTGAAACGACGCAGATGACAATGTGTGATATTTATTGTGGGCGAATAAACTATACACAGAGGCGTTTAGTCGAAGAGACCTGTTGTGTGAGGAGGGAATTGATCGGTCAGTACACTTGCCTGGAGCGTCGGCGCACACATCGTGTCCAGAATCAGGCACTTACCGAAGCCCATGTCGTCATCCTCCTCCTCTTCGGGCTCAGGAGCCTTCTCGGCAGCCTTGGCGGGAGCAGCACCACCAGCGGGGGCAGCGGCAGCAGCGGGGGCGGCGCCAGAAGAGGCAGCAACGGCACCACCGGCGGGGACGGAGGCCAGCTTGGCAGAGCCCTCAGCGATGAGCTGCGATGCAACAGATTTCCCAACAAAACGGCATCAGTAACGACAGCGGGAGGTTCCAGATCTACTGTTCCACTCGATCCTGCCAATGCGATCGGCAAATCACATCCTCCGGGATGATCCTCGACAAGCTCTGCCACCTCCCGGATTCACATTCACGGACGGCCGAGTTCATCATCCCGGCCAGTCTTGCCGATTCTGCCATGAGTTGCATCGCGATGCTAACCTCGTTGATGTCCTTGCCGTTGAGCTCAGCAACCAGAGCCTCGACGCGCTCGGTCTCGACCTCAATACCAACGGATCCGAGGATGTTGGTGATGTCCTCAACGGAGGGAGTGGCGTTTCCACCGAGAGTGGCGAGGAGGTAAGCAGAAAGGTACTTCATTTTTCTGGTTGTCGAAAGGCGTTGTCCAAGAAGGAATGTGTATCAAAGTCACAGGGTCAGCACATGTCCATCGGCTGGGTTCAGCGGCAGGTGAATGGATGGGCGGACGGATGGATAGATGGATGGATCGATAGATGGATGGGTGGATGGATGGATGGATGGATGGATGGATCGATGCTGATACTCACAGTTCTTGAAACCTGAGCGAAGAGAGAGAGATTCACAAATGCCAGAGCCCACAGAGAGTTAAATACCCGTGTAACACCAACTGGGCTGCACACACACACCGCGCTGCTGGCTCGGCCGTCTGCGCCGATCGGGCGGATCGAGCGCCTGCTCCAGGCAGGATCGTGGCGGCCCGCCGTGCAGCACTCTCGGGGTTTGGACTGACCTTCTTTAACGATTAGACCGCGGAATCAAGCAGACTAAGGGGGAGGAGGAGGAGGAAAGAGAGAGCAGCCGCCTCTGGGGCTGATATGGACCGCGGATTGGGTGTCGCGGCGTCTGGTCATGTGGAAATCACCGGCTCTGCGCCACGGCCAGTCCAACGAACCGCATCCGCAACGAACAGACCATGGGCTGCGGTGCCGCCACGCCAAGCGGGCAGCGACCACAGCCGTGCTGGACCCCGAGCACAGCGACGCCGATCCGATGCAGGGTGGAATCGATTTGTTTCACATCCCCAATGTGCCCGAGATATCCAATGCACCCGATATATCCAGCATACGAGCTATGCTAATGCACCAGAATGTACATATGCACTCGGTGCCGCGGCATTGCGATTCTTCGGCCTGGTCTCGAAGGCACAAGGCCCACTGCCATCCCCAGCTCGACCAGTGGCACCTCCCCTCGGTGAACGGGCTCAGCAATCGCGAGTCTGTTTTCAGTGACTGGAATGAGGTGAACGATATCAGGAAATGCACAGATGCCCGTCTCTGCGACGCCGATGCCGATGCCGATGCGGTCTGCAGCATATTCATCGCCGAGACTGACTGCGTTCGCCAGATCTGCCTGCATTTGCCAGAACGGCCATGCAATGCTTTTTCAGTGCTATGCCCTCTGGACGAGAGCGAGTACACCGACACCACGTTTGAGGGAATGTCGTCGCTGCAGCATGTTCAGATGTCCACACCCGCCGTGGTTGTTCCCCGTCGTCACGCCCGCTGCCCCGCTGAGAAAGCGCAATTGCTGCTGGCCCATGGCTGCCCAACGACCTTTGTCGCTCGCCCCGACTTGCTTTTCGGGTTCATCCACCGCTTCCTGCGCTTCTCGGCAACCGTCCTGTGCGGCTGCTTCCTCACACCGCTCTGTGATCGGCCGTGTTCGCTTGCTGTGACCCGTCCTGTGTCGTCGCTGTTATTTGCTGGCCCAGCCCGCTCGGAACTTGACCCCTCAGCCGTCTCGTCCGGCTCATCGCCAGGAATCGCCCCGTATCTCTCGCATCCCACCCCCACCCGCTCTGCTGCCGATGGAAAACATCCTCAAGAACCTCGTGAGCCAGCCGCAATCGCCCGAGCAGATGTGCGTCACCCTCAAGCTGGTCGTCAAGGCCCTCGAGGAAGAGCGCAAAATCCAGGAAGAGCTCCGGAGAACCAAGGAGATTGAGCTCGAGATTCTTCGCTTCAGGGAGCATCCCAACCCCCCAGCCTCTCGGCGGCTCAGCACCTCGCCAGCCGTCGGGCCACCGGATTCTTCGGGTTCCTTCGATCTTGCCTACCGAGCGCCGTCGGTGTCGGTGCCTCGGCCGCCCGACTGCCTGGATGCCACGCAACCCAATCCCCACCACCAGCATTCCCCCGGACCGGCCAATGCATTTCATCAGACCCACAGGCACACGGCCCAGCTCGACCAGCGAACGCATTTTCCGCCTCCACCCAACATGCCTCCCTCGGCTGCCCCGCAAGGCATCCCCGAGAATGGCCCCTCCATTGCGCCGTCGCTCACGGCTGTCTCTGTTGATCCTGGTCGCGACCACCGTCCGTCCGGATACTTTGTCGACTCGCAGTGGGTCACCTTGATTGAACCGCCCTCCGAGATGTTTCCGTCGACGCTCTACCCGATGGTTCTCAGCAACCCAGGCGCCAGCGCTCTCCCAGGCACGGCCGACTCCGTCCCGTCCCCATTCAACTTGGATCTGACTGCCACAACGATGCCCGAGATCGTCAACCAGTCGTACCTGTTTTCAAACCAATTCTCAACCCCGATCTTTCCCCCCTCGTTCGATCACACCTACAGCAACAGCCCGGTGTCTTCGCCTATCGACCCGTATGTCGATTCGGCCCTTGGTGGTTCAAAGTCGCATGCTGTCCGCCCACATTTGGCCCCTGGCGCCTCTGGTCCCCATCATACCAGCTTCCAACACCTCGAGTCTCATTCCGCCGCTAGCGATGCTTCATCGCTTGCCATCCTCGAAGGCAACAGCATCCGGGCGGTAGACAGACCGGTTTCGACGCTCGTGCGTCCGCCCACGCTCTTTTCTGCACACCCTGCGGCTGCATCGTCAACTTTATCAGCGCCGACGCTGCTGAATCAACCCTCTGCATCCAGGCCGCCGCTGCCGCTCTCCAAGGACCGCGAGTCGGCCATCTCCCGGAAGGCTGCGCCTGAAGAAGACTGCATTTGCGAGCGCTGCCGCGAAAAGATCGCCACCAGGATCATCCACATGGACTGGCGCTCACCCGAGGGCGGATCAGGCCACTATATAGAGCTGGTTTGCAACAGATGCGAGGACCCACGGGACCTGGCCGCACCCGGCGTCGTCGCCCTCACCAACAAGAAAAAGCGAGCTCTCGACGATAATTTTGAATGCAACATCTGCAAGCGGCGCCTCGGTCGCGGTGGTATCCGGAGCGTCGAGGGCTCCAAACCGATCGAGAACCGGGAGGGCCGACAGTACGATTCGCCAGATATGAAGATTGAGATCGTATGCAACTCGTGCAAGGAAAGATATCGCTTCTGCACCGAGGTTTGTAGAGTGGGCTGTCGGCAATGTCGCCATCGCACGCTTGGACCCTTGGAATGGAATCGGATGGGGTGAAATGGGATGGAGTGGAATGGGGGTGGAATCGGATGGGATGTAGCTACTAGATACTGGCGCATGCGATTCGCAGCGCCTTCTAGCCCACTTTGATCTGCATTGCTCGACATGCCGTCCGCGCTGCAACGTGGCGCTGATGCTGACGCTTGTGATTCCGTCAACTCTCGTAACACCTCGATCGTGCCAATAGTGTGGTGGAGGTGGCAAGTTCCGGACAGGAAAGTATCGCCCCGTCGATCTCTTTCCAGCTGGGCGGCGGACCTGTCGCCTCACCCATGTGCGTCTCAGCGGCGCCTCGGTGACCATTGTGGTCTACAAAGCCCCCCAAGAACTCACCAACAATCTTCTCGAGGACACCCACGGAGTCCACATCGACGGATTCTACGGACTCTATGCTGCTCCCGAAATCATGGAGAGCTCTACTATGCTCCAGAACTTTGCGAGCATCCACCACGAAGCCGAGGGCCTTTGGGACCGCGCCGAGGCTCTTCTCCGAAAAGAGTCTGAACAACAAGGCTGCAGGCGCTATCTGTCTGTGGCATACATGTCAAATCACCACGGCAAAGTTCGGGGCGCTACCAAGAAAAAGATCTCGGCGAAGGAGACGGGCGCTGGACCGTCCTACACCGGCACCAGCCCGAGCGATCCAGCAGCGCCGTCAGCGTCGTCACCTGCGCCGCCAAGCCTGCCTGCCACCGACCGGATCCAAGTCGCCTACTCGATCGCACAATGGGACAAATCCAAGGGCGCCCTCTTCTATGCCAACGGCTATGTCCGCACCACCACAATCTCGACCCTTAATATCCTCCGCGAGCTCGATGAGCGGATCCTGGATCGAGCCCAGGCCGAGGCTGCGCAGCCCTGCGACGGAGTCACCTATCCGCCCATCACTATCCTGTGGCTTCTGGTCCGAAACGAGCATGTCCGGCTCCAAGCCTATTTTGAGCGGATGGGATTCCGTCTCCTGGCCGATTTTATGAAGTCCTTCCCGGATACAGATCAATCCATCTTTGAGCGCGAAGTACATGTGCCGCGGGAGCTGTTTCTGACCATGGTCACGACTGTGAGCGAGTTCAAGGCATCGGGTGTGCAAGATCGTCTGAAGGGATCGTGGCGCTGAGGCACCGGCTGCGGCTGCGTCTGCCTCGTCGAGGCCGTCTGCTCTTGTTCTTTTGCATTTCGATCTCGGTCAGGGCTGTCCCTCAAGCTTTCGAGGTTGTCGGCAACATTCGCGGACCACGTTTCTGCGTCTGGGGACTCACCTGTCAACCTGCTATCCACAGTGCTACACCGCAGAGGACTGCTGACTGCGATGCTATGCCACCGTTGTTTGTATTCATTCACAATCCTAGCTCTTTCAGGATCGAAACAATCCCTTCCAGGCTTCTAGATACAACGCGGCCGCGGTTCACCACACCGATGCGATAATTCGGCCGATCTGCGGTGGTGTCCTCGCCGACGATCCCGCACTCCATCCGACTGATCCCTGCTTCACTGCATACGAGCTCGCAGCTCTTCTCCTTCCCAATTTCCAATCCCTTGATGTCGCTCCATCCGGACAGACTGCCAACGCTTCTTCTTGTCTCCCACGCTCTCTTCCGCCATACATCCTATACCGTAATCTCCTTCCATATCCCACGCACCATCCCGTCTGCCACCGCCAATGTTCCAAGCCGCCTCTCTGATCTCGGTCTCGGCACTCTTACTCCCACTCTCCCCCTTTCCTTTCCCTCCTCCATTCCCTCCTCCATTCCCTCCTCCATTCCCTTGCCCGAATTCATGTATTTTCTGTACTCCGCCTGAACTGAGCTCTCAAACGTTGTGTCTCGCTATCTTACCCTCAAAGCGGGGCACTGCTCATCACTGCTTATCCATGTAAAGAAACCCTGTCCAATAAAAGTATGCTCGCACCAAACCGAGACACCGGGAAGCGATATTCATCCCATCGAACTGGACTCGGCATGGTATCAAGATACCGCAGATCCGCGCGTGTATTCAAGAGCCCGAGCGCGCATATTCCAGAATCCAAGCTCATAGGCAGCGACCGTCAATGTCCAACGAGATCACATATCTCGCTCTCTGGGGAGACTGAGGCATGTCCGGATGCCCGTTCCCCATTCATCCTTCAGGTTGTCTCCCCAATAACGAAGCACCCACGAAGCGTCCGAAATGCGAGACAGCCGGGCATCAAGGGAGCGCCACTCGATTGTCGGGAGCCAGGGCTCCTCACTCGTTCATCTTCATGATACGGCCACGGTAAGTCATGCAGGTTCGTGGGCAGAGACTCGAGCGAGCCTGTGGTGGGGGCTCCAGGGTTGTCCAATTCCGGGCTATCCGATCCCGGGCTGTCGAATGCCAGGCTGCTCTTTCCCCATGTTGCTGGCTTGGTATGGCCGTATAAGTAGCAGCAGGGTTGCTTGGGTCGCACTGGATGTTTGCTTGTGTGGCATTCGTGGCGGAATCATCGCAAAGGTGCCCGAGGCAAAGCTGCGTTTATCGAAGGATGCTTCTTATGACCATGGCTGGCTCGTGAACCGATGCTCTGGGAGCGCCAGCGGCTCGCAATCGTTGACGCCTCGCCTCGGAAGCGGCTCGTCCGGCTATGACCAGAAGTAGTAGATCGGTGCCTGGCGGAGTGAGCAAGGTACGATGCGACGTTACTTTACAACCACAAGCTGAGACACCAAGTTTGCACAGATGCCCTCCCAGTCTAAGCATGGCGATTGTGAAAGCGTTGCCGCATAGGCGGCACCAACTCAATACGTGAATCATATGCGACAATCGAGGGCTTGAATAGCCTTTGTCGACCAAAGGCCCTGCAATTGCACCAACGAGCAGTATCCATAGGATGAGGCCGGTTCTCACCTGCTCGATATCGAGCCATGTCGGATCGTGGCTCGCAACGTCGTATTTCCAGGCTGGCCCGCCAAGAAGAATCCAGTTTTGAATGACCGACTCGTTGCCATAGCTGAGCCAGTACCACAGGATTCCGGCCCAACCTTTTTCCGACGAGCTCAGCTCTGTATCTGCTTCGGAGTTGGTGAGACCTTGGCTTGGTCGATCTCGTTGGTTCGGCTCCATGACCGAGGTACTCTCCTTGCTGATACGCCCCGAGTTGCGAATGCTCCTCGGCGATTGGTCGTCTATGAGCGCGGGCCACTGGAGATCCAGCCGCTCTGGATGTTCGCAGCGATCTAAAGTGGCTTTTTGGTCCAGCTGCATACTCGCTCGGCGCACGCTGTGATTTCGAGGTGGGCCCTGGCTTGACTCTAGCTTTGGCAGCGAGGGTTCAAATGGACTGCCGCGGGCCGACGCTGCAGACCTGGAATCGTACTCGGAGTTCATACGACTCGATGCAGGCGAGGATCCGATGGAGCCCTCTCGATGATGAACAGACTGCAGCTCTTCGTGCAGGGTTACACTATTGGGCCGCCAGAGCGTATACTGCTGAATGATGTGGTCGACATCGGTGTGCTGGGCGTGGGATGAGACCAGAAGCGAGGAATCGTGTGCTTGGCCCGGAGAAGCAGTGATGGGAGCCTTGGTAGAGCCCGAGGAGAGATGATCGAGCTTCAGGCTCCTCAGCACCTCCACTTCGTTCACCAAACACATGTTCGACAGTCGCAGCTCGTTGATCAGCTGCGTCTTGAGTCCCAGCTCCTGATCTTTGTCCGCCAGCTTGTGTGTCGCCTCCAAGACGAGACCTTCGAGTTGGGCGAGTCGTTTGCGGACATCGGCGTCCTGGGTCGACGAAAGGCTACTGAGGTGCCCGTGAAACTCGATGTCATTGCTGACACTGATCGCTGGGCCATCGAAACAGGCGTTGCCGTTGCTCGCGGAGCACTGGGGCTGCAGCGACCGACGCCGCTGCCTCTCTCGCTCCAAGCGGGTCGGGAGCTGGGGCAGCATCGACTGGCGATGACCTAGGCCCTGAGGCCCAAGCGGCCCTCGCCAGGACTCTTCGCACATTGTTTCTTGGATCCGATGGCGATGCCCAGACGCATGCCCAATATCTGATGAGCCGGGAAGTCGGTGCGGACAGAAACGAGGTGAGCATTGGTGACGGACTGGCCTGCCCAGCACTACCGGCTGCGATGAGTGCCTACCGTTTTGACAGAGCTTGAGAGCATTGACCAGGGTTTCTTCTCGGGCTTTCCAGTTCGATGCCTCCATCTCCCGCTCCTGCTCTCGCATCTGAACGAGCTGCTCGAGGACGCTGCATTGCTGCTTAACGACTCTGTTTTCGATCGTCAGCCGCTGGACATGACCCTCGAGCGCAAACATGTGGTCGCTAGAGGACGGCATCAAGGACGGCATCAAGGACGGCATCAAGGACGGTGTCTCTGGTTGGCTCGGATTGAGGGTCGACGGCGATGGATGGGCTGTCCGCTCGCTCGCTCGATCATTTAGGGCAACCAGAGAGAACTCGCTCGAGAGCGCCGACTCTGGCGGCCAGGGTGGCTCCTCATGCTCAAGCAGGTTCTCCATATCAAGCACCGGTGGTGACTTTGCGGGCAACTTGTGGGCACCGTCGGCAACGAGCGCTTGCACAATCGAGGCAGCGCCTTGGGTCCGGATGATCGCTGGGGCGAGGAGGAGGGTGCTGGTCCGGATCAAGACCAAGCCCGAATTTCCATCTGACATTTCTGGGCCAGCATGTGATTGAGCTGGGGACGCGGAAAGCACCTCTCCTCGATCCAGCAAACGAGCCAACGAGCAAACGGACAAGCGAGCACGATTGAGGGACTCGCCCAGGATGCTATTGATCGGCACTGGTGCCCAGTTGTGAGCGAGCGAGCTGCCCAGGCAGTCTGCTTGTGCGAACAGTGGGTCTTTGCAGCTCATGGCCTTCGTCAGCCAGAGATTGTTCCCACACGCCCTTCACTTGGTCGAGTACCCCATCACCTCGCCCATGATTCCGCACTCTCCGTACGCAATCCAGAAGAACCCATTCGTTCCCCAGGTCGTGGACCACGAATTCTTGCAGAGCCAGGCGTTCCTGCTGTCGTCCCAGCCGATGCAAGCAATCGCGTGGCCACCTTGGAGTGCCCCCCTTCGGTAGCGGTACACCTGGTCGTTCTGGCAGCAATCATAAAAGTCCTCGTCTTGTCGCCACGATTCGTAGCGAGAAGCATTGTCGAGAGAGTGGATCGGTCGAGTAAGCCACAGGCCCCGTCGACACCACGAAACTGCGTGCTGGGTGTGTAGCCGGACCAGTTCCAGACTGCTTCTAGGAATGTACTCAACCGATTCCAACACCCAAAGGACCCACCAAGGACACACGGATCCACCGACGGTACTTACATACGACAATCGCTGTCACCACCGCGCCATGCTTGAGGATAAAGTGCTTGATGTCGTTGATGTCAAAGAGACTCGTGCTCTTGATGTTGGTGCGGCGATGGCATCCCTCCTTCGCAGGGCACGGCTGCTGGGTGTCGTGGTATGGGAAGCACTTCTCTTGGACATATCCGGCGCTGCTGACATCCGCGGCTGCCACCGAAATGTCCCATCCGTCGTTGCAGTTTGCGTCACCAGAGCCGAGGCAAAAGAAGATGTCCGAAGGAGACACAATCACCGGGGCCACCGAACTGGCCTTGCTGCTGGCCAGGAGCGAACTCTCGATGTTGGCTGCCGTGGCAAAGGCCACACAGCTCGAGCAGCTGCCTTGGTCCCGGACCGGGGTCACCCAGTTGAGCTTGCGCGAGTCAAAGGCTTTGGGCAGACTCACAGTCTTGGCGACGCTGCTCATGGTCTGATGGACAACGGTTCCTTGCAACACCTCTTGCGATGACTGCGAACAGGTCAGTGAACAGGCCAGTGAACAGGTCAGCGAACAGGTCAGCGAGGGTCAGCTGCCATATGCACTCAGATGCCGCCTACCAGGGGCGATAGTGCAACTGGAATCCACGACGGTGTGCATGTCTTCAATCCAGCGCTGCGGAGCATCGGCAACCTACCAGAATACCATCAACAATGCTGTGTGTGAGGGTCCTGTTGCCCACCAGGTCTGAAAGAGGGATTTCGTGTGCCTGGCAGTAGTCTTCCACATCCTTCAGAATCGTCTGGAACAAATCACCCGAAATCATGTTCACATAGTCGGTGTGGATTTGTCTCGAGAGGTTTTCGATGAGCTCCGAGTTGTTTCCGATGCGATGGTCCACAGGATATCGAGTTGCGCGCTTGAAGACTGGCAAGGGAGACATGCATGTCAATGGCAGCCAAAGCGTTCTGGTTGAGCATTCAGTCTCTCGATTGCCAGAGACCACTCTTGGGAACACCACCGGGCATTTTGCGATCCAAGTGCATACCTCCCTTCGAGACACCGGGGGCAGCAAAGAGCGGGAACCCCATTCCGACCTCGGTAAAAAGGAGCACTGACAAAACGGCTGGCGATGGCAGTGCCCCGTCGACAACGATGTCCATCGATCGAAAACAGGGCGGTAGTCAGCCCGCAGCATCGCACGGAGAGAGCGACATGTTAGTGTTTTGAGCACTCGTCATCCCCTCTGCGCTTCTGGACTTACCAGGAAGCAGCTTCATTACTGCGGCTAATGCAGAGAGCGATATGCAACGAGAGACAGAGTCGGTCGGGGCCTGTTGGTGGAGGCACGCTCAAGTTGCGCTGGAACAGATGGGGTTTGGGACACCGAATCGAAGGGACAGGTTGAGCAAGTGACCAGCCCTGCTCCTGACGAGAGGAGGGTTCAAATACATCTGCCCCACGGCGGCATGGATCCGATTTTGTCAGCCGTCTCATTCATCCATCCGCCATCCGCCAGCCTTGGCATATGTACGAGCCCAGCCAGGCTCGGACGATATGTCGATGGCGGGACACGTTCGCTTGCTGTCAATGGCCCATGGTAATATGTCTCTGGTCCGATCGGCCATGACGTCAGTCGCTGTGGCCCGCGAGCACATGCGATTGTGTCGACTCGACTCGCATTCTCAGCGCCCTGGATGTGAATACATTCGCATTCATCCATCTTCCAACATCTACTTGTGCGGACAGGGCGAGGGGTATGCCCTCAACCCCCCGCCGTCTTCGAGCAACCTCGGTGCGCTCGTATTGTGGCGAATACGGGCAACTCTATACATCACTCCAATATCGAAGCATCAGCGCAGCCAGGACGACTGGCGGGATGGCTCAATAAGACGAAATCTCGATGAGCCTCCCCCATTGATGGAAGTCGAGCAACTTTCCCTCGACCATGACCATGATATCCGGGGGGACCCGTTTGGCATCAGAGAGGCTGTATGAAGCTATTCCGATGTTTACAAAAATGCGTCGCTCGATGCTTGCGGGACTGCCCTCCATCCAGGCGGACGGCGGCAGCCAGCCCTTTCCAGCACCGAATGATCAACAAGTAATCCCAAAATCCAGAGACAAAAATCAACGGGTCTATACTCGGAGCGGGTACGAGAATGTTTGATAGAGACAGCGGCAGTATATGCAGCAGATGGCGTCTTCAAGAGACGGACCTAGTCGTCTTTGGGCATCACGCCCAGCGAAAATAAGATTTGCAAGAGCGCCGTCTTGGACTCGGCCTGCAGATCGTTCCCGATCGGCTGGATTCAGGCTGTCTGAGGCCAAGTCTACTTGCGGACAATTATGCTTGGTCGTCTCCCTTGTCGGCTCGACTCTCGGGCTCGGTTTCATGGGTTGCAACTGCGACGTATCCGTCGTTCTTGGAAGCCTCGAGCGACACCAAGCGGGCCTCTCCTTTGGCAACTTCAGCCTTGGCTCGATCATACAGCCAGAGCCCATAGAAGGTGAGGCCAATTCCCACCGTCTGGAAGAAGGTGACTTTGTCGCCAAAATAGACGATGCTGACGCTGATGACCGCAACTCGCTTGAACAGCGATGCGACGCTGTAGGTGACAGGCGACACCTGTGCGAGCAGCAAGAACGCAAAGAGTGTCTGCAGGAAGTGGAAGAACCCGTTGAGCACAAACATGAAGAGCAGATCCTGGGCCGATGTTTCCTTGCCGAGCGGCACGGTCGACTGCAGAAGAAGAGCCCCGTCCGAGTACAGCCAGATGGGCGACATGAAGAGCGTCGAAAGCACGGACGTGTAGAACAGGACATTCATCTCGTCCAGGTGCACGGGCCTGAGGGAGAGGTTGCCCAGCCAGGGTTTCGATGAGACCGCCTCGGACGGCGTCGAAGATCGGCCGTGGCTGGGGAGGTCCTGATGGGTCTTGTGGGCGACAAAGAGCTTCTTGGTGAAGATGTTCTGCATCACAAAGACCGTGGTGGCAGCCATGCCGGTGACATAGCCGACCAGATCGAATGTGAGCTTGTTCATGCACACAAACACAAGCCCAAGGGTCAGAGGGATGAGCGACTGATAGACTTGGCTCTGGTAGGTGATGCCAAAGAGGGTTCTGTAGATGAAGACTGTGATGAGCGGGGCGCCGGCCTGTGGAGCCATGGATGCGGTGGGCAATGGTTGGTCAGTATGCCGGGTGAGTGAGAGGCAACACCGGCACTCAAGCGACAGCCCAAGGAAGCAGTGGTGCTCTCTCCTGGAGCTGCTGCATTGATTTTGGCTCGACGCCGTCGTCAAGCACAGAGGCCGCCGTACGGGTCCGATGAGATACCTTGATGGTGTGGGCGATGCTCACAGGAATCCTGGCCAGCGAGATCGACGATAGCAAGTGGCACATGATCTGAAACCCGGAGAGGGGCAGAACTGTGGCAAAGACCCGGACGCTCGGAGTCCTCAGGCGGATCCACTGCTGGCCGGGAATCAAGGCAGTCACCAGCATCCAGAACATCACGAAGCCAAACTGGACAAAGGTGACGGTCACTGGGTAGGCAAAGGCGTTGAGAATCAGCTTGGTCAGGTTGCTCTGGACGACGGAGGCCAGATACCATGCCAGGCAAGTAAGGATGAACTTGGTGTAGGAGCCTTGGCGGTCTCCGTCCGTCTTGAGGTAGGAAATCATGACTGAAGCACGGGGCTGGATTTCAACTGAGAGGCAGCCATTCGGTTAGCAAGCGGGTCTCGTCCATGTCGGCAGCCAGCGTTGCTGTTGGTATGCTCTTGCCAATGCGCGTGTGGAAACGAGCGGATGCAGATATACGGCAGGGAGAATTCACTGGCGAGAGCAGATGAAGCCCAGACAAGCGCAGCGGTCAATGCAGACGGGAGAGGACGGACACAAATCATGGTGTCGGTGGGCGATGGAGTGAACGCAGCGGATGTGTCGACGGAAACCAACCTCTGGAGGCAGGCTAGGCTGTGAGCGGGCTGTCCAAGCACAGTCGGGACACAGGATACGGGCGGCGTTTGATATTGCTGGGTTGCTCTGCTCGTGCTCGGCCAGAGCAAAGGGGAGTCGGTGAGCAGATGAGTGCAGATGGAGGCCAGAGGCCAGAGGAGCGGGGCGGCGGCCCTTTGGGGGCGAATCAGAAGGAAGCCGCGACCGAGGCGGGAATCGCAGCACGAGCCGCTCCAGGGAGGATTGCTGGTCCCGCGAGAGCGCCAGCAGCTGGATTGGTGGTGCTGGACCTTCTTCTCTGCGGTCTGGAAGAGCGATGCAAGCGGCAGGGCGAACAATGGCGGTGCATGCGAGGCGGTGCGATGGCGGGACGGCGGACACATTTCGACAGGGCTGTTCGCTGCCCCATGTGCTGTCTCGGCCATGGGGGAATGGGGTCGTCAATGTCTATCTATTCGCGGCCGCATGAGTGCCAGCAAGGCCAAGCTCCTTATCGGCCTGGGTGCCGGTGTCCCGGGCTCGCCTTCTTGGCCTCCAGTGCATAGAACTGAGCTTCGCCCTTGGCAACGTCGCTCTTGGCGGTATCATACATGTACAGGCCGACAAAGGTCAGACCAATGCCAGACGCCTGGACGATCGAGATCGAGTCCTGGAAGTAGGCGATGCTCGCCAGAATCACAAATATCCGCTTCACCAGCGACGCAATCGAGTAGGTGACGGGCGAGACCTGCGAGAGCAGCAGAAAGGCGATGACGGTCTGCAAAAAGTTGGAGAGTCCGTTGAGGAAGAAGAGACCGTATACGATCCTCGGAATCGAGCCTGTGTTGCTGTCGACAGCGATGCCTCCGGTCAGGCTGGAGACGAGGGTCTTGGGCAGCAGCATTGCCATTAGCTTTGTGCCGTCGCTGTAGAGCCATATGGGTATCATGAAGAGAAATGCCAGCGTTGACGAATAGAACAACATGTTGAGCTTGTCGAGCTTGAACGCTGTGCCGCTGCCCCGGGCAGCCTGGGGCCTGGGAAGGCTCGCCACCGCCGTCGGTAGCGACTGCTGACTGATTGCCGAGGCCACAAAGAGCTTCTTGAACCAGACGTTCTGGAGCACAAAGATGAGGGTCGCTGCCAAGGCGCATGAGCAGCCCACCAGGTTGAAGGTAACCCGGTTCAGACAGACGAGCATGACACCGAGCGTCAGGGGGATCAGTGAGACGTAGACCTTGGATCCGTAGATGATCTTGAAGACGGAGCGGTAGATCAGGACGGTGAACAGAGGCGACAGAGCCTGCAGCCGCAGTGCGGGCAGCGCCGGAGTGGGAAAGGAGTGTGAGATGCGACGCCGTGCGGTGGATTGGTTCCGAATGCGATATCGGGGATCGGGAAAGTCAGCTGCGAGGATCTCGTTCGCGAACCCTGGGCGATGCGGCGATCAAAGTGATGATCGCAGCGGCAGCAGTAGCGACGGTCAAAACTGCACAAGCCAAAGATGCACTACCTTGATCGTATGGGACACGCTGACAGGGATGGTCGAGATCGAGATGCTGGAGAAGATGTGGCCGAGGATCTGAAAGACTGCCAGCGGAACGACCGTCAGCAGCAGAGCATTGGAGATGGGCATGATCTTCTTGAGCCTCAGCCCCGGGATGCACGTCGCCGTTGCCGAGAACAGCGAAACAAAGCCAAATTGCACCCAAGTCAGGGTAACGGGGAACTGGAAGATGTTCATGAGCTGCTTGGCAATGTTGTTGGAGACGGCCGAGCAGAGGTACCAGCACAGACACAGCCCCAGAAACCGAAGCAGCTCCCAGTTGATGTTGTTGGGATGCGGCACGATGGTGAACGACGATGTGATGGTGAATATCGGCGAGGAGTCGGGCTTGCGGAGAGGGTATGACTCGGCGACATGCTCTGCGGACGACAGCGACGACGAAGCTTCCAGCGAATACGGATCGTCTCGGTCGCTGCTTATGGGCGCAGCGGGGTGGGCTGTCGCCGGTGTCTCGACGACGGTGAGCATGGCGATGGCGGTAATGGCGGCGATGGCGGCGATGGTGATAGCTGGGAAGATGGCTGGGAAGATGGCTGGGAAGATGGCTGGGAAGATGGTTGTCGCAACCAGACAGGGTTGTGCCAGCAAACAAAGGCGACGCGCCAAAGGGCCAGCGACGCGATTCGTCTGAGACATTGTTCTGCCATGAAGTTGAGGTTCATCTGTCTCGCTGGTGGTGGATGGGCCGTGTGCCATTGCCAAAGAGCGAGGGCCACCATCGATGGCGCCTGGTCTGCTGCGGACAGAGAGAAGGGCTTCCCTCCCTCACATCACTCAAGCCCAGCCCAGCCCAGCACAGCCCAAGGTGCTCTTGTTTCCTTTTGGGTGCTCTGTTACATTTCATGAGCGCTGCAGATTAACAGGCGATCCAATATAAAACGGGACACCCGGGATTTTGACCATTCATCGAATATTTTGTTACCCAATGTTATCGCGCGCTGGCCATGACCATTCGCCACACATCCGACTTTCGCACCGCCGCATTGCGATGCTACGCCCTCATCCATAGCCTGCGTAAGGTCGCCTCCATATTCAGTGTATCCAAGAGCACCATCCATCGATGGCACCGAGGATGCAAGCTGGATGACCCATCCCGGGTCCCAGCTCGCAGATCCACTTTCTTTGAGCAGGCATGTCCAGTCATTCGCACCCTGATTGAACAGGACCCGTTCCAGACTGGTCCTGTGCTGCGGTGCAAGCTCGAGTCCATCCTCCAGAGGAAAGTGTCGCTCTCACTCTGCCACACTGCCATCCACCGAGCAGGTCTCTCACACAAGAGGGCAACACACCTCTACAAGTCCAAGCGACTGGATGAGCGAGTGGCACAGTTCAGGGACCAGGCCCGCTCCATTGACCTGCGGCGATTCGTTTTTGTCGACGAGACAGGGATCAGGAGATCCATTTTCTCTCTCTACGGATACTCACCGAAGGGTGCTCCGCTTCGCCAGCGCAATCACATGAAACACAAGTCTGTCTCGGCTGCATTTGCCATCAACCACTCTGGTGTGCTGCATCGCATGTACATCCCCACATCATTCAAGACACACTCGATGGTCGAGTTCTTTGAGCGAGCGAGCTTCCCAGACGACTCTGTGATTGTGATGGACAATGTCAGCATGCACAAGACAATGGCTGTCCTGGACTGCATCGAGCGCCGAGGATGGTCAGTGATCTTCACCCCACCTGCCTCACCCGACTTCAATCCCATCGAGAACTTCTTTGGGGTTGAGTCCCCATCATTTTGGGGTTGAGTCCCCACCGATTTGGGGTTGTCCCTCCAATCAAGCCGCCATTTTCACGCTCAAATCCCTGGCTTGAACCTCTCGGCGATTTTTGAACAGGGTCGCTTCCAACCAGCCCGCAAAGACGGGCTCCTGCTCTCGGGTATAAATGCCACACCTTCGTCCTGCTGCTTTCTTCCCTCATCTCGCCTTGATCTGACCATCGCGCTATTGTACGATAAAAAAAGTCTCTGCTCTGACCAGTACCACTGGCAGGCATCCAGCATCCTCTGCCCCCATGCCTCCGAAGCGCAAGGGTACCGGTGATGGCCAGCCTCGGCCACCCAGGCCCAAGAAAGCCAAGTCACAGTCGGAGCCTGTCTCTGGTTCGTATTCTGACCCCACGCATGCTTGGTCGTCTGTTGCTCCGTCGCTCACCACCACTGCTTCTGCAGATCCAATGGATGTCGATCCCACCGAGCCTGGTCCCTCATCTGGTCCTGTCAAGCGATGTCGCCAGTGCGATGGCACCGATCACGAGCGAAGCAACACCAGCAAATGTCCCGAATATCACCCCCTCAAGAGTTCTGTCGTCCCACTCGTGGATGGAAGGTCATCCGCCCCTCAGTTCAGCTGCTTCAAGCAGACGATGGATGGCTGTTGTCTCAATCCCGCTCTCCGCGACAAGATCCAGGCCACCGTCGAGGCCATGACCCAGATCCAGTTCGAGGCATCCAGGCTGCTCAACCTGCACATCCTCCGGTGCATCGAGCAGGATCTTCCCGTCCCCGTCATCTCCAAGTCCACACCTGCTTTCGTTCGCCAATGCTTCACGATTGTCGAGGCCGGTGCCCTCTCCCCGACCGGGGACAATGAGAAATACAACGAGCATCTGGTCGCTTCCTTTCGCGACTACCAGATCACTCGGCACGCAGACCTGCCTCCGGCCCCTCGTCTGCCTGATGGCGCTCACAGTCAGCTTCTCACACTGGCTGTCAATGCCTATGCCACCAACTGCACCACCCACCTCAACCTGGCCTACTGGCGACTCCTTCGCCGCTTCTGCGCTGCCGTCTTCCCAGCCAACAAGCATAAGCACGAAGCCATCGAGGCCTGTCTCGAGCTCTTCGAGAAACCAGGGCAGACTCCACCCAAGGCCGATCTCGAGTTCCTCTATCCAGACTTTGGCCACGTCCTGGACGAGTTTCGGTACAGCAGCGACCAGGACCGCTTCCGGGCCCTCCATCGCCTCTCACACCATGTGGGAATCCTCGCCCGGGACAAGATGGTCGACAATGTCCACAAGTGGATCGACTGTGACATGCCCGCCCTCCGAGTCACCGAGCTGCAGCGCCAGGCCAAGCTGGACGAGCTCACTGCCCGAGGCATTCCCTCCGACGACAAGAGGTTCACCAAGGCCAAGTCTGAGCTCGGCACCACCAAGTCCAAGATCAACAAGCTGGCCGCCAGGATCAACTGGGCACTCAAGCAGCTCGCCGTCGACACTCCTCCGGCCGTGTGCACGATGGTTCCTCTATGCACTGCAAGGACCAAGTATGTCAAGATTGACACCGTCACTCTCTGGAATCTCCTGGGTCCAAAGAAGCGCCTTGGACTCACCAGGGACAAGCTCAAGGAAGAAGGTGATGACGGTGTCAACAACCAGGATCGTCTCTGGCGCAGTTGCTTCAAGCTGCGTAGTTCCCTCTTCCAAGAGCGGGACGTGAACAAGAAGCTGTTCAACTACGAGATCAGCACCGATGGCATTGGATGCACCATCGGTCTCGTCAAGTTTCTGCCTCGAACCGATCACACCGAGACCATCGAGCCTCCTCCGACTGCCGAGCAGCGTATCCAGGCCCACATCGGCGACCCAGACCCCGACAAGACCACTTGGATTGGCATCGATCCTGGAGTCGGCTCCATCTTCACGGCGGTCATCCAAGCACCGGGCCACCAAGACGAGGTGGTCTCATTCTCCAATGGCCACTACCAGCACATGTGTGGCCACAAGTCCAATACTGAGTGGCACAACACCATGAAGAAGCGACTCGGCATCGAGACCTGGATGTCGACCACCCCCTCGCCCAAGGTGTCGTCCTCGGAGGCCTTCAAGGTCCATCTCACCCATGTCCTGCGACCGGAGCTGCGAGTGCAGCTCGACTTCCACCTTGGCAAGAAGACTCGCCACCATCGATTCACGGGTCACAAGAGGCGCCAAGTGGCCGTTGACAGGATGTGCAAGGCCGTCCTGAAGCACGCCCCGATACGGACCGATGTGGTGATCGCCTTTGGCAATGCGTCATGGCGTCAAGGCAAGGGCTATGCATCCAGCCCTCGGAGGCAGCGATTTGCTCAGTACTTTGAGCAATTCGAGCACCACCGACGCCGTCCCAATCACCATCATGGAAGCGTCAAGGTAGTCTCGACGAACGAGTTCAACACCTCGCAAGTGTGCTCCAAGTGCCTGGAGCCAGTTCGGTTGGAAGGACTCGATGCGCCCAGTGTTGCGAATTCCCACTTTGTCAGGAGCTGCAAGAATCCCAGCTGCCGGACAGTGTGGAATCGCGACGTCAATGCGGCGCGCAACATGATCGCAGTGTGGAGGTCGATTGTGGAGACCGGAGAGCGACCGGCGGTCTTCACTCGGAGGCTACCAAAGTGATCTGTTTTATTTCTTGTGGCTTTGCTTGACGCAAGCACAGCACATACTACCTGTTCATGGAAACGGCTATATTGTCCCGTTTTTTTCTGAATAAAGTGTAACATCAGCCGAGCGATGTTGCAGGCCACGATCAGCGCTGCCGGATGCGGGTCCGGGCCCAGATTTACAGCTCCTGGTAGCCCTGCTTGCGGATCTGGGCCAGGCGGTATCGGGCCTCCTGGAGCTTCTTCTCGATCTCCAGAATCAGCACCTGCTGCTCCATCTCCTTGACCTTGAACTCGTGGCGGCCCATCTTGGCCAGCTCGTCGTCCACGCGATCTTCGCTGGACTTTTTGGCAGCGTCCTTGGCGGCCTTGACCAGAAGCTTGGTGGCCTCCCGCACAGCCACGGCGGCGTTCTCGAGTTGGTCTTGGGTTTTGCTGAACGGGACGGACTGCACGCGAGAGGCCGCAACCAGCTGCGTCGTGGCGACCGAGACCTCGCCGGCGGCCACAACCAGCTGCTCCATCGTGTGCGTGCCGCTGACGACACCGTCGGCACACTCCACCAAGTAGGTCGTGGCAACCGCAACACTCTTGGCGGCGCTGATCAGGCCCTCAGTCCATTTGTGGTTCTTCTTGTAGAACGCACCCGTGGTGCTGGATCCACGGCCGTGGGCGGCAATCTCTTTCTGCGTAGCCGTGGCGCACTTGATGAGGTTGGCGATGGCGGTGGTGATGGCCATGGCGCCGGCAAGAATGGCGTCGTGGACGTTGAGGTCGATTCCAGAGACAGCGCGGGGTTTGCTCATCAGCTCCTGGAGCTTCTTGGCAGCCTCCTCGATGGCGCGGGCGGCGTTGGTCATCTCGCGCTCGACAATATCGCCGAGGTCATCGGTGGCCGCGCGGACGTTGCTCACGTCTTTCACGATCAGCTTTTCGATCGCGGGCCCGGCCTTGGCAAGCACATTCTGGGTTTCCTTGGAGATCTGCAGGACGTTGCTTGAGCGTTGGTCGGGGGCCATTGAGGCCAGAGCGTGCGACTGGGTTTGCAGGAAAAAGCCGCGGACTTCCATGGCGCCGGCCTTGACGATCGCAAGGATCTGCTCGGCCAGCTCGTCCTCGGCAGCCAGACGAACAACACCCTTGGAGTTGTGCATGACTTGGCCAACAACGTGAGCAAAGGCGTTTGAGGTGTTGATGACATCCCACGGCTCGCCGCCCTGGATCGTCATCGGCGCGACGCACGAATGGATCTTGTCAGTTCAAGCCCGCCATGCAGCAGACCTAGCCGACACAGCCGACGGCCAAGCCCCCTCTCCCTCTTGTCGTGTCGCAGTGCAGACAACCCAAGCAGCGGATGTACAGTGCCACTCACCGTATTGAGGCGCACGACACTGAGCCCAAAGTCATTGCAGATGGTCTGGACCTTTTCGAGGAGCGAGAGGACGTACTCTGGCGACGCCGTCTGATTTCCTTGGTGGGTAGGGCTTTCGAGCTCGTAGATGGCATCCTCGACCTTGAGGACGCAGGTCTGAAGAACATGATCTGCGTGCCCGATGTGTTTTCCGGTTGCACCGAGTCAGCAATGAACAGAGCATTCACGAGGGCTCGCGGATATCACAGCTCTGCGATTCATCTTTCCTGAGTCTATTGCATCGGCACACGCGGCTGACTGCTCCAGTCCGTATTACCAAGCATGCGGGTGACAACGACATTGTGGTCGCCTTTGATTCGGTCGAGCTGACCCTGCAGCACCAGTTCTTTCTCTTGCGACGTCTGTGGAGCAAGCCAAACAGAGTGAGGTCGTGCGATTTGTATGGACATGCAACCCGGCGTGCAATATGGCTACCACTGCTCCAGTGTGTCGAGCAAGATAGGTTGCAACAGCCCTTTAAATCTTCACAGCATCGCACGTCGAGTTCGTTGCCGCTGCTTGTACTCAAATGCGCTGCGCCTACCTTCTGCAAGGTCGAGAGAGCAATCAGAGTCTGATCGAGGCCGCCTTGGAGCAGGGATGACTCTTGGTCTTTGCTCTGTATCAAAAGTTCAGTCACGGCGTGAGTGGTGCAGCCTCGAGAGCACAGTCGATCCAGGTGCGGCTCGGAAACCCAAGTGATCGGCACCGCATCGCCCGGCCCATATCGCCTGAGGCTGTATGCCTGCACACGGAGACGTACCAGCTTCAGCTTTTGTGTTTCGGCGGCCAAGTCATCGAGGCGTCGTCGCAGATCTTCAATTTGCGCCTGGCGAGTCTACTCGACAGCATACAAACGACCAGTCAACAATCGAGTCGGTGATGGGAGCACACGTGTCTGCAACCGCATCGGCAACCGCGGAATCGGCGGCTCACTGACCCTGTTGAGCTGCTCGAGCTCCTCCTTTTCAGCACTGAAGCGTGTGATCAGGCCCTGAACCTCGGCGCCCTTGGATTGACCCATCTCGGCAAGCGAGGCCTTGGTATCTTCAAGCTCCCGTCTGGTTCTGAACAAATCTTCCTCGTACTGGGTGCGGAGGCGATCCGCCTCGCCTTTGAGTCGGTCGCGCTCGATCAGCAGATCGGTCATTTCTGCCTTCTTTGCCTGGCGTGTGTTGCACCACATGTTCAGTATTGGTCGAGTACGGGAAGATAGTCCGCCAGCTCGAACAGGCACATCGAATCGCAAAAGCCCACAAGAGCATCGAGTGCTACAACCCAGCCAGCTCGGTGCCTTTCTCGGCCGAATTATCAGCCTCCTCCGGGGCAACCACTCCAGTCGCGTGGGCATGTATCCACCCACCTTCAGCTCGGTAGAGGCCGACTCGATGTCTCTCTTGGCCTGGTTTCGCGCTTCCTCAACAAACTTGCCCCCGGCCTCCTTCATTTCTTTGAACTTGTTGAGGAGATCAAGGTGCTCCTTGCGGAGCTGAGCGTAGAGCTTGGCAATCGCCTCGTACTTTTGTTTCCAGACGTTGAGCTCATCTGGCAAGCCCGTAAGCGATGGTTAGATCCAGCAGAGGGCAGATGCTCATCTTGGCCGAATCTATCCCAGGCTGGCCGGGTCTGGTTGGTATCTGGTGCCACTGCTTCTGCGTGCAGGTCATGCTGATCGGGAGCAGAGTCCTCTGGCACATGCTAGGTCTCACACCTCTCTCAGGTGCGATTTACCTTGGAGCTTCTTGATCATATCGTCGCGACGCTGGTTGGTCTCCTGGTTGCCCATGTTCAGCTGGCTCAGCTGACCTTCGAGAGCTCGCACGCGCTGTTGGAATCAAGAGCGATATTCGCGGTAAGTTTGCAACGATGCTGCAATTGACATAGCAAGCGCGTCGCCAAGATCAAAGCGTAGGATGGAGGATGACGATGCCCACCTGCTCGTACTGCTGAACCAGGTCGCGATCGCGACCAGCTTGCAGCTTGGTGTTTTCCAGCTCTCGGATGGCATTGACGTACTGCTGTTGGAGCATCTGTGCCTCCATCTGACGGGACGCTTGCTCCTGTTGCATGCGAAGCTGGTGGAGGCGCTCCTCCTCCTGCTGGCGCTGGAGAGCAAGTTGCTGCTGGAGTTGCTGCTGCTGGAGGGCTTCCATCTGCTGCTGCTCCTCCAGAGCGGCTCGTTGCTGGGCGAGCAGGTTCTCATATGAAGCTTGCTGCTGCTCCAAAGCACTTTGCTCCAGAGCTTGGCGAGCCTGTGGCCAGAGATTGGAGACAGTCGGTAAAGAGTAGTTCCGGCACCGACTTCATGCATCATCGACTTACTGCGGCCTGTTGCTCCTCGTAGAGATCGACACGCTCTGCCTGGGGCTTCTTGGGCTGGATCGTGGGAGGGCCCTTGGCCAAAAAGTCCGCGGGCTCGTCCGGCAGTCTTGGGATAGTGATGAGGGACGACAAGTAGCGCAGGGTTGAGCACTCAAAGTAAAACTTTTGCAGGGCGTAGTGGGCCGAGTTGAACTTGACTCGGAGAGGAGCCAGAACTTCGACGGAGCCAATAACTAGGGTATCGACGAGCACACAGATATCGACAAAAGTCAATGAATATGCGATCTGCCTGTGGATGAAGCCATGGTCGGCATGGCGCTGCAGGCAAGGGACGAGGCGGTGTCGGATAGAGTGTCTGGCGGGCGGGTCCGCCACCGGAAGCCAGAACCCATCGAAGGGCATTGTCCCGACGGGCAAGCACACGCAGGGGATGAGTGTTGATAACACTTACTCTCATGCATCGATGTGAGCATGTTCAGCAAGAACTGATAAATGCCGTAGCTCTCCTCGACGATCGGGACCAAGGCAGAGATTTTGCATTCGTTGTTGCCACTGTAGCGGAAGCTCGAGAAGAGCAGCTTCTGGAAGGACTCGATCTTGTCCAGCAGCGAAATGAGGTCATTGATGGTCTCGTAGCTGATACGAGAGAGACAACCGATCGACATAGAAGCCATGTCCGTTAGAAACTATGGAGGGAAGGTCGATCAAAGCACTCTCGAGCGCAGCTGAGAACAAGAAAGACCGTCGAAAACACAGTGAAACCTCGCCGTTGGGCAGCAGCTCTAATGTGAACCACGCCTTGAGCCGTTCAGGCAGCCCAAGCAACCCAAGCAACCCAAGCAACCCAAGCAACCCAAGCAAGCAGCCCAAGGAGCCACCCACCCTTCGTTGGGATCCTCGACGCCGCGCAGCGAGACGTATTCTTCATAATCAAAGGTTCCGCTGAAATCCGGGTGCAGGCTGTGGTACTCCAGCTTGGCGAAAATAAATTGGACATAGGCCTGGATCAAGTTTCCGTAGCCTGGCGCAAGCCGGGATGTGAATGCAGAAGCGCATGGTTAGCCGGGCAAGCAGGAGGCTCGTTTGCTGAAGAACAAAGCGAGTCGCAGCCAGCAGCCGCTGAGCCGTGCCGGCAGCGATGCAGATCAAACCAGAGACAGAGGCAAGAGCCGTAGTGCCGAAACGTACCTCCATGGTTTGGCACCGAGCGGGCGATGGCGTTGAGCCACTGGGTCTCGTGGATGGCTTGCTTCAGGACCTGGAGCGACAGACCGCCGCGGGCAGCAGCATCGAGGGAGGCGGTTATTGGAAGTACAGCGTTCCTCGACAAGTGCGGCTGCCACGCATCCAGATCGAGGGCCACTGCGAGACGAACCGGACCATACCGCCAGGAATGAGACTTACCGAAGGATGTCCCTGTCGGACCAGCTTGTGGAAGACAATGAGGGCCTTGAAGGTCAAGACCTCATCACCCATGATGGGGTGTGCCTTCAGAGCCATCAGCACCGAGCCGACGCTCTTGATATCCCAAGTGTAGACGATCGCCGCCCGGACGTGCTTTTGCTTCGGGGCAGTCTCCTCGGGAGAGAGGGCCTTCTTGATGTGGGTGGCCAGCTCCTCCTCGGACTTGTCGTTGCCCCTGCTGGTGAGCATCGTGCGCGAGAGGCCCCAGTTGCTGGAGGGCGGGCTGTTGCGGGATCGAGACGAGTACCCATCGCCGCGAGGTGCGTACGGGTCGTTGTAGAGGTCAGACATGGCCAAGAAGGGGAAGGAGGCGGATGTCGAGGCGATGAGGCGGAAGGCGGGAGATGCGTTGTTGAGGACAGATGCGGGGGTGAGGGGAAGCCAGCCGCAATGGTCTCCACGGCGCCCTCTTGGCGGCCAACAGACGCGGTATCCCAAACGCAGAGCCGGGGGGGGTGGCTGCCCCAGGCCCTGACCTCGACACCGCAGGCAGGAAGACAGCGGATCTGGAGGAGAGCAGATGCTGTCCAGATGTCCAGATGCTCAGTTCCTTAGATGATCAGATGTTCAGTTGTTCAGTTCCTCATATTATCAGATGTTGATGTTCAGTTGTTCTGCTCTGTGCCGCCGATGAACATGGTCGGTCTGGCCAAGGTCGTGGGAATCCGCCTCACACAACGTCTCACTTGCCGCTCTGTTGGTTGTCACTGCCGCAGGCCGTCGTCGCCAGTGCTGGGCGACACCGCCTCAGTCGACTTGCACTCGCTTGCCGGAGCCAACTTTCCCTGGCCCGGTCGCGCCCACCGTCTTGATGTCCTGCTGCTGCTGGCGCCGCATTCGAATCGATGGATCCGCGGACAGACTCTCGCTTCGAAACCAGGTTGCTGTCGATCGGTCTCGGAGGCCATCGAGGCGCATGATTGGTATACTACGGCAGCTCCCGGCCTCCGTGACGGGGATTCGCATTTTCGCCTCGAACCCATTGCATCTTGGTCGCCTTGCCCGCATGTCCAGCTCCATCCATTCAGCAAGCTCCTGTTCGCGTCCCGGTTCGCTGTGCTCTCCCAACGAACCCACCCACAGCATGTCATCCGAAGGCAGCGGGCCTGAGTTTGTTCTCAGCATCAGCCAACCGAATTCATCGGCCGATTCAGATGCGCTCGTCTCCGCCGAAGCAGCATCCGCTCCCGACAAGCACCGCCTAACACTCGACAGGACATCTGTATCGGCGCTCGTGCTGCGAATGGGTACTCCCACGTTCCATGACGCGATGTCTGATGTCGAGGATCTCGCCTATCGGCTATGGGCGGATTCGCTTGCCGGAGCACTTTGCTGGTCGCTGACTCGACCTGGGCTCGCCTCGCTCCTGCCGCTTTACAGAGGTCTCGGAGAAGCTCATACAGTTGCAAAAGTTTGATTTCGCCCTGTGGTTTCTCTCGGCCGTCTTTGGGCTCCTGACGTGCTTTGGACAAGCCATAGATGTCGAGCAGACCGAAGCCATGTACGGTATCGACGGCGATGGCCATGCCACGCGTCCATCCAACCGCCTCTGTTTCCTAGTTCTATCGCTGCGCTGTGACGAAAGGGAAGGTCCAATATCTGCGAGGCGCATCGCCCCGCGGATCATCTCCTTCCGAAAGCTCACCCTTCCTCTTCCATCGGGCGGCCAGATACCCGAGCATTATTCCGTTGATAAGGCTGCACATCTATTACTCAGCCGCCGCCATCCTGCTATTCCTCGTGTTCCTGACCAAGCGGCACCAGTTGCATGTGTGCATCGTAGCATATGTTGGCTCGTCGGTGTATTTCGGGATGGCCTTTGGGGTCTGCCGTAAGTATCTCTGGAGTGCTGTTCCCGAATCGGCGCGCGCATTTATCCATTCGCACCGAGCGCTGCGGGCCAGCGAACGGAGAGCGCGGTCGACCAAACGACGCCATCAGCATATTCCAGACGCAGCGACCTCATTTATGTCCAGCAGCCCGGGCTTCCTATTGCTCCGTGTGATGCTGAGCTCCATTCTGAGCATTCTGGTGACCTCTGTTCTACTCTGGCTCGAGTGGCTGTCCTGGTCGGCGGCTATGTGGTTCCGACAAGCGTCACACTCTATCTTGGATTCTCCTTCTACCTGATCTTTGGTGCCCTCACGATCCCCATCCCAGCCCGTCAGCTGAGCGGCCTGCGACCGCAAGTCAGGTAAGATCCACTGCTCCTGGCTGCTTTCGTTCTTGAGGAAATGTTGGGAAGGTAAGGCGACTCACTAGCGCTCCCGCCTCTTCATTGTTCACAATGTCTCAAGTGCTGCTCAAGTGAACTCGACCAGGGTGGCGGCTCTGGCGCTGGTGGCCGTGGTCGGACGACTCGTCCCGGTCTCTCCAGTGACACCGCTGCTTCTCTCGATGGCCCTCAGCATGGTTGTTCTCTACTACACCGATCTGATGAACGAGCTGCTGACCTCGTGGGTCATCACGACGCTTGTCGGATTCGACTATGAGAATCTGTCGCTATACTGGGCCGAAGGAGTCACTTTCAACGAGGATTTCGCCGTCGTTGACACCACTCTCTTGGTCAGAGCATACGTATGGGCCAGCGCCCAGGTAGTTCTTGACAGCTGGTTTGGGCTCACTCCGGAGTTGACTGCAACCCGCGCGGCCAGCAACACCAAGTGTGTCGACTGACGGCGTCGAGGCGCATCTGAACATGTGCATAGGCTCTGGAAGAAAAAAACAAACCTTCCAGCCCCTGGAGGGACGAAGCTCCTCGACCCGGCTCGCAGACGCGGGACAACTGCATCGATCTGGACAGCGAGCACGCCGCGAGAGTGTTTTGCAAAACCAGGCTGTCTCCAAGTAACAGCATCATGGCATGGATGCTCTATGAAATGCAGCACTTTGGTGGTGCAATCCTTCCGACAAATCTAGTCGTTGTGGAGTGACAGGGGTCGTCCCGAACGATCGCTCTTGCTGAGAAATCAACCCAGCCACGCTGTTGCTCAGGATCGGTGTTTGCTCCGGGATTCTGAATATACACCCTCGTGCGATGTGCCCAAGAGCACCATCCGGAGATCCTGCGTCACTTGACGGCCGCCGATCTGGACGACGGGGCATCCGCTGTCGCTGTCGGGCATGGTGTCGCTGTCGGGCACGGTGGTCGATCCTCATGGAAACTGGATAAGCAGATCCTTTCCCGGGGTTTGATGGCGCAGTGACCACGTGTTCGAGTCGCGCGATCACCGCGCAACGCCGCAGCCGCTTTTGATGCAATCCCAGCATCAGACCCTCGTCTCTCCCATCCAAAATCGCCATCTGCAAGTGTCCACCATGTCCCCGTCCCAAACAGCCTCTTTCTACGTCGTCGGCGGCCTGGCTGGTCTCGCTGCCTCCTACTACGGCATCCGCTCCTGGGCTGCTGGAGGCAAGGCCAGCAAGCGCGACCTCGCCAAGTCGCTCAGCGGCCGCAACGTCGTCATTGTGAGTTTTTTCTCCTGGCATACGAGCCCCTTTTGTGGTGGCTCGAACAGCCCCGGCACTTGCGACTGACCACTTCCCCTCCCCTCTCATTTCCAGACCGGCGCCAATACCGGTATCGGATACGGTAGGTTGTCGTCGGCGACTTTGCCCCGTTCTGCTGGGCGCCCATGTGCTGTCCTATCACAGGGACCCCATCCAGCTCAAAGGAGTCGCGTCTGGCAAAGAGGCGAGGCGAACCAGATGCTGGAAAGGAGCGGTACTTGGGCCGTTGGTGCTGATATGTGCTGACACTACCGCCTGGCTGTCCCAACGATCAGAGACGGCGCTCCAACTGGCCAAGCAAGGTGCCAGTGTCTATGTGGCCTGCCGCCCTTCGCAAAAGACCGACAATGCCGTCCAGAAGCTGAAGCAGCAGTCCGGCAACACCAACATCTTTGCCGAGTATGTGTGCTGGATGATTGTCGGTCTGAGGTGGCTCTCCGCCAGACAGAGATTCTGCGCATTGCTAGTGAATGAGGCCAGCATACTGACGATGGCTCTCTTGCTCTGCTGCCGATATCGCTGCCGATATTGCTGCGGCGTCACAGACCCCTCGATCTTTCCAGTCTGCAGACTGTCCGCGACTTTGCCCAGCGCTGGGAGAAGCATGGCAAACCCATCCATATCCTGGTATATATCCCGGCGAGCTCTGGAGCTCACTGACTGTCCCCCCACACTCGGGTATAGCGACCCGCCTCGACAAGAGACCTGCCACACATGGAACTAACTAGACTTGTTCCCGCTTGTAGATCAACAACGCTGGTATCATGGCGCTGCCCGAGAAGAACCTCACCGTCGATGGCAACGAGGCGCAGATCGGCACCAACCACCTGGGTAACGTCCTGGCGCCGCCTTGATCGGACTGCTGCTGCCTCCCTTTCATGCGCACCGATCCTTGCTGTTGATGAGTCTGCGTTGCTCGCGATTGCCACCCTGCTGGTGGAAAGATCGCCATGAGTACTGACGTGAATGGATCTGCGGCCTCGCTTTGACCACAGGTCACTTCTTGTTCACCGAGCTCCTCCTGCCCTATGTCAAGAAGGGTGCTGAGGGCACCAGCGCTGCCCGCATCGTCAACCTCAGCTCTGTCGCTCACACTCAAGGCTTCATCGTCCCCGAAGATCTGAACTACGAAAAGGCATGTATCAGAGAATGCAGACGGAGCGGGCTGGTGAGCGAAGCGTCTTCGGGCACAGAACCAGAGTTGCTAATCCGCTACGATCATCACTGCCATGTATACAGCGCGAGTATTCGCCCTGGCAAGTCTACGGCCAGTCCAAGCTGGCCAACATTGTCTACGCCCAGTACTTGGCAAAGCAGCTCAAGGGCTCCAACATCACTGTCAACGCCGTCCATCCTGGTGTGGTACGTAGAGCATATTCTTGCTGGCGGACCGCCTCAGCTCATCTGTGAGCCTCCACGTTGCCCGAGTCGTGACGCAGGACACTTTGCGCATGCCATATGGCTCCCATCGCTTCCGGCATGGGCCATCGCTGAAAGAGTACTGACGGCGCATCTGCCCAACCCCGCAGGTGAACACAGAGCTCACCCGATACATTGATACGGGTATCTTGAAGGTACTGCTCAGCGTCGGCACGATCCTCATGAAGACCCCTTGGGAAGGTGCTCAGACGACCCTCCATGTTGCGCTTTCGGATGAGTGCGAGAAGGTCACTGGCGAGTACTTCCACGACTGCAAAATCCGCAAGCCCGTCCCTCGTGATGGACAGATCCTGGACGACAAGCTCCAGGCTGACTTTATCCAGCACAGCCGCCGTCTTGTCGGTCTCTAAGCTTTCTATCGCCCATCGCCCAATATTCTCTTTGGGACTTTGCCCAGTCTATCGCGCCTTGCTCTTCGCTGTTCCCCACCCCACCCCCATCCTCTTCGTTCCCCCTTGAACTCCACCCGATCAGCAACATTTTAGTACAATCGACAATCTGCCTTCGTTGGCCTCATCACTTTTTATTCCGTGCAGATATGCTTTCTTCGTTCCTGTGTCTGCGCTCTGATTCGGCAAAGCCCGAGCTGAATACAGCGTATGTGTTGATTAACCGTTATAGGATGGCCTTCGTCTGGTCGCAGCAGTCTGGAGCCGCCCCTGTGTCCAGCCCCTGTTTCCTTCACTTCCAAGGCCGCGGGTTGGGAACCTGGGTAGAGACGTTGCAACCCAGCGCAAGGGAGAGCAGACAAGATGTCAGCACAGCTCGATGTCCGTTTGCACATTGCCGATCGCGCCGTAGTTCGCGGTGCTGCTTACCGGATACTTCCACTTGATTTTGATCGGACGTACATAGAGCTGACTGTCGCTGTTTTTGTTGATGCGCTTTAAAGCATCGGCCTGTGGCGCATAGAATCGCTTCAGGCTGCAGCCAAAGATGCCAAAGGCTGGATCAAAGATGTACTCGCCGTTGTCGTCCATCACCTGGCCGTAGAGCGACACCCTTTTCCTGAGCCTGCGTGTCTTCTGGGCGGGCATCTCTGGCGAGTTGCTCTGGGGCGGTGTGGCGTCGTCGTCGTCGTCGTTATCGAGCTTGGAGCTGACTTTGGACGGCCTCTTCTCAGTCGACAGGCGCTCCAGGGACGATGTTTTTGAGCCGACGCGGTGGACAAGAGTCGTTCTCGAGGCCTTTGTCTTTGATAGTCTCGGGGCTTTCCCTGACTTTGCAGGCTCGACTACGATCGTGTCTTGAGATGACTTTGAGTGCAGCTTGACGAGGCGCTTTCGTCGCGGCAAGGCCACTCCCTCGGCGTGGTGCACCTTGGGCTGGTCGGCAGCAGTGTCGGCTCCCGGGGCATCGTCCAGCTCCTCCACCTCTTCGTCCGAGCTCTCGACGGTCTCCTCGGGAACCTTCTGCATACACGCGATGAAGACGCCGTTGCCGCTGTCCGAGGGCGAGATCTTGAGACATTCCTCTGCTCAGCCAACACCGGGGCCGTGATCGATCCGCCGGATTGTCAGAATGCTGATCCCATCGAGTCGCCAGAATAGTCGCCAGAATAGTCGCCAGAATAGTCGCCAGAATGACTCATTTGAGCAGCGGCATATTCAGACACTCGAATATCAATTGATCCTACCATATTCATACTCCTCGGTTCGCTCGTTGATGATCTCCGGTAGCACGCAGGACAGCTCCCATGTGGCGCCCATGCGATCCATGATTTCCTCAACAACCTGCTCGTTTTCTTCCTGGTGCGTTGACCTTGTGATGTACAGGATCGTTTTGACACTGGGAACTGGAGCAGCCGAAGCAGAGACAGCAAGCCAGCACGGTTACAGGTTATCGCGGGAGGCATCAAGTGAATAGAGTACCGAGGCACGGCACGGCGCTGGATTGATGGCGCACACTTGTGCCTGGAGCTGATGGAGCAGTGCGAGCCGTCACAGCAGACAGACAGAAGAGAGGATCCCTACGCTGGAGCGCATGCTTGATCATGTTATACTGCTGCCTCTTGAGCGAGAACAGGTCCTTCTGCGTATGTTGGTCATAGGGGAACTCTGCAGCACACGAGCGAGCGCTCTGCCCGTCAGTCCGAGAGGCGCAGCTACCAAAGCATTGCAAAGTACAGGACTGGCATCGCTTACTCGCGCCCCCATCTCCAGCCTACCTTCCTCCTGGAGCAAATATCCAAGCTTGTCGATGATGCTGGTGCCTGAGTTGGGCGGCTCGATAACGACAACGGACACCTGCCACGAGAATCTGTCAGTATCACAAAGGGCCACACCACAGGACGGGCTGCTTTGGCACTCTTGCTGTCATTCGCTTGATACTAACCTGACTATAGAGTGGATCTCGGACATCGATGTTCATGAAATCCATATCCACGGCCTCCACATCTGAAAGACGGGTTTCGGCAAGTCAGTCCCACGGATGCTTAGTACACCAGCACAAGAGAACATGGCGCAGCGATCATGCGGCCGGTGGGGTCGCGCTCATACTTTTGATCCCGTGGGTTTTGAGCCGCGAAACCAGAGTTTCATATCGGCTCTTGCGGCTCTCGAACGCAAAGATTCTCCCTTTGCTTCCGAGGATATCGGCAAGATGGCTGGTTTTGGTTCCTGGAGTGGGTCGACGACACAGCACCAAGTGCGCGGATACGTCACTAACACGGTGGCGCTGATCCCTGCCAGCTGGCTCTCAGGGTCGTGATTGCTCGGCCAAGCCAGGTAGCACCAAATACTCCCCCCCCCTCGACACAGTGCTCGCCAGATTGTACGAGAATACAGATAGGACAGGACTAAAATCGACAGTGTCGCATCAGGTATGCCCATCGTGCATACCGCATCCGGCGCGCGCATCAATAACTTGAGCGTCCGGAGATATCAGGGTCTTGAGGTGCCTGAGTCCGTACATGCTGGCCTTGTCCTATCCATGGAGCGGCCTGTATGTCAGACATTCTGCCGTTCCAATTGCTAAGCAAGGCTCAAACACATCACGGAGTACAAACCTGAAAAATCAGGCGGCCTTCGACCACCGGCGGCGACAGCTTTAGAGCCTCATAGTAGTCTGCCGGAATCACCAGCACGTCGTCAAAGTCAAAGTCCAGACAAATGACATCGGCCAGTGTGCTGAGGGAGCAAAGATAGCCTCGGGTCAGCTGCGTGTCGCATGCGCCGTTGCGCTGTTCAAAGCCGATCTTGCCAGGCTTCATCCAGATTGTCACGAAACCACCATTCACAGCCATAGGTGATCTCTGCGGGTATTACGGGTCGCAGTGGGAACGCTTTGCTTCTCCGTCGCCGCTGCAAATTCGATCAAATGCCGTGAAACTTACTCCTCCGATCCTCCTTGCACATGCTTTGCTGTAAGTTGCACGGGAAATCCGAGACGCTTGAGCTCGTCGGTTATTTTGAGCTTGCTTGTCTTGACGGTGTTGATACGGGCCATCTTTGGCATTTCCCCTGCAACACGAAGAGTTTGAATCTGATGAGCAAGTCTGTGCCCCGGCCAGTTCTGTCGCATTTATGACCGGGCCCAGCAGACAGCACCGATATTGGGGCCTAGGAGACCCATTCTACCTGCAATCTGCTCTCGTGCCCTCACTTCCTCGGGAAGGATATTCATGAGCTGCTCAACCGAGCTACTTCCGATGGCTTGTTTTTCGATCCGGATGCGTGCGAATGCGGCTGCGAGCTTAGTGCGGTGACTCTTGAGGCACTCGTCGAGCTCCTGCACCATTGCCACCCGCTCGAGATCTCCAGGAGTTGGATCGGTCACGTCGAAGCGGATGCCGGGGAATCTTTGGTAGTCAAAGTTGTGTTTCATGAGTTGGTACAAAAATACCTTGACGACCGACAGGTGGTGGAGGAACTGTGCCAGTTGGGTAGCAATTGGGTCAGTTCGGCATCGCGCTCACCTCTTGCGTATCTTGCATCTCGGAGCGGTCCGCGATTCGTCGAGAAGGGTGAGTATCGTGGCTCGCAATTCCGATCCACCTCGCCACAAGACCAAACCTGATTGTTGTACACCAAGAACTGTGTCTTGACCAAAATGATATCGATGTAGGGCAGGTCTGGCGGCAGCGAGGGGCCAGCACAAGTTAATCGTCCGTCGTCGGCGAGTGTGTCGACGCGGCTCGGCTCTCGATGATGGCAGCAGCCCGTCCACTCGGCAGAATCGAATGGAGGCATCTCTCGCCAATATTCGCTGTTAACATGGGCGAGCGCTCGCTCGCAGGACAAAGCCCGAGGCTGGCCTACATTTCATCGTGCCGTACACAAGTTTAAGGACGTGGTCGGTCATCTCCCTCCAGAGCTCCCCTTGGCTCATCGAGTGCCGCTTTGTGATGGTGATGCCAGCTAAGGAGCCCTCCGCGACAATGCTCTCCAGAACTTCGGCGGCTTGAATTATCTCGCGGTAGGAGCTTGCTACGTCCAGGTCGACGCTCTCGAAGAATGAGCTGGGCTTGCGAGACGAGAGGATGGGTTCGGATCGCGCTTGGAGCGGCGCCGGTGAGCATGCAGATCCATCCGGGACTGGATCCGATGCCGAAGGCGCTGGGGCGAGAGCACTTTCTGAGAAAAACGGCCTGAGGCCATCTTTCTTGTGCTTGTGAGTACGCGCGGGCGCTCCCACTGAGTTGCGACTCATACTGGCTCGGCCGGGTGGAGAGGGGTGGGGATAGAGAGACAGCTGCTGCAGCGATGGTGGGTCGTCCGTTGGTATCGGGAGGCTGAGCGTGAGAAAGCCCTGCGTCTGCCAAGCGCACAAACCAGCAGAGCGAAGTAGCCGATGCTGGGCGCCTGAATCGGGCCGGTATGCTGCGCTTCCAAAACGAAATGAAACACCCAATGGCTTTTCCAAACCGAAGCGGAGCGCTTCACGCCTGTCGAGGGCTTGTGTGGCTGCTCAGTGCGAATGACGTATGCGTGATCGGCGCCCACACTTCCAAGTGCTGGCTGATTTCTGGGCAGATCCAGCTGGCCTGAGATTGTGACATCCACTATGTCCCCCATGCCGACTCGCACCGCCATTCCGAGCTTCGAGAATGGCGAGGCAGCGCCGTGAATCCGTGAGGGTTGCGTCGCCATCGCAAAGCGAGCACGTTCAACAAAACCCCCGAGTCTTGGGTCTTCGGAGGGAGTACCTGGGGCTGACACCCACATCGACACATCAATATCAGTCGATCATCGCCATAATGGATCGGTCGAGTGTATTCAAAACTAAACCAACCAAATCAAAGAGGTTGCTAACCAGGGCGGGAAACTATCGCATGGCTTGCTCACTGGAGCCTACGGATCAGCAGACTTGGGTCGCTGATGCCAGAAAGTGACTGGCCCGTTTCTCTCTGGATTGACTGTACAGTTCAGCACGCCTTGCTCAGGCACGAGGGGAAGAGAGGATCGCCCAAGCTGGTGTGCATTCTGAAACAGTCATCACTCTCGCCTCCGTTTGGTAGCAATTCGGAGCCGATCGCTGCACTGGGACTTGGAGCGAGTCCCAACCCACTCTGCAAGCGTAGCGGCGTCGACGCCTGCGCCAAAGTGCTGGACGGCGGCATTGAAGCGCTGGATTTCTTCAGGCAGCCATTGGCCCTTGCGGAATTTTGGATTGATCTTTGTCCAGCGGTCCCAACACTGGATATTGGTTCGCGTCTGCACATGCAGAGCCACTTGCTGCCAGTTGCTCTCGCCGAATCTGGCGACGGCCTCTCGCAAGCGGCTGTCTTCGTCCGACGTAAATGGCCTAGAGGACGAAATGGCCCGAGCCACGGAATTCAGATGTAAATCTTCCGTTCCAGACCACCATATCCATCCGATGCGATCGGCGCACTTGGCCCCATTCAGTCAAGTCAGGAGGGCTGAGTGGGTCTCGTGCGATACACTTGATAAACCAACGATGGGTCCCGGACGGTGCTGCGTTCTGACAATAGTACCCGCGAGTGATAGAATGAGTTCGAAACTCTCGCTGAAATGTGCGGAAGCAGTCAATCGGCAGTCGCGGGATCTGGAGGGAGCGACGCTCGTGTGAGAACATCCGCAACGGCCAAGCATCGATCAGGACCTGCCACGCATTCGCCTTCGACATACTCCTGTCTGGGCATGCATATCCTCAGCGACTTGAAGCCAGTTCCGCTCTTGGTGCGCGATGGCAATGCGCTGGAGGTGTGTCTTTTCCTCAGGAGTCCATGCTCCTTGATGATGCCGTGGTGACTGGCAGAGCCGCCACTGGATCTCGCAAGCTCGGGCTGTCCGTTGGGGGAACTGCATGGCATGGATGGGTAAGAATCACACAGCCGGGCACATCGGGCAAATCAGGCACATCGAGCACATCAAGGAAGCCAAGCTCACCCACATGGTCCCTCTGGATCTCAGTCCAGTCGAGCGCATCGCTGTCGATTTGCTCGAGTATCCGCTGTTTCTGTCCTGGGGTCAGATCGTGCAAGCGGATCTCGGGGCTGGGGTCGACAGAGTCAGTCTCATTCAAGTGCGCTCAGACTCAAAGGCAAGTGCCTCCTGATTCCATGGAGGAACGCTCCTCAAGCAACCGGCACTTACTGTGTTCGCTGATGATGGACCAGAACAACCTTCTCGAGTTGCAGACGATCTGCGACCGGTCCTGGGATATGTAAGAAATCGTCAGGCGTTTGCGACAGAACCGAGTGCGCCTGCACAATAAGACCGGTTCGGAGGCGCCCGATAGCTTTGCAGTTCGTACATGCCGTGCGGCTGCTCAAGGCATGGCATTTGCGCATGGGGGTGGAGGCGAGCAGCAGCAGGGTGTCGGTATTTGGATGCGGCTCGGTTGCCGCCTGGGAGCGTCCGGGAGCGAGTTAGCTCATGTCGAACGAAAGAGATGGTGAACTCGCAGCGAAACAATGGCAAGGTATCAGGGTGGCTCTTACAGCATGGCCTGGTCGATCCAAGCGGAAATGGGGTGGTCTGAGGTGGACTGGGGTATGCCGCTTCCAGAAGCCAGACGATGGAGGAGATTCATCCGCAAGGACGCTCTACAGCCGGAGAGTCCATCAGCACGGTGCCTCGTAGCGAGTCAGCTGGGGCTGGTTGTGCATTTCGGTACCCTGTATTGATCTCCGATGATCTCGGAATTGTCCAGATCAGCCAAGCACTGCTGCAGGATGGTCTGCAGTCGCCGATTTAGCTCCAGAGCCTGCGTAATCTCCCGAAGTTTGGCGTCTCGGTCCGCGCCGGATAGGACACTGCATTTGTCGCTGCTTTCCATTCAGGCGATGCCGCCAGGGCTGCTGCAGGCGAGAATGGCTTGGGCAGATGGAGTCGAAGGCACACACGGGTTGCTGGACAGAAAGCATGGCGCCGGTCATGTGTCAGTCACGTTGTACTGCGCCACATCCAGTCCAGTCGGATGTGCCTGCTCCTCTGTCCATCCCGCCTGACATTGCTCCAGCCCGAGAGGCCGCAGCTTTGAAGTACTGGCGTTTCCGCCGCCTGCACTCTGCTCGATGGCTTTCAGTGCAGTCTTCGTCTGTATTGCACCTGGTCTTGTCACGACCAGTCAAACAATCGCGTTGGCAGTTCCATAAGCAGTATATGAACGAGCCAGCCATCCGAGCTCATTGGCTCAACAGCTGATTTCGAGTGCTCAATGTCCGGTCGGATACTAGCTTATCGTCTACCAGCGCGTCTTCAATCCCGTGACTGGACTCGCCGTGGCCAACATCGGCTGCTTGTTGAAGCGGCTCTGTCGCCCAATCCACGTTCAGGGTAATGCCATCAGCTTGGTGGGGGCAGAGCCCGAGACCAACTGTTTCCTTGCTGTGTCTCTGCTTGGCCATGTCCAAGGATAATCGGAAGAGAGCTTGTTGGCCTCGATGATCGGCTGCTTCAGCGGACTCACGGAAGCAGGAGAGCGCGTGGTGTAGATCCGGCTCGGTTCCATAGCCGTCACGGAGGCAAATGCCAAGATACAGCTTGGCATCTCTATCGTTTTGGGCTGCCAGTGAACCCGATAGACGAAGCAGCTGACTCCCTGCAGCTGCACAGCCTTGCTTGGCAGCTTTGAGGAGCCACTCAAGCGCCAGCCGGTTACTGGCCTGGTATCCCTTGCAATCCTCGAAACACCGTGCCAACTCGCATTGCTCCTCGGGGGTTGAGCCCTCGATGTCCTCCAGCAGGTCAAAAAGTCGACTCTGCGCATCCGTGTGGCCTTGTCTTGCCGCCTTGCGATACCATTCGATGGCCTTGCCCTGTTCCGGACTGGTACCGATTCCCCGATCGAAGCAAAGCCCAAGAGCAAACTCGGCTTCAGTGTTGCCGCGCCTGGAGTACTCGAGCGAGAGCGGCAGAAGTCGGCGTCTTGCTTCTGGGTGGGCCTGATTGGCTGCGAGTCCGTACCAGTGAAGAGCATGTGTTATGTCGGCTGGGGTACCGATGCCTCTCTCGAAGCAGCGACCGAGATGATATTGAGCTTCTGTGCTTCGGCCGTTGGCGGCTTCCAAGTACAGCTCAAATGCCCGCCGGCAGTCCGCGTCGTTCTGTGCCCGCTCTTCGAGCAGACAGCCGAGTTTGATTTGTGCATCCAGATATCCGCCGCGAGCGGCTCGTTCCAGCCATTCAACCAGCTTGTCTTGGTCTGGAGCTAGATCTGCTCCTTGCTCAAAGCACAACGCTGTGTGGTATTGAGCTGGGACATGGCCAGCTTGAGCAGCCCGAGAGAACCAGCCGAGAGCCTGGGGCAGATCGGGTGCCGTCCCGATACCATCTCGGAAGCACATGCCCAGATGGTACTGTGCGTCAGCGAAGCCGGCCTCAGCAGCGATCCGATATGCCCGACGAGCCTTGTCCATACTGTCTTGACAGAATGCGTTGCTCTGCCAACAGAGTGCTGCCCAGAAATGGGTCTGCGGGCACTTGAGATAGATGGGCTGCAGGAGAAGAATCGCAGGTCAGATAACGCTTCTTCGAGCCTGCGATGAGACCACCTGCCTACTTACGCAGATCGTCAAGAGCGCCCGAGTTGCCACAGCGAGTGCTCCATATGCGTTCGTGACTTGTGCCTTGTCCGAGAAGAGTCGAGGCGGGATCTTGAGGATGTGGTGCCCATGCCGCATCCAGTAGGGAGACGGTGGGCTGGGGTGCTTTTGCCAGAGGCCCGCGCTCGCCTGGCTGCGACTTGAGGGATGCCCTTGGATGTTCTCGTTTGCTTGGACAAAGAGTGCATCAACGAGCTCCCATGTGATCCATCGGCCAGAGACATCTACTGAGCGCAGGACCCGACCATCTGGCCGCACCGAGACCGAGGTAATGCCGCAGCCGTGTCCATCAAGAATCTGACAGAGTCGTCCACTCACACCGTTCCAGACTCTCACAAAAGCGTCAGTCGAGCCGGTAGCGACCGTCACGCCATCGGACGAAGTGTCGACTGCGGAGACCTGGCTGGAGAAGGCCTGTAGCGTCAGCTTCAGCCGACCTGTTTCAGCATCCCAAACCCGAGCAGACTTGTCACTGGACCCTGACATGGCCGTTTTGCCGTCAGAGGACACGCAAACAGAGAGGATGTAGTCGCTGTGACCTTCAAGGGTATGCTTCAGCTCGCCCGTCGTCGTGGACCACACCTTGACGGTTTTGTCGTTCGAGGAAGAGAAAAGCGTCCTGCCGTCTGGGGTGATGGCCAAGCCCCGGACATCGGCACCATGTCCGGACAGAACCCTGAGGAGTGTCCCCGAGGCAACATCCCACATCCTTATCATGCTGTCGTTGGAGCCCGAGACGACAACCCGTGCGTCTGGCGAGACGGCGACAGCCCACAGCGAGGTTGAGTTTCCGGAGAGTGACTTTCGGAGCTGGCCGGTCGCAAAGTCCCATATCTTGATAGTGCAGTCGTTTGACACCGACGCGACGATCTCATCGTTCGCCGACAGAGCCACCGACTTGACATGGCCTCCGTGTCCCTCGAGCGTTCGTTTCACCAGTCCATTTGCAGCACACCAAATTTTGACGGTGCGATCCTTGGAGGCAGAAACGACGTGGTTGCTATCCGAAGCAACGGCCAGGGAGCTAACCCAGTCGTGGTGCACCTTGTATTCGCCTTCGGTCTTCATGGTGGTCAGATTCCATATTCTGACAGTGTGGTCGCTCGACCCAGAATACAGCGTCCTTCCGTCTGGTGAAACTGCAATGCACAGTATATATCCATTCTGGCCATGAAGCGTCCTCTGCAGCTCGCCTGTTTGAGCGTTCCAGACTCGAATGGTCGCGTCGTCTGAGCCAGTGAGATAGTGTCGGCCATCGAGCGACGCGGCTGTAGATGTGACCCAGTCGGTATGGCCCTTGGAACGTCGAGACAGTCCCCCAATCGAATTATCGGCCGTATCGTTCGCTTTGGGGCACAGGAGCGATGGCTCTCCCAAGACTGAGTCCATCGTAGCGGTGCGTCCTGGCAAACACGGCGGCCTATACACGAGGCCGGCGACCTCCCATATCTTGACTAGCCCGTCTTCTGATGCTGAACAGACAGTTCTAGCATCCGAGGAGATTACCACCGATCGGATTGCTGCGGAATGTCCCTCGAGGACCACCGGACTCTGAGAAACAGTGCGGTTCCAGACGGCGATGGCTCCGTCGTTTGAGCCGGCGACGACCGACAGACCATAGTGAGAAATTGCAACAGAGAGCACAAGGCCAGGGCTGCCTTCGAGTATCTGGAGCAGCCGACCGCTCTGGAACTCCCAGATTCGGACAGTTTTGTCGCTCGATCCTGAGACGATTGTGGATCCGTCCGAGGACACTGCGACGGCATTGACCCAGTCCGAGTGGCCTTGGAGCGTTTGCTTCAGCTCGCCTGACAGAACATCATAGAGCCGAACTTGGCCATCGCCGGATCCAGACACGATATGTCTTCCGTCTGGCGAAAACACGACGGAGTAGACGCTTGCTCGATGGCCTTGTAGAGTGTGTACCAACTGCCCGGTGACGGCGTTCCAAACTCGCGCGGTTTTGTCTCTCGATCCAGATACGATCCAATTTCTATCGGATGAGATTGCGACGGAGCGAACGTGGTCGGTATGCCCTTCTAAAACTGCGACCTGACAAGCGGATGTGGTCTCCCATACTCTAACAGCCTTGTCACTGGCCCCTGATATGATCCACTTGCCATCCAGGGAGATTGCCACGGAGTTCACATAGCTTCTCTTGGTATACAGCACAGACTTCAGCATGCCTGTGACAGAGTCCCAGATCCGGACTGCGCCATCGCTGGACCCGGAAACGACCACTTTCCATAGTGTCGATATGGCGACGGATGTTGCGGCGCTGGTATGTTCTGTGAGTGTCATCACACACGGATCCCAGGTGGGTGCTGGACCGCAGGTGACCAGGAACGGAATCTTGTCCTCGAGTTGGTCGGCATATGTCTTGTAGATCGTTGTCTCCTTCGGTGTGAATGCATATCCCGAGTTGTACACCTGTGGTGCACTCTTGATGATCGGGTCGGCAAACTCGCGGATGAATCGATACGTGTCCTTGACCAGTTCCTTCGTGGTGTCGTCGACGATGGTGCTGGGTGCCTTGGCGATCACTCCTCGCAGCACAGCCAGTTGCTCGATGATCGGCCTGACCACATGTGTGAGCGACCCACACTCGAGCCAGAAGAACACATGCGTCTTGACGAACCGAGTGAGCACCGCTGCCACATCGACCATCTCGGCCGACTGCCACACCGGACTCGACTCGGCCACTCCTTCCACACACCACACAAAGTGTGTGATCCAGTGCGCGACGCTGTATCGCAGCGACGGTGTGATCTTGACTGCGACCCTGTCCTCGAGGTCTGGGATATCGTCGTGAAAGTCGAAGATCTCGCAGATGTTGATCACTGGCTCGTGCGAGAGGATCACGCCGAGACATCCCTTGGCAAACACCGTGTGGAACGAGTCCGACACATGCCATGGATGGCCAGTCGATGTATCGCCGAGGAGATAGTCCGCCACCGACTTGTGGTTGAACTTGACCTCGGTGTTGGTGGACTGGCTGCCTCGGGGACCCAATCCATTGGCGCCAGGATCGAGGACCAGACTGAGGCTCTTGAGACACTCGCGAACGACGCCGATCTCGAGTCCAAACACATCAGCGATGATCTGTGGGGTCAAGATCGACTGGGCCGTGGCGATCGCCGACACCACCGTGACCAGCTCGGCCGGGTGGTTCGACTGCGAGTGGATCTTGGCGAATGTCTTGTGGTACAGCTGGCCGACATCGGCGGCGCTGTCGTTGATGTCCTTGATCGTGGTGAGTGTCACTGGGCCGGCTGTGGATGCTGCGTCGCTCTCCTCGCACGGCGTCGATCCAGGCTCGGGAGTCTCCAGCTCGTGCTCGACGGTGTTGAGGATCAGGTTGATCCACACGAATGTCTTGGACTGGTCCAGCAGCACCGAGATCGCCTGGGTGCGGTCCGACTCGCTGAGGCTGGGATGGTCCCTGAGACGATGGTCGATGAACACCCGGAGGTCGCGGATGTTGTCCTCGCTCGACGGCTCGATCGTCGTGGTCGGCACTCCTCGGAAGGCATCCCTGATGTCGGCCTCGGGGCGGGACGTCAGCAGCAGCTTGATCCGGGACTCGTCCTTCAGCTGTGTGAGTCGCCAGGCCAGGAGCGACAGGATCTCGTCGCGCGGATGGCACTCGTCCAGTCCATCGACCATCACCACGACGGCTCCCTTGGGCCGGTACTGGCCAAGAGCCTCGAGTGGATCCTCAATCAAGGCCTTGAACAGGTCCGGGATGCTCATCTTGTCGAGGTCGTCCTTGGTGTGGCCAGCGTCGAGGAACCGACGGCCGATCGGTGCGTACCAGCGACACAGTCCATATGCGATCGTGGTCAGCAGGATGCGGGGGTTGTTCTTGCGGGTGTCGTTGTACTTGAGGAACAGCGATGTCGCCAGCTGGTCCCGGCCAAGCAGGATGTTGGCGATCTGGGCAGCAGCGACGGACTTGCCGACACCGGCGACGGCATTGACCCACAGGACCCGGTCGGCGTTGTCGTCGTCGTCGACCCAGGCAGTGACATGGTCAAACAGCCACTGGCGGGTGCCTTCGACATACAGATCCTCGAGCGCCTTCCTGTCGGGGTCAAAGTCGATGGGATCGAGCAGGACGCGGAGCTGCGAGTCTTCGTCGGCAGCGAGGACGATGGGTCGGCTCTGGTGGTAGAGCTCGCCATCGAACGTTGCTCTCTTTGACTTGGAAACGAGCTCGCGGATGTTTGGCACAAGTCTGTGGTACTAGAGATAGATCAGAAGTGTGTCATCTTCACTTCTTATTGCTTGGTCTTGGACCTACCGCTTCAATGCGTTTCCGTCAACAGCATCAAGTGCCTGAATCTGCATCAGCTCCTTGAAAGTCTGACGGATGGTCATTGGACGGCCGTCAAACAGCGGGCTCTTTCGGTGAGCGGGAGCTGAATCCGGGAAGTCGTTTGGGTTGGGAAAGTATTTCTTCTGGAGGACCTCGCCGCCCAGTTGCTTTGTCGACCAGACGTAGACGGGTTGGGTGATGATAGTGCTGCCAGAGGCAGCAGCGTCCATCATTGCCTTGAGAGCATGTTGCACCTGCGACGAAAACGTTTCTGGCCATCAGCTTCACACGATCTGGCGTTGTGGAGACAACGCCGTTGGGCCGATGCGATGCACGATTGGCCTACCTCGAGAAATTGGTTATCGGGGACCAAATGGGCTTCATGCGTTCGCTTTAACCCCTCCTCGGAGAGCAGCAACACAATCACTGGCGATCGATGGAGGCCGTTGATGAAGCCCTGCTCCCAGTCCTGGCCGTCGCGAAGGCACAGGTGGTCGAGATAGGGATGCAGCTCCTCCTCGCTCTTCTTCCTGGACGTGAGCGCGCCGACGAGCAGATTGGCTTTATCGCTCTCGCTCGAAACTCGATAGCTGCATGGCGATCGATGTCAGTATAGTCTGGTGCTATGATGTTGAGTGTCCAGGTGGCTGTTGACGGATCGTACCTGATGAACACATCGTGGTTGCTGCACTCAAGCTGGCACTCCCAGCGTGGTAGAATCTCGGCTGGTTGATAATATTCTGGGCTGCGAGAGACTGGCACGAGGCTGTAAGTCTCGCCGGTAACTCCAGAAGTGCCGTGCTGGCTGCTACTCGCCACAGCGACCCCAGTTACTGCTGCGAGGGGTGGAGCATCTGGGCCGCCAAGTCTGTGTTCTTTCTGTGCCTTGAGGACCTTCTTGATGGTGCCGCCCTTCATTTCCATCTCCTTCATGTCCTCCTCGGTCAGCTCAAGGATCTATGATGGCAAGAAGCATGAGCCGCAGTCCTGTTTATCTGCAGACCGGAATGTCACTTACAAGATCGATTGTGTCATAGTCGTTCTCCAGGAACAGGTTCTTGCTCTTCTCCAGCCCGTATCGCTTCAAAAATTCATCAAAGTCGGCTGTTCATACGAATCCCGGAGAGTCAGCAGCAAGTCCCTTCGGCGGTGCATGAGTCTTGGTTGGATCCGCGGAGGTATGGAGGTCGATACAAACCCTGGCTCATCTTGGTGGTGGGATCGATGGGAATGCAGATCTGAGCAGGACACTGTTTTGTCCCAAAAGCATCCACAATCCGATGCCCAAGAGCACCATCCATTGCCGGCGCACCGCCTTGGCTGATTGATCGTGTGATGCACTTCTGGAACTGAATCAAGGACACTTCTGTGAGCAGCATCACTGTCAGCCCAAAATGCGCTGGTTTCGAGGATATTCACCCTTGCCGAAGGGCAGAACCAGCCATCGGCGCTTCTCTCTCGCACAGATGGAGACATGCTGGACTGCACTTCAACCTGACGAGGCGACGGCGACTCAAGCGACTCGATCTCCAGGTGTGCTCACAGTGCTGGGAAGCCAAGCGACTCGAGAAGGCCGAGTATCTTGATGTCGAGAAACCATGGAGCTGTCCACAGAGTCGAATGCATCCATCACACTCCCACATCACCACAGGAGATCAAGTGTATTCAAGACCATGCTTCCAAAACCAATCAAAACAAAGAGATTGCCAACCAGGACGGGAAATAACCGCACAGCTGCAAGCCAACAGCAGCCTACGGAAGTTCCGCAGGCTTCAGGCCCCTGAAACTAGAAAACGACTATCCCGGTTTTCTGGATAGACTGTACACAAACCGCATGAAAGACCCGCTTTCACCTTCTTTATCCCCCCTTCCAACTCGGATGTAGGTCTCGACCGTCCGCCACAAGAGTTTACACAAATCCGTACATATCGCCCATGATGCCGCTCTGGCCGTATCCAATCCAGAAGAAGCCCTTGGTGCCCCACCAGGTATCCCAGGAGTTCTGGCAGAGCCAAGCTTGCAAGGTGTCGTCCCATCCGACGCAGGCGACGGCATGTCCTCCGACAAGGGGCTGGTTGGCACCTTGATGGTACACCTGGTTGTTCGAGCAGCAGTTCATAAAATCCTCGTCTGGCAAGCACAAAGAGACGGAGTGATTGGGTAGATATGTGTCAGTATCCTATTCGACGCATATGGAGGTGCGGCCATTACTTTGGCAGCTGCGGGATGGGTTGGTACTCACAGACGGTCAGGGCCGTGAGCACGGCGCCGTTGGTGAGAATGTGTCGCTTGGCCTCCACCGTGCTCGGGATGTGATGCGAGACCAGTCCAAGGTGGCGGCCTTGGGGACAGCCGAAGGTGCATGCCTGCTGGACCGGTTTGTACGCAAAGCAGCTGTCCGACACAAACCCGTACTGGCTGACCTTGCGAGCAGCAGTGTCGATCGACCAGCCATTCGCGCAGCTGGCATCGGCATAACCGACGCAGAAGAAAATATCGGCGGCCGACACGACCATATTGACCCCCTGGGTCTTGAGGGTGCTCTCGAGTGTCGACGAGGTCGAGAAGCCCACACAGCTGGCGCAGCCGCCTTGGTTCTTCACTGCGCCGACCCGGTTGCTGCTGATCAGACTGAAGGACGACGGCAGCACTGCTGCATACACGACCTCAGAGTTTGCCGTCGGAGAAGCGGTCTGTTTGGGCGAGAAGTGGCTTAGTCTGACAATATGCGAGGATCGTGGGCTGATATGCGCACACCAGCACCGAGAGTGGCTCTCGCCAGTGCAGCGAATGTGCCTCGACGGCCCAGAGCATGCAGCCACAGCCTCGGCCGGTTTTGGCCAGCCGCTATGTGTGCAGTACAAGTGCACGGGCATACCTGAACATTGTTCACAACGGTTTGAAGCGTAGCAGGATTTTGGAGATCGTTTGGGGAGATTCCCTGGCTGCCCATGTAGGTCTGTGCGGCTTTGTGGAGGGAAGCAAAGTTGGGGTCGTTTATGACGCCCTGGTAGTGGTAGTTGACATCTCTGCCGCTCTTCTCGATCTGGATGGCTTGGGACTGGTTGATTTTGTTCAGGTAGGTGCGGAGAGTCGTCAGGTCCAAAGAAGGATCTGTCCGCACCGGGCCCGACAAGACAGAGTCGCCGCAGCTTCAGGTCAGTGCGATGTGCCAAAGTGCTGCTGGTCAGTCTCCAGCGCCGTACCTCGCCCAGATGCACCGGGCTGGTCTTCAAAGCGCTGCTTACCTCGTGAGTTTAACACAGTGTTTGCCAGTGCCGGTGGCAGCATTGAAGCCACAGCGACGGCGCCTAAGATACGATTCACAATATGAGGAGCAGTACGAGCGCTATCCGGCGAGCACAGAGTACCCAGGCTCGCCTACACACGACCGCTCCAGAAAATGCATCCTGCGGAACATGTCTTTCTACTTCAGAAGTGGCCGCGCTCCAGTGCATTGAGGCAGCCTACCACAAGCGAGGACTTTGACAGAGAAAACCTTCATTGTACTGAGGTCTGACGGGGGGGGGCAAATTCATAGAGGAGGCCGAGGTGATTTACTAAAACCTGGATGGCGGTTGGTCGTTGCTTTATAGCAGCACCGCTCATGCGAAACAGATTCGCAGACGGCTCAAGCGACCAGCCTCGTCATCGACATCGCAACAATGGTCGCGATCTCATATCTTGCATGTTTGGTCGTGGTCGAATCATAAATGCCTGGAGACGTCAGTCGCAGGCAAATGCTGTGCCAACCAATCGCTTGGCGGCCATGCAAACAGGCGAGAATCGGTTCCGCTCGATATGCCACCCAGGCTCATATCGCCGCCGAGCGACCTTTATGTTGCAGGATCCATGGACTTATGTCTGACCGGGTGCATCATCGGATTCAAGCGACAGAAACAATGACTGTGGATGGTCGGCCTTAGCAGCTGCACTGACCCCTCGCCCCAACCACATATTGCAGCAGCCTGGGTACTTATGCCTTCCTCAGCTGACCACCTGATGTCGTAGCACTTCTTGCCGGGATCCGCAGTGACAACAGCATGCTCAGGCGACTCGCTCGCCTTTAAGCCCCACGATCGTCCTGCAATGTCGGCTCTGCAAGACCCTCCAGCCCCTCGGTTCCACGCAAGCATCCCGCTCAACACCTGCAAGTCATATCGACACATCTCTTCGCGCCCAAAGCTACCATGAGACTGACAATAGGCAAGGAGTCCTGTTGCACTCGGACACAGCAAGCACCTGGGCGGTGCTTGTGGCATGGGTACTTATCCTTTGTCTGCTCCCGGCAGCTTGCGCAGCGCTTCTGGCAGTCAGTTCTGGCCTCGTCACTGCCCTTCCAGCAGTTGTTTCGGAGCAAGGTGGGATGCATGTCCTTCCCGCAAAAGTCAAGTCAGCAACATCACGGAGACCCATTTCCCACGGACTCAGTATCGCATTACCTCGGCACTAACGCCCTCTGGCTGATGCACTCATCTCACCATTCGATAGATGGGAACCGCATTCTCCGTCGAGTGCGGCCCAGAGACTCGAGCACGCCGCCGCCGCTGATCGACATCTCGGTGAGCCAGGTCCAGGCGCTTGATTCCGCAGCCGAGTATTATCACTACCAATATCAGCTGCTGAAGGACACGATCGAAAAACTGGGTCTCAAGGACGCCGTGTACGCATATATGCAAAAGAACGACCTGACGATGCAGGACCTGAACGATCCCGCTGTCTTTCAGCGCGTTGTCGATGCCTTGGAGGTAAGCATCAGCGATGAGTGCTGGAGGAATAATGTTGGAGGGCAAGTGTTCGTAGCGGAGGGCTGGGAGGCGTCGCCTTGACCTGGTGCTGGCGATTGTCTCTAATGCAGTTCGCCTGGATCGTTTCGTTGGCAGAGTGTGGCTTACAGCTCGGTTCTGGTCGGTACAGCTGCCGTGGAGCTGACCCTTCCGTCCAGCTACGACCTGCGAAAGCAGGGTCGGGTCGGACAAATCAAGAACCAAGGCCAGTGTGCCAGCTGCGTTGGATTCTCCAGTTCGTCCGTCATCGAAAGCACCATGATGACGCTCGGTCAAACGCTGACGGCATCACCCTCAGACATATTTTTCTGTCTCGGGACTGGTGCTGCCCACTGCGCAACTGGATGGAATGTCGGCGATGCCGCAAGCAAGATACAGTCGTATGGATTCGTCGAGGACTCGTGCTTCCCGTATCCAAGCACTGCCCTGGCTTCAGGCCAGGATGCCACTTGCGTGCACTCTAGCTGCTCCCGACACATGGATCTGCAAATGACGCTGTTGACGGGTAACCAAGGTGTTGCCATGCAACGAGTCAAGCGCAACATGATGACTAACGGGGCCGTGCTGACCTGGATCGTGATCTGTATGTTGAACCATGAGCGCTGTGCAATATGGCGGGTTTGCGGTGCATGTGCCGGTTGACTCATGGTGATGGGGCGGAGGCAACCGCTGTTTGATGTTGGATGGCAAAAGATGGAGCGGCAGCGGTTCCATGCCAGCTTGATGCCGTTCTCTGGCCGGTCCAGGTGCTGCAGGACTGCATCGAGGGTCGAGCATTGATCCATTTGCTCTCCCCAGACGCTAGCTTCGATACGATGACGTCTTGTCGAAACCAAGAGGACGCAAGCGGAAACCCAATCTCGGCGTGGAAGTTGCAGTCCACCGACACCACACCCCTGGGCGGGCACGCCATCGCCTGCGTGGGATGGAACGACAGCCTGCAGGCCTGGCTCTGTCAGAACTCTTGGGGAAGTAGCTGGGGCAACAATGGATTCTTCTGGATTGGATATGGCCAGGCTGGCGTCATGGGCGAGGCCTATGGATTCTTCTGAACTTGCCCCAAATAGAGCCAGCGGGGCAGTCCGAGTCGCCGCCAGCGGTCACTCAACTCTGGCATTCTGAATACATGCCGTCGCAAGATTCATGGTCAGCATTTGTGTGTGGATGGCTGCAGCAAGAGAGGGCGTGCGTAGACGATGCACGACATGATAGTCATCGATGCAGTCGATGGCAATATGCACGGACATACGCCATGACAATATTCCCAGACACACTCAAGGGTCGTGATTCTGGAAATCTTGAGAGTGGTGTCCTTGGATTGGCCAAACAGGGAGTGTATTCAGGATCCGGCACAGAGCAGCCCTCACGAATAGGGCTCTTGCTTCCACTACTGAGCACGTACAGTCACGGCGAGCCTCCGAATCCATCCTGACGAAATGCTTCCTCCAGTGCTCTAGTCACGGCACACGCCAGAGCTACTCTTGGTCATGGTGTCGAGCATATGGATGGTGGCGCCGAGACACCAGCCTGTCTCGACGCCATCGATTTTCTTGGCAATCTTGATGTCGCGCTCGGCAGGCAGGTCGTAGCCCAGCGTCAGGAGACTGTGAATAAAGACCATGTCGAGACACCAGCGAGGCTCCTTGCGCACTTCGTCGACGTCGGTGGAGCCGCTGCAGACCTTCTCGGCTTCGGACGAGAACTGCTTGATCTTGAAGTCAGCGGGCATGCTGAGAGGCTCAGCGCGGTCGTAAAAGTATGAGAAGGCGTAGATGTCGTTTTGGGCAAAGCTCGACGTCAGCAGGGGTTGGTAGACGCCGTCAAAGGAGCAGGAGTCGTACGTGCATGTGGACTTTGAAAAGATGGACTCGGAGACAAATTGGCTGCACTGGCTGAAGGAGTGCGAGCCGCTACCGCGAACAACCACGTCGCCGCTGTCGACCTTGACCTTCTCCTCGTGGCCCGATGGCAGACAAGGGTTCTCGGGGTTGGTCGAGTGGAGCGATGCCTTGATGATCTTCTTGCGGCCCTCCATGAGTCCGTATCCGAGGTACGAGTGTTGGTAGAGGGTGTAGTTGTGCGATCCAAAGGGCAGGACGTACTTGTGCTCGCCGTCGGGCATGCTTACACCGGTGGAGGGCTCGAAGACGATCTGGGTCGAGCCACCGCCGAGATCCATGATGGCAGCAGTGGGCTGCTTTTTGGCCTGGCCAATGCGGCGCAGGAGGTAGTTGACGGTGATCCAAGCAAACACACCTGTAGTATCACGAATGGGCGGGGAGTGTTAGATGCCGATGTGCTTGCGGACGCTTGTCAAGCTCTCGCATGCCGAGACCCACCTTCGTCGGCACCGTCCATGACCGCGACGCCGTTGGTGGGCATCAGCTTGAATGGGTACTTTGTGAGCAGCCTATCTTCAATCTTTTTGAGGATGCGGTCCGACTTCTCCTGGCCGAGAAGCCGCAGGCCAGCAGTGGCCTTGACGGCGACGGGCGTGCAGCGCTGGAGCTCGGGTGGAACAATCTTGAGCGCTTTGTCGAGCAGACTGTCGAGCGACTGGGCGGCAGCATCGGCATCGCTGTCGTACGAAGAAAGCCCGGGCTTGATCTGGATAAAGTCTTCATTCTCGAGGCTGGGCAGGCGACCGCTGCAGTAGTTGAATCGATAGACATGAATTCGGGACCCGGTCGACCCGGCGTCGATCATGAGGGCATATTGAACAGCAGGGCGATCCTTGGGACGGTTGCGACAAGAGCTTGACAGAGAATCTGGTCAAGGTGTGCAGCACCAAGCAACGATGAGCGGAATGCCGGCAGGGCCGCGATGCACAGGCAAACGAGGCAGCGTGGCCGCGGAAGGGGGGCTTGGCGAGCGACAGCAGCCAGCGCGGGATGCCACACAATGCGACGCAATGCGACGCAATGCGATGGACACGACGTGCTGAAAGCCAGGCACCGGAAGCGAGAGACATTGCAGACGGTGTCGAGATGATGGTCACTGCAGTTTCTGTAGACTGCACAGTCGTTGTCGTCGTCGCAGAAGAAGCGACAGGACAACACCACAGCAAACAAAAATGGCGAGCGCAGGGATAGGATTACCGATGACAGGCTTGTCCCAGAGCAGAATCAGAAGCAGACATGCGACGATAAGACCAAAGAAGATCTTGCGCGGAGTCAGCCCGTGCTGGCGCAGGACGCTGTGGAAGGGCTTGGCCTTGGCGGGGTGGTGCGGGGCCATGGCGGATGAGCAGCGACAGACGCGCAGGGTTGATGGCGAGGACGCAGGACAGCGAGCCAAAGCGGCGCGACCAAAGAGGCAATGCCGGTGGCTGGACTGGCTCGACCCACTGGCTCGATCCGCCGGCTGGACTCGCACACACACACCGTGCGCAGCCGTGTCCTGGCGGCCCAGTCCATCCGCCCTTGCCAAGGGTCCGCCCTGGTGTCTGCCCCTCTGCCCATCATCCATCCACACTGCTCACCCGCACCGCCATCGCCTTTGCCATCGCCTTCGCCATCGCCTTCGCCTTCGCCGTCGCCCGAAGCCGCCCTGTCCTTCGTCTCGTCGCCGGCGCTGCTCTGGAGACACCCGATCTATCGTCCGCTGGTCCTCTTCGGCTTTCCATCAGGCTCATCTCGCCACCAGCCCGTCGCTCCGTACATCCAAGCCATTGAGGCACCCGCCCCAACAGCATCGAGCCCTCTCCCCCCTGTCCCTCCTCTGATCTGTGCGGCACCCGGCCACTGCTGACATCTCACCGGTGCCCACGCTCCTCACTGCCAATCTCTCTCTCGATCAGCCACATCCCATGGATCGGTCCAGGACTCGCCTGGTGCGGCTGCCGTGGCTCGCCGTGCTGCTGCTCGGTCTGCTCGGTCTGTCGCTTGTGCATGCCGCTCCGCAAGACAGCAACTTGGTGACCAAGATCACCCGTTTTGAGAACGCTCCAAAGAAGCTCTTCTATTTCAAGGATTCCTCTGTAAGCTCCTCCCGGCGCCGACCTTCCCGCATGGCCGGCCGAGTCGCTCCGGTCATGCGATGTGGCTCCGCAGCCCGATTCAGAAGGTCAAGCGCACACTCCCGGATTCCACTGACCCCTGCCTCGCTCGCTCGCAGGTCATACTATACCTTGAGGCATACACTGGAAGGGTCTGGCGGTCTGCCAACGAAGGCAAGGATTGGTCCAAAGTGACCGATATTCCGGACTCGTCTGCCTACGATTTGATCCAACATCCCTTTGAGGATAGCACGGTATGTCACGATCCGTACCAGGCACGCCGGCGGCCTGAGTCCAAGCAGCGTCGAGGCGTGGCTAGCAGGGGTGCATACACTTGAGCATCTCCACACTATCTGTGCATCTCACTGATTCGGCCCACCCACCTGCGACAGGCCGTTGTCATCACTCTGGACAAGAAGCACTACATAACCGTCGACAAGGGTCTCAACTGGGACTCCTTCACGACACCGCAGCCCCCTTCGTCGCTTGCCCCTGGGTCCTTGATCCGCTTCCACGCCAAGCGGGCCGGCTACATGATCTACTTTGGCGAGGAGTGCGATAGCTCGTTGCAGTGCAACCAAGTGGTAAGCCATCCAAGCCGGGTCATCCTCGAGGCCGTTCTTGAGCACTCTGCCATCGCTGCGGTTCATATCCTCTCCCCGCTCGATTGTCTGGGGCTTCCGTTGCCCCAATTTCTCGATGGCTCGACCACTTGCATCGGGTCTATTCCCCTGGCTTGCAGGGTACGTCCGTGGAACGCTGACTTTAGCGCACGCCGACTCTCCTTCCAACAGGCTTACTACACGGAAAACTTTTTCCGCACCACTCCGTCCAAGCTCCTGAGCTATGTCTCGGACTGCACCTGGGCCCTGGGCTCGGCTGCTTTCGACAATGCCCCGACCGACACGATCTTCTGCACCGAGTTCCCCGACTCTGCAAAGAAGGGCAGCCAGTCGTCCAAGAACATCATCGACTTGCGTCTCGTTCGCTCCTCGACTTTCTTTGCTGGGGACAAGAAGGACGTGATCTCCATCAACGGTGGCGCGGTTTCGCTTGGTCTGATTGAAAAGTACCTCGTTGTGGTCTCGGTAGGACATCCGCCGGCTGCTTCGGCCTCCGCTCTCACCTCCATCAGAGGCGATGGCATGTACATCTGCTTCGCTGCTGCTGTATACTCAATATCATGCACTCGCTGACCATTTTCTAGATGAAGCCCAACAACGAAGGCCATGAGCTCTATGTCAGCACCGATGGCCAAGACTTTGAGCGTGCCAAATTTCCGACTGCGATCAGCACCAACCAGATGGTGAGTGACCGCTTTGATTGCTTGATTGCTTGATTGCTTGATTGCTTTGGCTGGAGATGCAACACTGGCACAGTTTGGACGGAGCCATACCGAAAAGCACCTTTGGCCTCGACTCTCATGCGATTCGACTCCCGCGGTCTTGGTCCCACAGGCATACACCATCCTCGAATCGTCAAAGCACTCGCTTATGGTCGACATCCTGCGCGGCAAGCCCAACGGCCAGGCTCAGTCGTTCGGAACGCTGCTGTACTCCAACTCCAACGGCTCGTATTTCGTGTCGTCCCTCGAACACACCAACCGCAACAAAGCCGGCCTCGTTGACTTTGAGCGTATCCAGACCCCCGTCTACTCTGGCATCTTGTTTGCGAACGTCGTCGACAACTGGGAGGAAATGCAGTCCGGTGACCGGTCCGAGGACGACAAGCGTCTGGTTTCCAAAATCTCCTTCCACGAGGGTTCCAAATGGACATCGCTCAAGCCCCCCGCGAAGAATGCCGACGGCCGCAGCTGGGACTGCAGCCCAACCACCGATACCTCCTGCAAGCTCCATCTGCACTCGATCACCCGTCCACACAACATCGGTCGCGTCTTCAGCACTATGTCTGCTCCAGGAATCATCATCGGTGTCGGCTCTGTCGGCAAGTATCTCCAGCCATACCGCAAATGCGACACGTTCCTTTCCGCCGACGGCGGCCTGACCTGGACTGCGATCTACAAGGGCCCGCACAAGTACGAATCCGGAGACATGGGCTCGCTCATCGTGCTTGTTCCCGATCAGGACTCTGTCGACTATGTTTTGTATTCCTGGAACCGCGGAAAGGACTGGACCAAGCACACGCTCCAGCTTGACGGCGGCAAGAGTTGGCAGCCCTGGCTGACCATGATCGACCCCGAGTCGACCTCGACCAAGATGATTATCCTCGTCACCGACGCATCCGACCTCAACAGCCTGTACGTCGTCCACCTCGACTTTGAAAAGACCCTCTCGCGCAAGTGCGACATTGATCCTCAAAACCCCGGTGCCAGCCGCGACGTGGAGGAGTGGATGCCCCAGAAGGAGGCCTATGGAGGCAGCTGCGTCATGGGCCAGGAGACTGGCTACTACCGTCGCAAGGCCGACGCGGACTGCTACATTGGACAAAAGTTCCACAAGCTCCAGCTGGATGTCAAGAAGTGCCCCTGCACCGACGACGACTTTGAGTGCGACTACAACTTTGCGCCTGACCCGCAGACCAGCAGCTCCCTCAAGTGCATCCAGGCGGGGCCGATTCACGACCAGCCGCTGGACTGCAAAGTGGGCAAGCAGTACAAAGGCAAGTCGGGCTACCGCAAGATCCCAGGGAACGTCTGTGAAGGTGGCGTCAACCGAGCCGAGCCTGTCCTCAAGGACTGCCAGAAGCTCGACGATGGCAAGAATGGTGGTAACGGCGGCAACGGCAAGGTCGAGCTGCCCGAGGGCAACCAGCCAAAGATCACCCGCACAACCTTGAGCGACGACATCGACCGCTTCTACTACTTCCCCAACTCGAGCCACGTCATGCTGAGGACCGAGAACAATGGCGAGATCTGGAAGTCGGACGACGAGGGCCTCAATTGGCGGTTGTCCACGGCGCTGGCCAAGCAGGGCGGCGTGCTCCTCGCCGGCATCCACGAGAGCGTCCCGACCCGCGCCTACTTTTTCGTATCGAGCGGACAAGCCACCTGGTACACAGACGACCGCCTCGGCGACTCGGAGTCGTCCCTGAAGAAGCTTGACACGCCGGCCCCATACAACACCCTCGGCGTCGAGATCCTGGACTACCACCCGGACCACCCGGACTATCTCGTCTTTGTCAGCGGCGGTCAGGGCTGCCCCGACGCACGCTCGTGCTTCACAACGGCGCACATCACCAAAGACCACGGCAAGAGCTGGACGACGGTCGATACGTGGGTCCAGAAGTGTGTGTGGGCCCGCGACTTTGGCTTTGCCACCAAGAACATCCCGGACGATGCCGTCTACTGCATGGGCTTCAAGTACAAGGGCGGAGACACGCCCCAGGATGCCTATGGCGGACACGGCACCAAGGAAAACCCGATGCAGCTCGTGATGATCCAGAACGGCGGCAAGAGCAAGCGCGTGCTCCTGGAGAAGGGCGTCGCCAACTTTTATGTGGTCAAGGGCGTTTTGGTGGTCGCAGTGGTGAGTGGCCAGGTCTGCTCAAACTGCTTTTGGCTGGAGATGCGATCCAGCAGTTGCATCTCAAAAATGCATCGCATGCTGTGACTGCGGCTGTGTTTCTGACGGTCTGTCTCATGGCGCTCTCGTGCAGGAGAACGGAAACGACCTGCAGCTCAAGGCTTCGACCGATGGCGTGACCTTTGTCGATGCTCAGTTCCCACCCAACATCCACATCGAGAAGGCGGTGAGTCTGCGTGGCTAGACAGCGTTGATCCGTGGTGGATGTGGCCGACATGGCTCAGCGAGTGCATCGGTCTCAGGCGCCACGCACATCCAGTTGTCCGGCTGACTATTGAGTGGCGGCAGAGCGGCCACGGATCTTGACGGGGCCTCCCAGAGGATCGTGGTGGCTCACTTGCGACTAATTTGTGCTATGTGATGTTGATGCCGCTTCACAGTCCTATACCATTTTGGAATCGACTTCCAACGGCCTGTTCATCGACGTGGCCCAGTCCCTCAAGTTTGGCCAGGAGTACGGTGCACTGTTCGGCTCAAACGAAAACGGAACCTTTTACACCCGCAGCCTGGCCAACACCAACCGCAACATGTTTGGACAGGGTAAGAGGCGGCGATTGATTTGATTCTTGCGCGCCGATGCGAGCTCTGCGCGTCGATGTGAGGCCTGCGAGATCTGAACACCGCCCACTCTCAGACTCACCCATTCTCACCCATTCCGCTCGTCCGATGGTGGGCAATGGCTATAACTCTTGCTACCTCCAGTTGATGTGGAAAAGATGCATGGCATCGAAGGCATTGTTGTCGCCAACCAGATCGCCAATGTCGATCAGCTGACTCTTGGTGCCAAGAAGCAAATCAAGACCATGATCACTTACGATGACGGCGCCACCTGGAAGGTCATCATCCCTCCCAAGACCGATTCACAAGGGAGCGAGTTCTGCAGCGGCAAGAGCCTCGAGAGCTGCCACCTCAACCTCTACGCTGCCGCGCAGTTCGACCGCACCGAAATCGTCACTCGCCACAGTGCCAAGGGTGCTCCCGGAACAATGGTCGCCGTTGGAAGCGTTGGCGGAACGCTGGCCAAGTACACCGAGTCGGATATGTTCATGACCCGCGATGGCGGTCAGACTTGGTCCGAAATCCGCAAGGAGGCGCACCTGTGGGCCTTGGGCGACCATGGCAGCATCATTGTGCTTGTGAATGACGAAGAGCCCGTCAATGTCATTTCGTGAGTAGCGATTGGCGGCAGTGTTTTTTTCGGTACTGTGAGCACCACCAGGCCGGCCGCGGATCTGCAGAGACTAACCCCCGAGACGACTCTGCCACCACAGCTACTCCTGGGACTTTGGCGTGCACTGGGCGGAGCACCGGTTCTCGGACAAGAACATCAAGGTCACGGGCATCTCCAGCGTCCCCGACGGCACCGGCCGCAGGTTCATCATCACGGGCATGTACCCGAGATCGTCGTGGGAAGAGATCTTTGAGGACCCTGTACTGGTCCTCATCGGAATCGACATGACGCCGCTCTTTGAACGTCAGTGCGTCTTTGACAAGAACGCCAAGGGCGACTCGGCCGATTTTGAGAAATGGTCGCTGCATGACCCCAACCAGGCCACCGACGGCTCGCGCTGCTTCCTTGGCCAAAAGATCGAATACTGGCGCCGCAAGGAAGAGGCTGTGTGCTATATCGGACACGAGTTTGAGTCGCTGGAACAGAACCTTCAGGTTTGCGAGTGCTCCGAGTCGGACTACGAATGGTGAGCGTCAGCCTCTCCACCACCTACCCGGCGGTGCCCTCTATTCCCTCTGATCGATGCTGCAGCCCTGTACGCCGACCGCACGCATGTGTCCCTGACGCCGCTGTTGCTCTCGACCACCGCAGCGATGTTGATTTTTGGCGAGATGCCACGGGCAAGTGCGTGTTGTACGGCAAGGACCCGCAGCAGCCGGCCAAGTGTCCCAAGGGCAAGACATACAAGGGCCGTTCTGGCTACCGCAAGCTCTCTGCGTCGCGATGCAAGGGCGGCCTCGACAAGACTCATACGATCGAGCGCGAGTGCGACGACTTTGTCGCTGGCACTGGCGAGATCGTGATGAATACCCGGCTGTTCGAGCACTCTCTGCAAGAGTACATGTACTACAACGGCACCTCGACCATCGTGATTCTCGACGTGGCCGGCAATCTGTGGCAGAGCCACGACAACGGCATCGAATGGAAGGAGATGCTGACCTCGCAGAGCTTCCCAGTCCAGCAAATCTACCAGGACCCGTTCCGTCCCAAACGCGCATATTTCCTGGCTCGCAAGGGCGCCGTGGTGTACTACTCTGACGACCAGGGCAAGACGCTCCACCATTTCCAGGTTCCCAATGTCACGCCCATTGCCGGGCTCTATGATGCCGTGCCTTTGATCACGCACCCGGAGGAGCCTGACTGGCTCCTGTTCACGGCCGGCATCGACTGCGGCGACACAAGCACAAACACCAACTGCCACACCGAGACCTTCTACAGCAAGGACCACGGACAGCATTGGTACAAGATCGACTCATATACCCGAAGCTGCCTCTGGGGCCGGGGCGCCGAGTTCAACGGGCCCAACAAGGACACGGTGTTTTGTACGGCCTATCGAGACAAGAAGGGGAGCCAGATTCTATTTGGACCACGCATGCCGATCGATTTGTCGGTCACCAACGATCTGGGCCGGACCTGGACACGGCTGTTTGAGCGCGGCTTCCGCCTGGTCATCAACGAGGAGTATATGATCGCAGCTGTGGTAGGTGGTGCAGTATCGCGCGCCTGGCCGCTGATGGCTGATGGCTGATGGCTGATGGCTGATGGCTGATGGCTGATGGCTGATGGCTGATGGCTGATGGCTGATGGCTGATGGCTGATGGCTGATGGCTGATGGCTGATGGCTGATGGCTGAGTGTCGAGCGTTTCGCCTGCACATCCCCATCGACTTCGACGTCGATTGAACTGACGTGTTCATGCATTTCCGCTGTGATGGTTTGTTTGATGCGTTGCCACTCAGCAACATCCCGAGAAGAGCGAGATCGAACTGCAAGTCACCCGCGACGGCGTCAACTGGTCGCCGGCGGTTTTCCCAAGCGACTTTGTCGTCCCCGAGCACGGCTACACGGTCCTGGACAGCCACACCGGATTCCTGAATGTCGATGTCTTTGTCAACACCCTGCGCGGCAAGGAGTTTGGTGCTCTCTTCCGATCCAACGCAAACGGCACCATTTTTACCCGTGCGCGCGATCACACGAACCGCAACACCGATGGGTACGTGGCATGGTTGAGGGAAGGGACGAGGGTTGACACAGGAAAACGTAATGAAATGGGGGGGGGGACTGAATCTGCAATCCACGCCGGCGGCCATTGGGTGATTCAATGCGGATCGGAATCTTTGCTTCGTCCCGATGCTGATGCTATTGCCGATACTTCTCCGTCGATTTAAACAGATATGTCGACTATGAGAAGATGCAAGGCGTCGAGGGCATCGCCCTTCTCAACGAAGTGCAGAATGCCAACCAGGTGCTCAACGGAGCGACCAAATCGATCCGCACCGTAATCACCTATGACGAGGGTAAGCCCACGATGAGCGATAGTGCAGGTGTAGATCGCAGCCCATCTCGGACGACAGGCGCCGCTATGGGTCGGTGTTGACCTGTGTTTGTTTCCTTCCAGGTGAAACCTGGCTGACGCTCAAACCCCCGAGCCACGACTCGCAAGGCGCCCGCTACTCTTGCGAAGGATCCGAGTGCTACCTGAATCTGCACTCGTTCACGGAACGGCGCGACAAAAACGATATGTTCTCGTCGTCGTCAGCGATCGGACTGATCATGGGCGTCGGTAATGTCGGCTCGTCCCTGACGGAATACAACCACGGCGACGTGTTCCTGTCGAACGACGCGGGACAGACCTGGACGGAAATCACGAAGGACGCACACCTCTACGAGTTTGGAGACCACGGCTCGATTATGCTGCTTGTGAACGACGAGCAGTCGACAGACTATATTAAGTAAGCAAATTGGAGAGAGAGAGTTGTGTTGCCTTTGCAGCATTGTGCCCTGAGGTTGAGCGCCGCCTTGATTATGCCATGCACTTGGACGCTGGCTGGCTCTCGATGGGGGTTTGCACTGATCAATCTGCCGCGGTTGATAGGTACTCGACCAACTCGGGCCAGAGCTTCTCGGACTACAAGATCACCACGGGCGAACTGAGCGGCGTCAAGTTCCGAGTGACGCATCTGGTGACCGAGCCGCACGGAATGCAGTCGCACTTTATCCTGTTTGGACGTGTATCGGGCGGCGACCGAGGCCAGAGCTTCCACGGCATGGCCGCTGTCCATCTCGACTTTTCCAAGATCTGGACGCGCAAGTGCGAGCTCAACGAGAAGAACCCCGAGGCCAGCGACTACGAGCTGTGGAGTCTGCCCAAGCTCAACGGCGGCAAGTGTGCCTTTGGCAAAGAGGTAGGAACGACGAGATTGCGATCGAAGCTCGCAGCTGTGGGGAGAGCTGGCGGCGGGTTGCCCTCACTTGCCTGCTTATGCGTTAACCTGACTGCCTGCTTACTTGCTTTCTTGCTTGCATACAGGTCAAGTACTATCGCCGCAAGCGCGACCGCGACTGCCAGATTGGCGAAAACTACAGGGTGCCCCAGTCGGTCACCAGCTGCGAGTGCACGCGCGAGGACTTTGAGTGCGACAACCTTTACTACCTCGACCCGAGCGGCAACGGCAAGTGCATCCCGACCCCCAACCAGCGGCGCCTGCAGTCGGTCTGCCGCGACGGCAAGATGCGCATTACCAAGGGCTACATCAAGCTGAAGAACAGCGGCTGCTCGGGCGGCGTCGAGTCTGAGTATGAAGCTGAATACCGGACTTGCTCCACCACAAGTGGTAAGTCGCGAAGCAAGGGCGCCAAGGGGTGGGGAGACTGCATCGGTGTGCCCATACTAAACTGCGTCTCATCCCCGCGTTACAGGCTCCTCGACCGTCCTTACCGTGCTCTGGTACGGCCTCCTTTCGGCAGGATTCGCTGGAGGCGTGACATTCTGCTTTGTCCAGTACAAGCGCAAGTACGGCAACACCGGCCGCATCAGGTACGAGCACAGGTGATGATGTGCACAGGATGGAGGATGTGTGCGGGATGGAGGATCTGTACAGGATGGAGGATGTGTGCAGGATGGAGATGCAGAGCGGAGCTGTGCTCGATGTGTCTGGCGGCGGTCTGACCTTAGATTGGCCCGGATCTGGATCTGTTCTTGCAGGCTCCCCGACGACGAAACCGGCATGGGCGAAAGCACCGGTCGCTATGCCGACGACATGTTGGAGCGTGCCACCGCGTATTTTGCTGCTGCCTGGGGATACATCCGCGAAGCCAGCGAGCTGGTTGGCGAGAGGCTGCGCGGAGTGCTCGGCCCTTCGTGGGGTCGGCTGGTCGCCCGTCTCGGCGGCCGGCGGCCGTCCGCAGGCCAGGGATACTCTGCGGTGCAGGGCGATGAGTTCCTAGTGTTTGAAAACGACACAAGCCTGGAAGAGCTCGAGGACTACTGAGCCAACTCGCCGTGGCAGAGATGACGGTGCATTTCAGCTGGCCCTCCGGGCGAGAACGACACACTTTCTGATGATAGTCTCGTCAATACAAGAGCATCATGCAGTCCATCGAATGCACTCGCATCGAATGCACTCGCATCGAATGCACTCGCATCGAATGCACTCGCATCGAATGCACTCGCATCGAATGCACTTGCATCGAATGCACTTGCATCGAATGCAGTCCGTCCAGGCCGCCCTTCGCCCGCTGGAGCAAGTGCCTCCCGCCATCGCCGGGCACGATGGCGAAACGGGCCGTGGGCACAGGGAAAGCACGCCCGGCATGGCGACGCAGCAGCAGCCGACAAGGTGCCCGTTTTCCGCACCAGCAAAGGCCGGCAGGATGCAACAGCGGCGAGGATCGATACGCTGTGCGGACTGTGTATCGCTGTGGCCTGAATTGCCCGTGGTCTGAATCGATGTGGATTGCTCGGGAGGACACACCGCCCACCAAGACCCCGCGACACCCAAACAAGACACCCGCGGCGCTGAGCACCAACAACGGGCATGGCGACAGCGCGCAAAGCCACCCGCGGCGCACGAGCATGCAATGCCGTATCTTCTGTGGGGATTGGGCCGCGGCTGCACACGTTCCGGGCTTGTCCTCGGCGGCTTGTCTGCGCGGGCTTGTCCTCGGCAAAGCGTTTACATCTTTTGCTCGCCTTTCAACCCCTCCCCAAAGATGCCGTCGTTCTGAAGGCGCTCTGATAAGACTCCCGTGTCTGCGAAAGTAAAAAAAGTTTTTTTCTTGCCGGCGCCGGATCGGCGCCAGATCGGCGCCAGATCGGCGCTATCGACATCGCCATGTCCCTTGCCCGCCGTGTGCCCAAGCTGCTTTCTCAGCGACGGCCCCGCCTTGGCAGTTCTGCAACTTGGTCTTCTTTTATAACTCTCCACCGCAGAGCCATCGCAGTCCCGTTGCAGTCCCATTGCAGTCCCATCGCAGTCCCACCGCAGGAACACACTGCCCTCCCCCACCGCCGTTGCGCCTCTTCCCGCCATTTGCGCTTGGCCCCGTTGCCCTTTGGGTTGCGCAACTCCCCCACCACCAGCACCACCACTCAACCACCACTCAACCACTCAACCACCACCCAACCACCAAATATAAGTCGTCGTGCTGGCCCTCTCTCCCTCCGTCGGCTTGCCTGCTCCTGCCTATCCCACCACCCCAGACCTCGACCCCCCACAGTCCATCTTCCAGAGCTGCGCTCTCTGCCATCTCGCTGCTCTTGCTCTTCGTCGACACTCCTTCCCCAGATCACTCCCCCTGCGACTACTCTTTTGGCCCGAGTCCCCTGGGTCCGCTCCCGATCTGTCCGCCTGTGCCGCCCGGCCTCCCGCCACCATGCACCCCAAGCTCGGCTCACCCGTCGATACCGCTGCGAGCAAGTCCTTTTGGCTCCCTGCCGCATCCGGCTCGCTCCCACGGCTCCCCAGCACCACCAACCACAAGCCCACTCTCTCCAAGCGGCGATCTCTCGATGGCCACCCGGCCAAGCGCAGGAGCTGGATCGGCTTCCTGATTCCACGGCTGCCAAAGACCAAGACCCTCTCCCGCTCCAGCAGGCTCAGCCTCATCATTCCAAAGTCCGACCAGTTGGCGCCAACCTCTCCCATCGCATCGCCTGTGGGATCGCCTGTGGGATCACCGACATCGGTCTCGACTGCGACGATCTCCTCGATCACCTCCGCCTCCACCTCCACCATCTCTCCAACTGCCTCCCTGCCCTCGTCCATGTCGCGGCCTTCCTCGACCTTGCCCAGCGCCACCACTTGCATCCCGGACACCCCGGCCCCGCCCGTGCTGTCTGATCGGCCTGTGTCGGCACAGACCCAAGGGTCGGCAGCCTCGATCCAGCGTGCCGAGCCGACTGTAGAATTCAAGTCGTCTCGCCCAAAGATATCGTACCGCCATCCGCAGGAGCTGCTGGACCTTATCGGTCAACCAAAGTCCACCCGCCGGCACAATCAGGTTCTGGTCTCACGGGATTCTTGCGGATCGTGCTCGTCGTGCAGCGCATGCTCATCAAACAGCGCGACGCTGTGCTCCTCGCCACCGTACGGTCATCCCGAGGAATCTGCCCGGGACATCATTGACATGTACGCACGCATCGATCCACAAGCCGACGGCGAGGTCGAACCAACCTCTGCGCTCGAGTCTGCGGGCTCGGCTGGCTCTGCTGGTCAGGGGCTGCCGAGCGGCTCTGGCCCGGTGCTGCCCCTCAGAACCATCCATGCCTCGAGCAGCCTTCGAAGTCTCAAGACCTTCCAGCCCAAGCCGCTGGCGCTGGCATTTGAAGATGGTAAGTCGCTTGCAGACCTAGTACGCTCCTGTACATCCCTCGCCCCCCCCCTGGCCACGGAAGTACGATGTGGTGCGTGCTTCCAGAAATGGTGCTCATTCCGATCCATCTAACAGACCGCCAATGTCTCTCGTCGCCCTCCGACTTGTCCACAGCGCGCGAGCAGCCCTCGATATCGTATTTCCCCGGACATCACGCCAAGGCTTCCTCGGTCGACTTTCGCCGCTCGTATACCCAAGCTCCTGTTGCCCAGCCCCCTCGAGCCCAGAGTGCCCTGGATCTCTACGAATCGCTCGACACCGAGCCGCAAACCCCAACCCCGTCCACCCCAACGGCGTCCCCTGCCCTCGAGCCAAAGCTGCCTAATGCGCTCTCGCAGCTCTTCCGCTACCCGTCCGCCATCCAGTTCAAGGCGTGCAACTGGCGCAGGCGAGCCTCGAGCCTCTTCCGTGACGTTGACAGCGAGCCCCAGAGCCCGGTGACCCTGCGCTCGCCCTCCGCCCAGTCCGACAGCACTCTGTGCAACTCGCTGCAGCCACAGCCCTCGGCCCCCAGCCCAGTCTTGCCCCCAAGCTTCCCCGATGCACCCGAAGGCATGCGGATATCGAGCACGATCGAGTGCATGCCCAACGGTGTCTGGCGCATCACACAGTACGACCATGTACTCAAGTCGAACGCCGTGTTTTACTACCAAGCTGCCTGAGGATGCAGCATGGATACCCCCATGACATTGTCTTCCTGGCGCACACTTCCAGGCGGCCCTCGAGATATCCCCAGACACAGCTCGAGCGATGGCCCCGCATTCAACCCTATAACCCCCCCCTCTATCTCGCTTGCTCTTTTGTTTTGCATATTGTTCTTCCACATCGCATCGCGTTCATCGCGCACACTTCCCACGTTTCCAACACAACCATATGTACATGCTTGTCATCCCAATACACACTGATCACTGCCGACACTGCCGGTTTTAAAAGTTGTGGAGACACTCGGGATTGTGCTCCTCCTTGAGCCGCTCTCAGCAGCAGCGACGTTCCATCCAATCATCTCGCGCAAGTGAGCACATCTATCGCGACGTGGCCATCGGCGCTCACGGGCTACTTTTGATCAGGCTCGTGGTCATGGGCTACATGCACTGCTTTATTCAAAAAATATTGGGCAGAATCTGGGCAATGATGGGAGAGTCAGCGCAGTCCGTTCACAGACAACATCTGCAACCGACTATGTATCCGGAACAGTCGGCGAACTCGACATGATCAAAGATGAATGATTCACGATGGTGATGGATATGGTAATGTGGGAGGAAACACATGAAGACGACAAAGTAAAAGTGCCGAATGACCACAAGATCGAAATGCCCTCGATCAAGCCAAGGCGGCGTGTGCTACTGGATCAGGATCTTCTTGGGCACAGCAGGAGGCGGCAACTCCTTCTTGGCGATCTTGAGCTCGAGGACGCCCTCGGCCATCCTGGCCTCGATTTTCTCGGCATCGACGGTGGGGGGAAGGCGCAGCTTGCGCTGGAACTGGCCATACGAGCACTCGACCATGTGCAAGGTGTCGCTGGACTCGTCGTGCTCGGCGTGGCGCTCACCCTCGATCGTCAGGATGCCGTCGAGGAGGGAGATGCGAACTTGGTTCTGCAAAGATCGCAAACGTGCATACGACCGCGCACCAAGAGGTGGTTAGGAAATAGACAGTGCAGCACGTACAGCGGATATGCTCGGGTGCATTACAATGCAATGCGATTGATGTGATCCGATGCGAGTGTCCGACTTGGTATCGCCTCGCACATCGCCCCGCACTACCCAAGGCCGCTGCTGCGAAAGACCCACGGCACTCGCTGCATACCTTCTTCAAACCAGGCAGGTCTGCTTTGACGACAAAGGCGTCCTCTGTCTCAATGACATCGAGACGGGGCGTGCGGAAGAATCCCCAGGTGGGAGTCTGCTGAGCGACAGCATCCGTCATGCCTGGGGCTGGGGACTGCGGAGCCGCGGACGGCTCGCCAGCATAGGCGCTCTCGGTGATCATCTGCTCCATGAGCCTGTTCATGCGACTGAACAGCCGGCGCTCGCCCTCGAAGGGATCACTTCCAAAGAATGGGTTGAGCATCGTGGCAATGCAGTTAGGAGAGGAGGAAGGAAGCGGGGCCAAGAGGAATGAAGCCTGGTGTTGCTTGGATGTGAGGATGGAGATCTAAGTATCAGATACAGGAACTCAATGTCAAGTCTGGGGGGGGGGATTGGTGGTGGGTCTCGATCTATATATCTGGGAGTCTCGATGGTCAGCATGACGACCCCTTGCGCGTCGAGGTGCAACTCCGCTTGGAACGTTCGAGGCCAATCGCGGCACCACCAGTCCAGTGCGGAGATGGCTGGGCATTCCGGGGATGGGAGCGGTCCTGGAAGCACCCAGCAACACCGTTCCACCACTCACTGAGTTCCAGAAAGGCCGACCCGACCCGGGCCCAAAGGCGCACAAGCACCGCCAGCAGAGAGAAAGAAAGTAAAAGGCTACTGAATGCATGCGACTTGTGTATTGTGTTGGCATCTTGACCTTCCTCTGCGCCAATGCGACCCCAGAGCACGGACCACAGCAAGCAGACCGCATATCACCCGACCGCCGAGTCGGCCCAGGTTTGCCCACATTGGCGTCTGGCTGTCTGCTCGGCGGACTGATTTTGCGAGTCGGATCTAGAAGAAGACGCTGCCGCCCGCTCTGGCCGAATCGCGCGCGCTACGCTTGACTCCGTCCTTCTGGCCGTTTCGCTTCGAAGGCTTGGATCCACCTGGCTTTCGGCTGAATCCCTTGGCAACTCGCCGCTTGATCTCGTCCTTGTCCAGCGGCTTGCGCTGGCCGGCCTGGTCGCGCACTCGAGGGGATGGACCACTGGCCGCAACGGGGTCGCGGAAGGCACGTCGCTGCCTGTTGTCGTTTTGCTCGAGCTCCTCGGCCTGTCCGTCAGCTTCATCCTCTTCATCATCGTCATCAATGTCTTCTTCATCCTGGTCCGATTCCTCGTCCAGGTCCTCTTCTGCCGTCGCTCCAGGGAAGTCTTCGTCGTTTCCAAAGTTGAAGCGCCGTGTGGAAGCGGGTGCTGCGTCGTTCGGTGGCTCTGTCGCGTCCAATGCCAGATCCTCCACCGACGACGACAGCTCCATTTCTTCGAGCTGAGGATCCTCACCGTCGTCATTTTCGTCGTCCTGGCCCCTGATGGTCACCATGGTCTGCTGGGCAAGGTTGATGCGATTCCTGGATCGGTCGAGTGGCTGGTTTGCAGCAGTTAGATTGTCGCCACCGGCATCGGCATCGACATCGACATCGACATCGATATCGTCAACATCATCATCATCTTCCTCGATGATCTCCTCATCGCTAAAGTCGCCGTCCTCGTCGTCATGTCCTTCAGCCTCAGCCAGTTGAACGATCTCTTGATACTGCCAGGTTGCATGTGCGGAGTGGATGTTGAAATTGTGAGCGTCAAATATAAAGACTCACAGCCAGCCAGCCTCAAGCTAGCTTCATACCACTCCCACTCACACTCACACTCCCTCCTTGCCTCTCTCTTGCCGCGAGTCTCGTCGACTGACCTCCTCGAGCTCCTCTTGCAGTTTCTTGCTGAAGCCACTCGCCGCGACTTGGACGTCCAGGCGATGCTCGTTATTGACGTCCCGTGAGAATCGGGGGTAGAGCCGACTCTCGTAGTGGAACCGCTTCTTGAAGAAGGTGCGGATGCACTCGACATCGCGGTTAAAGTACCTGGGTGCAGAGACGAGCGAGTTCAGTCCCAGTTGGGCTCGTGGCTGGTGCGATGGGGTTCCATGTCAATTCCATCCCTTGTGCCGAGACAAGTGGAAGCGGAAGTGAAGGTGAAGGCGAATGGAGGGTCGGGGAGCCGATGCACATTGCACTTACATCTCGGCGTTTCGGTGAGAGGTCGACACCATCTGTGGAAAATCGATCAAGATGGGTGTGTCGTCGTCCTTGATGAGAATGTTGAACTCGTTAAAGTCACCGTGGATCAGGCCGGCGCACGCCAGACGCACGATCAAATCCATCAGGGCCGAGTAGAGCTTCCCGGGCTCGGCAACATCGTGGATTTGGCACCTGTTTCCGCCGAGGGGATGGCATGACATCAGCGGCTAGCACATCCAGCACATCCAGCACACCCGGCACATCCAGCACATCCAGCACGCCATGGGCACGTAAACTTACAGCGGGTATGCGTCGATCAAGCTCATCACGATGCAGTGGCGGTTGCAGTCGATCGGCGTCGGCACCGGGAATCCGTTCTCGTGCAGCACCTTCATAAAGGCAAACTCCTTCATTGCAGCCAGTCGCGACATGTACAGCCAGGAGCCCGATTTTCGGTTCCTGAGATAGTCACGCTTCTCCTTGATCGTCCGAAAGGACGTCCGGCCCAGGCGGTGGAGCTTCAGGACTCGCTGCTCGCCCTCGGCATCGGCGACGATGAAAATGTCTGGCACAAATGGCACGGTCAGCTCGGATCGCCCGCGGCTCCAGAGGAACCATCTCGGCCGAACCCGGCGCTCGTTCTAAAGTCGGTAGTGCTCATCCGACTTCATGATCCCATGTCCGTATGCTTATGTGCACATATGTCTGTATGCTCGACAGTCTACCTGACTCCTTGCCCACACCGATCTGGTTTCCAACCGAGTAGACCGACTCTCTCCGGCTCAGGGTCTTGAGTGCCAGGTAGTCGTATCCACCATACGTCAAGCGGTATCCATCGTCTGTGGGCCGATGTGCGGATGTGTGGATGAGAGCACATTGTGTTCTGGTCAGGGGCCTCTGGCAAATATGCTGTCGAGGGCAAGTGCCAAAATGGAGCAGCAACACAGCGACTGGCTGCCATGAATCGCCTTCCCCATGGCGCTAGCGCCATCTACCTACATTTTGAGTTCTGGACCCGAGCAACAAGGGTGTTTTTGCAGAGGTCGTTGAGGATCTTGTTCGTGCCGCCGTGTCGCAAGTTGGCAATGTTGGCAATCAGCGAGGTCGGAACGACTTCGTGGTTGCGTGAGCCCATCTCGGCCTGGGGTGCGGATGCACACAGGATATAAAGTGAGCATTTTCGGGCTCTTGGAAATGGCCCAAGGTGCCAATGTCGGTCTTGCCGCTCCTGACTCTTGTCGCTCTCTGTCGTCGGTTGGCATTGCTGTCCGCTGCTGAGGTTCGCTGTCCGCCAACGACCCGTCAGCCACCACCTCTATCCCACTGCAAATATGCTCGAAAAGGATCCAGCCGTACAGCGGTCAGGACACGGAACTCGTCGTTGCCCATATATCGGATCAGCTTCGGATTCAGCTTCATGGTTGGCGATGTGAGTGCGGTGGGTGCGAATGTGCTGATGTGCAGAACAAGCGAAAGCCGGCTTGGGCTTTGACGGGTGCGTTGGACAGGGCTCGGGGCGCCGGTGTCGGTGTCGGTGTCGGTGTGTCGGCTGCGGCGACGGCAGGATGGGCGGACAGACAGATATCCCGATGCAGATCCGAGAGCGTCTCTGTCCCAGACCCATCCACGGACCATCCACGGACCGAATCCCACCAACAGCAGCAGAAAAAAAAATCCGTGCGACCTTCCCGATTGGGCAGATTTGAAACTCAGACACACGTGACGAGGGCCGCGCCATTGGCCATGCTCGAGCCAGGGTCGGTGAGAGCGAGGCCGCAGCGAGAGCTCGGCGAGAGGCCTCTCGGCGAGACGGGTCGCCAAGCACCATCCCATCAACACCCAGCAACACCCAGCATCGCATCGCTCGTCGTCCATCATCCACCATCCATCATCCACCATCCGCCATCCGCCATTGCAATCCGCCGTGGCCCGCAGCCGCTGTCTTGTCCGCTCCACACGCAACTATGGTAAGGCACTCGTCGCCGCCGCTGGCTCCAGTGACAGGAGCGACTGCATCAATCGCACGAGCCGTTCTCTGTTGGTCAGAAGCAGCACCGGCAGTCCGCCAGGGCACACACTGGCCAGCATTCCTGCTGCTGCTCGTGGAGGACGTCCTGATGGTGGAAAGATATCCGAGTCGATTCAAGGTCATTGATGCTTCCACGATGGCTCTGTGTCATCTGAGCAGATCATCAGAGCCAGAACACCCGAAGGCCAGCTCCGAATCGAAATCGAACCCTCAAGCAGCGTCGCCGAGCTTGTTCAGAAGGTGAGTGCCGCTGATCGGCCTAGTCTGAGGTTCCCACAGCTCCATCTTGTCCGGCGCACCGATGCGTTGCTGGCCATTCCCACACCGTCGGGTCAAACGGCATGCACTGTGTCTCGGATCGATCGGCCTCTCGGGGCTTCTACCTGCAGTCTATCCACACCGAACCCAGCTGGGCTGTCGAGGACCGAGTCCCCCGATCAAGGACACCGGGTCTGGGCTGTTTCATGGATCGTGGGGGGGGGCGAGCGGCCTGTCCTTTGGCGAACCAGTAGCATTGATCCTTACCACATACACTCCATTCGTGCTCAGATCGTCAAGGCTGGCTCGTTCTCATCGCGGATTGATGTGTTCCTGGATCCACCTCAATCCAAGAGCCTTGCGGCTCGCATTGATGTATCGCTCGCATCTGTGCCTCTGAGGTTGGTATCGACAGGTGTTTGTGTCGCACGGCTGGATATTTGCCAACAGAGACCCATCGACTTTGCCTCCCCCCTCCAACTTGTCCAGAGCCCTAACCCCCAGTTTGCATTTCGGTATGGACTTGCATCGTGCGACCCAATACCCAGGCACGGAGATATGGTGTATGTGGCTTTCGCCAAGGATGGAGACGTCCAGACGCCCGCACCCCGTGTCGTCGACACTGCGCGGCCGCTGATTGTCGAGCAGGACCCTGTCGACAACATTTTGGAGAAGCAGAAGGGCATCGTCAAGCGCGATCGAGATGTCAGATTGTGAGTCGTTTTGGAATGCCGATCGGCGATGCTGCAGACATGGTGGGCGAGGCCTCGTCCTTCCTCGGTCCGTGTGGCTCCGGGACGCCTGGCCCGATGGACGGACCCAGCGAGAGCAACAGGCGCCGGCTTCGCATTTGTTGGACTGGATCGATGTCGTGAGGAACTGACGCTGGCCTGCACTGGCTGCATCAAAGCTGCCGTCACGGCTCCTCAGGGATGTGCGACTACTGTATGCCGCTCGAGCCCTATGACGCCAAGTACCTTGAAGAGAACAAGATCAAGCACATGTCCTTCCACGCCTACATCAAGCAGCTCACTGCCCAAAGCAAGGCCACGAGCTCCAAGTTCATTCCGCCGCTGGACGACTTTGACTTTTCTGTCAAGATGCCATGTCCGTCCAAGAGCCACGACCCCTATCCCAACGGCATCTGCACAAAATGCCAGCCCTCATCAATCACCCTTCAGCCCCAGGTATATTTACGCTTCGTTCTGGAGCTGTTGAAGGGTCGTTGAACCGTCTGGCTAATCGCACGGCAGCGGACCTGGTGCCAGGAGACCACTTGACTGTCTCTACACACCAATGCTGACATTTTCCTCCTCACCTGCGCCTCCCGATATTCACGCACTTCTGCCGCCTGCCACCCTTCACCGCCGATACGCCCATATCCACATCTTGCTCGACGCTGCGGCCAACGCATAGGGCTTCCGCATGGTCGATCACATCGAGTTTGAGGATCCAAGCATCATCGAGAACATTGTCCATTTCTGGCGCACGACCGGAACACAGCGGTTTGGCTATTTGTACGGACGATACGAGGTCTACGACAAGGTCCCGCTCGGCGTCAAGGCAATCGTATGCGCTGTGTACGAGCCACCGCAGCTCAACGAGCACGACGCCATCCAGCTCTTGCTTCCGGATGCGGCCGAGGCCAAGATCGACCAGGTTGCCAAGCAGCTAGGGCTTTGTCGTGTGGGCATGATCTACACCGACCTGCTCGATAGCGGCAAGGGCAATGGGTTGGTTGTGTGCAAGCGCCACGAAGCATCGTACTTCCTGTCGTCGGCCGAGTGTCTCTTCTCAGCAGAGATGCAGAACAAGCACTTGACCAAGACCCGGTATGCGCCGACGGGCACGTTTGGCAGCCGCTTCGTGACCTGCGTGATTACAGGTGCGTTGTATGCGTGAGGCGCTGGAGACACGCCGGCGATTGACGATGACGGAATCATGTTGTCGAGCCTGTGCTGGCGTCCCACGATGCAGATGAGTGACTGCACGCGATCACTTACTTGCCAGGCCCATGTTTGCTCCTCCAGGCAACCGGGAAGGCGCCATCGATATTGAATCCTATCAGGTTTCCAACGTTGCCATGGCAATGGAGCGTGACAAGATCGTCGAGGCTTGTGTAAAGCCTGACTTGATGCGGGTCCAAGCCTCGACATCCGAAAAGTACGTCCCAGAGGTGTTCTACAAATACAAGAACCAGTACTCGATCATGGTCAAGGAGCCTGCCAAACCCACGTTCCCGGTCGACTATCTGCTGGTGACGGTCACGCACGGATTCCCGCAGACACCGGCTCCGTTCTTTGACAAGCAGAATGCGTTCCCGATCGAGAACCGCGATGCACTTGGCGTCGATGCCGGTCTTACGGCGCTGGAGAAGCGCCTGAAGCAATACGACCGCGATTTGGTCCAGGCCCTCTCGGACTTTCATGCGCTGCTGTTCCTCTCTCAGTCTGGCATCCTGGAGGAGGTGAGATTCACACACCGCGAGAGCCGCTGGGCATGTAGATGTCACAGTCCTGGGAGAGCATGAGAGAGAGAGACTCGTCGCTTTGATGGTTGGAGACGGCACCGTTCGATTCGTACGCACACCGGTATCGCTGCATTTGAAGCACTGGCATCGTCGTCTCTACTCACATATTGCCTCTACCACGACATGGGTTTGAACCGTCGGTGTTATCTCTCCAGAACGAAGTCCGCCTGATGCTCGACGTTGTGCGAACCAAGGATGCAGGAGCAGCAGCGCAGCTGAGCCACAGCGGAGGCTGGATGTCCATGCTGGAAATCGCAAAGCAAACCAGCAGTGGCCAGCAGCAGCGCGGCACCGGGTCCGCCCACAATGCCGCTGGATCGTCGGCTCCGCCTCCCGTCGAGTGGGACTGTCGGCACTGCACCTTCAGAAACAGCGGCGGCCACGACAGCTGCGACATTTGTGGGCTGCCGAGAGATTAGAGCAGCGCCCCCGAGCGACCGCAACGACGGATACCTTACTTGGCCGGCGTGGCTCGCTCCATGTGCCGCTGTCTGGAGACAGAAGTCGGCCTTGGTGACAATATACAGCTCGCTCGCCCAAGCGTGGGGCAGTCGTCCCGTCCGCACCACACACCTTGTATTTTGCCTGGAGTGTTGGAGGAGCGATCTGGAGCTCGTATCTTGCCTTGCCTCGGCCAGAGCACGTTCGGCGCTCGCAGTTCATAGAGTCGGAAATACATGGCGAAGCAGACTTCAACCCGCTCTGAAGAGCCAATCTCCTTCCACCTCACTGTCTCGGGCTTCTCCGCAGCCCTGTCGGCACCGAGTCACTTGGACACTCTGGAGTGTTGTCCGCAGCGGCTCATGCTTCCTGATTACGTCATCCTCGTCTTCCCCGCTTTCTGCCTCCTCGCTTCTGCCTCCATCGCCATCCCATCGTTCTCCGTCGGCGTCGTCCACATCCAAATCCAAATCCACATCCAAATCCAAATCCACATCTCCATCTCCATCTCCATCTCCATCTCCATCTCCATCTCCATCTCCATCTCCCTTGCCACACACCATGGCTGCCAGCATCGAATCCTCCCACAGTGCCACCCAGCCACTGCTCGATCTCCATCCGGACCTGTTCACCGTCTTGTGCCTCAACGACGGCTTCCGGCTCGCACTCGACCACATCACCGTCAGGAACCTGTTCCTCGTGTGTAGGCGAGCCCAGCGTCTCCTGCCCTCCAAGGTGGCTCGCTTTCACGACTGGTGCAAAGGAGCAGGGCTGTGTCGCCCCGACGGATTGCTACAAATCAGCCTCACACCGAGCGAAATGATGGTCCTCGCAGCGCACTATTGCGGTCAGGAGGCCACCGACCGGTCCTGGATCATCTCGCTCTCTGACCAGGGAAACATTGCTGCCTCGTATTTCCTGGGCCGGGTGCTCCAGGCCGATACCGTTTACCGCACGGATATAACAAGGCCCGAATTGGAGGCCATGGGAAACCAAATGTACCGCCTTTTCGAAAGTTGCGCTCAAGCTGGCCATTCGAAAGCACGGTATCAAATCGCCGAATGTTACCGCAAGGGCTATGGAGTCGACCAAGACGATGCCAAAGCAGCAGAGATCTATCGCGGCCTTGCCGTTCGTGGACTCTGTCCGGCTCAAGTCGCCCTCGGCCGCTACTACGAGAACGGCGAAGGAGTCGAACAAGACCTCGATGCAGCTGTCGAGTGGTTCACCAAGGCCATCAATCAAGGATCCCGCGGTGCTCGACCCCGCGTTGCATTCATTCGTGGATGGTTCTCATTCATTGGTCATGGCGTCGAGCAGAGCGACACCGATGCCTTCAACCGCTGGCAAGAGCTCGCCGCCGAGCTCGCCGATCCCGACACCAAGCGCACTGTCGTCCACATGATCGGCTGGATGCACTATCTCGGCCGAGGGACGCCGCAAAACAAGCAAAAGGGGGTCAAGATGATCCGCGAGAATGCGGCGGATGATTTCATATTTGGAGAGGACCAGTGTCTGGCCAGCGCTTGGTCGGTGACCGACAAGTCTTCTGCGGCCCGCAAGTTCTTCAAGCTATGCCGGATGGGATCAGAGCGCGACTGGCTTTGCAAACAGCTCATGGCGACCTGTCTTCTACACGGAGTTGGAGTCGAGCGGAACCACGCCGCGGCTGCAGAAGCGTTTGCAGAGCTGGCCAACCAAGGATACAGCCCCAGCCAGTATTTGCTGGGGCACTGTTATGCCAACGGGAAGGGTGTGCCGAGAGATGACTCGAAGGCATTCAGTTGGTACAGCAAGGCGGCCGCCCAAGACGACTCGTACGGGCAGGTTGGAGTTGGTCGCTGCTACGAAACGGGAAGCGGCGTTCCCCGAGACGCCATCAAGGCCATCGAGTGGTTCCGCAAGTCGGCCGTGCAAGGCAATTCCTTTGGGCAGCACAAGCTCGGCAGCCACTACAGAGACGGCTCGGGTGTGGCCCAGGACCTTGATGCCGCCCTCTACTGGTATCGCAAGTCTGCTGATCAGGGAAATGTTATGGGTCGGCGCGATCTCGGCCGACTGCAGAATCCCTGGTGAACTCGGCAGGCACAAACGGCTCCAGCAATTCAAAGCAGCAGCTGGGTTTCGAGTGTCGGGTCGCCAGCAGATCGACCCATCTCTGGCTGCAGACGGTACGGACGCAGTGGTGGGGACACTGGTATCAACTCGCGCCTGCATCATCAATACACATCGACTCCTCACGACGCACAGACCCCTGATGGCCGGTGCATGAATCCGACGACTGTGATTGTGATGCTTTGAGCGGGCGGCACTCGCACCATTCGGCCATCCTCGGCCAGAGATCGGCTGCTTGATCGTCATTCCGGGCTTTGTTGGCGAGCCTCGTCTTGGGAAAAACGTGCTTGGCTCTTGCTGCGTGTTGGTCTCGTTTGTGCAAAACCTGTGCTCGCCGATATGCTACTTTCGGCCGTGCTCGTTCCGGCCGGGGCGTCGGCTCCCTGGCTCGGCTCCCTCGCTTGCAGATCCCAAGGGAGGCTTCTGGTCGGCCGATTGATTCGGCAGCGCCCGCAGCGAGAACAACCTCTGCTCTCGGCGAGGAGTCGCGCTCTCGCCCATTCCGTCCTCCCGGCTGTTGCTCTGGGCTGCATTCAGGCCCTGTGTCGTCCTCCATCAGCCAACCCTCCTACTCCCGGATACCTCTGCGTCGTCTGCACGCCCATCGATCGCCATGGCAACCCTCAAGTATGGATACGTCAATGGTAGGCTTCTCGTCAGCAGCCTTGCATCTGGGCAATGATCCATCTCGGCCACAGCATTCAGGGGGCTTCAGGCCTGCATATATGGAATGTTTGAGCCGGCGGCGTCTGCGGTGGTGGCATTTTGGCATTGCAGTCCTGCGTACCGTCCGGATGCATCGCTGTCGACAGCTGGAGATTTCCATCGTCTCTGCCCTGACGATCCTGCGTTGCTCCCGTCCAGACACCACCATGATTGCACCCCCGATGCTCCGCAAAATCGGCCTGAACTGGGCAGGCAATTCCTCCTTTGTGTGGGTCGGCACCCTGGACGACAGTAAGTCGGGCTGTGCAAGAACATTCGACCAAATCCCTCAGCCACAGGCGTCCTGCCATCTGCAGCAAGATGTGCCCGGATGCCGTGCCCTGCCCACTCTTCTTCTGCCTCTACCCCGGCTCGAATGAGCTCGGATGAGCTCTAATGAACTCGGATGACCGCTTGCTCGCTGACACACCTGCCCATTCCAGTCTGCAACTGGATGGAGGTCCATCGCCGTTTGCAGATCGAGTACGAAGAAGCCGCCGACTTCCACTCCAAGAGCAACTCCCTGGCCCTGCACGTCAAGACCGTCCCGATCGAGAATCCCTCCGGCGGCTGGGTCAGTCTCCTGGGTCCGGTCACCGGCTACATTGTCGAGGTCCGCCTGGCTCAAACCTCGGACCTGGCCCGCGACACCTGGGCCGGCGCCGAGGAGCAGGAGAGCCGGGAGGAGGCTCCTGTCAGCACCGCCGCCGCCCAGTTTGCCCAGCGCAACTTTGGTGTGATGTGGAGAGGCAGCCAGGAAGAAGACCTCTCGCTGATCCTGCTGGACTCGAGCACCACCCTGGGAGAGTGTGCCGCCATCCTCAAGGATGGAGTGACTGGATGGCGAGACCTGCGCAAGACCAAGTAAATTGCATGTCAGCGACTGGAGGGCAGAATGGGTTGTCCAGCCCAGAATCATGTTGCACCCACGGAACGAAAACGGGGGCACCCCGATATGCCTTTGATTGTTGCTCTCTCTGAGTGGCAATACACACGCATCCATCCTCCACAATCGCCATCCGCCGCGCTGGTGCTGAGCCGGGATACGATTCGAGTGGGTTATTGAAGCATGGCAAGGATAAAGACGACGAGCCAGAAGCCGGTCAACCGCAAGCGGCGGCAAAAGTCATCCAGCAAAGTCAAAAACAGCGGCAAAGTACTTTTCTCTTGGCCCTCCCCCTTCCCTGCAAGAAAGTGAGAGGAAGGGCTGCAAGTCGGGTACAATTCTAGAAACTGAAGACGATCAAAGAAGCACTCCGAGCGCCCGAGCTGACTGCGAATGCAACAGAGAGATGCGATCCGTCGTAACAAAAGGGCGGCACCGATGGGTCCGGGGCGAAGCAGAAACAGGTGGAGCGGGCGAGTCAACAAGCCGTAATTAGAGCGGGGAGGAGGATCCACTTTTTTCCCATATTTTTGAGGCAAAGGAGGGGGGGATAATGGAGGCATGGAAAGGCGACAACAACGGCAGGATCAAGATCAAGATAGAGATAGAGAAACTGCAAACGATGGCAGGAAACAGAGGAGGGGGAGGGGCGGATGGCCGCTTGAGCCAAGCAAGCGAATAGAGAGACGAGGGAAAGCGACAGTCGACACAACACATCCGCGCCTCAACGACGACCTGTGATGCGGTGCGATTTGAATGTTCTCCCCCGTTCACACTGGGCTGGATTTTTGCAGGTGCTGCGGGACACTCTGAATGTCGAACCTGAGTTGAAAAGGACCGAGGCGTACATCAGTGAGCGCGAACGATGCATCGATTGCGCAACGCAGGGAGGAGTGGACGACTTTGACCATTGTGCGCGACAGCATGCCTCGCCAAAGGATGCTTGCGTCCTTACCAGCTGATATCTGCCAGAGGCCCGGTCCCTGTCCAGAACTCCATGCAGTTGCGTGATAATCCCATGTCGAAGGGATTGAAGGGCCTGCGACGATACGCCGGCAAATCCATGTCGCCGGGATGGACCATGTACGAAAAGCGGTGGTAGTTCTGTGCCTCGTTCGAGGTTCGGCCGTGGGCGATCTGGACCATCTGCGAAACAAAAAGAAGGGCGACCCACAGGCTGTTGAGGATCGCCCATTGTGCCAGGAGCAAAGCCCACGGGTCATAGCTAAAGTAGCCGCATAGATCGGATCCAAAGAGGTTGAGACAGCTCGCAGGTCCATCGGGTGTGGGCTTGTAGTAAAGATTGAGGTCTGGGTACGTCGAGTGGATGCGGGAGCAAGAGCGATGAGCCGGACGGACTACAGCGACTTGTTGATGTTGCGGGACGTCATCTTCAGCGGCAGCCGACTCAAGCAGCATACACCGCTGCCCACTTACACGAAAACATCATAGAAGCAAACGTGATTGCTCCAATTGGAAGGGCGGCCGTGAAGACAACAAAGTACCGGTGGTTCAGATGGCCAATGCAGTTGTACGTCCATGGGCAGTGGCTTGAGGGCAAAGGCGAGGAGAAGAGCGATGCAATTTCCATCAGAATCGGAATCGCCTGACTTTGGCCCGACCTCGCACATGGATCGAGGAAGAATATGCACCAAGCCTGCATGCTGTCGGCCAAGCAAACACAACTGGCGGGTCAAACACATACTGGTCGAATCTGGCGACGCATCGATTGCAGAACTTGCAGTGCTTGCTCCTCAGCGGCTTGATGTTCTGTGGCGACAGTTGTATGTTTGAGGTTATTTTGATGCTCGCGTGCTCACATGAGCATACCACTCAATCCCGAGACCCAGGCGCCCAGGCCTGGTGCCTGATATCTAGGCCTCGTGGTACCACCTACCGAGCAAGTGATGCAGAACGTTCGGCTGTTCAGACGTCCTTCGGAAACCAGTTGTAGCACAAGATCCTTCTTATCCTGGTCCGAGGTGATCTGGCGAATGTACCCGGGGTCGCTGTAGATGGACTTGTAGAAGCTCCAGGACGTGACGACAAAGCACACCAAGAAAATGACATGGTGAACATAGAGAAACGCAATATCTGTTGGAGAGGCAGTGCGGACAAGTAGGCGCGGCGAACGCAGCGGGCGTGGCGAGTGTGCGGTGGCAGCAGTTGCATCAAATGAGAAGATAAAGGTCGCAGTCAGTAGCTGGTCGTGGTCGAGAGCTCAGTGGGGGGGGGGCTTCGTTGCCAATCGCAGATTTCGCGAGTGCCTCTTCAGTTGCCCTCGAGCCAAGGACTACTCATCGCCATTACCACCGCGCTTGCTATCGCCGTGGCCATTGGCATCGCCCTGAAACTTACATCGTGACACGCGGATCCATGTACAAAGCATAAAGAACATTGTTGCCTGCGGGATGGCCGTTGTCACAGGCGTCAAGGACAGCCTCGAGCCGCGGATCATCAATATATCGGCGACCAAAAACTTGTGGACAGCCGCAGAGGCGACCAGGATCGCGGGTATGGAATAGTAGAACGGAGCCATTGAATAGGCCAGGACCACCATGGGGATCAGCAGGTAGGGCAGCGTGTAGAGGACTCGATTTGCCGTGATCTATGGATGCGTGAATCGGAGATGAGCACGAAGGGCGGGCGTCATGCAAAAGCGTGAGGGCAATCGGTATCGCGGCCCCAGAACGTATCACCAAGTTGCTGCCATGGCTGCCAGTCCAGATATCCCTGCGCTCCGAGTGCGGAGCCCACCGCTCAAAGAAATCACCGGCGGTGCAGACACGTACGCGGCTCTGGTTGACCGGCAGATGGACGTTGGTTGAGCGGTACTTGACGGCTTGTTCAAAGAGCTTCGAGGTGCCGCGCTCCACACACCAGCTCGCTGGTGTCCTGCCCTGGCTGTCGACGACATCGATGTGGGCCCCTGCTTTGATAAGCCTCTCAAAGTACTCGGGCTGGCTCGTGATGACCTTCAGTCGCGACCAAGACACCCGATTCGAAGATTAGCGCCTTGAAAAACGACGAAAGTAGTCGATGGGCGATGTCTCGCTTGCGGTCGTGTCCGCAATCCAACATTGGCAGTACTCGCCACGTCCTCAACAACACAGTGCTGCGAGCGGACAGCGGACAAACAGGCACCAGTACCTACCGCCCAGTGCAATGCCGTGTGTCCTTGATCGTCCTGCATGTTGAGCTCAGCACCCCAGGCGATGAGTACGGAGATGCAGTCCATCGATGTGTTCCGGTAGGTTGCCCACATCAGTGGCGTGTGTCCGCCCGCGTCTGGGCAGTTGACGTCGATGCCCGTCGAGAGCAGGAAGAGCACGACCATGGCTTTGTCGGCCTGCACAGCAATATGAAGGCAGTTGTAGCCCTGCGTATCTTGAATGTTGGGATCGGCACCGCGCTTGTGGAGAAGGGCAACCATCTCCAAATGGCCCGAGCTGGAGCACCAAAGAAGCCGGAGGGGTCAAACACATCAATACGGTGTGCACGAATCAAATAAAGGCCAGGGAAGCGAGGGGAAGCGCCGTGCAGCACCACGACAGAAGAGCACCGGCTCTCGGGTCTGGTTGTCAAGTGCAGGAGCGCTCTGCGACGGGTTGCTTACTTTGCCGCCCAATGCATGGGCCCCGACTGGTAGTGTCCTGTGTGAGACGAACGGGATATGGCGAGCAAGTCCGGCAGTTGTATCAGAGTTAGGCGACAGGATCATAGGGCGATTTGGCAGGTCTGCTCGAACGGCCAATCTGGTTGCTCTCCCTATCGACGCCTACCGCCAAGGGCATTGACGTTTGCGCCCCGATCAATCAGATACTGAGCCATCTGGATGTTGTTTTCCTAAAGCCAAGGAAGAAGCGGAGGCAAGGGATCACAGCGAATGAGCATCCATGGCAGCGAGGAGCCATGTGGTCGATATCCAGGAGCCAATATCGGAATCGAGGCAATCGACTCAAAAAACCAGGTCCACGGAAAGAAAAGAAAAATGTCGGTCGAACCCAAGCCCCATGATGAGCACGGCCGGCGCACACAGGCTCGTCGGCTGTTGTGCCTGGTGCATGGCTGCAGGACGCAAAGCGACAGGGAGAGCGAGGGAGAGGCGTACCAACGCAGCCCAGTGCAAGGCAGTGCAGCCGTCCTTATCACACATCGTGGGCTGAACAATCCCATTCGCAACATAGTAATGCACTCGGTCGATGAAGCCGCGTTTGACGCTTTCGAAATAGTCTAGGGATTGAGCCGGATCGAGGGGAATGGGTTAGTAGCGATCGCCCGGACATGCACGAGCGAAAGTGGTCGTCTGGGAGCGAATTGAGCTTTCGTGCAAGTGGGTGGCATAAATGTGTGCTGGTTTGCTGCATGGCAGCGCCGATACAGTCGGTATCGACGCAGCCAAGCGGATGCCGTTGAGAGCATGAGGCAGGCGACACAGCGATGCAATTCGGAACAGGGACGGCGAGAGGGAGGCGGGCGAGCCAGCGGACGAGGACACACCATCGAGAAACCCCTGGTTTACGATCGGCTGGTCCTGGATCACACAGGCCGAATCGGGCTCGTCCATGACATCCTTCGGAGCATCCTTGGGAGTCCCGAGCAGGGCGTCCTTGTCGGGCTCGGCCTGGGAGTTCTCGACAAAGTCCAGCAGCGGTATATCGTCCTCATCGGCGGCTCGACTCGATGACATGGTCGTCACGGCGTCGGCGAACGAAAGCATGAAGACGGGCGGTGGCAGAGACGGAAAGGCGTGGCCAGTGGGCAGAGGTCTGTCGGTGCAGGACGGGCCGCGGGGAGGCCGATCGGCGGTGGGTGCGCAGATGAGGGGTGGACCGGGGGTGAAAGGTCGCCGGAGGAGGCAGGAGACGGCCGAGCGATCTTTTGAGGAGCGGCCGGCGATACTCGACCCCACCCTTTCGCCGGCTCGCCCGCACGCCCGCTGCCCTCGGCCGACTCGCCCACCGGCGCTGCACCGTCGATCGAGCCGGCCGGTCCCGTTGCCGCCAGAGCCCGCTCGCGGCCAGAATACACCGCCAGAGCGGTCGCTATCGACAGGGAGAGTCTGGGCTCGACCAGGGCCATCGGCGCGGCCGAGCAGCCCCACTCTGGATGCTCGGCCGCCCTCGGGATCGGACGGGTCGACGCAGAACTGCACCTGCACCCGGCGCCGACACACGTTCTACGAATCGCTGTATCTCGCTGGTGTGCAGCATTCGCTGATGTGCAGCATTCACAGTTGCGCTGCAGCGGATCGGGTGCTCGTGCAGTGCGGCCACAGGAGACAGCAGACCTGCTTTCTCACGGGTGTCGCCGACACCATGCGCAGCGGCCTTGCAAAGGACAGCCACGTTTGCATTTTGCCCATCACGCCCAGACCGCGGCCGTCTGCCTCTGTCTTGCAGCAAACTCCTCGCCCCACGTCCGGCCATGTCTCGCCGACCACCGTCCAGCCAAACCGCCTCCGGCATCGTCACCCGCGGACCCGAAAACGAGCGGGTGATCCCGGCCTCCCGTCGTGCGGACGGCAGCATCCGTCCCGAGCGCAAGATCCGCCCAGGCTTCATTCCACAGGAGGATGTCAAGCGATACACCAACCCTCGTGCAGAGGCCATCAAGCTTCCGGCGGGCTATGTCGTCGGCATGGGACAGCAGCAGCAAGCCGACCAGGTCGATGCCGATAAGAAGGGAAAGAACGCCCGGCGGAACGAGAAGAAGCGACTCGAGAAGCAGCAACAACAAGAGCAGCAAGAGCAACGGCAGCAACGACAGAGCGACGATGCCGACACCCAGGAGAACTCGGAGCCGGCCGAGACCCAGCCAGCGCAACCTGCTGTGGCCGAGAGCCAGGCACAGACTACCGATTTCGAGAAGCGATCCAAGGCCATCAAGAAGAAGCTGCGACAGATCGAGGAGCTGGAGCAGAAGGCAACCAACGGCGCCGAGCTTGACAACGACCAGAAGGAAAAGATCTCCAAGAAGAGTGAGCTCGAGTCGGAACTGGCCGATATCCAGGAGCGGCTGCAGGCCATCAGCCTGTAGCTCGATGTGCTCTGCGAGCCTGTGTATCAACACGCATACGCACGCCCGTTCATCCACAGCCCAGGCCTTTCCCCGGACCCAGCTTCGATCGAGGCCTGCACATTGGGCTTGCAGCGTCGATCAACCGAGGATGCTCGATTGGGTGTGGGCTGGGCCGATCTTGCAGCGACAGCGGTGCCCGCAGTGCATCCGAGAGAGCTTGGCTCCTCATCGGCACCCAGATTGGCTCCTCATCGGCACCACAGATCGACTTCCAGATCGGCACCCGCACTGCGATCATCTCCAGCACAGACAGCCCAGCAAGCACAGCCAGCACACTAGCGCCGGGCAAAGCCATAGAAACGCACGAGCGACGGCGTCGGTTAACTCATGCCGATACCATCTCTATTCCCAGAGCCAGGCCCGCCGAGAGCCAGAACATTGTCGGCACACATCGGAACGACATCGTCCGTTCCGTTCTGGGCATCAGGCACCATCGACAGACTCTACACATCTGAATCGCTCGCCAATCCAAGGGCCGACTGGAGGGCTTCGCACTTGGACAGGATAACGTCGATGGTTGGCCGCGAGGCAGGACTTGTCACCAACATCGACTCGATCAGATTGCGGAAAGGCTGGCCGTAAGGATCGCTCCCGAGTGGGAAGCGCACGCGACTGTTGACAACGGCCGTGAGGGTGCCGTCGACTAATGGCATCAAAGGGACAGTGTCAGTGTTCTGGATGATCCTGGAGAGCAAGATCCACATGCAGAGGGTGCTGATGGGTGCCAACCAGCGCCCAAGCTATTCCAGCGGTTGTTCTTACATGGAGGCGATTTGTACGCCATAGCGTAGAGTGTGCATCCCAGCGCCCAGACATCGCTTCGTTCGTCGACAAGGCTTCCCGTGGGCGGGTCAAACAGCTCGGGTGCCCGATAGGTCGCTGTGACGGTCTCGGCGCAGTGCTCCTGAAGCACGGTGGCATCTCTGCGATTCGTGATTCTCACCCGAGCCTCGGCCACCGACCCGAGATCTGTCAGCACGACGAGGTCCTCCTCGCCGATGAGAACGTTGGCCGGCTGGGGCAGTCGAACAACGGCCACGGCAGCGTCAGGGCGGAGGTAATGGTTAGAGTCGTCAACATGTCGCCGTTGCTATATCGCCAGAAACGTGGGTGCCCTCGATGCAGCTGCGAGGCGATGCTGCCAACAGAGCGAGACGATAATGGATACGCACCTTCAGATCACGATACGCCAGGGGAGGGTTATGGGTGCTGCAGCAGTCAGAAAGCAGCGCATCAGACGGACAACCTGAGCCAGGAGGAGACCATATCCGTGCCGCTGGAATGGTATACACCCAGATGCGATCGCAGCAGCCAATAGCTAATGATCAATGGCCAACAGTAGCAGCGCCACTGAAGAGACTGCCTCATTCTACTCACTGGAAGGCTTGCAGACCCTTGGCGATCCCGATGGCAAACTTGATGATCTTGGGCATGGGGATAAAGTCGCGCGGTGGAGTGTTGTCGATCAAATCCTGGACCTGTATGGCCGCCAGAGCCGATAGCAGAGCCGACAGCAGATGAGCATAGTCGCAGCCGATGTGACCAGTTCCGGTCTGGCTCGCTGGTAGCCGCTCAGGCTCCATTCTGCTTGGATCGCTGAGCAGCCCGCCTCCTGGCCAGCCTGCGGACAACATGTAGGAGCCGCTTACCGTTCCGAGGTGATGGTACGGCAGAAGCAGCAATCCCTCGGTGCCTTTTGAGTCGCGGACGATTTCGTAGTCGACCAGCTTGAGGACATGCGGCGAGTCCACGGACTTGTGGGCTTCGATTTCTTTCTGAAAGCGGTCTTCGTGCTCGGGCAGTTGGAGGCGCACCTTCTTGAGAGCAAAGAGGGACCGGCGAGGGGCTGTTTCTTGAACCAGATACACATACGAGAACCCTAAAGAGACGACGCATCAGGCTTGTTAACAATCGAGCTAAGGGCCTGGTCTGTTCTCGATGAGCGATTTGCGTGCCGGGGAGGGGGACACTGGCTGGTGGAGAAGCATCGAGGCTGATTCTGCACAGACAAGTCCGGATTGCAGCAAAGGCCGGGTGTGGGTACCTCCTTCGCCGAGGGGCCTGATGGTCTTGTAGGTTCTTCCGTTGACGGATGTGGTGCCGGGTCGGAAGCATCCCTTGATGCTCGACACCAGGCCAGCAAACAGATCGTAGACCAACTCGAGGAGACGGGCCATGGCCACAAAGACACAGCCGAGCAGCGAGGAGCGGTCGGCCTGGCGGGGCGAGTCGTTGATATCAAGAGACTGGAACGACGCAGGCATTGTTGAGCTGATTGACGGGAGCGAGGGCGAGGCAAGATGAGCAGGGGCAGGCCGACGGCGATCTGGAGGCAGGCAGGCAGGCAGGCAGGCAGATGCAGACAATGGCGCCTACAGTGTAGGATGGCCTTGACGGAGCCGATGCAGCTGGTGCAGCTGATGGATGTGGTGGAGTTGATGGATGTGGTGCAGTTGATGGATGTGGTGCAGTTGATGGATGTGGTGCAGTTGATGGATGTGGTGGAGCCCCGGCAGATGGACGCAGCAGACGAAAGCCAACCAGCCAACAGATCGGCAAGTCGAACGACAGGTCGAGCAAACATCCACCGAACACGTCACCACAGCGGCCGCACCGCCACAGCATCCGCGCTCGCCATTGGCCAGCACACACACACTGATTTGCTCTGATTTCCATCATCCATTGCGTTCATCGTCCTCTGCATCCATCTGCCCTCCATCTGCCCTCCATCTGCCCTCCACCGGCACCGACCGATCCACCCCCCATCCGCCATGGCTGCCCGAGCACCCGGCTCCTTCGACATCCTGCGCACCGTCACCCGCCAGATCGAGACCGACATCCGCGATCTGGTGTAAGCCCAAAGCGCTGTGTTGGATCCATCCCGATCCTGAGTCAGATCCATCCCGATCCTGGGTCACGCCATGCATCCCGCTTACTGTCTTGTTTATTTTTGGCCGTACCGAACCCGTTGGTGCCAGGGACGTCCTGGCCCGGCCTGCGCCCCCGACCGACTTGGCGCTCCAGCAGCGCTTTCTTGACAAAGGCCTGGCCTTCGGAGCAGCCGTCCGCGAGGATCTGGGCGACATCACCAGCGGAGTCCAAGCCCAGCAGATGCTCCAGCAGTACGGAGAGCAGACCCAACTGGCAAGCCGTCGTTCTCGCCTACCTGAGTCGCACAGCTACTTCCTCGGTATCAGGCGGAGCCGCTGTGGGTCAGCGGGATGGGATGCTGTGTTCGCTGCTGCTGTTACTGACATTTGCTCTGGGCTCTCTGGTCCCTCCAACCTCCTGGCGACGAACTGTTGCCGATCTTGCCCTGACCCGATTCGATCTGTGCCCGTCGTTGTTGCTCGCAGATGAAGAGCAAGATCGCCGAGCTCGAGTCGTATCTGCAAAAATACGGCTACACACCGAGTGAGTGCGGCCTGGCTTGGTCAAGTCGCTCGCCAGTTGCAGCTCACCGACGACACCGACCCGCCAATCCCCGCGCCAAACAGGCTCTCTGACCTCGATCTTGCTCTTCTCCAGTAAGCCCGCCCGCCAACTCTGCACCGGCACCGGCACCGGCAGCGAAGTCGAGCCTCCCGGACGATGGCGACTGTGACATGAGTCTAGAGTCGATCGACGACCAATTCCACGATGCCCAGGAGAGCCTGGCGACCCTGACCCCGCCCAAGGAACTCATGAGCCGGCTCTCGCTCGGCACGCCCTCCAAGGCTCCCTCGGAGTTTTCGACATCGTCTCCCGATATAGCGTCGCTGCGACGGCTGCAGTCGACCCTGATCCAGTCGCCGCCCGCCCATGGCGGTGTACATGTCCACGACGAGCCGCCGAGTCCAACTATGGAGAGTCTGGGCATCTCGAGCCTGGCCATGGCGCTGCTCGAAGAAGAGCAGAACCAAGGGGGTGCGTATCCACCACAAAACACCTTTGCTGTTCAGAGAGCCCTGAAGCAGAAATGCCCAATGCTCCGAGTTGATTGTATTCGGTCTCACACGCATCATATTGCTCGAAACGCTTGAATGCAACCCTCAACGCGAATGGACACTGGTTGCCTGGTGGTTCTCTCCGCCATCGTGTGCAATCGCTGCAGATCTTGGCTCCAACCCGAATGCCCGGCACTCCAATGCCCTCTCGTGAGTACTCAGTGCAAGACAGCCCGCTGTCCAGCAGCCCAAGAGAGCCAGTCCCTCACCACCATTCCGCCGCCCTGCAATCGTTCATGATTGGAATCTAGACTCGATCTCTCGCCCGTCAAGACGACGCTGAACGACACACCCAAGTCGGCCCGCGATAGCCGCAAGTCCGACTCGCTCTTTTCAAACATGCCGTCGGTGACGCAGTCCGAGTACTCGTCGCTCCCGACTCATATCACTGTTCAGATCACCTTGAAGGTAACGGGCACCGCATCCTCAAGCGGCCAGGGCGAGCGAGTGGCTTGCATTCGCACTCGTCCCAGCCGCCGCCCATCGATCGGACAGGCGTTGTCACTTACCGTGTCCATACTGCATTCATCCTGCCGCGAAGACCCTTAACAATATCATATCAGGTATGGGGTCACCTCACTCGCACATGACATAAAACGGCCAGCCCTGTCACCTTCCTTCCATAACGGACACTTGGTTCGGATGAGCAGTGGCCGCAGGGAACAAGGCTGGATCGGCTCCTTGGCTAACCTGGGTCTCTGCTTCCTTTCCATCGCACGCACGCAGAAATCAATGAGCTTCTAACAGGTAAGGGCGCTTGTCTAGTTTTGCCGCTGGACTTGACAACCGTAACTGTCGACGGGGGTAGGTGTACCGTTTCTGTATTTGTCTCGGCTGACGATGCGCTTCCTTCCAGATCAAATGATGATGGGCAACCAGACCGACGTTTTTGATTTGACCGAGCTGTCGATCTCCTCCGGCATGCGTATGTAACGACACCGTCGCGATTTCCGGAAGGGGATGGCGGGTCCATTCAGAATCCCTTCAAGGGATGATGATTTCATGATGTTCTTGGCGTCGCTGCTGTCTGGATACTGCGTTTGCTGTTGGGCTTTGACGCTCACGCACAATGTCCCTTCGCCGCTATGTCGCACTCCACCCTAATTCCCATCACCTTTCTCCCTCTATCGTCCTTTCCGCGATCCTGGGTCTTGCAGACGAGCACCAACTCAAGCCAGCGATCCTGGCGCTCCTGCATCTCGCTGCCGTCAAACAGGTCACTCGGAATGGAATCGGAGCCTTCCAGGCTCTTTGAGCAAGACTGAAACCACTCTGATTTGCTGTGTCATATATAAATGCATGTGTCTGTGGTGTATTACGTTCTCTTTTATTTTCTCAATCTGCTGCGACGAAGAAAATGGGGAGGAAAGTGCTGTGGAAAGGAGAGATTAATGCCAAGCTTGTGATCTCGACTGTCAAGAACGATCTATTGGATTTCCAGAAGCCTGATAGATGCTGTACAATACGTCGAAACACAAAGCCCAACAGCCAGCCTTGAGGAAGAAAGAGAGACCAAGGGATGGGAGCGGAGAAGGGGCCTGAAGAACGATTATGAGTACGAGGACGACCTCGAGGTGAGGGGGGAAGACCGATGAGACGGGGGACAAAAAACCTCGATAAGGCCGGCAACGAATAGTTCGGAAACGTGGACAAAGAGGAGGAGACACATGACGTTAAAGATCACTACGATCAATTTGGGAGAGGGGGAGGAGAGTCTGGTTGAATTGGTTCATTCTCATTCATACTTTCGGAAGACAAAGCGCATCGATTCTACGATACGTTCTGAATGGCAACGCCCTGGGCTTCCAATGGCGAGCAGGGTTGGAAAAGAACAAAGGGAAACGGAGGAGGAGGAGGAGGAGGAGGGGAAAGCTATAAATGAGCGAGGGGGGGGGATCAAAGGTTCATTGGACTGAATGACGTTTAGCAGTACTTGAACAGGGCCGACATCTGAGAGGTAAAGTCGTGGCTGGTGCTGCCACCGCAGACGTTGTAGTGGCGGATGCCAAGGGTGACCTCGCCGTCATCGGGAGCACCGGTGTCAGCGTAGCAGCGGTTGAACAGAACGGTGTAGGAGTATTCGGGAGTCAGGCAGATCGGCTGGAAAACATTGTGCTTGAATGAGTCACAGAAGGCAGCGATCTGGCTGGGGTCCTTGGGGACGCAAGGAACGTTTGTGGGGATATTGGTGGGCTGAGGACCGGCAGTAGTAGTGGTGGTAGTGGTGGTGGTAGACTTGACCGTGGTGGGCTTGGCGGTGGTAGTGGTGGTGGTGGTGGTAGTGGTGGACTTGGTGGTGGTATGGGGCTTGGTGGTGGTGGTGGTGGTAGTGGTAGTGGTGGTAGTCGACTTGGCGGGCTTGGTGGTCTTGGTAGTCTTGGTCTTCTTGGTCTTCTTGGCAGGCTTGGTCGACTTGGTGGTCTTGCTCTTCTTGGTCGACTTGGCCGGCTTGGTGGTCTTGGTCTTGCGGGTCGAGGTGGCCTTGGTGGTAGTAGTGGTAGTGGTGGTGGACTTGGTTGTCGACTTGGTGGTGGGCTTGGTAGTAGTGGTGGTAGTGGTAGTGGTGGTCGATTTGGTAGTGGGCTTAGTGGTGGTGGTGGTGGACTTGGTGGTGACAGGGGCCACGGTGGTGGAGGGGTTGCCGGTGGGGCGTGTGCCAGGGGCAATGGTGATGGTGGGGCGGGCGGCGAGGTAGCTGGAGCCATCATCGGCACCAGGAATCATTTCCGGGATGGTGGGATAGCCAGGCAGGTTGGCGATGAAGAGCTGGGGGCCAACAAGCGAGCCAGTGTTGGAGCCGCCGACGATGGAGACATCAGCGCAGTTGGCTGAAAAGAGAGGATGGCGCGACAAGAGTTAGATTCGAAGACGACGATACAACAAGAGCAAACGGAGCCAGTAGCGAGTGCCACAGACAAGACCGCGGCAAAAGTGATTGAATGACAGGGCTCGGTCGTGAACCACTCACTGTAGTACTCGCGGTTGCCCATGGCGTTGATCCAGTTCCAGGAGAAGATGGCGTGGTCGGCATTGGGGATGTTGCTGGGGATAGGGACTTGGAAGTGGTAGATTCCTAGATTGCAGGACGAGGCGAGGAGGGAGTTCAAGGGTCAGGGAATGCAATTGGGATGGGCAGACAGGGACGACGACGACGACTGGTGGGTGTCAAGTCGACATGGCTTTGGGTGGACCGCGATCTGGTTCGTACCATCAGTGGTGTTGGCCTGCAGGGCGGTGCGGATGACGGTGTAGATGGCGACCCAGGTCGTTTGGTCTGCAGGGACAAGATAGAGGGAGCAGCGGAGAGGTGCATCAGTTGGAAGGACATGGACATGGCTCCGCGGCGATATCAAGCTGCAGGTGCACTACGGCAACGGGACGCAGCGTGTGCTCATACATACCGTACGAGATGGCAAACTGGACGTGGCCACCGTCTGTGGGGTTGACGATGGTGAAAGAGATGGGTCAGAGAGCTGATGCGCCAGACACAGTACAAGATGAGAGGCAGTGCCAACAGCGCAGACGCTCTCGTGGAGGTGGTGCTACCATGGACTGCCTTCTGGCGGAAGCGGAGGCAGGGGCAGAGACAGGGGAGAAACGCACCGTGGTTGGCAGTGCCGCGGATGACGGCATCGAGGGTGGAGCCGGCCTGGAGGGTGAAGGTGTTGGGGGTCTGGGGCTTGCTCTGGCAAGGGAAGGCTCGGCCGTTGCCGTTGGTGGCATCGAGCGGGCTCAGAATGTTGTAGTCGTAGGGTTGGATTCCCTGGGAGCAGCAACGGACGAGGTCAGCGCGGGTGGGGGTTACACTGTGGAGAGCCCAAACGGCCCAAACGGATCACCGCCAGATCGAGGGGTGCTGCAAACCAAGAGACCACGGGGCTGTGATACTTACCACGCCATTCATGGCCTCGGAGGGAGGCAGACCACGGGGAGCAGGGTTGCTCATGCACATGTGTGCACTGGCAGAGGCGCAGAGGGCGGCAACAACGGCCGAGACGGCAGCGACTTTCATGGCGACGGCAGCGGGAATCGGGGAGGGAGCAACGGCAACGACGACAACGAGGAAATCGAGGGCCGGGCAGGACAGTATATGTAGCTGCGGGAGGCTGGCTGGCCTGGGGATTCAGGGACACTCGCCGGGCGCACCAGCAAGAGCACACACACGAGCCTTTCTTTTTTTCACGCGGGCCTATGGGCGCACAGACTGGCAGACGACAAGAACGAGCCAGAATAGCACAAGAGGCCCAGGACAGGCGAGCGGCGACAAGGCCCGGCGCAGGCCCAGAAGGAGGGTGGACGCAGCAACGGCCCCTCACAGGACGAAAACGCAAGGCGCGGCATCAAGTGACGTCGGCTGCCTCGGCAGCACGGCCTTGTGGCTGCAGGGCGGATGGAAGGGGCCAAGGGCCAAAGGGACATGGGGGGGGGGCTTAAAGACAGCGACGACGGAGGTGGTCGGGCCATGAACACACCAACAACGAGAGAACGGGCGTGGGCCGTGGAACGCGGGGGAGAATGGAGAGGCCGGAGGGGGAATCGAAGGGAGGGGGAGTGGGAAGATGGGAAAGGATGATGGGCAGCGCGAGAGGGTTGGCTCGGTCGAGATAGACAGGTCGATACAAGTCGATACAAGTTGATACAAGTTGATCAGGTTAATACAATTGATTCCGGTTGCTCCAATTGATTCCGGTTGCTCCAATTGATTCCGGTTGCTCCAATTGATACAGGTTGGCCAACGCTGCTCAGTCCACTTGGACATTGGGCTCCCACGCTCCGGGATTCTGGAGCTGCATCTCTGCCTGGGCATTCCCGCGGCAACTCGCCTCGCTGGCAGCCCAACTTGTTCTGCTCATCAATTCCGTTGCTTCTACCAATGTCCCAATGCACCCGCTCCAACCCCAGTCCAACTCCAACATCCCAAATCCAACTTCAACATCCCAGGTCCATTTGTATCAGTACATGCACAGCAGCACACACAGACTGTGCGGCTGAGCAGCGCCCTTGTTGCCAGTGCGCCGTTTTTGCGATTGCCAGGAACCCGTGCGCAGCACGCCACAGCTAAACCGAAAAGCACGTGGGCGGGCCCACCAAGACGGCATTGCGCCTTCGTGTCAAGGTTCACGGCGTCGCAGCGAGATGGTTTTGTCGATCGCCGTATGCCAGAGGGAGCGAGCCAGGCAGCGGCCCGATCGGCGAGACAATGCTTCTGCGGGGTCGATGGCCGTTGGGAATGTGTTCTCTCATCCAACATCCAACATCCAACATCCAACATCCAAAATCCAACATCCAACATCCAACATCCAACATCCAACATCCAACATCCAACATCCAACATCCAACATCCAACATCCAACATCCAACATCCAACATTCAACATGACACTTCGATTATGCGAGACACCCACTGTAAACCGCGCCAGCCCCGCAAACACAGCAATATGCATCGTTCGTTCGCCCCAGAAACAGCTTCGGCCCATCTCCGCACTCGCTGCCCAGCCAAATCCCACACTGGCGCAGCGCCACCGTGCCACCCATCCGCGCCACAGCACTGACACGATCCCGCCCGGTTCGCATCACGTGCACACACACCACACACACACGCACCTCCCCAAAGGACCGCCTTTGGCAAGGGTTGTTCTCTCTCTGCTCCCGAGCGCACTCGCCTCCCCCCACATACAGCAGGCCAGGAGAGCAATCGAGGCCGACAGCGCAACGGTACCAACCGATACGTGAGTGTCTGCCGCCCGTCCCTCACGCTTGGTGCAAGCCAAGGCGCCGTTGCTGTCGCCATCGTCTATTGAATGGATATGCCATGCCTCTCGGACTCTATTTCGCGACTCATCCTCCACTCTTGCTCCATCCCCGCCAGTTATCCAGCAAACCACTCGCCAGGGCGTTTGAGAATCGCGGGCCATGTCAGACGCAAAGTATTTCCAGAGAGGTCGGTCTTTGCCTCTTGCCACGCTGCTCCGTCGGCAGCTGTTGCGTCGTGTGCGCCTCGCTTTTGCCGCTGTTTGGCCGTGCGTGTTGCTTTGAGGAGGGGGGGATGATGGAATCAGCTCGCCCTCGACTATCCCAGGGATATTCCCAGTCCCACAGGAATATAGCGCCCCGCCGATCATTGGCATCGGCGCAAGGCTGCTTCGCCATGCTGCTGGCACCCCTTGCGCCCTCGGCTGAATCCGTTACTGTTCCTCGGTTATAGGGAAGATCCAGGAGCTCCGGGCGGAGCTCGTTTCCGACAAAAAAGACTCCAAGTTCCAGAAAAAGAAGATCGCCATGAAGAAGATCGTTGCCAACATGACCATGGGCAACGATATGTCGGCTCTCTATCCCGACGTGGTGGCTTCGATGAACTGCCCGCTCCTCGAGGTCAAGAAGATGGTTTATCTCTATCTGATGAACTACAGTCGCTCCAGACCCGAGATGGTCGACATGGCCATCAGCGGCTTCATCAAGGTAATCTCCCAAAGCCAACGCGAGCGTTTCGAACAACAGCACGTCTGAGCACCCCTGGCGTGTGTTCGCGGGGCTCTTTCTGTGGTGCTCGGCCGAGCTGGTGCTCCTATTCGCTGTGTACGTGCACGCCCTCCCCCCCCCTTCGGCACTAACACTGCCGCTGCCTTATGCTCGTGGATTGTTAGGATGTCTCCGACAGCAATCCTCTGATCCGAGGCATGGCCATCCGAACCATGGGATACATCCAAGTCGACAAGATGGTCGACTGTCTCTGCGGTCCCCTGCGTCACTCCATCAACGATCGCGATCCGTACGTCGCAAAGACCTCGGCTATGGCTGTGGCCAAGCTGTTCTTGTATGACCGCAATCTCACCGAGAACGAGGGCTTCCTGGAGCAGCTTCGGGCCCTGCTGAACCACGACAACTCTACGGTACGAGATCAACTGCCGTGTGCGGCCGATGTTGCAGGCAGCGTCCTCGTTCTGTGATGTTACTTCCTGAATCGAGCGACTGTGAGATCCACGCATCCTGGAGACTTTCAGTGGGGGGGGGGAAGGCACATTCTTTCAAATTCAAGCCGAACTGACCTCGAGCCTGCTCATTCTTTGATAATCCCGTATGCACACAGGTCGTCGCCAACGCCGTTGCGGCTCTGAGCGAGATCTCTCAGAGGTCCTCCAGCTTCGAGCTCAACTTTGACGTCCCCTTGGCCAACAAGCTCCTGACGGCAATCAACGAGTGCTCAGAGTAATGTCGCTAGCCATCGACCAAGCGAGACAGCGTGGCAGGTGGATCGGGCATCGGCAGTCACGCATTGTATATGGATGTGGAGTGCATACGGCATTCGGGGGAGGGCACGATTCGGCGCAAATGCTTCGGGTCGACAAGTGGGTACTGGAGGTCCTGGAGGTACTGGAGGTCCTGGAGGCTCGCCGATTCGTTTGTCCCGGACGGATTCCTCGAATCGTCGCTGGGCATACCTGCACCACCAAATGGGCATGCTCGCAGCTCGAGTAGAGTCCCTGGCAGCTGATGTTGATTACTCTCTATCCTGCTTTCTTCCAGGTGGGGCCAGGCGTATATTCTTGAGGGCATCATGTACGTCGTGCCCCAGGAGCCCGGTGACGCCGAGTTATTGGCCGAGCGTGTTGTGCCTCGTCTTCAGCACTCCAATTCAGCTGTTGTCCTCACCGCCGTTCGTGTGATTATCTATCTGATGAACTACATCGCCAAGGACGACGTCGTCGACCAGCTCTACAAGAAGCTCGGCCCGCCTCTTGGTATGAGCCTGGATGTGGAGAGTTGGCTTTGTCCTCCGTTCGGGCCAACGCCCATCGCACTCCTTGGGGGACTCTTGTGCTGATTATTGTTCCTTGGCTCGTTCTCGAATGAACCATGCTCTGCTCGACAGTCACCTTGCTCCACAACGGGCCCGAGGTCCAATACGTCGCGCTCCGCAACATGGTGCTGATCATGCAAAGGCGCCCGGACTTTCTCAAGAACGAGATGAAGGTCTTTTTCTGCAAGTACAACGACCCGATCTACGTCAAGTTGGTCAAGCTCGACATCATGTTCCGACTCTCCAACGACAGCAACATCGATCAAGTCCTGCCTGAGCTGAAAGAGTGCGTACCGCGTCGACACAGTGCTTGTTGTGGACTGGGGCCTCTGCAACCCCTACCCCGCATCTTTCCGCCGCACACTGAGTGAAAAGCACGCCAAAGGAGCCAAGGGCAGCCGAGTATACCCTCCTGACTGCGTATCTAACAGCCTCCGTCAATGTATGTTCTGTTGCCGCGTCTTTGCCTCTGCCTTCCGGCATGATTCATCGATATTACGCCCACAGATACTCCACTGAGGTTGACGTCGACTTTGTGCGAAAGTCTGTCCGCTGCATCGGCCGGTGTGCCATCAAGATCGAGATTTCAGCGAACAAGTGCATCGCCGCCTTGGTGGATTTGATCCAGACCAAGGTCAACTATGTCGTGCAGGAAGCCGTGATCGTAATCAAGGTAGGGCACAGCGGGGAGAGTTGATCGCTGGATGAGCAGCAACGACTGCGTGGCGATGCACCGGCCCTGGTGCCTTTGTGGATCCGCCTGTCTGGATATACAAGCAGCCAGCGCCAGTCCAACGCGACTGTCTGCTGTCCTGGGACACCCGTGTCTGAATATCTACGCTGTATCTGTGACCGCCAGGATATTTTCCGCAAGTACCCCAACCGCTACGAGTCCATCATCAGCACCTTGTGCGACAACCTGGACAGCCTCGACGAGCCCGAGGCAAAGGCATCGATGATCTGGATCATTGGCCAGTACTCGGATCGCATCGAGAACTCGGACGAGCTGCTCACGCACTTCCTCGGCAGCTTCAAGGACGAGCCGGCCGAAGTGCAGTTGGCGCTACTCACGGCCACGGTCAAGTTGTTTATCATGAGACCGACGGCCGGTCAGGAGCTGATCCAGAAGGTTCTCAAGTGGGCCACCGAGGATGTGGACAACCCGGATCTGCGCGACCGCGGATTCATCTATTGGCGACTGCTCTCGACTGACCCTGTTGCTGCCAAGGTGCGTATGGCATGGTCATCCGTCTGCCGCGGGCACCGTGTAGCCGATTCGACCCAATTCTCGCTGCATGTGATACACGCATGGTCCTAACACCCCCGCTCTCCGGACACAAATGGCTCGCACACGGCCCCATGTGCAAATCTGCTGCGTGCAATACAGGCGATCGTCTTGTCCGAGAAGCCAGGCATCTCCACCGAAACCGAAAACATGGAGGCCGCCATCGTCGACGAGCTCCATCTACACATCTCCACGCTGGCCTCGATCTACCACAAGCCGCCCCAGCTCTTCACGGCCGGGTTCCGGGTCCTCAAGGTGATCCCGTCCAAAGCCCTGGTCGTGCGCGGTGCCCACGATCCTTTCGAGAAGGAGATTGCCGAGTATGTTATGTTGCAGGTCCCCGCGACTCGATGCTGGACACGGCTCTGTGCTTGCTGAGCGGCTCAGTCGCTTGCGATGTGTGCCGAAGCACCTTCAGGGCTGACCTGTGTATGAGAGGGCATTTTGTGCACCTGCAGCTTCGATCATTCTGTTGTCTCACACCCCCATCCAACGTGACATTGCTTCCCATTTCATTAGCGCCCAGGCCGCCCAGAACATCTACGGCAACGGCTTCATGAACAACCCGTACGTCAACGACATTGGCCTCTCTGCTGAGCCTCAGATCGGCATGCCCGGAAACAACTTGCTCGAGATCGACACCGAAGATGCCGCGGCGTCGGACGCACACGCCTTCGGCATGGTGGCAGATGGTGGCTATGGACAGTACGTCAATCCCTATGGCAGCCATGCTGGCGGGACCCCCCTGGGCGGCGATTTTGGTGGACTCCTCAGTGGCGGCGCCGCCGATCTGGCCTCGCTCCAGCCCAATCCGTTCCAGGGAGGACCTGGTGGCCTCTACAACGTTGGCACCGGCGTATCGACGCCTTACGACAGCCTCGCCTCTGGCCTGGGCGCCGGTCCCGCAGGAGGGGCGTTGGCACTGGGCACGCATCTTACCGGCCAACTCGGCGCCGGGGCAGCCGGAGCGAGCGTTCCAAACGTTACCTCGTCGATCCCCGCTGCGCACAACCCCTTCGTTGGGCTCGATATCCCCACAAACGAGGCCCCCAGGTTCGTCAACAGCAACCCGTTCGGCAGCAGCCCCGGCACCTTGGGCGGAGCAGCATACAGCCCCATGTCCTACGGCGCGGCCGTCCACACCACCGGCAGCACCCAACCGGACGTCACGGCCTTGGGCAACTCGCTCTCCGATGTTGTGCTGGATCCTTTTGCCAAGAAGAGCGTCGACAGCGTCAATTTGGACTCGGCCCCCAAGAAGCCCGCAGAGCTCTCGACACCCTTCGGCTCGCCAGCCAAGCCGTTCGATTCCGCAGCATCCTCACCCGCCATCTCGCCTCCCAAAGCCGTGCCGACGCCCACGGCGCAGCTTGCCGGCGATCTCTACTCGCTGAACACCCAGCACGGGCTCGTGCTGTCAAAGACTCTCTTGATGAATGCACAGACCGGCAAAGGCCTCGAGCTTCAGGGAACGTGTAAGCACAGCCATGGCAAATGCACTTGGCCGGTGGCGACATGTTATCTGGCCCCAGACTCAATGCCTCCCATATGGCTATACTGACACTTGCTCGTTGCCTTCTAGTCGTGCGCAGATCCGGCATTCCGTTCTTGGACATGACGCTCTCCAACAAGGCCATGCAGCCCCTGAGTGACTTTGGCATTCTCTTCAACAAGAACAGGTTCGTATTGTGAATGGAATGGGAGGGAGCGTGGGTGTGCAAGTTCCAGACAGCACTGTCTGCGCGAGCGCACCTATGCGCCTGGTCGTGAGTGCTGGGTGAGGACGCTTGGAGCGATTCGACCATCCATAATGGCCCCGCTATACACTTGAACAAGCCCCCCCCCAACCCCAAACCTTGGGCTGCTCGAGCAATCGAAACTGACCCCGCAGTTGTTTTGCCTTTGGACTGCAGCTTCGGTCTGGCACCGGCCCGCGCTCTTGATGCCCGTACGCCTCTGCTGCCCAACCAGTCCGTGGAGATGTCTCTGGAACTGAACACCGAGGGAGCGACGGCTCCAAGCACCCCCGCCAACAGTAAGTTCAGCACCGCCGTCTTGTGTGGCAGCTGCCGATGCGGACAGTTGATGCCCTGGGCCCATCCAGCCATTCTTCGTGCAGCCGGCTGAGCTATGCCGACTGAGCTATGCCGACTGAGCTATTCAGAGGAATGATGCCTCTAATCAGCCGACGATTCGGCAAGATCCCCTTTGCCATCAAGCGCTAACGACTGTACTGCCCATTCCACAGACCTGCAGGTCGCCTTCAAGACCAACACCGGCATCTCGTACTTCCAGGCCCAGTTCCCGCTCTATATCCTCTTCACCGAGAACGGAGGCCTGGACCAGAATCTCTGGCTGGGGATGTGGAAACAGAACCTTCCCGAGTCCCTCGAGCAAAAGTACGAGATCGCCAACGTCTCGCAAGGTGGAATCTCCACCGATACCATCCGCAGCAAGCTGGCGATGAATAATGTTTACACTGTTGCACACCGCAACTTTGACGGCCAGGTGAGCCCTCGTTCTCGCTTATGTGACGATGGCGTATCCACTATCGCATGCGATCGGTGCCCGGAACTACATTTCGCATACTGCACACGGACTTGTGTCTGGCCGTGTCCTCTCACACACTCTCTCACTCTCGTCGCTCTGGCTCTATCCCGTTGCACAGCCAACATACTTCACATCGGTCCAGCTCGCCAATGGCGCCATTATTCTGTCGGACATCCGATTCGATCCGTCGCTGACTTCCTGTGTCGTCACAAGTCGATCTCTGGTCTTCCAGTTCATTCCGCCTTACCACGCTGCCCTCGAAACGATTCTGCAGTCTTGAGCGCGAGAGATTGTCGGGCGACACACTCAAGAGCTCACCCATTTTCCACCAAACTGGCTGTATCCCCCCCCCATCCATTCCCTCACCCCCGTCGTGCTCTGGAAACACAGTTGCCATTGTGCTCTCGCCTCATCTTCAGTCTGGGATCTTGCCGCCTTTCTATATACTTGAGTCGCTCCCTATGTGTCGCTTGAGCAAGAGTCGTGGAGCTCTGAGGCGTTGACTTCATATCACGGCGCACCGAGTCGGGTCTGCATACTTCGGTACTTTGGTACTTCAATTCGGCGGCTTTCTCTCGCGATGGCGGGAAATGGCAGTCCCGCCCAGGCCATCTGTCTATCCGTCCGTTTGGCCCAAGCCCCGGCCGGTCCCCACTTTCCTCATCCCCCCATCGCCCATGCTCTGTTTGCACCATGACCATCGTCGCCAGACAGATCAGCAACCGACCGCTCTATGCCCTCGATGCTCATCCAGCATCCGGCACGATTGTTGTCGGCGGGGCGGACCATTCTCTCCGCACCCTGGACATGCACACCCTCGAGCTGCGACATGAGCTTTACAGCAAGAAGTTTGGCCACCGCGAGTGGGTCACGACATGCTGCTTCCTCGGCGACGGCCAGATCGTCTCGGGGGGCATGGACTCGGTCGTTTGTCTCTGGAGCGCCCAGGGTACTCGCACATCAAGGTCGGCCAAGTCGATCGTCCCATGCGAGCACCTCGTTGACCACCAGGGGTCGATCAGCAAGGTCCTCGCTCTCCAGGACGGCCGATCCTTTGCGTCGGCCTCATACGACTCTTCGGTCAAGATCTGGGGCGTCTCAAGAGCATCGTCGGCCCCGACATTGTTAGCGACGCTGATCACGCCCTCGTCTTCTGCAACACCAGCAGCGTCGTCGATGTCGTCCGCATCGGCTGCAACGACACTCCAGACGAGCCCAGTCGGATCGAGGATGCCATCGCGACCAAAGCTGACCCCGGTCCTTGGGCTTGCGCTGGCTCCGCAAGCCGATCGCCTCCTCGCAGGGAACGGCGATGGCGTTGTCACGGTGTGGGATCTGACTTCGATGCAAGCCGTCGCCCGCATCGCTGCACATCGAGGCGCCGTGAGAGACCTCGTCGCCCTTGGCGACGGCAACGTTATCGTGACCGGCGGCAATCTCGATGGATGCGTGCGCATGTTCGACTTGCGGATTCCGCCCGACAAGGGCCGGGGAGTGCACAAGGCCGTCGATGTGCATGGGAAAGGAGGTGGCATTGTCGGACTAGCTGCCTCGGAGACAGCAATCTTCACGGCCGGAGGCGGGGATGGCTCCGTCAGCATATTGGATCGATCTCTGACGACAATTGCGGCGGCCCGACCCTTTGATCGCCAGTCAGCGTCGCCTGCTCGATGCCCGCCGTCCCCAGACCAGATCGTCTATGCCCTCAAGGCGACACCAACGGGCGGTGCTGTCGCAAGTGCGGGTGGTGGAAGCGTTGCGCTCGTCTCGCCCGATGGCTCTTCGACACTGCTGCCCCGACACGAGAGCATCAGGAATGCGATCCGAGACTTTTGGATCGGCAGCGACAGGCTGGTTGGGTGCGGCGACGATGGAACAGTCGTTGCCGTGGGAATTCGGGCATGGAGCCAGCCGGGCACGACGCCATAGATGCACAGCAATACACTCGCCCATCCGCTCGCAGCAGCAGCATGTTCCCGAGGTGTGAAATATTGTACATTAGTTTGGAGCGTAATAACAAAACTGGATACGTGAACGGCGGCGAAGCACCGGGGGGCCGTCAATGCAAAGTGTTGAGGGCCGAGTGCGAGCCGGGAAAGGAGGCCCCTTTTGGCCAACGGTCCGAACGAACGGGAGGCGGCGACTCAGTTGCCGACGTTGATGAACCGGATCGCCGATTTGGGGGTCGTTGCGCTGCCAGCACATTCTGGCGGCAAATCAAAGGCGTCTTTGAAGCTGCCGTCGTCCTTGGCTGAAAAGCCCAGTCCCCGCTTCGCGAATCCCGCATAGATCTCACAGTGGTTATTGCCCTTGCTCAGGTTCAGCTCGGCGGTCAAGACTGCGTCTCGGGCTTGAACAAAAGTGGGGTTGCAGGGCTGAAGCTTGAGTGCATTTGTGAGGATCTGCAGCTGTAAATCGGCAAGGCCGTGCCGCAAGAGAGCGAGGACAAGATAGGGCAACATCAGAAAGACGGCTCGCTCGCTGGACATAACTGAACATGACAGAGCGCGATGCCTCAAACCGGCATCTGCCTGCAAACTCACCATCATGGTGTTTCCTTTGCCGCCACTGGCATTCTGCAGATTGGGATCGAATCCCAGCTTGTCGACAAGATTCCTGTGGAAGAGAGAGACCAGTGAAGGGTGGGCGAGTGAGTACGGCGTCAGGTACTTGGCTGTGAATGGTATTAGCATCGCCCGGGTCGAGTCCGACACCCTCGGAGCATTCCGAGCACCATTCAGCGGCAGATTGCCGGTGTCCTTACCAGTAAATTTCATATAGCATCGAGGCCCAGATCTCCCCTATCTTGTGGATTTCTTGAGTGTCGCTGCGGGCCAGGAATGAATACGTCTCTGGGTTCGTTGACAGGCTGGTTGAATACGGGAACGTCCGGACGCCTCCGGCACTGCCAGAGACATATTGCCCGACCACCATGTTGTCGTTGCGCGTGTTGGAGGCCGTCATGCGGAAGGTGATGGCGTAAAAATCGGACCAGCCCTCGCCCATGCCTCCAGACTGGAGTTGGCTCAGGCAGTTTGCCTGTGCCGGGCCGCCAGTCAGTCGGTTGGTCAGGCCGTGGGTCAGTTCGTGCATGACAATGTCGTCCTCGATGGTGCCATCGCGGTTTGGATTGGTGGAGGTGAAGATGAACATCTTCATGCGTCCCGACTGCCCGTCCGGCGGGGTGGCAAAGTTGGCTGTGGATATATAGTTGACGCAAAACATCAAGCAAGCAAGTGAGTCGGTGAGGATGGAGATTGGCAGACGAGACACAGTCGCTAGAGATACCAATGATTGCAGCGCCTCCGCTGACTACGTTGGGTGGGGGTTTCGGCCAGATTTGCAAGTCACTCAGGCACCCACCGTTGTTGAATCCCGAGCCATCCTGAGCGTTCGCAATCACCGGATCGGCTCCAGCGCCGCCCTTGCCAAAGTTGTTCTGCTGGAAGTTGCCGGCGGACTCGGTGAAGCCGTAGTGGTAGAGCAAATCGTGGTAGGTGTTGGCAAGGAAGAACATGTTTGTGATGGCGGCATCCTGATAGTCTGGCGGCTGCTGTGTCTTGTCATTCAGCGCAAAGTCAAAGACAAAGTTGGCAGCTGTGGGTCTGTGGTTGCTGCTTCCAACGGCAGGAAGGTTCTCTCGGTTTTCCTGGGCGAGAACATTGTTTCCGACCGTTGTCGGCTGGGAACCCTTGCCATCGCCTGTGTCGTGCCAGCCGAGGGGGGAGGCGGTCAAATCGAAAGGATTGGACACAAGCGCTCGGTCACCGTGTAGCAGATCGTTCTGGGTGAGAGGCACGATCCGGTATGATGCTGCTTGGACGCTAGCTGCCCGCTTGCTAGCAAATCGGCTTGTCCAGCTGGACAGACCGACGAGCGAGCCGTCGCGGGTGTTAATAAAGCCGTTCCACCAGTCGTCCTCGGTTTCAACCGACAGGTCCCAGACTTGCTGGACCGAATCTTGCGTCTGGAAGTATCGCAACTGTGCCCGGATGGCTTTGCTGGTGAGGGCCGAAGTACCGCTGATGGTGGCCTTTGTGTGGGTGTCATCCACTTGAAGCCTCAGCGACTTGCTGTCGATGGCAACGTTGAGATGGCGAGCGAAAGCGACGACGGCGTCGATGGGGCTGAGTTGGATGGCTTCCTTGACAATGGTTTGCTTGCGGACGATGAACGAAGAACCAAAGGCCACAACGGAGCCAAAGCGATCGATGCTGAGGTTGCTAACGGCGTTGATAACGACGGTCTTCTCGACGACCTGGTTGACGTAGAAGTGGTATATGCCCGTCAACGAGTCCTGGTGGCTGGATCGGCAACGAAGAAACATTCAAGGAGCAGGAAGGCAAGCAGATGCAGGGACGGCGTGAGTATAATGATGGCAGAGAGCACCGTGCGCATCAAAGTACTTTGAGCGAGACACAGGCATATCTCGTGCTGGTTCTGGACGACTGCGGCTCTTACACTGAGGAGATGAATATCTCGCTGGACTGCACCGAGAGGGTGCGGGTGAGGTAGTCCAGAGCAACGATCTTGACCTGGTCCATACCAAGGTCGTTGTTCTTGGACCACACCAAAGGGAGACGGTCGAGATTGGAGTTGCGGTTGAGGACCGACGAGTTGGTGGTGTAGCTGGCCGAGGACGGCCAGTAGTACTGCGGACCACCGGCTTCGCCATTTCTGCGATCCAGTCGAACGGCAGATGGACTGTGGGCAGACCGGGAGAGCGGGAGCGCGAGGGTGCTTGAGCAGAGACACCACAGCAGAGCAGCGCTGAAGGCGACAATCACCATGGCCGAGGGGGAGAGACAACGGATGGTCCTGGGATATGGAGTTGGGCTCGCGAGCGCAAGCGACAGGATCCCGAGGGTGCAAGGCGATGATGCAATATGAAGCCCGGGTGCGCGGAGCGAAGAACCCTGGATGCAGGACGGCTCTGGGGCCCAAAGATATTGGGCCTGGGTCTGTGGGAACGCCTGGCAGCGGGCACAGGCGCCTGCACTCAGGGGCGCCTGGCGCACGCGCCGCACCGCGCCCAAGCGCCCAAGCGCCCAGCCGCCGGGGAATGTACTCCGGGGTGCTGGGTTGGGTCGTCGTGGTGCCCGTTGTGTTTGTCGGCAGCGGGGCCTGTCGTCCGCGGTGTCAACCGCCAGCAGTGCATGTTTCGGTGGGTTGAGCTCTGCAGCTCCGGCTATTGTCAGCGGCCCGCCTGCTGAACCTTACGGGTGTGAATGCATGCACAACCGTTCCCCACTTCATTCTTGCTTGGGTGCAACTCAAATGCTTCCTGCGCCAATGCTCGCGCCAGACCATGTATTTGACAGCGCCAGGCGGCTGCCGGCCATCGAGCAGTGGAGTTTGCATCCACAGCCCGGCCCGACCCGGCCCGGACCAACCCAATCGGAAAGATGGCCAACCCAGCCGCCACCGGGACGATCAAGCCTGATACGTCTGGCCCCGTATCTTGACAAAGACATAACCTGCAGATACACCACGTACTTGGTCAGAACAACTGCCGACGCCATATCAACTGCGTCCCAAGAGCATGCCGTCTCTCGAGTCGCCAATCGCCCATATTAATCTCACCGTTCTTCTGGGTCCACTGCTTGAACCGAACTTCGGCCTGCTCCCTCGTTGCGTGATCGGACGGATCGCCCTTCCACAGCCCAACGATGCAGCCGCCGCTGCCGCTGAGCTTGGCAGCAAATCCCATGGATCGCGCTTGGTTGACCAGGGTGTTGTTGTGGTATCCGATCACCTGCTCGCCGTAGATGCGTTTGCGGAGATCAAAGTTTCGATCCATGAGCTGCGCCAGGCCTGCATGATCGCGCTGTCGGAGGGCATCGTGCGCCTTGTCCGTGAGGGTTGCAAACTCCTTCATAGCCTCGACAACCTCCGAGTCGCCTGCGAGAAACCGTGCTTTGATGTTGTTATGGACCTTGCCTGAAGGAAGGATGTGCATCGATGCGGGTCAGAAAGCGGCAGTCCATCAGCCACAGCACACCACCAACCCGCCGCAAAACATCACCCATCACATCACCCGCCTCTGCATCATGACCTGCTTACCGCTGTCCTTTGGCTGGGCCACGTATGCAATCCACAAGTCGCGTGGAATGTACTGGAGCGGAATCTCCTCATAGCGGCCGTATTTTCGAGTATCCATCAGTTGCCGATCAAAGTCCATATACACGCATCCGCCGTATGCTTGGATGACCCGGTCTTGGTGGCCGGCCGAGATTCCGAGTTCGTCTTGCTCGGCAGAGAGTGCTATGTTCGCCAGCTCATGGCGGGGAATCGTCACTTCATAGTAGGACATGAGCGCCCGCAGTGTTGCCGTCACCATTGCAGAGCTTCCGGCCAGTCCCACTTGTCTGTTTGATCAGGCAAATCCACATGGGCATATCAGAAGCAGAAGAGGCAGAAGAAGGCTGTCCCACCCAAAGAACCACACCATAGCGACATGCTCCGCGGCCAGATGTCGCGCGAACTGGATCTGACTGACCTTGGAATGTTGGTTTCGTTGACGATGCTGAATCCTCCCTGCTTTAGCTTGATGCCATTCTGGTCACAGTAGCGTACAAACACCTGGATCGTGGCCAAGATGAGGCGGTTGGTTCCGTAGTATCCGTTCTTCAGACACGAGTTGAAGCACAGCCTGAGCGACGAGAACTCGGCTGGATCGCTCAGGGGATTGGGAAGAATATGAATGCTTGAATCGTCTCGGGATTCATTTGGACGCAGCGTCACTTGAGCCCAGTAGTTCGAGATCAAGACCGAGATGGTTTTGCCAAAGAATCCGTCGCTCGGGTTGCCAATGAGTCCGATTCGGGCATGTGCTTTGCCCACGATCTGGCGGCGACCCTCGTCCAGAGGCGCAGATCGAGTGGGACTGATGCATCGCTCCCGCTTGGAAGGGATCATTCGACAAACTTCACCCAGATAGAACTCCAGCTCGGGCAGATGCATCCACTTCCAGAAGGGCGAGTGGCCGGGCGATACTGAATATTGCACGATTGACTCTTGCTTGTTGACCGAGTGCATCAACCGCACAAAGTCGTTGGCTCCCGGTGGCTCCGGGAGCACTGCGGCATCCGATGCAGATGCTTGATGGCTGCGATAGAGGATCTGGACGGCCTCGGGATTGAAGTAGCTGAAGATGAGCCGCGAGGTTTGTGGATCGAGCTTGAGATCAGACAGTTCATGCATGGCGGCTGGGTCCCAGCCCCCTTCAAGCGAAAGCGTAAACGACGTCGATGCTGCATGCGAGCCTGCTTGGAATATGCTTTCGAACCGAGCATACAGCCGCAACTCCTCCCAGTCTTGGGCATTAAGTACAAAGTCGGAGGCGGTGACGAGCAGTCGACTGCGGGATTCGACGGGATCATCCAGGCGAGCAAAGACCTCGCCAAGGGCCGGCGATAGATTGGTGCTGCAAACGGAACGACCATGATCAGACCAGTTCGAGCGACCGACGCAAACGATGTCACCTTCGCTGCTGGCGGAACATACCCCAGCGGCTGCTGATCGACCACGCCAGTGTTGAGAATGTGATCAAGAGGGAACCCCTCCTCGACCGCCCATCGTTCGTAGTGGCCAAAGCTAGGCAAGAGAAGCGGGGATACGGTCAGCGATTCCGAGAGAACTCGGTACGGTGCGATGCAGCAGCAGCTCTGGTTTTGGCAAACCAGATCCGGCGATGTCGAAGGAATCGGGCCGTACGTTCGAGGATCCGTCACGATATAGGTGCAGATGGCCACAGGGCTTGCTTGCAAATGCGACCACCACCAAGAAAGCAGCGGCTTGCCACCGACAGGATAGAGGCCTTTGGGCACACCATACAGCTGGCGAGCGACTCTCTCGTTGGTGCTCTGTCCGGCGTCGACAGCAGCGCCACGAAGGAATCGAGCGTAAATGTCATACGTATCGGGCAGCAGGGCAGCATTCGATACCGATTTATGCAGTCCAGCGCAGCGAATGCTAACCTGCTTTGCGCTCTCCTCCAGCAGAGAGTAGCCTGTAGCCACGACGACGCAGATGAGAGGAGTCGGGATGCGCTTGACCCGCTTGGACGGCGAGGACGGTGGCGAGATATGCTCGGCCATACGATGCTATGAATGAATGCGCAGAGTTCAACAGAGTTTGAGATACAGCAGTCTGGTAAGCCGCGACGGACAGGACCTGGCGAGCCTCTCGGTCGGGATCAAGACTGAGATCGAGATCGAGGCAGGGCCGGAGAACGAGCTGGGGGCGGGCTGTCGCAGGACCCTGGCGGGAACATGGGAATACGGATCCAGAGATACTTGGCTCGGCTCGCAGCACCAGCGACCGAGGATACTAGACCCCTGCTCTCCTCAACCGCAGCGACCATGGCAATATGGCAAACTGCTCCGAGGCGGGCAGATGGAGTGCGCACATCGCGATACTGTTCGCTGGACTGACTACAATCTGTATTGAGTCTATCGACTGTTCGCGATCATCCCGTTCGTGGCGACAGACTCGGGCGGGGTTGTGCTCGGTTCTTTGAGTGGGAGTGCTTTTTGGCCTCGTTGGCTCGTTCGATCAAGTAGTCCGGGATCTGCCAGGGCGGTTCATATCAGTGCGACACCCGACAATAAAGCTCCTCGCTCATCCAGGCATCCCACCAGCAGATGCGGCCCCAGCGGATGGCAAAGCAACGCACCTGCCAGAGCTCCTGGTGGTATTGGATCATGCAGTCAACCACATCGGCCGCGGCGTTAGTGTGTGCAATGGCGTCGACGTCCAGTTTCTTGTTGCTCGGAGGCGCCTGGAGGATGTTGGGTCCAAAGACGATCGCCAGATTGGAGCTTGTCATCGAGTTTAGGTCCGAGAGTGCCGCGACCTCAGCCAGAAAGCCCAGCAAGAACTGCAAGGTAGTCCGGTGCACCGTGGGCAGTAGACAGATCAGCAGTCGCAGGGCCTTGACTTTCAGCGAAGCCTCCGAGGTGTCTGGCAGGAGTTCATTGCACAGGGTGGAGGGGGCGACCCAGTTAGTCAACGAACGAGCGAGCGAGGATCACATCCAGTCCGTCCTGCTCGGTGGTGCAGTCGAGATGACAATATCCGTGCAGGCACAGGTCTATCCCGACTCTGGTAAACAGAAGAGACACTCACTAGCCACGGATATGAACACCGGGTATAGCTTGTAAGTCAACAGCGGCTCTCGCAGCTCCCGCAGGAAGGCCTTGAAGACAATCGATATATCATTCGGCGGTATCTTGTCAAAATCGATTTCTTCGCCGCTGTCAATCCTCCGGCGAAGCTCCTTGGCATTTTGCTGATTTCCTGCCACCCGGAAAATGCCGTTGGATCGTATTCCTGGCCACAGGGAGGAGCCCCAGTTGCTTGGGTTGAGACCGAGGACGAGAGCCAGTACGCAAGCGGCCAGTCACAGTTCATGGCTATCCGGATCGCTCTCTGACCCAGCACATCCCTTGCAGACACCCTGAATCCAGCAGAGTGACATGGCGACCGCTACCGGTGCCCGGGGACAACGGTGCTTACCGTTCTTCTCGAGCGCCATTACACACTTGACCACGATTGTCGGCACGGAGTGGATCCCGGCATACTCATTTCCGCTTGCCAGATGCTCGAGCGCAGCTCCAAAAACCGGTGTCGGAGCACCACTTCCTGGCGGGCCAACGTATCCAGAGCTCGATTTGACATCCCGGACTTTGGACGATTCTAGTGGAAATATTCACACCCAATAGAAAGACGATCCGACAGCATGAGTGACCGAGGTTCATGGACGCGAGTCAGCCCCAGCTCACCCACGACGATGCCGAGGACTCGATCATCCGGAGCAGGCCGACAACAGACGCCTCATTCTGCGCAGAGTTGCCCGAAGCAGAAGCGGAGTCAGCACCAAGGAAATCCAATACTTGCTCTTTCCAATCATCCGCATGATCTTCTTCAGGGTCGACTCTTTGCTCGAGCATAGCTTGGGTATCAGTTGGCTTGCTTCCATCAAGCTATTTTCCTCCATCAGCGAGACCAACTCGGACACGATGATCGCTCTGAGCTTGGCTTCGTCTTCCGATGTGATCCCGTTTGCTGTGGTCCCTGTGGTCGCTGTCGTTGTCACGCTGTCCCTCTGATGGATTCCGAGTCCCGTCCACAAGCAGGGGTGAGGCGTTTGATCGAATGGGAAGGTGAACATTCGGTCATCGAGAGGAATTCAGTCCGCAAGGCGATATACGGGCCACTAGGAGTTAGTCGTCGCTCATACATGCAGGCTGCGATCGCTGGGCTTTAAATCACAGGCCTGCACAATGACAGCACGAAGCTTTGAAGCAATCGTGAAACCAGCGTGCAACAGGCGATAGCCGAGATATCGAATGGGCTTCAAGAACAAAGAACAATGGCAGCCACTTTGCACAGCAACACAGGCATATGTTTCCACATGCGCCGCAGTCCATCCCTCGCCTTCGCCCTCGCCGAAGCAACTTACTCGGCTATGGGGCTCCGACAGATAAAGCCGTTGCTCGACAAGCGAATCTGTCGTCGACTCTCCTTCTCCTAGAATTGATGACCCCGTGTCGCACTCTGTCCGCATGCGCCCCACGCTCGGCGATGTCGAGCGCAGGAGGAGCGGCTTGCTTTGTCCCGAGGTGGCCGATCCATATTGTGCGTGTGAAGCCACGGGCGAGTCAGGACTCACTTTGAGGTAGGAGCCCCGATTTCGGACCATGTCCATAAGGCTGCCGGGCTCGTCGCTGAGGCCAGAGTAGGATCGACGGAGCTGTGGCGACGCTGTAGCAGAGGGGCCGTCGGATGCGGACATGGAGTATGTCGAGCTCTTCCTGAATTTGGGCGGACGCCCCATCAGTGACATGAGAGACTTCTTGGGGCTCGTCCCTGAATCGGCAGCATCTTCACCCCGCTCGGTGGGCCCGGGTTCGATCTTGTCTGGAATGCTCAGCCGAGTTGGTGATGCTGGGTTGCTGTCGGACTGGTGGCCGGCCTCATGATAATGACCGTGGTGATGATTACTGTGGCGGCTCTCGCGATGGTACTGTGTTTCCGAGTTTTGGCGACTCCCACGATGAGACTGAGTCTCCGAGCTCTGACGGCTATCTCGAACTTGGTGCGTCTCTGAGTTTTGACGGCTGTCCCGGGCGTGTTGGGTTTCAGAGCTCTGGCGGCGGCAATAAATCTCAGAGTTCTGACGGCTCTTGGGGCGCTGCTGCTGTGGAACCGAGACCAGCTCAATGCCCGAAGATATGCTGTCGAGCCGGGGCTTGGAATCGGAGAACAGCCCGATTGGAGATGACTTGGCGGTGGTGCTTTGGGTTGACAGTGCGCTGTCTCGCTGAGACGTTTCGCTGCTCTCTGCGACTTGGCTTGGTGAATTGCCGGACTCTGCTGTGGCAGCGCTTGAGCGAGCCACACTCTGTTTGGCTTGAGGTTCGCTGGCCGTGTCGCTCTGGGCGGCCGTATTGGGTTGAACAGCATCTCCAGGCACCACGAGAGGCACCTCCGAGTCCTGTCCCAGCGAGGCCACTTCGCGCTGAGGCGAATCGGACATCGCAGGCTCGGTTGGGCTGGGGTAATCGAGCGGCCCGGTGACTGGAGCCACTTGCTGTTGCTTGATCGACTCGACCCTGTTGATGGTGATTTCGATCGCCAACTCTTCTCGGGCGCTTTCGAAACTCAGCTCTTGCACTGCGGCAGCGATGTTCTGCAGAGCCGGGGTGGCATATCCGTCTTCAGAGTAGTTCCAGCTAGTCGACTTTGTCAAATCGCCGCTCATCGTTTGTGTCATGAGCAAATCCTTGGATCCTTCAGTTGGCGTCACATCCGTCACCAGTACACTGTCCTTGCGAGTCGATACTGGCTCGCTTTCGGAAGGATGGGAGACGCTCAAGATGCTGGTCGAGAGACCTTCGCTTGGAGAGAGAGCACCCGATGTCGACGGAGCCAGTACGTTCTGCGCCGAGGCTCGGTTCAGGAGCTCATCCACCTGCAGTATCACAGCCGAGGAAGCATTGTGGCTCATGAGCAATCTGGATACCACGATATCAGCGGCTCCATCAATCAGAGGGATGATCGACATGCATTACCCGATCCACTGAAGCCTTCCACTCCGAATAGAGACTCTCGTGCTCTTGGTTCAAATCGCTTGTGCTGAGCGATGCTCGCAGCCCAAACAGCCGCTTGGCATTCTTGATCTTGAGCTCAAAGTTGGCCTTGACAGAGTTCAGGACCTCCTTCCGCCGTTGCGCAAACATCTGGTCGACCTTGGCTCGGCCGGCGATGATCGAGTCCATTTGGCGCTTCTCCATGGCATCGCTTCTCTGGGCCCACTTGAAATCCTGTTCATGTCGACGCTTCTGCTCGTTGCGGAGCTCGGCCTCGAGTGTGCGGACCGCGGCCTCGACAGCATCCTCGTAGTCTCTCTGTGCAGATACGGCTTTTTTCCACTTTGAGATGTCGCTCAGCTCGTCGGCTGCCGAACCGTCTTTGAGTTTGGCCTGGGAAGCCTCAACCCCGATGCTGCTGGCGGAGGCAGGGCCGGTGGCAGATGCATTCCGGTTGCTCGCGGACGCTACGTTCTTCTTGGGCGACTCGCTCGCCTTGGACATGACCATGGTATGCAGCGACTCTCGCGACTGCCACTCTTTCGGCTTGGAGAGAGCATCTTTTACCGCCGGCTGGTCTTTTGCGTTGCGGACCGAGTCGCCCGACTTGGATGCCTGCTCCTGGCTTGCGGCGAGTGAGTCCTTTGATCCCACGACTCGTCCCCGCGGCTCGGTCTCGTTCCTGAGTTTTGCGCTGACGAAGGCTAGTGAGTCTTTAGATCCGCTCTTGGTCCTGTTGAGTCTCTGGACATCGCTGACCAGATCTTGGCTGCGACGCCGACTGAGCTCGACTCCCTTGAGCGAGGGATCCCTGGACGGCATGACCTCCTTGGATAGCCACTCCTTCTTGACCGAGTGGAAATCGGCCGAGGTCGTGGGAACCTCCTTGTGGGCCAAGTCGTTGTTGGAGCCCAGCAGCGATTCTCGAGATCCCTTTCGGGCAAGGTCGCTGCTGCTGAGAGTGACATTGCGGCGGAGAAGCGATGGAGAGCCACCAACGACCTTTTGTTGAGCCTGGTTGTGCCGAGCGATTTCCTCCTTGACCAGGGAGCGGACTGATGATGCAGGATTGAAGATGCCGTTGTCGGGGAGCGCCTCAAGCTGGTTCTGGGAACTCTGTCGAGGGCCAGAGTTGGTCCATTGGCCCGTACGATGCGGAAGCCAATGGGAGCAGGCCGACAGCCGTGTGAATCGGGGCAAGCCAATATATGAGAATTGTCGGTCAGAGAGAGTGCCCCCAAGAATGGACGGGACAGACGGGACGGCGATACCGACCAGCAACAACGGGCTTGCATACTTGCGATTACCAAGCATGTCCAAGACCATCGACTCACCTTGAGAGTATGGCTTTTGGAGGCCATGGCCGCCCACACTCGCACGAGTGAGAACAGAAGCGGTCGCTCAGCAGGTGTTCGGACACAAAGATGCGGCCAAATGCCACTCTTGCTGGCGAACTGAGTGTCTCTGAGGACTGCGGCCGACAGGGGAGGGCAATGCAGGCGGTATCAGGAATCGTTCGATTCGGGTGGGCCTCGTTCGTGTGTCGGCTTGCAGAACCCAGAGCTCGAGAACTGCACGAAAGGACCTGGACGCGCAAATGCAATGTCTGGAGGAATATACGGGCTGTCCGGCAGTAACAGCAAGGGTGAGCGCACGGCCCTGGGAAGGAGGAAGTCACAGCGCAATACAGGCGGGAAGGATTCGGTGCCCGCAGCACAGCAGAAAATGCAAAAGAAGCACTCGAGCCAGCGCTGCATTCGATTTCGCACATCGCTGGTGCACTGCGATTCGCAAACCGCGGGGCCTGCAAACAAACCACTGCCGATCAGAGTGCACGCCGGACTGCCACTGCTTGGTGCTTCGACAGAGCTCGCAAATCAGATGCTCCAGGCATGCAGATGGTATGCGAAAGCGCAGTGCATGTCTAACGAGTGTCCATTTCCTCGGTGGAAGTAACGCCTGGGAGAGAGACCGCAGTCGGCATTTGGCGTTCAAGCTCATCGCAGCGCTGCGAGCACCAGTCGATGTCGTTCAGCCAGGCGATCGTTCAGCCAGGCGATCGATCACCATTCGATCAGCATCATTCGATTCATCCACGCCGCTGGTCGTCCACAAGCCGACGAAGCCCGGGCCATGCGGCCGCCCAAATCATGCCGTCGTCTGACGCGGCCGACTGCTGTGCGCTCTGCCCAGATCTCCACCTGGTCATCCCCGATCTCGTTCCAGCATCGCCGCTGCCCCTCGCCTGCTTGGGTCTCAAGAACCGCCTCGGCCCTCTGCCCCTGTTCACCTGTCTCATCGGCCCATCGACCCGGCAGACTAGGTCTTGTCTGTCGCTGTTCAGCCGGCCACCCTGCTCCCCGCCGCCGATCCTCGTATCGGCAGCCCACCATCCTCGGCAATGAGAAAGTCCAGCCGATCGTCATCCATCGATCCAAGCTCGCTCTCTAGCTCGGCCTTGGTGGGCTTGCCTCTGCCAGACGATTCGTCGCTCTGGAACGAAGTCTCAGGCTCGCTGCTGCCTCCAGCACTGAACTACCAGAAACGAAACGAATCTCTGGTCTCCAAGCTCAACAAGGGCCATGGCAAACTGGCTGGTATGGGATGTCGTGGTTCTTGAGAGACACATGCAACACCGACAGTCGCCTCGGATGAGCTTTGTCGGTCTCGGACTGTTTCGGCTTGAAATAGGGGAGCGATGCCTGCCCATATTGCCTGTCGCATCGCTAACTCGCTCGAGGCGGGCGCTTGCATTTGCCCGTATTGGCTCGATGAGAAGGAATAGCAAAGACAAGGTCGCTGAAGCCCAAAGCGGCGCTCCAGATGCAAGACTTTTACACCAATCTGCTGAGCGGACTGAGAGAAGAAAAAGGGTGGGTCTGCTGCTCGGCGCTCTCAGGGCGACCCGGATGGTGCAGCCGCCCATCGCATGTGCCCTGTATTGATCCGTTGAATGCGGCTGTGATCGATCGATCTGCAGCTATTTGACCAAAATCCTCGGCAACATCGATACAATCCTCAAGAACCGCGAGAGCCTGGAGAATGGTGCGCATGCTGTGCAGCAGGGATGCATCCGTGCCCATGCCCAAGCGGGGGGCCTCGCCGACTATAGATTGATGTCGAAACTGCCCAGGCACAATCCTAACCACGCCGCTTCGGCCGCATTTACTCTTTCCATGCGCCAATACTGTCTTGCACTTCAATCCGCCGCTCATCGCTGTGTGCTCAACGCATTCCGATTCGCACGGGTTGATTTGCCCCCGCGCATGGCTCACAGAGGCCAAGAAGAAGAAACGGCGTGGAGACGATAAAGAGAAGGCCGGAAAGCCCGCGATCAGCAAGAAGCGTCGAACGTGAGTGACACCGATGCCAGCTGCAGAGGCCGATTCCCTGTTGGTCCAGCGAGCGGCACCGGCATGCACATGCATCATCATCACATAGATCGGTGAGTGAGCAAGCACGAGGATCCGAAACTCACTGCGCGATCATCACGGAAATCCATCTCGACAGCACGGGCGAATCGATCGACAATCCTTTGAATCTGGAATCGGGCGATCAAGTCGTCGTCCAGCCCGTGGCGAACAAGGAGTGGCTCTTGGCTCTTGTCCTGCGTTACATTCCGGAGAAACGAGTGTAAGTCATGGGCGTCGTCGCATTGCGTCGATGTGGCATATGGATGTCGCGGCTGGAGAGTGAACGCCATCCTCATCGAGCCATCGCTGGTCGTTCGTTCCCCGTAGCTACGAGGTTGAAGACGCCGAGGAAGACGAAGATAGGCCCGGAACTCGAAAGTAAGCACCTCGCGCCTGTAACTTCAGCTGATTCGCTTGTGCTCGATCCGTGACCAGACCATGCCGGCATGAATACGTTGTCTCAGGATATGCCGTTGATGCACCCTCTCTCCATGAACCTCCTGTGGATTTTATGGCTCCGTCGTGTGATGCAGCACCTACCTCTGCTCTGTCAAGACCATCATCCCGGTTCCCAAGGAGGGCGAGAGACGGGACGAGTTTCCACCAGGATACTCGGTCATTGCGCTGTATCCCGGCAGCAGCTGCTTCTACAGCGCCACCGTCATGGTTCCTCCGTCAAAGGTATGCGACACATCACTGGCGTGTGGCTCGGTTGGCCAGTTTCTCGGGATGGCCATGAGGTGCGCGCAGCTCACGGACGACCGCATTTCCAGATACTAACGGCCCTGCTGCACATCCAGAACAAGGATCCAGACTATCCCGGCGACTATATGGTCAAGTTCGACGACGACCAAGGGTTCGAAAGGGGAGTGGAGCCGCGGATGGTGTTGGAGCCGCCCAAGCGCCAAAAGTAAAAGGCCCTGCAAAAATTTTTGACGGCAATAGTGTATTTATTCAGACCGGTTCTGCCAGCGCCAAAGAGAGTTCATCGAGAGGACTCCAGGGAGGGGGATGAGAAAGTAGCGGACTACTTCTTGCCCTTCTTTCCGGCACCAGCACCAGCACCAGCACCGGCATCGCCCTTGGGTTTCTGCTCAAACCCGATGTGATGCAACGAGATGGATATCGATGTTGGACGGATGGTGCAATGCAGCGGTAACGAGGAAGGGGTTAGCGGCGATGATCGTCGTCCGAGTGTTGGATCAAGCAAACGAGCTTCTCTGGGACAGACCGAGTGCGAAGGACATGCGAAACGAGGCCGTGCGCATGCGCCTCCATCACAATGCAGTTCGATCCCGATGCGCCCGACAGCACTCGCAGAGCCGCACTTGCGTCTCTAAGACCACGCTCTTGTGACTGACCTTGCATCCGTACTTGGATCTCGAGATCACTCGGCCGACGACACCCTGGCAGTCCAGCTTGCCTCGAACGACCTTGTAGCGCACACCGGGACAATCCGAGACACGGCCGCCGCGGACGAGCACGACCGAGTGCTCTTGCAGGTTGTGGCCCTCTCCGGGGATGTATGCAATCACCATTTTGCCGGTCGTCAGCTTGACTCGACAGACCTTGCGTTGGGCCGAGTTGGGCTTCTTGGGCTTCATCGTGAAGACCTTAACGCAGACGCCGCGACGCTGGGGGCAGGCTTCAAGCGAGGGTGCGTTGGACTGCTTTGTCCGCTTGACCCGGCAGCCTCGAGTTACCTGGCTCAGAGTCGCATGAGACGATGGAGTCGAGTGGAACTGGTTTCGGAGGAGGAGGGCGACGGGGGAGGCGAGAACCGATGTGTTTGGGATGAAGCCGCCCGCTGGTCGGGACACGGCTCCGGCGCATCTGGCACCAACGAGAGTGGTCATCGTGCTGGGTCGCTGCGTGGCGACGGATGCGAACCACCGCGAAGACGGGCTGGCGCTGGAAGCCAGTGATCGGGCTGTGGTTTGTGAGAAAGCGGCGAGTCGCTGGGCGAGCATGGTGAGAGCGGATAAGGTGACGGTGGTGGTGGTGGTGGTGGTGGTGGTGGTGGTGGTGGCAGCGCACGAATCTTGGGTCAGATGCACTCGCTCGGTGGTTGCTGGATCTCGCGGCAGATGGATCGCCCACAGGATCGATCGCTGTGTGTTGGTGTCGGGATGCGCACGACCAGATGTGCACGATCGGGTGCTCAACAGAAGCGACCCATTTTTTTCTTTTGCTGCGAACGACCATGCACACGTGACGGCGATTCGAATGTGGTTGGCTTGCTGGGATGCTGCTTGAATGCGATACCGCTTGGATGCGACAACGATGCTGCTTGGATGCGACAACGATGCTGCTTGGATGCGATGCTGCCCAGATACCCGGATGCGGCCACATGCAAATCACCAAACCGAGTGGCTGTGATGTATGCGTCCCGGTCCCGAACAGGGATGTCGGCGCCAGCATGCAATGGGGTGGCAGTTCATGCATATCGACATCACAGATTCGGGACTGTGCCGATGCGAAACCGAGCTGGCCGCCGTCAACGGTGGCCATTCGCGAATGAGTGTGAAATTCGCTGCTCGGTATGTCATGAATCGACGTGACCCGATAGCTGCCGATCGTTTGCTGAAGGCGGTGGGTGCCAACCACGCAAGGATATTGTCACGGGGATCGTCAGGATGACACACAAGGATCGTCACGATGATGCATGAGCTGGTGGGCACCCAGCACCCAGCACCCAGCACCCAGCACCCAGCACCCAGCACCCAGCACCCAGCACTCGGCGCTCAGCCGTCCGCCGCAGATGCAGGTGCAGAAGCAGGTGCCCGAGCCGCAATACCGGCGGCAACGCAGAGCGACGAGCAAATGGAGTGAGTCTCGTGACGACACAAGTCTGTGAGGCGCCATGTGGCGGTCGTCGTCTCGGAGGCATCGTCAATGTACATGGCCCGGTCTCGGTTGTATTTCAACGGCAGGGATAAGACGCCGGTGTGACGGAGGGGAGGTGGAATTGTGGGGGTGGGGACAGTCGATGCCCAGGACGCAGAGGGGAGTATGTCCGAGACACGACCGCGGGCCATCAGGAGAGGCGATCAGAAGAGGCGGTCAGAAGAGGCGATCAAACCCGACGCAGCCAGTGGACATCCGAGCGGGCCGAGTGGCACACATTGATGGGCACTCAGTTGGACTGGATGTTGGTCCAGGCGGCCAGGGCGAGCGGCTTCTTGGTCTGGCAGGCCTCGCATTCGGTATTGTACAGCGGGTTTAGGTAGGTGCACGCGGAGCAGGCCCAGGGCTTGAGCTCGGGCGACAGGGCCTCCTGGGAGCCATGGGCTTCTTCGGCCGCGTGCTCCTCGGGAGTAATCACGCGGGCGACTCGGCCGACGGCACCCGAGATGAGCTCGACCTCGATGACGTTCGGGTGGATGTAGTTGTGGGTCAGGATCTGCTTGACGATGCCGACGGTCTGCTTGGCATGGTGCTGGGCGACCTCCTCGACCTCGGGATATTCGCCGTCGTCGCCCTTGCCGACGATGGCCACCCGGACGCCGGGCTTGACGACGCTCGTCGGGTTGGCATCGAAGGTGAAGTACTCGGTGGCGATCTGGTTGGCGACGGAAGAGCTGAGCATATCGGCGTCCTGCTGGACCTGAGCCGAGATCTTGATGGGGATGGCCTTTCCGTTTGACATGGCAAGTGGACTGGGGAGGAATGCGGGACACGCCGAAGCCGTTAGACAGGAGATCGGTGGCAACAGGGACGACAGCATCCGAGCAAGAGGCGGTGCGAGGCGGGAGTGAACATGATCGCTCATCCGGATCCGCTCCTGGAGCGATGGGGGTGGATCACGCCGAGACGGCAGAAGAGAACAAGCGATAGCTCCATATAAGATATGCGATGCTGTGAAGACTGGGGGGGGGGAGGCTACCTGCTGGAGTGGGGGGGGGGGTTACGCTGCGATGAGTTTGCGATGGATTGCGATGGATTGCGATGGGCTGCGACGGGTTGTGGGTGAGATATGACGGGCGAGATACGACGAGATGCAGGATGACACGGGACGAGGCACGTGTCGGGGTGGCAACGGCCGGGCACTCCTGGCTTTCCAGGGCGGGTGGAGACATGAACGGGAATGGAATGGGAACGGGACGGGAACGGGAATAGTGCGGTGGTGTCATGTCGCCCCCGCCTGCTGCGAGCAGCCCCACACGACCCACAACCAGGGAGCGGCAGGTCGGGTTGGCTCAACAGGAAATCCATGTTTCGATGAGATTGTATGAGGTATGGGGGGGGGGATCACACGAACAGCTTCGGACTGGCTGGCGTTGCCCAGGACCAGAGAAGAAAAGGATTGAAGGGGAAGACAAACTCTATCCCCTCTGCCCGCACATAAATACGATATTCGTCGATTCGTATTTAGACTCTTTCGAGAGCAGGCTCGCTGCTCCGTTTCGTGGTAGAAAGGCGGGAACGAGGAATGGAGAGTAAAGAAAAATGTGTCAAGAAGGGGGGGGGAAAACAGAATGATTTGGGATCGGGAGGGAGGCTCCACACCAATGCATCGGCGTGAGTGAAAATATGGAGCGACGGATGGGTCCATGAGCCCTTGCAGATGACGGTCTGGCAGATCTTGAGAGCAGAAACAAACGTGAGCGAATAACTCCATGGAGGTTGAGGATGGCGGCGGCGTGGAGCGTGATCAGGGGCAGAATCACCAAATCAGTTCGTCGGCAGCATAGATGGAATGCGAGTGGGGGGCCGAAGAGAACAAGAAGGTACTGCAAAATCTAGGAACTTTAGCGGAGTGTATGGAACTCGGTGGAGTCGAGACGGGGAGGAGAGGAGTTGGAGGTGGGCAAGATCAGGGGGGTGAGTTTTGAGGGTGGATAGGCCTGGCAGCAAAGCTTGCTTTAGTTGGTGACAACGAAGCCCTTCTTGCCCTCGAGAGCAATGTACTCCAGGTCGTCGACACCGGGCTGGTACTCGCACTGGCCATTGCCCGAGTTGAAGACATAGTCTGATGGGAGGGGAAACCGTTGTCGAATGTATACAGAGAGCGTCTGGCGTTAGGACTCAAGGCAGCAGAATCAACTGTTCCGGCTCAGCTCGACTCGACGGCTGTCTCTCCCGCAGAGGACTGGGCAGCGTCGACACACTCACCCTTGGAGCATTCGCAGCGACCGAGGACACAAATCCACTGGCTGTTGGGCTTGCAGTCGTAGGTCTGGCTGGTGTAGGGGCTGGGGCACTGAACGTGGCCGTTGCTGTCGACGTAGGGCTCGTTGGACACACTGGTCGAGTTGGACGAGTCGTAGGTGATGTCGGTGGAGTTGGACGAGTCGTAAGTGATGTCGGTGGAGTTGGAGGACTCGAAGGACTCGGCGATCAGGACCTTGGCCTGGTTGCTACCGCAGTAGGCAGAGGTGGTGCCACACCAGCCGTACTTGCTGCAGCACTGGCCGTTCGAGCACTTGCCGTTGCCGACCTTGCCGCTACCGCAGGAACCGCTCTGATAAAGGAAATGAGGTACGTCAGATGAATGAGCAGATGCGCGAATGGATGAGGAAGAGCAAGTGATCGGAGGGGGGGAAGGTGGTTCCGGAAGAGCCAGACCCCAGGCAACAGCAAATGACCAATGGCAAATGGCATCCGAAACCTACACCCGACGATCCAGGGGAGGAGGCAGGGGCGCGGTTGTTGCAGTGGGCAGCGTCATTGGCGCACCAGCCGTACTTGCTGCAGCAAGTACCGTCGGCACAGATACCGTTGCCGACTTTGCCGTTGCCGCAAGAGCCGCCCTGGTGTGGGTGCGATGTATGGAGGAAGGCGAGGAATGCAGCTGAGGATGAGGAAAGGGCGGAGACGACGGAGCAGGACGAAACGGACAGGGCCACGATAACATCGCCCAAGATGCGGAGGAAGGAGAGGATCGACACATGCATCCCGTTCGGTACTTACGCTGGAGGGAGGAGGAGGAGGAGGGGGAGGCGGGGGCGACGAAGGAGTCTTGCTGCCACAGTAGGCAGTGCCGGTACCACACCAGCCGTACTTGCTGCAGCAAGTGCCATCGGAGCACTTGCCGTTGCCGACGTTGCCGTTGCCACAGTATCCGTTGCTCTGTTCGAGAAATACAGCGGTGTCAGGATCATCCGTTCGTTCGAGAGCATGTTGCTGATGCCGACAGAGGTGCTGCTGCCACGACTACCGCCCGACGACAAGCATGGTGGCCGATCTGAATGATCTAAACGACTTGATAGGCAGGTCTATGGTCATGGCGCTATCGGTTTGGATTCGACCGTCAGGCCGATACTCACAGAGGGAGGAGGAGGAGGAGGAGAGTGGGGCGGAGGAGGAGCAGGGCTGCCGTTGATGTTGGCCCAGCCGTGACCGTTGCATCCGGGGTCGTAGGTCATACTCCACTGGATGTCAATGACGCCCTGGGAGAGCGGGCCGAGCTGCGCAAAGGCATCGGGCGACAGGTCGAGATGGCCATAGGGACACTGATGGCGGCGGACAGACGGAGACGAGGGTGAGCCAAGCGAGCACTTCCAGCGCGGATGCATCAAGAACAACCACAGAGCAACATGGCGATGGACTTACATCAGCATCAGGGCACTCATCGACAATAGGGACATAGACGAGGACTTTGCTGTTGGCCGAGACAGACGCAAGCAGTCAGAATGCTGGTACAGCAGCAAGGTCACCAGGCAAGGCCGCCAGCAAGATCACCAGCGGCAGGACCAGGGATGGGCCAGATGCAGATATGGGGGCCAAGGGACGTGAGCATTACCCGGCCGCGTTGGAGACGGTTGCGCAGTAGCCGCAGTAGGCACCGCTGCTCCACTGGGTGTGAGACTGGGCACGCAGATCAGAGAGACAGGGCCGTGAGCATCCTGGGCGAGCAATGCAATGCAAGCATTCGAAGCAAACAGCGGCGCCATGGGCAGAGGACCACATGGACCACATGGACCGCATGGCACATGAACTGCATGGCCAGCCCACGGGCACCAAAACAGAAGGCCGACTTACGATGGCAGCGTAGTAGTGCGGGTTGGTGGGGTAGATCTTGTAGCAAGCGCCGGGGGTCTTGGGCGACGGCGAGGCAGCACCGTCGGATCCGTCACCGTAGTAAGTGGCGGTGCCGGTAAACTGGTAGGCATTGGCCAAGGCGGCCGCGCCGAGGAGAGCAAACGCTGAGCGCATGGGAGCAGGAGCAGGAGGCGATAGAGTGTTCGGCAGCGTTTGGCAGCGTTTTGCAGCGTTCGGAGGCGGGTGCCTGGGTTCTGCCCTCGAGAATCGGATGGAAGCGGGTGGAGGACGGCGAGAGGCGAGCGAATTTATGGGAAGGGCCGCAAAGGGACAGCGAGTGTTTTTCTGCAGGAGAACCAATGTGCACAAGCGAACAGTCGGGCTGGGGCCCGCGTTGGCGACGAAGGCCGTTTGGGACACAAGGCAGCACGGCGGCCAATCGCAACCCAAACCCAACCACGCAGCGATCGCGGGAAAGACCGGCGCGGGCGATGTTGTTCAGTTGCGGGATGTTGTTAAGTTGCGGGACGTTGTTCATTTGCAGGGTGTTGTTCATTTGCGGGTGTTGTCAAGTTGCAAGATGTTGTGCAGTTGCGGGATATCGAGCGGCGGATGCGGCAGGCGGAGACATGAACAGGGACTGCGAGGGACTGCGAGGGACTGCGAGGGACTGCGAGGGACTGCGAGGGACTGCAGTCCCTGGCGGACTATCCTCTTGGCCGGCGGATAGAGGCAAGGAAAAGCAGCTGGCCACCGCTGGGTTCGACTGGCGGATCTGATGTCGGCGCAAATGAGCGCTGCCGCCACGTCTCTGCTGGATGTCTTGGACAATCAATTACTTTCGGCAATCACTCTCGACAACCTGTCTCTGCAACAGCCAGCTTCCTGTGGCGACAGACACAACCACCCAGCATCCCAGAGGCGTCCGGCCCGCCTTCGCCCCGCGTCCGACCCATATCACCAGGCCCTGCTTACTGTTCTGGCTTGCTGTTCGCTCAGCGTTTCGGAATTCCCACGGGCAGCAACACCCAGTCCCATCCAAGGCGGGATACTGCAACACAAGCCGCGTTCGGCGTCGTTCGCACGCTTCGTGCGGGACTCCCCCCTCGGCCGCCAATGCCGTGCCGCCGTGCTTGTTGGCGGGTGTCCCAGAGAGATTGTATCCCCCCAGCAGGATGGAACGGGTCGTTCACCGCTTGCTTTCCCACCTGCACCGCTGCCGGCCTGGCCCGCAGCGAGGCCCTATTTGCGACGGGCTGCAGATGCCCCATCTGCTGTCTCGACCAGCCATCCATCCCGCTCTCTGCACTCCCCCCTCGCTCAGCTCTCCTGCGTGAATACATGCGGGGGCACACTGGCAACTGGACGACTGCGCATGCCGCCCCGTCACACACGGCAATGTCGCACAGAGCGCACAAGTGGCGGGGGCGGAGCGGGGACGCGGCGCGCACACCGATCCGGCTCCGCGCAGCCGCGCGTCGGCTGCACGTGGTGATTGGCCCATCGCGTTGCGGCAAGCGGCGGATCGGGCTCTCTCGCTGCCCGGCGAGAGCGAGCGAGGCGCAGCGAGAACGGCCAGTCGCTCTTGGCATTCTGGACCAAGCCGGATCGAGGGGGCCAGCCTGGATCGAGCCATGACTGCCACACACACCCAGAGTCACATGAGCACATCTCGCGTCAGGTGGAAACATGAGCTGGGACTGGGACTGTGGCGGACAGAGGAACTGCTGTATTGTGTTGCTCATTGGATATTCATAGGGCTATCCATGCGACTATTCATGGGCTATCCACAAGACTGTCCCTAGGGCCATTCATAGAATCATCGGCATTCGATTGCGTTGGCGTGCTGTCGCCTCAGCTACTCAGCAGCCGTTGCAGTTGGTGTTGATGCAGTTGTTGCAGTTGGCGACGATGGTGGGAGAGGACATGGCACCCATCCAACCGCAGCTGTTGTAGCAGTTGCCGCGGCAAGCGTTGATGGATCCGCCAACGCACTGGACGGCCGGCGGCGGGGGCGGCGGCGGAGGAGGAGGAGGAGGAGGGGGCGGCGGAGGAGAGCCGCTGCAAGTGCTGCAGCTGAGGCTGATGCACTTGTTGCAGTTGGCAACGATCGTGGCCGAGGACATGGCGCCCATCCAGCCGCAGCTGTTGTAGCAGTTGCCGACGCAGGCATTGTAGTTGCTGCCCACGCAGATGGCGCTCTGGAGAGAGTAGTGGTCCGCCGCAAGAGCAGAGTTAGTACGTGGTCTCTGTGTATGGCAACTCGCAGGGTGCCGGCCGGTTGGTGGTGTGCGTATCGGCACTGGCTCGGGCGGCCGAGGGGAAATGGTCCAAGATGAGAGCAGCATCCCAGCACCATCCCCAGCACCACACGATGCAGATGCCAGGCTTTTGCTTACCGAGAGCGAGGCAGCCGCCAGGGAAACGAGGGTGGCCGAAAGGATCTTCATGGTTGTTCCGGGAGCAGCTTCGGATGCAGCTGATGCAGGGCGACGGGACCGCCGGCTGCGAGGGGCCGTTTTATACCCGCATCTGGGCTCCAAGGTCGGCCCTGGACGTGTGGGGATAATGCCGTTGCCGCGATGTCGCCTGATCGGTCCTCGCACGCGACCAACCAAGTGCTGTGGTCATGCGCCGCGATTGCCGACAGTTCTTCGGGCTGGAGATGGCCGAATCAGTGGCCTTGGGTGGTGCGATGCGCAACTTGGGGCGCTGTGGGAACGCAAATTTAGGCTGCACCGGGCGGGGCGGACACTGGCTGCCGAACAAGCCCGCGATCAGGCGACCCGCTGAGCCGGCAGCTGCGATCAAGCGGGACTGGTTGAGGCGGCCGTGTCTGCTCGGTTTGTGGGGTACATGCGCGACCACCATGCTCCGCGGGTGACCCTGGCAGGACACAACATTGATGGGCCAGCCTGTGACCCCCCCCCTTCGGCGAGCTGGCCCCATCGCGGCAGATCCAATCGATTTATCCTATCTCTGGAGATAGGACGGTGCAACGGCCGCCAGCAGACACACCAGCAACACCCCCGAACCCTGCCCACGCACACCTGTTGCACACTCCGGCAGCCACCACCGCTTACACGTTGGCAAGCTCGACTTCTGGGGCGAGCACGACGGCTCTACCACCACCAGTACGACACAGAGCCCGTGTTGTACAGCCCCTGGGTCCAGAGAACTATATCGTTGTTAGCTGCACTAAACAAAGCGGCAACCAGGGAAGCGTCGGGCGAGTGACCAGCCATCGAGAGAAGTAAATGCAGGCGCAACAGAGCGATGACGAGAAAGGAGGCAGAGCGGGAGAACGCAAGTCATATGGCTCGTCTTTTGCGGCGCCTGACCCACCGCGTGCTTGTCGGTCGAGGCCAGGGACGGCAGTCGCGCAGGTTCCTTCCGAGACAGGTTGGCTCGCCGTCCTCAAAACGGAATCGGGATCTCGCGAGTCACGGTCTGCACACTGGTGCTTGGTATCAGTCCGTGCTCGCAGACGACCACGGTGATGAACTGCGGCGGCGTGATGTCGTAGTGCAGGTTCAGCAGCTTGAGGGGCGGAATGTCTCTCCATCCGCCCAGCACCCCCGACGAAGCGCGGTTGGCTGCCGACATGGACGGCTGCCGCGACGACGGGGCCATGACCGAGGTATCGGCCAGCTCCTCAGGATTGCCTGTGTTCGGTCGTGTGCAAGGCTCGAGGTGAGTAAACTGGCACGCTCGGGGCCGTGGCTCTCATCAGAACAGCACCGCAGCATCAGATGCAGGGACGGGACCAGCCACTCACCCAGCTCGTTCCAGACAAACGAGTCCAGCCGCACAATGTCCGTGAACTTGTAGGCTTCGCAGCAAACAATCACAGGCACCTTGGCGTCGTGCGCCATCATTGCGACAAGCGACGTTCCGACCCGCGACATCAGAGCGCCGTTTGGCAGCATGGTGCTGGCGCCGAGGAACACCTTGGTGGCCTGGATTCCGGTAAAATGGAGGGGAAGAGTCGCAAGGATAAACGGTGAGTCGGCAGCAAAGATTCCTGATCAGTCCGCAAATCGACGTTGGGGCCCGCAAAGATGTGAGCCCGACTCCAACAGACCATGTATATGTCTGGTTCAGCGACACAATGAGAGGTCGTCGGCGCTGCTGTGTCTGAACTGAGCATTGCTTCTGACCGTTGTTCTCCGACACGCTCCTCTGGCTGCAGCCGGCCAAGCTTACCTCCTTCATCAACATGCCCAGGGCATTTGTCAGCGCATAGGTGCACTGCACGCCTGCGCCAACCAGCTTCTTGAGGACCTCCTTGCCTGAGTCCGCGCAGCAGAGATTGAGGATCAGCCATATGCCACGAAACATATCGAGCAAGCATGTTCCCAAAGGATAGGCCGCCAGAAAGATATCCTGAGTGCATCGATGGAGAGTAACGGCCATCATCCCTGGCGCCAACTTGCCTTCAAACTTGGGCCTCGAGTCGATAACGATGACTCGGAACTTGATGTTCTCGGCATGCGCCTCCAGAAGCAGCTGGGCAACAACAGACGAGCTGTGCAGCGATAGGGGCGTCCGTACGACACCAAATTAGTCCACTGCCGCTGTTACTGCTGCTGCTGCTGCTGAGATAGAGACGGCCACCGTGTGCTTGTCCACTGCTTACTGTGCGTAGATCAGAATCACATCGCCATCTTGGATCTTCTTTAGGGCGTTTTCGACAATCATCGCGTCGGGATCGATGATGCGCTTGTTGACGAACTCGTCAATCTTCTTGCAGATGAGCTCCTTGGCCTATTTGGCAGGGGTAAGTGAGGAAGTGGGAGGCAGCGGTGAGGATGATGGTGTAAGCAGGCTCGATACCATCAGCCCAAAGAAGCACACACACCCGCTGGGTGTAGTCGAAGGCAGCATCGATTTGCCACGACAGGCGACGATCCCAGCGATTGCGTGTCACCAGCGGTGTATCGGATTGCTCATAAACCCCTCCCCAGCGACCCAGCCCAGCGTACATCGTTGTCGGGGGTGTCGATGGAGATCTTGGCGATTTCGTTCTTGACGTAGCGGATAGCATTTCGCATGCTGGCCGCCAGTGCTCGAGTGTTGGTCAGAAAATCGATCTGCTTGCTGATGTACCAGGTCAAGTGTCGCTGCAGCGAGGTGCCTTGGGGGGTCACGTAGTCGCCAATGACCTGGAAAGCGATGAAGCCAAAGCACGAGGTGTGAGACTTGCTGGTCAGCACCACGGATCGACTAGCCGACCTGCCGCTCGTATGAGATCTGAAGAGGCCGGACGTACCTGCTTGAAGACATCCATCATCGCCATGCAGCGGGCATTTCCACCCGTGATAATAAACTCGGAAAACAGTAGCCCCAGGTCCATGATGGCCGGGTGGATAAGGCCCTGCGACTTGATTTCGGCATCCATGTGCGCTTGCTGGCGGTACTGGTCCAGATGCGAGAACAGCGGAACCATCTTGGCGTCCTGCACCCGCTCGCCCTTGGACTTTTTCTTGGACTGCTCGTCGGCTCGGCCGCTCGGCTGGCTCGTAACAGATCGGCTCGCATCGCTAGTGCCGGATGAATTGGGAGCGGGGGCTTGCTTTGCCGGTGTCTTGGGCTGCTGGGCCTTGCTGTTTCCTGCGTTGTTGCCTCCAGGCTTACCGGCGGAAGCAGCTGCCTCGGCTTGGCGGGCAGCCTTTTCGGCTCGCTGTCGCTCCTGTTGACAGCCAAATTATACGCCCCAGAGGGATCAGCCCAGCCCCTCCCACGGCCGGTGCACATACTGCCTATCCGACTGAGGGTGCTTTGACAAACCTGCAGCTCCCGGCGCTCGGCCTTGGTCATCTGCTTCTGCGACTTTTTCTCCTCGATACCCTCGGGCTTGTTGTTGGGCTTGGGAGGCTTGACCTTCTTCTCGACGGGAGTGGTTGTGCCCGAGTCGGGGACACTCAGCGCGCTGGGCTCAGGGGCGGGTTCGTTGGCCTTCTTCTTCAGCTGCTCGTTTGGATCCGAGAAGAGCCGGTCTTCGTACGAAGCCTTCTGCGGCGATCGCGAGTTGGGCGACCCCAGGAGACTGTGGCCGAGGGAGCCGCGGCGACCCTTGATGGCTGTCGGCGTCGAGACGGCATGCGGAGACACATTCGATGGGGTGGTGGCCGAGGCCGAGTCGTCCTCAAACTTGGCTGAAACAGCCCTGTCCTTATCATCGGCCCATCCGGTTCGAGCCTTCAGACTGCAGAAAAGCCAGGCGGCGAAGACGAGAACCACCCGATCGGCCAGCCAAAACAGAGATTAATGACGCTGTCATGCACTCTCAACTGGCTGCCAACACAGATGCCGACGAGCACCGAGACGAGAGCCGCAGCTGGAGACGCAAATGGGATGCGATCTAATGCAACCAAGGGACTGAGGCACGGGCATTACGTTGGCGACTGGGTCTGGGACTGGGACTGGGACTGGGACTAGATCGGGCGCATATGCGGGTCCGGGACATTCAGGTCGACAGTGGATATTGGAGCGCAGTAGCCAAGATTTCATATTCGACCGGGGAGACGGACATATCCCATTCAGACGGTCAGCAAAATGCAACGATATCGCGAACATGGATGGAAGGCACGATGGTGCCCCATATGCCCGGCTGCATGAAGCCGGGACAGGCAGTCGGATAGGGGCTGCGAGCAACCGGTCGAAGGCTGACCGGCAGCCCATCCGCAGGATGGCCGAAGCAGCATTCCCGACCGCAACAGGACTGCGCCAGGCAGGCGAGAAATGGCAGAACGCAGCCCAGACACCCGTCGATCCAAACCTGTGGGGGCTCGGGCAGGGGGGCACTCGCGGCGGTCGACAGGACTTGGGCCGATGCCTTTTTCTGGGCTCTCCTTTCCTTCTTGCTCGACATGCTTGTGTGCGTTGGACGGGAGACGGGGCGGGTGAGAGGCGGCTGCAACTGCAGATATAGATCGGGTGGGATCGAGATGGTCGAGACGGAAGTGACCCAGAATGAAAAAAAAGGGACGAGACAAGCCGAGGACCGAGAGCGGCTCGCCCATCTCGGCGCGCCTCGCACGCACTGTCTGTGTGCGCCCAGCGTGCTGAATGCTCTCGTCTGCATCTCGCTGAACGGCCAAACATCCCCGGCATTGATACGAGAATCGCAACATGAACCGGTGTTGCTATCGGAGTATCAGTGCGAGCAGCGCATGGCGAGAGCCGCAGTGTCGTTGCTGCCAACGAGAGTCCCGGTCTCGGTTGCCGCTTGGCCGCGCTGGAGCGTCCGCATCTGTTCTCTCCGAATGATTGCCCTCGTCAGCAGCATCCGAAAGTGGTCGCCAGCGGCTCAAGCCCAGGACATTCATGGTACAGACAGCAAGACAGTTCGTGTATTCAGAATTCTTCCCGCCGCAGATGCTATGGCGGGGACGGGAGCATGCTTGGCCGGATCTGCGCACGGAGTCATAGGATGCACCCGGTCGATGCCGTGCCGCCGGGGGGAGGAGAAGTGACCGGCTGTCCCTCCCTCCTTCATGAAAGCCAGCGCTGCACTCGGCGCTTGAGGAGAGGCAGCAGACGCTTGTTTGGATCGGCCACAGTCTCCTTCTCGTTGAGAGCGTAAGCGACCGCTCCGATGCCGATGAACAGGATGGGGTCCCAGCGCGGGTGGACAAAGGCAGTAAATCGAGACATTTGCGCTTGCTTGGTGGACGGGCAATCGGGAGCGAGGAATGCCGGTGAGTCGTTGGCCGGCAGCTGGCTCGGATGGTTCCTTGAGGCTGTCTGGACGAGGCTGATCAAGGGCAGACCAAAGGCAGATCAGGGACAGATCAAAGGCAGATCGGGGACAGCGAGGAAGCGCCGATCCGCATCGGGACTCGTTGAAATCGGGCCAGAATCCGACGCAGGCAGCCCAGGCGCAGCCTTCTGGGTCGTCGCTGTGTCCTCTCCAAGACCAGCAGACTCCCTCCAGCACCGGCTCTGCACCAGATCTGCGTCTCCTCGCCATCGCCGGCGCACCGCCATGTCCAAACGGCGGCTGCTCTCGCGGAGCTCGGAAACGGTCTCGTCCTTCTTCCAGTCGTCAGCGCCCGAGCTACCTACCCGCCGCAGACGCAAGACCGCAAAGCACATCGAGGTTGCCTACGATGACGACTCCAAGATCCAGTCCGTCGCGGATTCGAGCGCAAAAGCCACACCCAAACTCGACGCTTCTGTCTCTGGATCGGCGGACAAAGCAAAAACCGACTCGGATCGGCCGGGCGATGCCGATGGCTCCGCACTCGACTCGCCCAAGCCCCGGCCCAGCACCAAGGAGCTGCGTGCATCCGCCCGAGACAACTTCACCACCACATTCTCGAAGCTAAAGGACTATCGGGCGAGCAACCAGGCGCCCGTTGATCTCATGGGCTGTGCATGGCTGGCGGAGCGAGACAAATCACCCGAGGTAGAGTCTTGGTTGGCAGGATGGGCTGTGACCGCCATTGTCCTCTCGATCTGGATGATGTTGCTGGACGGTCCCCGACCTCCCCGACTCGGGCTGCAGCCGTATGCACAGCCTGATAACCGGCTGCCCGCTCGATGGCAGGTCTTTCGATATCAGACCCTGGTTGCCCTTCAGCTGTCATCTCAGACAAAGGATCCTGTCGTGGCAGCCGCTGTCCGAGCCATGCAAGGGCATCAGCCCGGTGGACTGACGGTGGACTCGATTCTGGACATGGACGACAAGGTCCTGGGCTCGTACATATGCAAGGTAGGCTTCCACAATAAAAAGCTCAAGTACCTCAAGGACACGGCTGCAATCCTGAGAGACAAGTACAGCGGCGATATCCCCGACACCATCGAGGGCCTGGTTGGGCTTCCTGGGATCGGACCCAAAATGGTTCGTAGAAACCTCCGCTTGAGCATCGTGGGCGGATCTGCTGGCTGTGCGATACGGATACTGACACTGTGGTACTGATACCGACACTGTGTGATACTGATACTCCATTCCTCCAGGCCTATCTGGCCATGCAGTGCGCTTGGAAGAGGTAGGCATGGAAGAGCCATACAACTGCAACGAGCCGTTGCTGAGACACATGCTGCAATCGTTGCTGAGACACATGCTGCAACCCCCAACGCCGCTCACTGTTCCCACAATCGGATAGGAACCTCGGCATTGGCGTTGACACACACGTCCATCGCATCAGCAACCGTCTTGGATGGGCAAGCACCGACAAGAACAAGCCAGATAACACACGGATCGTGAGTAGAGCGGGCGAGCACTCGCCCATGTCCGAGGGTAGACTGGGCGATACATGAGTTTCTATCGAGCGATTCACTTTGATGAACCGATTCCCACATCTCATTGCTTCAGGAACTCGAGTCGTGGATTGGCAAAGAGTACTGGGCAGATTTGAATCCGTTGCTCGTTGGATTCGGGCAGCTGATGTGCCTGCCCATCGGACCCAAGTGCGGCGACTGTCCGCTGGCGGACCAGTGTCCGAGCTATTGTCGAAAGTAGACTCTGATCGACCGATATGCAATATATGAATGTGACCACTCTCGATTTGCGCATTGGGATTGTACTTTTGGTGTCGCCACTTTGAACGGCAGCGAGTAGTGTCCTTGAGGCTCGGGCAGGGGTATCGAGCCCCTCCAAGCAGGTTGCAGCTAGATACACGGAGCACACTTGGAGACATCTGCGTGCAGGATGGAGTCATGTCCTGTTGGCCCAATCGGATCCGGAGCCGCATCGATCGTTCAATCAGGCCCAAGGTCATTGTGCCAACGATAAATGGTGCTTTTGAGCACACATATGGTGGAAGCGATCTTGCACCGACTTTGCATCATCTCGTAGCAGTGCAGTTGCCGCGGTACGAAAGGCGAGGCCAGTGGCCGGCCATGTCGAACTCAAAATGCATTCAGAGAGAACATGAGTGGTCCTGCCAGAGTGATCCTGCCAGAGTGGTCCTGCCAGAGTGATCCTGTTCTCATTCACATCTGCCTGTCATTCCAATTTGCAATCGCAGCCTGTACAGCGAAGACACTGCACCATGGAGCCAGGTACTGCCTCGACAGTGCTCAATAATGCCGCGCAACACTGTGCTCAGGATAGCTAGCCCAAGAAGTCTGCTGCATCGCCCACTTCTCGGCCTCTGATGCCATTTCCCCACCCACCCCACCGATACTTTTGCCTCGAATGCAGCATCCGGCTTGAAATGTCACACGTGCGGCGAGCCGATTGTGGACTCGTATGACTCTGCCTTGGGCAAGGTTTATCATCCGGGACATCTCAAGTGCTTGATGTGTCAAGAGTCCATCGCTGGCGGCGGATTCTTTGAACACGACTCGGCCGTCGTCTGCAGCTCTTGCTATAAAGAGAAAATATGCCCTCGATGTGCTGTCTGCAATGAGGCCATTCTCGGAGTAGGAATCGACTGCACGCCATCATCAGTGTCAGGACCTCCCAGCAACCACCTCCCGACCACTGCTGTTGTGACGAGACTGTCGGCGGCTTGGTACTCACCCCTGCATGCTTTGCACCCGCCAGGAGTGCTTCAACGCCCTCGACAAGAACTTTCACCCTCATCACTTCACATGTGGCCAGTGTGGCGTCGCTTTGAATATCACGGCTCCGTTTGCAGTCATGTTCGACAGACCCTACTGCCCCGGCTGCTTCGAGGAGTTGGTGCCGAAATGCAAGCTCTGCTCACAGCCCCTCCAGGAGCAGCACATTATTGCCTGCAATGCCAGCTGGCATCTTCAGTGCTTCCGATGCAAGGTGATGTGTCCGCGCAGAATAGAGCATTTTGTTCTGCAGGACAATGCGGCTCCCACCTCATCCACTTTGTCCGAGATACTGACCCCACACACCCCCAGCAGGAATGCGGCCAAAACATCGTGGGAAACTATCACGAGCGACTCGGATGGCCATACTGCCTCCAGCACGGGGCTCGTGGTGCCCTGCAGACGACATCATGATATCCAGTTCGTCGCAACGGTCGGTCGAAGCTGTCGGTCGGGGCAGCGCTGATTCTCACTGCCCCTGGACCTATAATTCGACACATCCCGCTCTGCTCGTGCAATGGCAAGGCGCTCTGTCGGGGACATTGCCCAATCCCACGTCACCGAGATACGTCCTTTGGCCGGCCGACGTCACTGAGTCGCCTCTCGTAGCGATGGGCGAGGCCGTCGTTGACTTTCGGAGTATTTCTGGCTTCCTTTACCCAAGCGACTTGTCCGGCACGCCGATGCCATGTACCGAGCCCCACCCCAGCAATACAACTCGGACATTCGCAGTAATCTCGATGATGGCCCCGATATCACCGGCGACACCTTCTCCGTCCTAACCCTTGCCGAGATCGAGCGGTATTTGATGCTCCTCACCAACCACCAGTCCGCCGAGCAGCGAGCCAGGGGCATCACTCAGATCAAAGCCAGTCTCTCGACAAGCCCGGCGGTCCGGGCCAGAGTCGAGGCTTCGTTCGCACTCACCAAGAAGCTCATGGGAGACTTTTTCATAGGCCTCCGCTCCAACGAGCCCGAGTTGGTCGAGGCTACAATCTCCTTGCTGCTTTGCGTCATCCGGGGCTCCGGGGAGTCGCAAGAAGACAGGATGGTGTATCTCATCGAAAACAAGGCATACGAGCGGATACTCAGGATTGCCGAGGGAGGCGTTTTTCCATCTCAAAAGCCTCTGCCGCAGAGAGCTGCGGTGGCCTTCCTTGCCCAGGCTCTAGTTGTGAGCCCTTCATTGCGAGGGTCATTCTTTCAGGGCCGCGCAGGCGAGCTCTGCCGAACGCTGGCACAGAGCAGCAATGGCGATTTTAGTCTGCTCGTCCCGGCCTTGCGATGCTATCGCAACCTCTCGCTGTGGCCCGAGATGCGCCCCAGTCTGGCCCAAGACACACTGCTTGATCGAATAACCGAGTTCCTCGAGATCGGCGCGACGGGACTCAAGCCCGAGTGGACGGACGCTGTGCAGGACGACCCGTCTCTTCTCACCCATTACTACGAGACTCTGGTATCTCTCGTCCGGAACCTGGCAGCACACGAGGAGAAGGTCAAGAAGACGTTTTTGAACCAGAATGTGTTTGCAAACCTGCTGTGGGTCCTAGAATCGACTCAACCCATCCAGGTCAAGCAGAAGGTCAGTGCCGATATCCGCGTGGGAACGTGATGTCTGTGATCGGGAGTGATGTACCTCGCGCACGACTCGGCAATGATCCCATCAGAGGCACCACGAAGGGCTGCTCCATGAGGATCCGGAGCTTGTTTGTCGGCCCATCCATTCGAGACCGCAGCTACATCCTTTTGGAGGCCTTCCTAACAACCGCATTGGTTACAGACCTGCTATGCCCTCGGCAACATCCTGGTCCCAAACGAGACCGGAGAGTGGAGCGAGCTCGGCGTCGAGGCCTGCGAGCACCTTGCCGAGCTGTTTCTCGGCAGCCAGAACAGCCAGCCCACCCAAGAAGCCTCGCTCTGTGGCTTTCGCAACATTCTCTTTCGCATCGGGACGGCAGCGCATGTTCGGGCGTATGAAATCGGAGTACTCGAGCCCTTTATCGAGGCCCTGTCGATCCGCAATCTCAAGATCGTGGAGCACGCAGCGGTCTGTCTGCGGAACATGGCCCTCATCGACAAGTCCCGGAATACTATCGCCAACGCCATGCCGGTTCTCATCCGCGTCCTGAAGCGGGAGGGCTACTTTGCCGGCGGAGACATTGGCGACGTTGTTCATCACATCTTGTGCATCATCTGCAACCTCTCGGTGGATGATGTGCTGTCGCAAAGCCTGTATCGTCGCAACCCGGAGCTGCTCCCGACGCTCTATCAAATCCTGCACGGCGCACAGGACCCTGACCTCAAATCCGATGCCCTGAGCTGCCTCCGGAACTTGTGCATTGACGAAGAATCGTGCCTCAAGATCCTGGCCCTCGGAAACCCAAAGTTGATGGATCTGCTTCTCACGGGCGAGGCGAACCTGCGGCGCGGATGCATGTCGATACTGCGCAACCTGGTACTGCAGAACTTGCAGTGCTTCAACGAGTTCTTCAAGACCGAGGGCTTTGTCTCGGAAATCATTGCCGATGTGGCCTCGCGGGACCTGAACCTCCAGCGCTTTGCGATCGAGATCGTCAAGGGCTACCTCGACACGGGCACAGACTCGATCCTGCAGGCCTTTTATGAGGCCGACTCGATGCCCGCCCTCCTGGTCCCGCTCGAGACTGCCAATTCGAACCGCGAGATTGCCGGCATTTGCTTCAAGATCCTGCAGAAGTTCGAGAGCAAGATTCACGCCGGGAAGAACCCATGGGTGCGGGTTTGGGCCGAGTGGAAGGCCCAAGACGACCAGCGCCGTGCCGAGCTGCGGGAGAAACGAAAGGCTGCCAGGGAGTTGAAGAAACAGCGGCGCGAGGAGAAGCAAGCTGCCGAAGGCAAGGATAGTTCTGGGGGCAAGTCACCCAAAAGGAAGCCCAAAGGCGGCGGCCCATCCAAGGGCAACCTCAAATCCAAAAGCAGCGCAAAGCCCAAGAAATCCACCCCCAAGAAGGGCCCCAAGCCCAAAGCCCCGCCAACGACGACCCCCAGGAGCCCAAAGAGCAGAAGTGACTAGTGTGGCGTGGGCGAACCCTCGCTTTGCTTGGTCGTCTCGTGTGTGCGCATATGTACTCTGCCTGCTGCTATTCTGAGTCCCTAATAGATACGCTCATCCGTCCGTCTGTTCATCCATCCATCTGCTCATGATATCAATGTGTCGGTCGAGTTTTGTCCATGGATGTATTATGGGAGGTGCCCAGTAACCAACAGCCACGGATGAGAGGAGGCAATGTGACTCTGAGAATGGCTCAGTCGCTGCTGGCATATTTGGCGATGCCCGAGTCGGGCTGGTTTGCCCAGTCCCACTTGAAGCTGGCTTGGCCAACGTTTACCGACCACCGAGACAGATTGCGGTAGTAAGGGGACAAGAAGTGGCTCGAGATGTGCATGGAGGGGCCTGACGATCCCGATTCCACGACACGATTAGGGAGAGAGAGAGTATTGTCCAAAGCATTAGTTTATCGCTGGTTCGCAGTTGAGCCAGCTGCACCTGAGACTCAGGCGAGTGAACGATGTGTGCTGAATTCGCGCTCAGAGACATACCAAAGCGCTTGCCGTTCAGCGTAAACGACAGCCTGCTGCCAGTCAAATAACAGCCGACCACCGAAGCCTCTTCAAAGTGTCGGTTTTCGAAGATGCCGACGATCTCGATGCCTTCTTCGACCACCTCGGGTGGAATCTGCTCCGAAACCGGGTGCCAGAGCGACCGCTTCGGGAACACAAGCGCATCGGCGGGCGGCGTCAGCAAAGGCGACGAGAGAATGCACCCCAGGCGGCTGTCAAAGAACTCGTCGTCGTCAACAGGATGGCGGGCAATCAAGAACAGCGTGCGATGGCTGGTCGAAAGCGCCATATAGACACACTCGTCCATGTCGATGATTCCGATTTGTGGGTGTCTGCAGTACGGTGATCAAGGATGGGTTAGATTGGTGCTGAGGCGACCATGGGGGCACGAGGAGATCGTGTTGGGCAGAGGGTCGCTGGCTCTGCAGGGATTGTACGTACCGCTTCGTGCGCAGGCCTCTGAGACCGACTTTGACTTCAAAGTAGATGGGAGGCGCAGGCTCGCCAACTGTTGGTTCCGACGAAGTCTCGTCGATATCAGACGTGAGCTCGGTATCGGGCGAGAGGACATCGTCGTGGTCGCTGAACAGCTCCATCTCGATGTTATTCTTGAGAGGCGAGCCGACAAAGCCGCCCCGAGGTGTTCCCAGTGCCGCCGCCGACGCCGGTGTTGTCACGACCGAAATATCAGAGACCGGGGTCACGATATCCAGATCGAGGTCCGCCACAGTCGCGTCCGGAGATGGGCTGGGAGGCAGGGGCGTCATTTGCGAGAGCTCCAGGTCGTTATCGCTCTGGTGACTCGCAGCATCGACAAAGACATCAGTGTCGTTTGTAGACAGATCGCTGGTGACGCTGGTCAACGGTGTAGGGAGCTCCAGCGGAGTGAAGAGTTCGTCGACCTGGGTGGGATGCAGACTAACGGAGCTGCCCCCGGTGTGGACTGTGGCAGTATCGCCAACAGAAAGACCGCGGCGATCGAGGACCCACGCCACAGGCATGCACGACTCGATGTTGTGTCTGTTGGTGCCCGACGACGGAGTTGAGACGACTCCTGTAAGCAGCGGTCATAGGTCGCCGAGGCTAGCGAGAGTCTGCAAGCCAAACCCAGCCACACACGAGCAACTAACGAGAGGAGAACGGGGCTGCAGCAGGCAAGGCAACGGCCGACAAGCACGGACAAACACGAGTCCAGTGACAAACATACGTGAACGGATCAAACGCATCTCCGAAATGCACTTCGCATTCTTGATAAGAGGCCAAGGAAAGGGCGGGATACCAGATGACGCTCTTGTCCACATCGGTGAAGGCGACGCCCATGCTGGCCCCGTTGCGGTAGTATGAGATCTCGGCTTGGTCATAGTCGAACACGCAGGTGATAATGTCGCCGATCTCCCACGGCTCGCCATAGTCATTCTAGGGATTTGACGGGATAGAATGGATCAGCGATGTTGGACATGTGGGCCCTTCGTTGGGTAGCCAGCAAGCTACCGGTACAGCGCCAGGGCCAGATGCCAGCCAAACGCGGGCCAGAGCCGCAAAGTAATGAAATAGAAGGTGGCACTCACATTCTTTGGCGAAACGCCGTGCCACTTTTTGCAACGCTGACCCTCATAACCGTACGAGTTGCTGCAATCTGTGGGGGGCAAGAACAATGCGCGCATGACGACATCGAATCAATCTCTGTGTCGCTGCAACAGTGTCCGTAACCGGGGCTATGACAGCAGCTGAGATGCTACTCAAGGACCCTCTCACAAGCAATAAGCCCGGCAGTCATTGAAACAGGTATCGTGAGAGCCCACTACCCTGCCCCCGACAGAACCTCTCGGCCGAAGCCTCAAACACAGTTTCCAGGCGCCGCTTCTCACCTCCGACTCCGGTGCCGCACTCGGGCTCAAAGTGGCAATTCATGTTGGCCCATCCGATTTGAATGATGCCGTTGGACTTGAGCACGACCTCGTATGCCCACTTGCCCGGGGTTTGAATGCCATGATTGCCCTTGACGCTCTCGAAGGTCCAGGCGTCGTTTCGGATGCACGATCCTGACGCATAGTCGATCATGACGTTCTCGGTCTGCAGATTGGGCTCCTCCTTGGCGGTGCGTCGGCGGTCGCTGCGGGTGGCAAGACTGAATCGCACATAGCTCTCGAGATGGAGGGGCTCTTGCACGTTGTAACAGCCCATCTTGGCAATGAAATTGCGGCCGTGGTACTGGATCGAGGCCGCCGAGTCCGTGAGGATGTGTTCGATAACGTTGGAAATGACGCCGCGGACGTTACGGGTGGACACTTGGCTCTCCGATCGAGGCTCGACACACTGCGATAGCGACATCACAGACTGCTCCACTAGATCTTGCTTCTTCTCGTCCAGCAGAGTGCCAACGATGTTGAACCACCGTTCGCGCAGCAAAAATTCCTTTGCGTGGGTTTCTGTCGGGAGCCAAGTACGTCCGCCGATCGTGAGACAGAGGGGCGAAGGACATGATATCATATCAGTTCAGGTCAGCTCAGATCAGATCATATCAGTTCAGATCCGCTCAGATCAGATCAGATCAGTTCAGATCAGATCAGATCTTATCGATCTGGATTTACACCACTGCGACGATCTGCAGTTACATCCACCCGCAGCATAAACAGCAGTAACGGCAGTGCGTCCAGCGATAAGGCACGCCATTGCGGGATTGCTCCACGAAAGGACGGAGCCCTAGAGGCACTTTGGCGAGAAAGCGGCGCAGCTTACCGCCCAAGAACAGAGCCCGGATCAGCGACATGGCGTTGGTAGCGAGCATTTCCTTGACCTCTTTGATAGCCTCGCGGTTCTCGCTCCCTTCGGATAGATTTGCCGTCTCGGCGGACTGGTGGGTTGAGACGCTGAAGGTACGGCGCGACGTAGTGCTGTCTTCGATCTCGATTTGGTTCTCGGTGGCTGGATTGGCTGTCGCCGAATCGCTGGCATCTGCTGGCGTGGGTTCCCCGGCCGGAGAGCCCAATCCAACCTCGGAGGAGGGTGAGGCGGCGAGAGGAGAGTCGCTGCGCTTGGCACTGGAAACGCACTCGCGGAGCGGGGAGCCCATGCCCGTGCTCGATTCCATGAGCAGAGCGGCCCGTTGTGCCGAGAGCAAGCTCGGGCTTCTGCCGGTCTCGGCCAGTGGAGAGTTTGCCGCGAACGCGTTCGTTGGCGAGATGACGATCTTGATCTTGTCTCTCGAAACGGTGGGGCGGCGTGGCGTGGCAGGACTGACAATGTCGCTCGCGGGGCTCTGGGGAGTCGAGGTCTTGGCACTGGCTGCGGCGTTCATTTCGGCGAGCTGCTCGGTATATTCTTCGAGATCGGCAACCATAGGGAGAACCAAAAAGTCGAGCAGCAGCGAGCAGAGCTCGTCAATGTCCTGCCCGTATATCTCGTTGAAGGAGTGCCACTCGTCGTCTTCTCGCGAATAGACATGACTGAAGGCCGTAGACTGCATAAACAGGAACAGACTCTCGATATGTCCGGCCAGCTGACCAGACACTTCGCTTAGCGTCGGGGTGGCCGGAGCCGCATCCTCGGTATGCTTGGGCGGACCACCGTCGCTATCACCATCATCCCAGGCTCTCTCGGCCTGAACGAGTAGTCCAATGCTGGATGGGTGTCCTCCTTCCACGGGAGAGATATCTTCGACAGCTGTGTTGGGATGGTGCTGTGCGTGCGGGACCGAGGAGGAGGCACTGTTTGTGGGAGACACAGTGCCTTGGTTGCTGCTGGGGAAGCTGCTCGGGAAGATCAAGTGGATCGACTGAAAACCCAGCTTGAGGATTCTCTGGATCAGAGGGCCAACAACAGTTTGCATGATCACAAAAGCCAGACCTTCGTCTGCGGGCGTGAGCGTCCGGGCATTGTTGACGGGATGAGTCGGTCGGAGGCGGACGGAGAGTAACGGAAGAGGAGCAGATATGTTAAAGATTCGCACCCATAAGTGCCACCCACATTGATCATGGGCCAGCTAGCACTGGATTCGGCAGATCGTACCCTTTCTTGCGATGGTGCAGAGGGTCTTGGCCGAGACCGTCTGGATGTTCTCCCGTTCGGAGTGGAGAACAAACCGTGTCAACACCGAAATACCATCGGCTTCCTCGATTTTCTTGATGACCACCGTGTCTGTGGAGTGAAAGCGCATGAGCAGATTCGGACAGGCACGAACAGTCACAGATCCAGGCAAATCAGAATATCGAGCAATCTTGCCCGCTCAGTGGTCGGGGGGATTCAGATGCGACTGAGGGATTCAGTTGCGACCAAGTGATTCAGATACGATCGAAGAAGGCAGGTGTTGATGACTGGCCCAGACGCCAGTGCGCCTTCGTATCACCCCCTTGCTTTTGTTCTCCGCCAAAGAGGAGGGCCGTGCCCGATATATCGAGCTTACCCGAGACCCCGATCAGGTTCAGCATCAGAGCGGCACCGGCATATTTCAAGTCATCCTCGCCCTCGCAAAAGCGAAGGACTGTGCTCATGATATCCGAATTGAGGATCTGTTCATGTACTTGGGCTACGCGGAGGGGAGGATAACGAAGAACCACATGTCAGTCGCCAGAAGGGAAACAAATCCGTCCACACCGGCTCAATCCATAGCAGCGCCCGATTGCGAGCTTGCCTGTGCTGCAGAGATAAACAAGAATGTCGGTGATGTAGAGTGAGATATGAAGGTTGGAGTCCTCCGAGAGCTTGAGAAGGATATCGAGACCCTTGAGGGCGACGAATTCCTCGCGAGTCTCGACTAGAGTTCAGCACAGATGAAAGGCGTGTGTGAGTTGGGTGGCGACGGGCGTCTACAGTATTCGATCTCGATGCATCGATGCATTCGAACCTGAGCTGAGGAGGCCGTGGATGAGGACCTGGGATGCGAACGAAGGACAGGTGAATAGGCCGTATTTTCCAATAGCCATCTACAGCGAGCGTGGAAACGCAGGTGGGCTTCGCTGCTGCATATGGCTCAGAGTACGGGGCTGGTGTGACAGTCGTTTACTCACCAATGCCCAATACTGTGACTCTTGGTCGTCGGACGAAATGCATGGGACAATCTTTTTCAAAACGCCGGCCTGAATCATTTCCTTCTGGAATGACTCTGGAGCAAGAGAGACGCAGACGACGGTTAACGCAAGCAGCGCAAGGATGCCGAGATACTCGTGTACAAGCAGGGTCGTCAGAAAGTCACCATTCGAATAGGCCAAACACTTGAGCGTTCGCAGCACGATGCGTGGAATCAGAGCATCTTCAGTGAGGAGGCTCGACAAAACCTTGATCAAACCCTTGATCTGACAAAAGTTTGACCGGGCAATGTCTGAAGTTGGCGCAGGTGTCGACGACAGAACGAGTGTGAGTGTTTTAGCCGTATGAACGAGCGCATCTACCCCCACACTTTGACCGAGCGCATGCGCCCATCCTGTTTTTGGAGCGACCACCGACCTTTAACCACAAACTCGTGCATCAAAAACACGGTCCAGTATATCAGCTCCATGTCGTCTGGTTTGGAGGTTGTAGTTATGTTGTGGTCAGGCGCAAAGTGAAGTGGGGGCGTCAAGTGGGACGTGATGAGCATGAAGTCATTGATCATCGAAACGGAAACAACCCAATATCATCGTCAGCGAGACAGCAGGTCCGCTGGCCTGCCCTCATGGCGACGCTACCCACCATTCTTGAGGCACAGCGCGATCATTGAAACCATATGCATATCAAGCAGTTTGTTGAGCTTTATGTGATCAAATGGAAGTCCCCGCCCATTACCAAATCAAACGGCGACGAGTTAGTAGGCGACTAATGATCACAACATGATCCGGTGTCCGGATTGGCAGTGCGGTCTGTTACCTCCTTTGTGGCTCCTGCGTATTGGGTAAGGAGGCGGATATCAGCCAAGATGATCGACAATCCATACCCTCATCTGAAAAGGGAAGCACCTCCCACCAGATCGTAACAGTCTTACGCTGCGATTCCATGCTTGTGATCAACCGAACAAGCGAGTGAAGACACATCTTTTGCATGTTTGTGTTGCCAAAGGTGAGCCGAGTCAACGTCGCCAAGAGCGAGACAATGTCCTTCTTGATCATGCCGGCATGGACGTCGTCTAAATCGAGCCAAAATGCGCCGTGCCAAGCCAGGCAAACGGAATCGTTGATCGTGGGTATACTGTGAGTCTTTCGCTGACACAAACCACCCAGCAATCTGGAGCAATGCACTCTCCTTTGGATGCTTCGAGTCCAATATCACCGCAATTGTGTGTCAGATTCTGCAGTTGGCTGCTACATGCTCATCTCTTATCCGGATCCTGTATCGTACCACAAAGCGAGAGTTGATGCAGCAGCAGCAGTGCCCAGTACTTCAGGTCGGTGTTGTGCGAAGGGCAGTCCTTCAGGATCTTGATCAGCGGAGCCAAGATACCATGCCTGGCTATGTAGATTTTCTGTTTGTCTAGAGGATCGAATACAATGGCACCAGGACAGAGAGTGTGATGACGATCAATGAAGGACCAGAAACTATGGGTATGTGGAAATGGCTCTATCACGGATTGGCTCAATTCCGAGCTGACACTCTTTCGAACTGGCTCTATCCCCAGTAAACCACTGATTGTGAACAAAGTCGGCACTGGTATCTCGAGTAAATGATAATCAGAAGGGTAGGTCGGATATTGACGGATGCGACCCGATCGACAAAGAAGATGGTACAGCGCTCGACACTGTACCGCGTCCGCTGATGAGGCGAAAGAGTGTGATGATGAGATCGCGACGAGCACTCAGTCGGGGTTCATCTTTGAGTAGCTTGGTGAAGAGCTTTGGGATGGAAGAGTCGATCAGCGCTTGGCGATTTTCCTCTGAGTTGAATGGGGGCAGAGGACACAGATTAGGACAAAGCAGCCGATAGCCCAGGTTGGCGAGGCGATGCAACGTCTGCGGCTTATCCGGCTCAGAATGATACGAGACAGCATCGGGCCACACAGGCTCGCAAGGAATTGTAGTGATGCTGGGTTGGCGCCAAGGAGTTGCAAAAGCTTCGGCCACCATCCGAGGGCAGCCGGTCTCGGTCGCATGTGACTATGAATTACCGGGCTTGGCCAGCAGCTGGATAGCACAGATGCATTTTTGGCGATGGGCCGGATTGGAGCTATTGCATCCGGCAACGATGGCAGATAGGTGCTCCTCTGTGGTATACCGATTCGTGAGTTTCATAGCCAAACATCAGTTTGCTGTTGGAGGGGGGATTGAGGGGATAGCGCGCCGAGGCAAAAAATGCGTTTGCGAGATCGATATTCGAGGCCATACCAGATATGGCGCGGTTGAGGAGGATCTGAACGGCACTGAAATGGGTGGCATAGACGGCATGGTTGCGAGTGAGTATCGGCGAATCCCTGCAAGAGAACCGACGGGAACGGATGCGGCGGATTGCAAGTGCGATCACCGCTGCTCGTGCCCGTGCCCGTCAAGCGGGCAAACCGAAGCAGGCAAATACCTCTCTCTCGTGTTGATGTTGGAGGAGCGGGTGAGGGCCCCAAGAGCAGAAATATTCAAGGCTGGATAATAAAGGAAGCCGGTCAGGGCAAGGACGGTTGGTGAAGGCGTGCTTTACGCACAAAGAGGCAGAGAGATTTGACAGAGAAATGGATGGACAGAGCGACATACCGTCGTCGGTCCGGAAGGGTCTCCTCTTTGAGCTGCGGCTCAGAGCTGGACCCGAGGTGGCTGGCGAATCTTGGGTCGACGGCTCGACCTGCTGTGGATTCAAGACTCCCTCGGCGACCGCATTTGCCTGGCCCAGGAGCTGCGAGATGCGGTTGGTGAGCAGCGTGAGCGACAGGGCCGAAAGGAAGACCACCGCTGCCGATGACATATCATCGGGCGAGAGGAGGCTCATGACGTCTGAGGCGGTGCCCTGGGGTGATTCTGCTGGTCGCTGAGCGGTCGTCCGGATGGTGGTGTGGCAGTGGCCTCGGCTGGAGGGAGAAGATCAGGGCAGAGAGTGGATGCTGGACGATGGGGCGCGTTGGAGGTGACCGACCCTGGCCTCGATGGTGACAGCGACATTTGGGCTGGCCCAGAGAAGCGGGAACCGGCTGTCCAAGAATGCAGCACCCCGGTGTTGCTTTGCCCATCGACGGGATCGTGTACGGGGTGATGATGTTGGTCAAAGTACGGGCATCTGATCTTGCGATGAAAAGGAGCATCGCGGCAAGCTGTGGATGGCAGGACCGAGGTCCCAAAGTCGACAACGGATTCGGGAATAGTGTCGTACACTCTATTCAGAAAACGGGACCACACCCGCTTCCATGAACATGTAGTATGTGATGAGCTTGCGTCAAGCTAAGCGATGTGGTGGCGACGGTGGTGCTTGAGTTGCTCAAAGTACCGAGCAAACCGCTGCCTCCTGGGGCTGGATGCATACCCTTGCCTTGATGCCCTGAAGCATTGACGGTGGTGAATGGTGCTCTTGGACACGCTGAATATGGAGGCAACTTTTTCTCAGGCCATGAATGAGGGCGCAGCACCGCATCACAGAATGGTCATGGCCAGTGCGCGATGGTATTGGGTAGCAAATTATTCGGTCAACGACCAAATAACCAAGGAGTCCCGGTTATTATTGGATTGGCTGTATTTCGCACGCGGTTTTGATTCTCAGGCATGAACCTCTCTGACGGTTGGCTCTTGCGCGGAGCAGCGGGGTCAGTTGCGGAATGGAACCTGGCTGAGCCACGTCTGCTGTTGTTCTGGCTGGATTCGGACACCATACGATCGGGGCGATGACGGCGACGGACCCACGACCGCGGCGACTTGTGATGCAACTGAGCAGCCATGTCGCCCCACATGCAGACCAGGCCCGTTTCCACCCCCAAAGCCAACAGACAGACCCACGACCGGCAGCCACAGCCCCAGAAAGCGATCACGGCAATTTCGTAGAGTGGCTGTTCGATACGAACCTGTGACGCAAGCAACACAGCATCGACTGCACAAGGCATGGCTGGCAGAACAGCAGGACTCTGACTGACTGGCGGTCATCTGCTCACGGACGACCCTCGCCGAGTCCTTCCGGCCAGGGACAGAGCGGCCCCGAGACGAAGGGCGGATGAGCTTTGTTTACAGCCGAAGAGGCAAGAAAGCAGAGACTCAGGGCCAACAGAGACCAGGAGACAGCAGGCGGGGAGCCAGACCCAACCCATGACCCAGGTTGGTTGCTGGACAAGAAACATTTAGGCGAGCCACAATGCCACAGACCATGCAGGCAGAGAGACCACGAAGGACGTTGCTGGACCGGCGGCCTCGATCGACATGGCAACCAAAGGGGAGCCCAGGGCAAACACCATGAACAGGGGCCAAACAGAGACGGCCAATGGTGCAAAAGCAGCCCAAGCAAGACCCATGACCACCCCATCCCGGCCAGGCGAGGGCGTCCCGGGACGAAACAGAGACAGCCGTCCGGGCCAGCCATGCCGAGCTGCCAAGGGAAAGACAAGTAAACGCCAAACCGCTCGTTGTATGGGCAACAGGGCGGAGAGTTGGGCAGCCGAGACAAGGCCGGTGGTGCCACGGCGGCATCCGCATGACCCGGCGGCACCGTTGAGGAGCCGAGCGCCGATCTGCACACGGCTCGGGGAGCGCGCGGCGGAGTGTGGCGATGAGGTGATGACGAGCGACGACCCGCAGAAAGAAAAGAGGACTCGGAGACGAGAAGCAGCCGCGGGGCCAAGTGGCCAGCGAAGCCGTGAGCCCGAGCGACTTGGTGCCGGAGAACACCAGCACCAGCGATGCGGGAGCGAGTGGAGGCGGTAGCATGGGTCAGAGGGGATCGGCATGGAGAAGACTGTGGAGACCGGCATGGAGACCGGCAGCCGATTGGCCGAGGACCACCCGCCAAAGGAGTGGCGGGGGGACATGTGACGATGGGCCAGACAGCAACAGCCCATGCGGGAGAGAAGCTTGAAGGCCGTTCCGGCAAGACTGAACAAATAGAGACGGAGTGTGGACGCCCACGCGGCTCAAGTCGACACACAACAAGCGCGCTCCGTTGCACGGGCGGGTGCGCCACACGCGCCCACCAATGAACACAGCCGCTGCGCCCACTCCGGCAAGACACCCCTCGGCCGACAGCCGGCCTTTGTGGACTGCGGGGAGCCTTATCGGCGCGGGTGCGTGGCCACCACCTCTGCCGCAATTCGCTGCCTGCTGCTGCCCATCGGGCCACCGCCTCCTGTCCATGAGGCAGCGACTGCTTGTCGGTTTATCTCGGCTTGCTGCCGATACTGCCACTGATGCTGCCACTGATGCTGCCACTGATGCTGCTGTTCTTGCGTTTGTTGCTCGTCTGGCTGTCGCCGATGCTGACGCTGTTCGTCTGGCTGCCACTGATGCTGCTGTCTGTCCTTGATGTCGCTGCTGCCGGCTGCTTGCTCCGCTCCCGCTGTCGTCACTGCTTTGCGCCATCGCCCTGTCGCTTGTTGGCCACTTTGACAAGGGTCATCTGCTGATCCTGTCGGCGTGGTGGCTAAATGTTGTCGTCGCCAAAACAGGCCTTCGCGACTCCCGACACTCCCTCGCCTCAAACCCGTCTGCCCAGCCAGGCTCGCATATATATACACCCCCGTCGCCTCCCTCTCGGTCCATCCCCATCTGCCTCGTCCGGCTCCTCATCTCATCCCATCTCATCCCATCTCCTCTCCTCCCCAAGATCCCACCGGGGAACCATGACGACCGAGAACGTCAGAGTCTTTGTATGTATCGTCTGTGCTGTCGTCCGAGCCATGTCTCCAAGCGAGCCATCGTGGCCCACGTCGTGTCTGGCTCTGGCCAAGCTCTCCTGGCTTGCTTGCTTCGTTTGTCTCGTCTGCCTCCCGCCTCCTCCAGACACTTCCACTGCTTCTTGCAGCCTCGCAGACTCGCGGTCCTGCAGCCGTCGCACCCGAGCAACGCCGCCCTCGGCTGCCACGGCCGTGCCCCCTTCGATCTGTGGGGCTGTGGGGTTGTGGGGTTGCTGGAGGGGCTGGGACACGGCAATCTGGCGGCATGTCTGGTCTCATGGCCAGCATGCTCTGGATGCGTTCTGTTCTGCCACATCTGCCACATTTGCCACATCTGCCACACCCGCCCTTCGTTTCAGTCTCCCGCCTGCCCGTCTCGTCCCTTCTGGCCCTCGCACCCATCGTTTCCTCGGTTCGTTTGCGAGTCCGTGACTGATCTTGTCCATCTCCTCTATGCCCTCCCGCGTTTCCAGTCCGGCCCTGCTCAGGGCGGCCATTCTTCGCTTGTCAAGCGTCTCTTTGCCAAGAAGAGTCTGATCTCCATTGACAAGGAAGCCGCCGAAACCAACTACCGCCGCGCTCTCAACTGGTGGGATCTCACTGCCCTCGGCATCGCCGCCATCATCGGCTCTGGTATCTTTGTCCTCACGGGCAAAGTCGCCCACAGCGTGGCCGGACCCTCCGTCATCATCTCCTTTATCATCTCGGGTGAGTTGATGGATGTGACCCCCGATCTCGGCGATGCACTGGATGCACTCGATGTGTGGTCGCTGCATCGATGTGTCGATAGTCAACTTCACACCGCGACCGCCGCCATGACCGCCATGACGCCCATGCAACGTCACCTGCTGACCTGCTCCTCTCATTTCTCACTCTGCCCCGCCTTGCTCCGACAGGCATCGTCAGTGCCCTCGCTGCCCTCTGCTACGCCGAGATGGCCTCGATGGTCAACATCTCTGGCTCAGCGTACTCCTATACCTACGTCACCCTCGGCGAGTTTATCGCCTGGATTCTCGGCTGGGATCTGATCCTCGAATACCTCGTCGGCTCTGCCGCCGTTGCTGTTGGATGGTCCTATTACTTCAGCTCCTTTGTCGCCGATGTCTCCAACAACCCGTTCGCCTTCGATCCTCGATGGGTCAACGCTCCCGTTTTCTGGAGCACCACTCCCGTTCCTGGATTCTACGCCAACCCCGTCACCCTGGCTGATGGAACCACTGCCAACGCCATCATGAACGTCCCCGCTGCCGTCCTCACCATCCTTCTCACCATCATCCTGTGTCTCGGTATCCGCCAGTCCGCTTGGGTCATCAACTTCTTCGTCGCCCTCAAGCTCTTGGTTGTTCTCCTGTTCATCTTTGCCGGCATCGCCTATGTCAGACCCCAGAACTGGTCCCCCTTCATCCCCACCTACGACCCTGTCCAAGATACCTTCGGCAACCCGGGTATCTTCAAGGCTGCCCTCACGGTCTTCTTTGCCTACATTGGTTTCGACGCCGTCTCGACCACTGCTCAAGAGGCCAAGAACCCCCAGCGAGATCTCCCCATCGGCATCCTGCTCTCCCTCGGCATCTGCACGGTTCTGTACATCGTTGTCTGTATCATCCTGACCGGCATCGTTCCCTACACCGAGATCCCGATCACAAGTCCCGTCTCTGGTGCCATGAAGATCGCCGGTGCCCCCCAGTGGATCGTCGTCACCATTGAGCTTGGTGCCATCTTCGGTCTTGCTTCCGTCATGGCTGCCCTTATGACCGGCCAGCCCCGTATCTTCCAGGCCATGGCCAATGACGGCCTCCTTCCCAAGGTCATCGCCCACATCAACCCCAAGACCCAGACCCCCGTTGTCGCCATTATCATTTGCGGTGTCATTGTCGCTGCGGCCTCTGCCGTCCTTCCCGTCGATGTCCTTGCCGATCTCACCTCTGTCGGTACCCTCCTTGCCTTCTTCGTCGTCTCAGTCTCGGTCTGGATTCTGCGCTGGACTGACCGCGACCGCCCCAGACGCTTCAGCATCCCCGGTGGCTTCATTATCGGTGGCAACATCATCCCTGGTCTCAGTGCGATCGCCTCTCTGGCCCTGATCTGGGTTGGCGGCAGCACCACCATCACCATCCGTGTGTTCGCTTGGATGGGCATCGGTCTCTTCTTGGTCTATCTCACCTTTGGTTTCTGGAAGTCCAAGGCTCGCTTCCCTGTCGCTGCCGAGGTCCAGGCTGACGAAGTCGATGGCAAGCTGTAAATGGGTGCCAACCGGTCATGATCGTGAATTGTGTTCCTGTTCGTGTTTGGTCCGAATTTCGATTCTGCTGATGCCGCTTACCTCGCTCCATGGACTTTGACCCTATTTTGGTATTGGCGCTGCTGCCAGAATATGCATGGTGCTCGAGTTTTGATTTGCCATCCCGCTCCGCCCAACGTCTCTTTCGCGTGAATCATTATGTGAGGAAATGAAGAGAGGAGGGTAACAGGCATATTCCCCAAGCCCCTTGGACCCTGTCCTCAATCTCGTAGCTCCCCCCCCCCGTTCTCCAATTCCTCATAGCGTGTCTCAATAAATCCCCCTGTGGTTTGTATGGAGCCC